TAGAAATCAAGACAAACCTGAAATGGCATAGGAAACCAAGCGATTATGCGTGACATACAAGAGTTAGAGTAAAGATTTAGAATCCCATTATGCCTCTTGAATAGATGTTGCCTTCAAAGTTGTTGAGAGCCTATTTTTGTATATGTTCTTTGTTAAATTTGCCTATAATAATCATATACTTCCTGCTATTAGTAAAGAGTATGATGAGCAGAGAAAAATGCATAAATGATTTTCATAATAAGTGAAGGTTCGACCATAGAAACACAATTTAAATCGTAAGAGTGCTTAAATTTGTGTTGAGAGGTTCACTGGCTTCCAAGTGTTGTGTATTTTATTATGGTTATTTGCATAAGACAAGAAATATTGATAACAGAATTTCCACTAAACATTTTATTTTAACAGATTATTAATAAGGCATCAATTATCTATCTTAATTTAAAGATTGATAATTGATTACCAATTATTATTTCTCTAAATGGGTTATATAATTAATGGTTATTAAGTTTATTTTTTTAAAGTTTGTGATTAAGATTAGTCAATCAAGATCACTGAAAGTTAATTTTAAAAAAGTATACTAAATAACTAAAAAATTTTGAGCATAATTTCAATCCCCATGCAATTAAAAGATAAATGATTAGAAATAAATTAAAGAATTCGAGTTTTCAAGTTTTCAGCAATTTACCATAAACAAATCAAAAATTAAAATAATATGATCTTAGTGTTTAATGATCCAATAAAGTAATATGAGGTACAAAAAATCTTGGTGAGTTCTTAAGAGTTAAGTAAATCCAAGAGATTATGGATATTTCTTTCCTACTTCAACAAAGGGGTGTATGTAAATAAGTTGCTTTAACACAAGTTAAGATGGTACTAATTATAAAAAATGAAATAAGGATAACAATCTGAAAAATACAGATATAAATTTTAGATTTCAGATTCAAAATCCAGATGAGTGTCTCATTGTTCTCAAGGAAAGTGCGGTAGTATATAATAATGCATCTGTGGAATCTCATATTGAAATTCAAAAATAAAGTGAGTCCAATATTATATCATATTTTTGCTAGAGTGTAATTAAATAAGCTAAATTTTACACCAAAGAGGCAGCAATAATTTAATATTATCTTGAAAATTCATTTTCTTAAAAACCTTTAGCGAAGGTTGAAATAAGAATGGTTAACAAATTAGTGTTCATTGATGACAATTTAAGTAGATAATGTAGTTTTTAAACCATGTAGTTTTCTCTAAAACTCTATCAGGAGAAAATTAAAGGTAAAGATTAGAGGATTAGATTGCTCTCTTTTGAATCCCAAAAAATTTAAAACTACTGTAAGAAATGAAGCAATTTCAAATTAATATATCTTTTTAACAGAGGCTATCATAGTATTTAATTCAATTATATTAAATTAGGACCAACTTTTCATTAGCTTGTCAAATCCAATCCTCTGCCAATTACTAATAAGAATCACGGTTTTAAATCAGTAAGTAGTCAATCTTTATGGTTGGAATTCGATCCAATTTTTAATTCATTTTCTAATCTAACTGTCCAACAATCGTTTTCTTCTATATGAATATTTTACTTAATTTATATATTTGAATAGACAACGGTACATCTCCAGACTTTACTTACTTTATTGAAATTTATTTGATTAAATAATAATAAATGCTATACTATCATTCCGTTGAAATTTAGACTTAGGGATGATAGGAATTGGTCTCAAATAAACAGTCTAGAATGATGTTAAATTAGAATATAAGAAATTATACAAAATATTTGCACTGTAGAATAAATGATGAAGAATGAAAAGCACACACGTATACTATACTATCAATAAATATATGATACTACTTGATTATCTAAAAATGTAAGACTTGCTAAAAATGGTGAATTAATTTTGTATATTGCTCAAAAATTCTTTAGAATTGCTTTCAAAACAATGTAGAGAACTTAAATTGCCATTGGGATATATAATATGTCAATTATTGCATTGAGTATTGCAAAGATATTAAGGTATTCTAAGCTTGAAGTTTTGATTAGGTCTTATATAATAGCCAACAATTCTGTTATAAATGCAGTCGTTCGGGCTCAAATTCTTCATAAATCTTAAAGTGATAATGTCTTTCTTTTTAAATTAATATTTTCACTCAATCACCATTAGTAAATATACATTTATATTGTAATTAGTATCTTGCATTTAAAGCATATCTTTCATAGAAAAAAGAAAATTATTAAACAGTTCATTCGTTTTATTTAAATTAAAATTATATTGTAATTAATAGAAAGAAACATAGCATCTATTTATTTTGAATATTCATAAACCAATTGCTTTTCATTAAGATTTCAAAATGAAAGCAAAATATTCAATCTTAATATTTTTGTAAAATTATTTCCTTCTCTAGCAATTAATTGATTTATTTTGAAAAATTTGAATAAGCCTTAAATATCACATAAACTAAGGTGATTAAAATGTTGAAAAAAAATGTAATGAAATTATGATAAATCTTAAGTATTTTTTGGCTTTGAATTAATGAAATATTGATTTATTTATCAAAACAACTTCAATCAAAAAGTAGTTAGATGTATTTTATTTCAGTATATCATCTTAAAATAGAAGATCATATTTTCGATACTAAATGTGGAATAATATTAAATTTACACAAACTATTAGGTCTTCCTTCACTAAATTTAAAGAAGGGAAATTAAAAATTTCTAAGGGGATTCATTTGAATTTCAAAAAATCTTCATAGATTTTACTATTTTCAACATTCAGTTAAGCCCTCAATAAATTTATTAAACATAACATATACAAGTTTTCTCCTTTCTTATAAGACTATAGTACTTATTATAATTGAAAAAAATATATAGATACTTTAGATTTTGTAAGTAGCAATCCAAAATTTTGAAAATTTAGATTTCGTTGCATATATTAAAATCATTTGAAATTTGGTTTGATTATTATAAAATATATTTATTTTATTAATGAAAGACCACAGCAATAAAACATAAACAATGACTTGTTGTCTATTTTCAAAAGAAAAAGTAGTTACATCAATAATACCACTCTCAGATGCTTTTGATAGAGAAGTTTTAAGTGATTCCATTTGCTTAGTGAATATTTTAACTGAGATTGAGAATAATTATTAAATAGATTGAACCTTATTAACACTCAAGGTTCAACCTATTTGACTTTTGTTTATGTTTATGATATTTTTTGTTCACGATAACTACTTGCGTTTAAATGAATATTGACTTAAATTTGAATTTTGCTCTTTAACTATAATCAATCTTGAAACAAATAATTCTTTTTTTCAAAAAAAAAATAAGAATAAATGGCATTTTTTTAAATATCCTCCTCTGATCATAAATACTAGGTTTGTGATTAATTATATATTCAATATAAATTATATATACTAAGAATCTTTGCTAGGCTGAACAAGAATCAAATATGAAATCTGGATTTTATGAGTATTGTTTAAATTAGAAGAGGAATCAAAAATTCAAAAAAAAGAACAATCAGATTATTTAGCAATTAATTCTTATATTCAATTCGGTTGATGTTATAAAGTTAAAATTTGAAAAGCATGTTGTTCAAAAATGTATAATTTTATTATTAAAAAGCTAAATTAATATTGTTTTCAATTATGTAAATTATGTTGCATATAAATCATCTTAATTCTAAAAGACTAAAATTTTTTAAATTTGGTAATTTTAATTTGTCACCGAAAAATTTATTGTGATTCTTTCGATACAAATTATTCATGATGACTAATAAATCATGTGATTATCTATTATAGGCAATCATCCACATATCACATTTATTGCATTAATAAACATTCCAATCGCTGTTTGATTAATTATTAAGTAAGTTATGATTGGATCCCATAGAGGATAACAAAATTTAGATCCTACTTTCTTATCTTATTGACCCTTTATTAAAAGGACCTATCAAAAAGGCATCGAAATCTATTTATCCCCATTTAATTTATTCCCATGATATTTTATATCGTTTCTAATATATAACTTTACATTACTCTCAAAAATTTCAAATATTGTGAGCATCCTTTAGTCAATCCTGCTCCTCCATTACATAACATGTTTCCATGACAATGACACTATTAAATCTACATTCTTTTTTCATCATTGAAATCTCGTTTAAGAATAAACGTTACACATCCACAAATGCATTGTAATCGAGGGTATGTTAATAAATGCTGAGTTAATTGATTTGAATAAATAGATAATTTATTTAAAATTGGTAGATTTGACACATTAAAATAGAGTAGCTAGTTATTAAAGATGTTATGAACTTCGTAAGCACTTAGCCTAAAAAAATAACATAAAGTCAAAAGTAAAGCCTATCGCAAATAAGATGAGTGATTTTCAACAATTAGAAGTTTACCTTTGTGAAGAAGAATCTACCTCAAATAATCAAGCATGTGAGGGACTAGTTAAGCTGCCTTTACATAATCTGGTAATTGTGCAATATTTTCTAAAGAGAAGATGATATATTGGAATTTGTGTAAATCCTGAGCTTTTAATTATTAAGTATCTGAAATCACATTAGTAATTCCAACTTCAATCAACCTAATTTATATGTATTTGGTACTTTTCTTAATTTTGTTTAAAATAATTTTAGTCAGAAACAAAAATTTCTTAGGTAACTTTAAAAAAAGACAAGTGAATAGGTTAAGCAGGTTCAATCTCAACATTTTCATCATTGTAGTAAACCAACTTATGATAATCTTCAAGCAATATTTCAAATGATTTCGTGTTGAGAAGGGTTTATTGAGTTATTTTTTATTAATTATTAGTTACTAAAAGAGCATGAACGTGTTCAAATCGTTTCAAAACGCTTTCAATATTTGGTCTATGTTTTTAATCTCTGACAAGGACATATTTCAAAAAATCTATAATATAAACATTATTTCCAAGAAGCTAACATACTAGATTTCAAATACTTTTTATTTTTCTTCAGAAATTAATTATTCAGTGGGTTAGGTGACTTATAGATAAAATTACACCCATTCTTTTTTAAAAAATAATAATTCTCCAGTCAATATTTCAAATAGCAAACAACCAAGAGACCAAACATCAGAGGACCTGGTTGTTCCTACTTTTTTTCGTCTATCATAAGTGTCTTATTCTTTTTTAGAATTCATGGTCAATGTTAGCATTTCTGGTGACTTAATATATTCTGTGCCCCTATTTCTTACACAATATTCATCCTCTTCATTCATAAATATACTAGATTCTCCGAAATCAGTCAGAACAACGTGCATACCATCCAACAAAATGTTATCAGCTTTTATATCGTAATGGGTAACATTATGATTGTGTAACATTTGTACAGCCTATAGAACTTCCTTGTACAAGCTCAAATAGACACCGAGATTATCCAAAAAGGATCCTTTCTATTATTGTCTCCATTCTTTTAATGATTATGGGTATTTCTTCATAACAATTATATAATCACTCGAAGTTACACCGTAATCATAGAGAGTGGCAACTTGGGGTGTTAACCTAAAATTCTCCATACAAGCTATTTCTGTAAATAGTCCATGAAGGACACATCTCTATAATAAATTAAATTGAAACATTACTTCATATATGCTTTTTGGCAGTCCCATTTATTTTATTGCTACATATTCTGGTTCTTGCAAAGCAGTTTTGCATTGATAGATTACTCCATATGCTCCTGATGCTATTTTCTACCAATCAGTATATTATTTGATATCAAACAGAGATATACACAATAATTTTAACAATCTAATAATCTTAATATTTGTAATTTTTTATAAAACTAATTTTATTACATTTTGATTTTAGGGATGATTAAGATGATGATGCAATAAATATAGAATGTTGGGTTTTCCATTAATAATTGGATACTAAGAACAATACAAATCGTCTAATGTTCCTCTCATCGGCTTAATTAATAAGCAAATTAATAGAGATAAACAATTAGCATGTAATTCTTCATCAGAATATATTTTTCTTAACTTTCTTTCACTAAAATAGAATAACTCATCTTTTGGTTAATTTTAAAAATTTAATTTGAGTTGTTGCGATTGTTCTTTCTCTTGTTGACAATTGGGTAAATTTAGTTTAGGGACAGGTTATTTCTGATCACTACTATTTGGATTTATATGCTTTTGTAATAGCATTCTTCTTTAACTTTCTGATAATTAAGCTTGAATGCATAATTCTGATTTAAATGGCATTGAATTACCTCTTTTATGATTTTATTAAACGTCATCAGGGGAAACTTTTTGTAATACAGTTTAGTTCTACTATTGTTTCGCTGAAGTATTAAATTATGGACTATGGCTATAAGATTAACTTGAAATATTAATCTATTTCAGTTTCCCTTCCAAATCCAAAGCTGGGACTAAAACCTTTTTTAATAAAATTTAACTATTATTTTTAGCCTATTTTTGTTTTTCTTCTTAAATTTCTTGTAGTTACTACTTATGAACAGATTATTAATTTGGCTTTACATTAGGTCTATCACTGATTTTGGAACTCAATCTCTCATTATTACTGGATGAATCCACTTAATTATTTTACTATTTAATTAAAGAAATCAATATTAATTTACTTCTTATTTTAATGACGACGAGTTATTTAATGGCTACTCTCTATTTTAAGTGATGTCAAACTCTAAATCTATCTCTTGAGTTAGAAACTCAACTATCCTATACTAATAAAATTTTCTTGAAATGTCTTCACTTCTATTTTAGGCAATGCAAAATAAGCACTTAATATATAGGTTCATAAAAATTTAGCTTAACTATTTTGATTATTTTTCATCTTATTTTGAACTTGGTTATTATTTCAAATTAATTTCTTGGATTTTCTAATTTATTTCCTTCATGTCATTCAAATTGCTTTAAGAATACAACTTGATAAAGTTGACATAACAATATCTGATCATAAAAGAGGATAATTCTTCATTTGGATATTAAAACGACAATCCTAAAACTTCAAATGCTTTTTTATAAACCTACACCCTAATCACTTATGGATTTTATAATAAATAAGTATGTTGTTCTATAAATTTTTGAAGAACCTTTTGAAGTTAACTTAAAAATCCTTAAAATTATCTCACCTGTTATTTAAATTCCTTATCATGCTTCTAAAATAACAAGAGTATAGATTCGTAAAATAATAATATTCTCATTGCATGGATTTCAAAGTTCTCTTCCTTATTGGAATTTAACTCTTAAAATATATAAATACTAAAATTCTTAATCATATCCAAAAAGATTTCATTAACATAAACGTTCAATAGAAATTTAATGGAAGAATCATTTATTGCTCTCAAGAATAATCTTGAAAGAATACTGATGTATATGGAGATGATTTGAGGATACTTTTGAATAAAAGGTTTCTGCGATTTAAATTTTAAAGTGGAATATTATTGCTGCTGCTATTATTATTAGTGTTATTAGGATGAAAAATTTAACTAAGAGGCTTGAAATTATTACTGTTATGAAAATAACTAAGTTTAGTTTTAATTTGATTTTTAATCTGGAGATGTTTCAAACATATTTGATTTAAACATATTGTTTATAGTTTAAGAATAATGTTTAGCTGATTTGGATATATATTGTGATTAATTAGGAGTTCGAGATGAAGATTATTGGCAATTAATGATGTCAATTATTTATCTTTTTATCATAACTAAGATATCTATCATGTAGTCTAAAAATTAAGGCAACAAAATTCTGTTGTGAGTGTAACTCAAATATTTCTCAAGGATAGCTAGTAAATCAGATTCCAATTCATAAAAGGCATTTTGATTCATATCCATTGTACTAAGAATAAAATTGAAACGGTATTAAATGTGCTTTAAAAATGGGAATTAAGTTGTATTTGAATGTCTATAATTACATACCACTTTTTCTAATTCATTTTTCACCGGAATCATCATTTCTGGAATGTTAGCAACTGTGTGAGGAGACTTAGAATATAATGACTTGTCATACTTCAATGCTTCTTTCTGATTCATCATTTTCAAATGATTATTCTTTTTGTGAATCTTATTGTAATTTTATATGTTATTGATCACAATTGAACAAATCCAAAATTAAAAAATATATCTTCTATTCACTTATCAATCCATTGTCATATTTGATTTTGCTCGAATCACAAAGTTATCTTTTTAGGTATATATCAGTGTCAAAATCTTAATGTATTTGTTTTGATGATATTTTATTTTTCTAGAAAGAGCTAGAACATAAATAATTTAAAATTGATGAGTAAGGGCATAATTCATACTAGATTTTTTTGATATCTTTCAAGAGGAAATAAAGGATATTTCCCCAAAGTCTACAAATCTTACTCTTTTGAGTTTTGCTTTATTCCTATTCCAAAGATTCAGCCAGTGGATCTTCACCTTCCTTTAAAATACTTGGCCATGTATTGATTCCCAATCTTTTTAAAGATTCTAGATGTTGTCTTCTTTGTTTCAACAACAAACATGATAGATCTTGAGTCAAACAATAACCCCCTAATAATTATGCTAAATTTTATAATCTAATATCAATTTAGGATATATTACTTTTCTTTTGCATTTAATTTGCAATTCTAATCTTCTTCAATATGAATTGCTTAAGAACCACTTGTAAATTTAATTGCAGAATCAATTGAATGCGAGAACCTATTAGAACATGTAGAATATGATTTAAAAGGATCCGCTCTCCTTGTTGATCTTGTCATCACGCCAATTATTTCTAAACTATTTTAAGGTAATTTTAAAGGAGGTATTTTGAAATTTTTGTTTTATTGTCTGGAAGGCTCTACTTAAAAAGAATTTTCTTAAATTGATTATCTTGGTTAAAGGTTATTTTCTTTTGAATAAACAGTTGGATAATGTGTCAATAAAAATTTGGTTAAATTCATATGAAAGTCTCCTGTGGTACTTAGTTTGGATAATTTCATATAAATCGAATTTGGAGTTGTTAGAGCATTTTCAAATTTTTCAATGATTTCGGATAAATAGCTATATGATATTTTATTTAATACCCATCCTCATAGATTTATTATTTTAAGCCAGAATTCTACAAACATTTATAAAACAACATTAACACATTGATACAGGAATGTTCATCTAAATGATCTAAAATCGAATTGATAATTGTTCTATTATCCATTTATCCAAAAATGTCATAAATTTTTTCAGAACATTGTTAAAATAAGTTCTTCGGTTTTTGTGTTAGGCTTTCCATATACTCACTTAATTTGATTTTTGTATTTTATATTGGAGGAAATTAGATCTCACTACTATGACATAATAATTATATTAGCTTCTTTGCAGCTTAGCTATCTCTTAAATTTAAATTTTGTAATAACTAAGGAGTCTCAGGAGTGAAGTGATGCTGATTAAATATATTCATTTTTTATATTAATAATTAATTTCAATAGAAAAAATAAATCATTTCATTCAGTTTCTAACTATTGTTTGTATTACAAAAAGCCTAGAATTATTATAATATATTACTTATCCCTCCTTTTGGCTATAATTAAGTCAATGTAAATGCATCTTAAGAAATTACTGGAATAGAGTCTGATGAGAGAATATCCAAAGCCTTAATTTTCATAAAATCACTGAAATTAGTTTCAGTTTGGAGGTTTTCTATTTTTGAAAGAGATTATTGAATTAATTGTTAATTAAATGTTACGTTCTTCTTTTTAATTATTTCTAATTAGTTCTCGTTTTATTTATCGCTGAATATCACAAAATCACTTATATGTTCACATTCATTAACCTACATTGATTATTTAAATGTTTAACTTTCTAATTAGAATTCGCTTAAAGATTGATTCTTAATATTTTAGAAATTTTGTACCATTTGTTCATATCTTGTAGAATTATTTAATAAATAATCTTATTCTTGTTTATCGTCATCAAGTTATTTTACTTCCTCTTTGTAGTCACTGTACCTTTAACCTTTACCAGAAGAGATTTTATCACAATTTTTATTAATTAAAATGCTCTACTAAGATTAAATTTGAACGTTATTGTTCTCAATTTCTTTGGGAGAACTTTTTCTACCAGAACTCTCTTTTTAAAATGGTTAAACTACAATTGAAATTTTAGTTTCCATAGGACTGTAAGCTTGTGATTATTTAACAGAGCTTTTATTTTAGGAACTTTTATTTTTGAAATTTGATCCACTATTTTAAATATTGTTCTACTTTGATTAATTTTCAAGTGACTTTGAATCTCTTGACTAACTACATTATGATTGAGCCTGAGATTATTATCTTACTATTTTTTCCATCATTTCAATTTATTCAAAAAATTGGATTTCTCCTGTTTATTCATCACTTTTTTTTATAGATTATTCCTTTTCACTTTCTTAATTCTTAGTAAATTTTCTGCTGCTCTTAATAATTTCTTATTCATTATTAGAGGGTATTTCTTAATTCTTATTATGATTCTAAATCTCGTACCTAGAACTATTTAAATCAAATTCAGGTTAGCAAGGTGAATCTTTTTCTTGTAAAATTTCACAATTTTCTTTTGGGGATTTTAGTATAGTTTCCAATTATAAAGGTCCAAACGTATTTCTGCAATCAGATCCTTTTAAATAATCAAGTTATTATTATTCAATACTGCTTTCAAATGAAACATTTATTTTTTTATGCTAATTAGCAGATATCTCAGCAGGAATAATTGATGATAAATTACTAATTGTGATTTGATTATTTACATCATCATCAGTATCATTGGGCCCTTTCAAATAGGCTGGAAACTTTTGCTATTTTATTTATTTACTAATATCTTAATATACCTGTTTTTTTGAGTATTAGTTTTAAAGTTAACTTTATTCTGATACTTATTATTGCAATAATAATTTTTATTATTATTATGATTATTAAGAATTGAAAACATTAAATTATTTAGCTTTATTTAGATTAGAATTTTCTTAATTAATTTCTTAAATCTTCTCCTACCTACAAGACTTTTCAATTTAAATTTATTAAGTCTATGAATAAGGATTAAAATAAGTTTTGTCAATTTTTGTTTCTCCTGTTTCTTAAAATTTTTTAATATCTAATTCCATTTTTTATTATTTTGTTTACTCAAATACTGGTTTATTCTATTTTAATTCTAATTGTAAATTCTTCAACTTTTACAATTCATTTTAAGAATTCAAGGTTGATAAAATTTGTTTAGTATTATTTAAAGTATTATTGGCTGATTCTTTGTTAGTTATGTGCACTTCTCTTCCAATCGGTGAATAACCAGATCTTGCAGTATTAAACACTGGATATTATTTTTCTTAGTTTAAATTAAAAGGAGATTAGAAATAGTTTACGCATTGCTTTTCTTAATTCATATCTATGGTGTTCTTTAATTGTTAGTCTTGATACAATTTGGTCATAGAAAATTCATCATTTTTTTTTTATCCTTATGGGTTCTGATATTCGGGTAGATGATGCTGCTATTTGGAAATCGATTCTATCTTATTATTCAATCTCTGTAAATAATCAATTTATTAATTATATTTACTAATATTTTATAGAGGTGTTCTTTCTTCAATTTATTATTAAGCAAATTGTAACTAGTATTGAGGATCATAAGTAAATTTCTTAATTTCTTAAATTTATTTTATTTTTTGAGTTTCTTATTTCAAACTCTAAAAATTGCTTTACTAATCGACAAAGGATTGTGATCTGATCTAGTATTCTAAGGATTTCAAGAAATTTAAGTCATGTTATCTTTATTAGAAATGTTTTTTCTAATCTAATGTTGCGTTCATAAGATTTTCTTGAGAACAGAAACTCTGTTTATTTTGAACCACTAGCTTTTATTATTACGATTTGATTAATTCTAATTGATGTTCGAGATATTGTTATTTTTTGAATTCTTAGACCTTAAATTCGTCAAACCTAGTTTCCCTTTGTTCTTATATGATTTTTTCTGGCTATTAGTTGGCTTATAGAATGGTATTTGAATATTTTTTTGTGACTTCTTAAATATCTCTCAAAATATTTTGTTTCAAATTATCCACCATTTCAGATAAAGGTTCTCTTATATTAACCCTTTGTTGTATTCTCATGGGACTTATGGATCCAAATCCCTTTTGATTAGTTTGTCTTATGCCTACTATTATTCCTGGAGATTATACTCTTTAGATGGGACTCCTATTATAGATTGGAGTGAAACAATCTTTCTGAATAACTGGTTTAGAAAATGGACTTCTAGTAGGGCTTCTCACAAAATTTTCTTTATTACCTGTATAAACACTTTATGTTCTTTAATTTCTACTAAATTATCTGTTTGTTTAAATATTGCTTCTATTGGAATATGCAATGTCATTTTCATGTTAGGCGAAAAAATTAGTTTGAAAGGGCACTTCACAAAGTGGTAATTAGCGGTCAGTTGATGAATTTTTTTTAATTCCAATTATTTTTTTGACTTGAGGTTAAAGTGGAGACAATCGGCCTGCAGTATCATTAATAAGTGTAGTTAATTACTGAACTGCTTAGTTTGATTTTGGATTTCTGAATACTGGACTGTGGCGAAGAGTATAACAGTTGTTTAGCATTATTTAAAATTAAATAGTTCATTTTTAACGTAATTCAAAGTATTTCTATACTTTCTAGTCAATCCACTTATAAAATTCGATGTTTTGATTATATTTTTCAAACCATGGAGATTTTTCAAAATTCTTGGTTATCCTTTCCATTCTTTCAAACAATTCATGTGCCATCTATATTTTGATAAAATAATTACTTTCCTGGCCAAATACCCAATAAGCCAATTAGGAAGGTATTTCACCTAAGGATTTGAGTTAGTAATAGCACGAACTCTGCATTTATTATCATTTATAGGTGTCAATTCAAAAATATAGTAATTGATTATCAAACTAACAAGTTTTTTATTTGTTTCAAAATGAATGTCATGTTTCTATTGATAGTCGATATTATGATCAATAGACTTGCAAACAAAGACTATTGTTCCATTGATCATAAGCCTATCAATGCCCTCGCCAACAAATACTGCCCTTCTATCTGAAATGAACGGGAAGTAAACTACTATATCGCAAATCTTGCAAGTCTTAGTCAATTATTTATTCATAGAGGATCTTTGGCAAAAAGGAACATAATTATGATATAGATCAATTTCATTGATGAGTGCCATCAACTTTGTGATGTTGGCTTCAAATACAGAATCTAAATAAACAGTCACTGTTGATTCTTCTTCAAATAGTTTATATTTAATGATAAGATTTTGTGTTTGTTTTTCTATTCTCCATCCTCCTGATTCTAATTCATTCAAGTTCTATGTAAGTATGAGTTTTTTTTCTTGCAAATTCTCATAGAATTCTTGGTAACCTTTCTCCTTAAACCATTGAGCTTGTTTATTATTTAATTTAAGGAAAATATCTTAGGTGATCTCGAAGGCTTCATCCAAAAGGGCTTCCTGATAGAGACCTTTTGCCTGTTCCATTCTTATTTCTAATTGATTTATTTCTTCTTATTCAGGATTAATGTTCATTTTATTTTGGTGGAAGTTGTTTTTCAGATGAATTTCAGACTCAACAACTTCTTGTTCGAATTGATTTGGTATAACTTCATCCTCAATCAGATTCTCTTCCTAAATTACCTACAATTAGCTGTTTCTCAAATTATTTTAAGCAATTGCTTAATTCTCCTCAATCATAAGACTTTCGCATAATTTCACTGTTTTCTTCTTTTGGGGTGCTTTTGGAGCAAAGGATTTGAATGTCTTGATCAGCTATACTTTAGAGGGAAATCGATCTAGGAATTTTGGATGATATCTTACATTCTTCGTATTCATTTAGCATATTGATAATTTCAAGGGATTTTTCTGAAGTATCATCTAACTAACGAAGTTATTTGGATAACTAATTATAACTATTCGATTACCCTTGTATTTGGGTCGAGTTTGTTAATTTGTTCTTTAAGGCCTGTTTTAAAATTATAGTAGTAATCTATAATATAGGTGCAATGATCAAAGGCTTGGCATTTGTTGAGTATTAAATCAAACTAATCTTTAACTTGGAGAACTTACTTCTTTTCGAAATTCTTCATAAATGTAATCAATTGTCTGCATCTGCGATTCGTCTTCATAGAGTTTATTTTTCATTGAAGAGTTTATTATTTAATTAAAATTATATATGTTAGTTCTTGCAGCGAAATGAAAAGTCACTTTATATTCGATACATATTATTTAGTTAGTATTAAGTGCAGTTAAAATAAATTGAGTAATATACAATATTATTAATTTTGTTTTATAATGAGTATAAAGCAGGTTCACCCTACAAATGAAGTTGAAGAATAGAACGAATTTAAAAAAGGATTGCAGTAATTAACTAGTTATAAAGTGTATAGCTCTGTTCAGACATTTAACGATCTTCGAAGAAGAAGAATACAAGTCAGAGAAGCTACATTAATTTTATCTCCGAAACTGTAGAATTTAATTTAATGTTTCTAGTCAACAATATCAGCATATGTTGCAACCAAAAATAAGTTAGTTTACAAGTTAAGATTAAATTATGGAAGAGGAAGATGTTTTGGTGTTGGATGGCTTTAAAATTAAATTTAACAGGGCCATCAGAAGATTACTAATCATCCTGAACTTTGCTAGAGCTATAACCTACTTTTCAAAATAGAAAAAGAAAAAGAATATTACTTAAAGTTCAATTTCCAAATAATAAATTCCCTTTCTTCCTCACCTAAAGTTTATTCGTTTGTGGAGAGAAATTATAAGTTTCAACACTGTTGTTGCAAACATCGTTTACCCAATTTACATCACTTATTCTGAGTTTGACTAGTATGTAAGAACATCTTTTATTCTAGGATTTTATAACGATAGTTACATTTATTATAGATTTTTTATTCTTTGTTGATGTTATATTAGAATAGATGATTTGTCAGATAGATAATAATAATATCCTCCTAAAAACATTTTCATCCATATTCATTCATAATGTAACAGGATGGTTAATTTTTGATATACTGACAATTCTACCTTATAAATTATTTGTACCTAAAATGGAAGATTCTTTCTAATTGAGAGACTATTTTAATTTATTGAAATTAATAAGACTATTCAAATATTTCACTTAAACAGACAGAAAAATTCTATATCATTCAGCCGATTCAAAAAAAACTTAGATCTCTATTGAAGATAAATTATCTTTCTTTGATTATTTCTCTTTAATAGATGCCAAATTTCTAAGTGTTTTGAACATTTTTAAAAATATGCTGATTTTAATAAGTGCATTTGGCTGTATGTGGCATTATGTACAATATTATGAAGGAATTTCTATGGCATAAGATTCTAACAATTGGACATCATACATCGATGGGTTATTCTGGGCAATACAAACAGTTACTGTTGTTGGATATGGCAATGTTTCTATTTCTACTTCTATGTAATATAACCTTGTCATTGTGTGGCTCTTAGTTGGAGTCGGATTCTATTCATTTACTATTGGAAATTTAGCTTAAATCTTAGAATAGTAAACATCGGCTGAAATTTAGAAAGAACACTTAGAAGATTTAGAAAACTTGATGGACACAATCATTATTCCAGACTGGTTGTCTGATCAAGTGTCACATTTTCTGACTTACAACCTAGAAAATAATTCTTTCTGGAATTATAGAAAGTACATTTAAACTATAATAATTAGAGAATAATAGACTCGTTGCCCGGATAACTGAAAAAGTATACAATATGCTTTTCTTAATAACAATTAATTGTAAACACTAATCTATTTAAATTGGATATTAATATTGCCTCCAAACTATTACCATATATGACAATATTCTACTATTAAAAGTATGAAACAATCTATTATGTTGGCTCACCCAGTATGGACGTTTACTTCCTAATAACAGGAGAAGTATAATATTTTCGAAATATTACTAGGTGAGATTGTGTGATGAATAAGGTCGAAGTATGTTAAACATTATAGAAGGCAGCATCTTTGGTGAAATGGAGATTCTAGATTAAGTTAATAGAAAACAAAGTGCTGTCGCATCCAAAAATTCTGTTGTTATCATTTTTCCTGTTTAGATATTTTTAGATATAATTTAGACAGACGAGAGTCTTTCTTTTGAAATCGAGCAACTAGGTTTGCGAAGAAAAATTCTTATCAAGGAAAGCCATCTCAGAATGAGATGTAAATAATTACTTTATATCTTTAGCAAATTAAAAGGTAAGAAGAGTAAGTTGTATAAACTACAAAGAATAACGAAAGCCAACAGATATAAGCAAAAATATTATGGAAAAGGAGTTTAAATAGAGAATTTCAAAAGAATCTTTTTAGTTCATTCAAACAAGGATATTAAAGTATATTTTCGGAAGAAATTAAGAAAGGAAGTGGAGATCATTTCAGAAATTTAGAGATGCTGTTTAAAAAGTTATGAAATTTAATAAGCAAAAGAGAGAACTTAATAAAAGGAGAAGAGAAAGTTGTATAGGATTAAAAATGATTAATAATTTCAAAGGTACTACTGAAAATGAGTAATTGATGATTAAATAAATATTTAAATTATAGAAGCAAAAAAGACAATTAATGAAAACTTTGAAGTAAATCATTAATCATGTAAAATCAGGATTATAAGCTCCTTTGCTAATTACGCCTTCTCCTTATTTTTATTGTTTATTAAAGGAATAAAAATAATAAATATTAGAGAAAAAGGAATAAGAGACTTAGAACAAATTTCAAAAACAATAAAAAATAAAGAAAATTAATCCATATTACTAACTAAGACACTTAAATGATTTTTGGAGTAAACTCTAAAATGAATTAATTTAATACAAAAATGCAAAGGCAGATCTCAGATACTCTCAAATGGAAGTGGACGGAGTTTATTTTGAAATTTAAGGTCTGATAAAATCTATAATATGAAATTCTGCTGAGTATCAATAATATTTCAACTAAATATATAAAATCATTTTTCCTTATCTTTACATTATTGGATTAATTAAGTTAAGTAGTCTTCATAAATATTTTCAAACTAAATTGAGATATACATATATATTACAGTCTTTCGATATTTGTATACTATCTTTTATTCATTTGAAACGTCATTTAAACATTTATGAAATAGTTTAATGTAGGATCTATCCTTTTAAAAGCTTTTTAATTGCCGTATATTTTCAAAATTTTATAATTTTTCTGGAATCTATAAGGATTTGTCAAAATTGGAAAACAAATGCTTGGCCTAACTTAACAATATAAATTACTTTTTGTCTATCATCATTTCTTATATCTTTTCCATTAATTTAAATCATAGATGGAAATCTATAAACTAAAAATTAAAACATGAAAGAACAATTATTAATTGGATTGTTTAATATTGTTAATTTTTGAATTTCACTCAAATGCTTATTTATAGAGTTAGATAACTTACTTCCAATTTGGCTAATTATAATAGACTATTGATATAGTTATCTTTCAAAACTAGTTCTCTCAATTTTGAATAATCTTTTAATATCGACAATTAAGTGTCAATAATTGAGTCAAAAAATACATATTGAAAATGGATTTTTTCAATAATTTAACTAAAATTTTAAGTTGGTAATACCATAGCTGATGCAGTGCCATATATCAGCAAAAAGACATCCTAAATATTATACACAATGGTATACATCCTCAACTTCAGCATGTCCTCCTTCTACAAGTTGATGTTCTAAGCAGCTCTTTTTATTTAATTAGTTATTTTTTTCTAACAATTGAATTCTTTTATATTCAGCTGTCCATTATTTTTTGATCAAGACTAAAATGTCATCCTCTTAGGCAGCAGCAGTGTTTGTCAAAGAGTTCTTTAAACTTGGTATTGTTTCTCTTAATGGTTGTTATTGTTATTGTTAGGTTGGAGGATTTTTTAAGTTAGTAGGTTCCTTTTTAACTTAGGCAAAGGGTGCAATTTCCTCTTTAGTTTTAAATTCTGAAGCCACTCCATGAATCTCAAGGCCCATTTAATTGGGCTTTTTTGGTTTTTACTATTGTAGTAATTGCTGTTGTTAAATTTGCTATTGGTTTATTGTTTTCTTTTTAATGGGTTCTGTTTTTGGTATGTCGGCAAACAAGATCTCCTATTTGATTTAATCAATAGGTTTTCCATCTAAAATTTTTAAAGTTTCAAAGGTTTAGCATATGTATCTATAATAATCAGATTTGTTTGTTTAGATTGGATTGCTTTCTAGTGATAATTCTGATAGATTGAAAATACAGGGAAAAGAATTAATTTTGTTTTAGGACATAAATAATTTTTACAATTAGGGGAGGACTATTTTAGAATTATGAATATACCTTATAAATGATCAATATTCTCAATTTAGTTCATTTTAATGTTTAATTCAATTAGAGAGCTTAATTCCTCAAGTGCTTCCAATTTGGTTATTAGATTATTACCAACATTCAAAATTTTGAGACTTTTTAATTTGCTTAATCCTTCCAAATTAACAATGCGATTGCTATGTAAATCTAGAACTTCTAATTTAGTGAGGTGATCTAAATTTTGTATCCTTCTAATTTAATTTTTGGGTAACAATAAGACCTTTAATTTTTAAACTTATTTCAATTCATCGATTTCTTTAATTTAATTATCATACAAGTCTAGATATAATAAATTGGGTAAGGAGACAAGATTTTGGATTGATAAAATTCTGTTATGCTGGTATGTTAGGATTTTCAACTTTTCTTCTCCTTCTAATAATGGCATATGAGTCAAGTCCAAATAATCAAGACTTAATTTTTCTAAGTTATTGGCTCTTTCCATGGGTCTTCTATAACAAACCCAAATGCCAGGTATTTGTTATAATTCAGAAAAGATGATGTTTCCTCCATTCTCAATCTTTTTGATGGTTCCATTTTTAACTAAATATCGATACCTTTGATTAGTGATTAAACTGTTACCTCTCATCAATTTCAACTTGGAGAATATCTTGAAACTCTTGAGAGTAACAGAGTATGTCATTCTTGGTTTTCTTTTTAGTAATTTCCGGCAGTTAACCTGAAATAGGTGTTTGATTTGATTGAGTTGGCTTATAGGTTGTTTTTTTGGAAAAACCAGTAGAGTAGGTAGCATTAGCTTCAGAAGATCTCTGATTCTTATTTGGAGACATCGATGATTTTGTCTAGTAGAAATAATTTGAATTATTACATATGCATAGCGTGATTCTTTATTCATTAAAATAATAATGTATAAAAATGAACTAGACTATACTGCAAACTTAAAACTAATCGATGATATCACTTCAAAAGAGTTCAAGCAATACGAGGTAGGTCATCGAAAGACCTATTCTCAACCAGATTAAGTGCAATTAAAGCGCTAGCCTGATAGGTTGGGTAATGATTTTATAATATAGATTAGAAATCTCTATAAATCAAAGCATAACATTACAAATGTACCCAAGCATCTTCAAATATATCAAAATTAAAGTGAAGGAACTTACAAAGCCATTAAATTTTGTCTATGAATCTAACAATAATTAATGTTTAATCAAGATATTTGTGTCATCAATAACTGATAGTCCAAACATTTTAAATAATAGTTTACAAGTGATTGTAAAAATGGTCATCTATAGATTAGAATAAATCAAGATTTTAATTTACTGAGCCTCCACCTCATTTCACAAAATTCAAATGCGATTATGTATACTTATCCATTTACACTGATAAATACACCGATTTGAAGATCAAAGCCACTGTTGGAATTCATCAATCAAACTCTAATAAAAGTATTTAGAAAAGATAACAAACACCAATGCTCTAAATTCCAAGAGAATTATTAACCAGCCGAGAACCGGGCAGTTACACTTATAGAAGTAATCTCTCAAGTATTATATTTATTTGAATTTTAGTAGTGCATAAACCAAAAACTAGTTCATCATTTATTAGATCGAATAAAGAATCTCAAGTCAAATTTAAATTAATATTGGATTTTAAGATCAAAAGTACCAAGCAAAAGAATTCCTTAATTGAAGAAATGATGAAGAAGAAGTCTATAATTTAGCATAACAAGAAATTGCAGATGTTGGAATCCTCTTATACTCACGAACTTGACAGATTGCAATCGAGAGTGCAACGATTAAGGAGTGAAATTAAGTTACACATCAGCAATATCGATATGCTTTGGTTAGAATTACTATTTATTACGTTGTTAGCTAAGGCAATCAAACACTAATATTATGTATGTTTAAATTTAAATAGAAACGAGTAATGAGAATAGTGATTAGTAATAAGGTTTAAGTTTGCTGTAGAAAGTTCATGAGGATTATGCTCAATAAGATTAGCTCCAGATATTAATATGGGAAGAAAGAGGCTGTCTATCTTGACACGAATATTCTATTTTATTTTGGGGCCAAACTTATGAGAAACAAAGCCAAGAAAAGGGCTTATTCCATACTCAATCATTTCCTATACAGATACGGCCATTTATCAAATGGAATGAATAAAGTGCATTAGTTTAATCAAAAAATTAAATATATCTAATAAAAGTGGAAGGCATTTAAGAAATCTGAAGCTAATTACTTAAATAGAGTTGCTGACTAAATTATTGATAAATGGGGATTTTTGTATCGAGAGATTATTGGTGAACTATAAAATGCGCCTAAGTCTGCCCCTACCTAAGACAAAAGGGTGCTCTTAGAAACCATTTCTGAAAATCTTAACAACCACAAAAGAGCATTCCTTTAGATCAATAACATATTTGATAAATTGGCTAGTGGATCAACTGTTTTTAGACCGATGAATAATACTATTATGAAAGATATTATGCATCAATATGTTGTTAAAAAAGCAAATAAACTTTAATGATTTATATATATTTATTCATATATATTATTATTGCATACAAGTAGGTTAATATATGGCTGGTCAAGATTTGATATTGCTATGACATATCTTATTAATTAAATAAATTTTTACTTCAGCAATAATGGATTAAAGGGATTCCAATAGCAATTCGTCCATCTAGTTTATATAAGAATACTCTTACGAATGGAAAAATTTTAATCATACAGTTAGGATTAGTTTCTCTTATCAATGACTCTATGTTTTGATCTCTTTGTAATAATATAGCTGCGTTGAAGAACCGATAGTAATTCTCTATTATTATTAGGTTTGTGATGATGAATACCTGTAAAAAAGAGATTATGCTTATGCTTAGGGTTATTTTGAATCCAGAAATGGAGACCAAAATGCTTATCATTTACATCATATTCTCTATAAAAGAAATCGAAATCGAAAGTTTTATTTGCAAAAGGTAAATTATCAGTAGTTATAGATCGATTTCTAACACGCTTTAAAATTTGTAAGAATTCTTATTCATTCAACTTTATTTTTGGTGAATATATCAATATTTTAAGTTAGCAGATGTCTTCTACTCCTTCATCTGCTGGTATAAAGTCAAAATTAAGAAAAGCTGATTCAGACAAACTCTTTTTCCTTGAACTCTCTCGTATCACTATTTATCCAATTTGTTCATATTTCTTGATTTATAAAATAAAGATCATACTTTCAAATATTCTTCACATGTTTGAGCATGCAATGCTCCGCTTCGACGTCGTCTCTCGTTAATGGGTTGTTTTTATTATTATTACATACCAAATTATAAATATTTTAATATAAAAATTGATCATTAAGATTCTTCGTCATTTATTTTAGGAGCTAAATATAACTTAAGAGATCCCATCTCCTCAATAATATATTCAATCACTAATGGCTAATCTTAAGACATTGACAATATAACCTAATTTGACAATGCCGATGCCTTATTAAATAAATTGAAATATCTATAATAACCATTATAAATATACCTCACTGCAAAACTCAAATTCACTGGTTCATCAACATCACATTCTACTCTCTCTTCTAGTTTCTCTGATTCATTGGTTTTAACAGAAACTTGACCCTCTCCTATATCACCCTTAACAAAAAACTTTATTCCATCTTTCGATGTCTCTATTCCTATTGCCTCATTAATGTTTCCCAATTCTCTGCAAATTTTTGTGAATTCATTTGAAGGCATTCTGACTACTGATGAATACTCTGTATCGGGCACACCTAATTATTCCTAATCTAAGGACATCAAATTCAACTAAAATTCACTTATTCTATCTAATCTATTAATATTCTATTTACTTTTTGATTCAAATGTAAATGATAATGTTGTTGGTTCTTCTTCTTAAGTTCTCAAAGTAATTTGATCATCATTTCCTGAGCATTTCAGAATTTTTTACAAATTTTCAATACTTAAACCCATAGTCAAAGATTTCTCACATCTATATTTTTTGAATCCCTTCTCATTTAATTACAAGGCCACTAAAGCTACATGAGATGTATCCATAGCCTAATGAATGTTAATTTACAAATTTACTTATAATGATATTCCTGTTCCATTTGCTTCTAAATTAACATTCTTTACTAATTCCTTAACTGCCTCAACAATCTTTTTGAATAAAACTCCATCGTTAAACTTGGCCTCGAACATCTTGAATACTTTTTCTTATTATTTAAAATTAATAAAAGAGGGAAATATTGTAAATTAGATTTGCCGGGTAATTAGTATTCTTATTTTTCACGATATTTATTTTTCCTTGTTTTTATCAAAAATTAAATGTAAATTCTATAATTATCTGTTTTTTCATTCTTCAATCTTAGGACATCTTTTGAATTCTAATTTAAATTCAAACTAATAAATATTCACTTCTCTTCTCAAAACCATCAGTATTATTTCTAATAATTACACAATTGTTTCTCCTCACTTAAAACATGGTTGAAGATCGAGCAAATAAAAGATGAACGTTTAGGATTTTTTTTGGATCAAAACAACCTTGTTTTCTTCCCAAACTATGACCAAGGCTTTGGGAGGACTCTATATAATGAGTGTTCTAAAAATATTTTTTCAAAATAAAACAACTTAAACATGAAAATTTCAATAAATTTTGAAGTAAGTTTATATATAATCAAAGAGCTGGACAATCTATAGAAATTTCAGGTTTTTTTCTATTTACAAATTTATTTCGTCTCAAAGAGAATTAATCTACAGATTCGGTTAAGTTTGAATAATAATCGTCTTATTTTTTTTTTGGATCTGTACAGAATTACAAATTTGATTTTCTCAAATAATCCATTATTGATCTAATCTTTGGATTTGGCTTGTGATATATCTCTAATTCTATTGAGTCTAAGCTTGAGTCTAAGTAGTCTTGCATTATAATTTATGAATTTATATTATTAAAACAAATTGATTAAAAACTCCAATTTAAATATATTACCAAGATAATGGCAATTTAATATAAATGATAAAACTGATTTAATAAAATATTATATAGAAAATTTGTTTTAAATTATTAGATTCATTCATTAATTAAAAATATGAATAGAGGTATCAAATAACTAAAAATATAATTTTCAGCTCCTCTTCTTTAATAAATGATCATTATTTACAAAAAAAACATAGAAATATGTGATTTATTATAATTTGCATTAATAGATTCGGACAACATTAAAATTGCAATGAAGAAAGGTAATATTAGAGTATTTAAATTCAGTTGTTATTTATAAATGAAATCAATTACAATATTAGTACGTGTTTTCTTTATCATCCGTTGATACAGAATGATCTTAAAATAATAAAAATAATTACATTATCTATTTGATCCTTTAACAGACTTCTCATTATTTGTTGGTTTCTTCTCACTATTGGCAAAACTAAAGTTACTTTGTCTGGAATTGCAGGTGAATGTCATTGGTTATGTTTTATTTTTTTACGAACAGGAGTCATTTTAGAACTAAACTAATTTTTAGGAGAAATTGGCAGAGAATTCTTCATCATCTAGGATTCTGTTTAAAATTTATTCTTATAATGGACTTGGTTTGATAAATGAAGAATTTTCATTAATTTCCTAATTTTCTGTGAAGCCTGTATTTGGGTATGGCAGTTAAAATTTAACAGGTTTACAAATTAATTTTGGTTTATTAGAAGCATAAGTTTAATTGGGACGATTTGATTATTGTTTGATTATCGGCTGATGTGTTGACATTTACGAGATTTCTGTTTAAAAGGTTTCATTATGATTAGTAATTTCTTCAAATGAAATAGTTTATTTAGCTCTGGAGGATGATAATTTTGATTCAAGCGAACCTATTTTAATGTTAGCTTTGTGTAATTTTTATTTTAAGTTCATGACATAATTGTCTATTTTCATAATATATTGATTATCCTTTTAAATAAGAGTTTACAAATACCCTTTACTAAATTCTTTTTAATTCTTATAATTCTTCTAAAGCTTCTTTGTATTCATGATCTCTTTCGCTTAACTATTTTTTTAGCTTAGATATTTCCAACCTATAAGAAGCATCTCTTTATTGCAATTTGTGTATTGTCTTGATTTTATAATTTCAAATTACTTCTTTTAATTATTATGTGGACTATTATTACTAGCTGTTACTTCTCATTAAATTGTTTAATTATTAAAATTATAATACTTTGTAATTATAATTTTGCTTCTTTTTGAACTAGACTTAAGTATAAAAGTGAGAATAAATTAAAATTTTATACTTTATTGTTAAAACTTATCATTAAGTTGAAAAAATATTAGATATCTCCTTATCTAATATAAATATTTTTATTTAGAGATCACTAACAATTCTTTTAGATTTAATATAGTTTGTTTATTCTATGAAATGCCATGATTGGAAGTATATAACATAAAAACTTATTTAATCAAATATCTTAGATCAATAGATATTTCGAATCTTAGATTAATTAGAGAAATTTGTGAACTCATTTGATTCTGATATCAAAACAATAAACCATAAACTTTGCCATATATTCATGAAAATTATATTATTATTATTAATAATTATATTGTTAATTGGAGACTTGTAATTATAAGATGATGTAAAAATACTTCGTTTGGATTAAAGTCATTGGAAATAAAATATCATATTGAATTAAAACACTATAAAGAATGAAATTTATTTTGTAAGGAATTATTAATAAAGCTATTAATGAAGAATATATTATATTGATGCTAATTAAAGCAAAGATTAAATAATTGTAATATTTATGATAAATAAATTTTAATCATCACACTGAAATATCAGGAATCGTATATATGGCAAATCAACTTATTAATTTATTATTCAAATCATCAGTTTCCTTATAAAATAATAAGAACCATAATTTAGTAATGAATAGCTTAATTAATAATATGAAAAACTTTAAAGGTACATGAATTATTATCAAAAAATAATTTATTTGATATTTAACTATTAAAATGATGTTATATTCTGAGTTTAATAAATCAATATAATCTATACTTTATACATATATAAGAATTAAATATTTGCATAATGCCTTTTCATAAAATCATTGTTATTATTATTTTTGTTGGTTTTGAAGTTCATATGTCAATTTAACGGGAAGAAACTCAGACAATTTATTTTCCATTTAATCTTTAATATACTTTTCCAATTAGTTGCACTCTGTGATTGGCTTTTTTTTAATATATATTAGGTAAAATAGCATATGATATACATTATGCTCCAAATAAATATGCTAATACCAACCATTTTTTGTTCTAAATTGATATGATATAAAATTACTTAGAATCAATCTCATTTCTTTCGAGACTACAAATAAAACATTTTCCTTGTATATCTTTCAAAAGTTCCTGCCTCTCATCACGCAGTTCACCAAACTTATCCACTATGATACCGAAAATCATTTATAAAAACAAGATATTAAAGATTATGAAGAAGGTGAGGTCAAAGAAATATCTCTTCCAATATTTAGCTGGTTCTTCAAATGGATCAGCATAATCAGAGAGAGTATCACCTATACCGCCACCATTTCTTAAACCAAAATTAATGACATGTGCTATAGAGTAACCTAATGAATCTTAAGCGAATTTTGTTTCATCCTTGAAATCCCCACTAAATGATATTTTTATTAAAAATCCATATAAGACCAATCCAATAAGTCCTAATAGTCCAAATATTAATAGATTTTTTGTGTTTTCAGTAAAAGCTTTAATGATATTCTACAAAACCTCTGATCTTTTTACAATATCTAATAATAAAATTGCATAAACATAGTTGTTAAAGAAGGCAATGGCAGTAATTCCAAATATTATAAGCTAAACAATTAATATCTTATATTACATTATATAAATTATCGAAATCTATCAATAATAATACAATTATTTTCCTTAATGGATTTTTTCTGACTTATTATTATTCAAAATTATTCTCCATATATCCTACAAATTCATAGTATTTCTTTTTATATTCTGGAATCTTAAATCCAGCCTCTATTTTGAGATTCTGGATTTGTTTCACATTAGTTTCTCCTCTTCTAAAATTAACTGCAATTGGGTATCGCTCAATTGCACAAAAGATAATAATAATTAAATTCAATATTAATTAAATTACAGTAATAATCTACATATATTATATAACTTACATTATTTAAATACAATACTACTTGTACTTTTTTTGAATCAGTAATTATTTCGTCTTCTTCATTATCACCTTCAACCAAGTTTCCATCTGCTATATTATCTGGCATTAGAATAAAGAATAGCACAATAACAACACAAAGAATATAAGATACATCTTTTAAAGTTCTCCAATGCTTTTAACCGAAATGCATTATAGGAATAGTACTGACATTTTGATAATGAGCCATTTAAGAATGATAAAAGCCGATATTTTCCAAAAAACTTGTAATTCTATCTTCATCTGTTTCTCTATTAGATTCATAAATCAAATTTAATTTAATATTTTCTGTCATATACTTGCAAACAAATGGTTTTTGAAATAGAATTCTCTCTATTTAACCAAATTAGTTAACTACTTCAATCCTTCCAATGAATTCCCTATAGAACAAAAAGAATTCATCTTCCCTAGATACTTAAACTAGTTTAGCTGATGTATTTTATTTTTCTTCATTAACTTCATCAAATAAATCATTATTCACTAACTAAGTATCAACTACTTTTTAATAATACTCAGGATGTTGACTTATAGAAAATGTTTTTTCAATAACATTTCTTAGGCTTATGTCTTAGTACAATTGATCTTCTTGGATCAAATCCTTTTCTATGGTCATGCTCTCAAATTAGAATATTTTAAATTTTTAATCATTACTATAATTTGATAGTTTTAGACCGATAATAAAGATATTTAGGCCAGTCTCAATTAATAGAGAATCTTCCCTTGTTTTATAACCATTAACGCAGAAACTTTTATTACATAAATTGTCATAGCATGGTAATTTGCAATATTTGTCAACGCATATCACTGATTTTTTAGGAAAGATTCTACAATTATATATTTTTTTTGCTAATGACATAAGGAATTCATTATTTAAATTTTCCAATAAAAATTTATACACTTGTTTATTTTCATTGGCATTACCTTCCAATAAGGATATCAGTAATTAAATATAAATGTAGAGAGTTTACAATAATTAAAAGTAGACGTTTTACACTTTTTTTGAGGAAGGAATTAATGCTGTGTCTAAATCTGAATGATCGAATAATTCATTAAATCCAGAGAATAATCGAGAATTCTTTGTGATTTCTTTTTTATTTTCGTTAAGACCAGTTGAAAACTCTATTAAACTGAGTAATCCCTGTTAATACAAATCCCATTTCTTAGAATTCTCTACAGATTTATCAGATAAAAAATTCACTAATAGATTGGTAGTTTCTAAAACAAAATTAAAATTATTCGTAATCGAATCTTGTTAATTTTGTATTCTCAAAAACTTTTAGAACTCTATATGAACATTTTCACATAATCCCTATAAGACTTGTAGCACCTTAATACATATATTTAAATAGTCTGAATTCTTTGATGTACTTAATTCTTCTAATTTTATACTCACATCAGTACTATAAAAATCCCTAAAGAATTGAATGAAGATTTTCTTATGCTTCTTATGATTCTATAAAAGAGTATAAAATCTCTGTTGCACTTACGTATTACCAAAGTCTAATAAAAGATGTAACAATGTTAAGGAATCAAGTTATTCATTTGGATTTTAATGATTTAGTTACTCTATTGCGATAACATGAATATCATTTTCAGATATTACATTTTGGTATATTGTATATTATTCAAGAGTATTCAACTAACCCTATTTATTTTCATTTTCCTTAATATCATCATCATCATCATCAAGTTCCCCTTGATTTATGTAAGTCTTAGCTGGCTTTTTCATTTCTAAAAATATTTTACATAACTTAATTAAATATTGAGGATATTATGAAAATATTTACTTGCATTTAATTATAAACTCCTTAAATTTATCATCTTAAAGTAAGCCATTTGCCTGTTAAGATAAGTCATGTAAAAAGAATAAAATTTGTACATCTTCTGACAAAGGATTTTAAATTTCCCCTTGACATTTCTTTTTGACGAATAACTTTTTGATTTCTTCTTCTTTTTTCTTTTGAAAATCTTCCTTTAAAATCTATAAGTTAAGTTCTTCTCTCAATCTATCTTATGCTTAAGTTGTAATTTCATTGAATTCATTTTAGGTATGAAAGGCCTTTTTAAAATCAATCCAATTCTCAGAACTTTAATACTGAGAAACCTTATTAGTCCTGAAACCGATAAGATCTTCTTATTTTATGTAAGTCTTGTGATTTTGATTACAAATCTCCTTTAGCTTTAATACTCTATCCCTCTAATTCAATTATTCTACATGATCTATTAAATCTTGGAGTGACATTTTTTATCTTATACAGAAAATTTGTAATCTATTTTAAAGATTGAAATCATAAAGATTCTTTAGAAATAATTCAATGATCTCAGATATCTATTATATATATTCTCTTTTTTCTTAGATCAGTGGATTAGAAGTATTGAGCAATATTCCCTTAATCAAAGTGAGTATCTAAGTATACTCTTCAATAAAATTGCATTCGTTTTATCTTTCTAGAAGTCTGAATTCATCAATGACAGATATCAAAAATTCAAACACATAAAGGATATATTTCCAGTATTCCTTGTTGTTAAGCAATATTGAATTTCCTAAATTATGGCTTTTTTAAAATTGTTACATTAATTGCAAATCTGGAATAATAACAGAAGTGAACAACTCTTTGAGTTGATAATTATCTATAAGATCTCCTATTAGATTATTTGATTTAGCAAAATTCACATATAATTCAAAGATGCATTTTAAATAAGCACCCTTAACAATATAAGGTTCATTCTACAATACTGATGTTAATTATTCAAATAGTAAAATTCTCTGGGTTTCAGATATTCCTAAATAATAATTTTGACAAGTTTCCGAAATTAGATTTAGAGCTGCTGAATGAAGTTTAAGTTAATAATATCGAAGAACACTAGATTAGACTTGTTTATCTTTTTGAATTTTGTCTTCAAAATACTGTAAAGGATCTATAAGATTCCTGAAATTTTGAAGAATTAAATGTAGGATTTGCTTTTAATTACTTAAATGATTAAACTTAGGTTTTGAAGCAGTTTTTGTAAATCTTTATAAGATCTTCAGATATTATTTGCCTGCTCTAATATGAATTAGATTTTCATTTAAATTGAGCGATTTAGAAATATTCATAATTATATCTATAATGGAATGTGATGCACTCTAAAGTTGCAGTTTAGAGATTTATAAAGATTTGTATAAAAAATTATCACGTTAGGGTTATGGCAATAATATGATTTTTAATAGATGGTCTAATTGTGGCATTAATATCTGAAAATTTGTCTAATTATCTTTAATAAAGTTCTCCCAAAATTTTAAAAAGCTTCTATAAAAATATACAACATGTTCATCCTCAATAATTTCATCTGAACTGATAAAGAATTCAATAAAAATAAGATGTATTCCTGCGTTTCTAATCATGTTTTAAAGGGATTTAGTATAAGACTGATTATAATTTCTGATACTTTCAAATAATGAATTTATTTTCTAGATATATTAAGAGATTTTTAGGAATGATTTTTAAAATTCATCTATTTTCTTATTATTTTATTAATCAATCTACACGTACTTTACTGCTTACTTAACATATTATTATATTTCTTTTGGCCCTTAGTCACCTTGTGCCTCATAATGTCCATTTACAATTCCAAAATATTTACGTTCTATTTCATCATCAAGGATTTCCACTTCTTTAATTTCTTAAAGATCGTACTACTAATTATTAAAACTTAAGATGAGGTATTATAAGATTTCATTATTGAGATTTGGTAATTTCATGGTTCCAAACAAACAATGAAATAGTATAGAATTATGGCTTGCAAATAATTCATTCAATGAGCTCTCTTTTTAAGTTACGTATTGTAAGACTTATAAATTAGCTGACAAATAAAATAATACTTAATAGATATTTAATGCTTCTTAGAATATCTATTCTATCAAATCTTAATCATTGCATGTCGATGTAGTCCATAATAGGAAATCTGAAATCCAGGATTAGTTGAATTTTAAATTAAATTTTTCAAACTATTCTGAAATTAATTTACTTTTAGTATATTGCATATTTTTTAAATTTAGATTGAAGGCATTATCTTCTTGAAATTCAAATGTCTTAAAATTATTATTTAATTGAATAATCAAAACAAAAAATATGTTTGGCAAAGTTTCTTATATTTCTCTATTTTTATTCAATGTATTGTATCCTAAATCAATCGAGTCTTTGATGATACGTATTACACTTAAAAAGAATCTTATTTAAACCTTAGAAATTTCTTTGTATTTGAGTGAACTATTAGAATCTTCTGTTAAAATAGTTGGGTATTCTTATTGTAAAAATAAGTTGATAAAATATTCGTGATATTTTTAATTCGTAATAATATGTGATGAAAAGGATTTCAGAAGTAGGAGTTCCTTCATATTCTCTTGAGTTCTCACGGTATCTTATTAAAAGTTTTGATATGAATCTGTTTACTTGAGTATATTGGAGGAAATATTCTCATAAAAGTACCTGCCTGATTCTAATTCTTTATCAAAATCACCTAAAGCCTATCTAAGGTAACAAGTATTCTCAAAAATTGAAATCTTAGTCAAAGGATCAATATCTAAATATAAGGATGAAAACAGTTCAATAATAACTTATTTGCATTGTAAACTATGCTTTGACTTTATTATCGAATCAAAGAACTATTGATTGATACCTGCCACATTCTTAATCAAGTTCATATTCTTGAAATTCCTACCTCTACACATCTTTGCATATAAATTCAATAAATTTAGTAGATATTGTTCATATATATGATACTACCTTAATTAATCATGTTTCATGAAATACTCAAGTGCTATTTGATTTTATTTTAAGTTTTAATAATGATCATGATGATTGTCACAAAACCTTTTGTTATTCTTCTCAAAAGTTTTAGCATCTGCTTCTAATTGAATTACAGGTATTTCATTTATTATGAGACATTTTATTAATTTGCATTTATTGTTAGAAAAGAGATTCTTTCTACATAAATTTTGACATTCTACACTGATGTGATAATTTGATGAAATAAATAAATTAATGATTGTTATTATAAACATTTAATCTTCTAAATTCTCCTCTGTAATCATTGATATTCTATTTATCCATTTTTTAGCAATTATGGGATTATACTTAGCCTTTGAAACTATTTACTTAAACATTTTTTCGATCTATTCTCTAAATTGATTTAATTGACTAAAAAGAAAGTCTATTATGGAATCCTCTTGAATTACATAATTGCAGCAATCATAATTATCCAATATGATTTAATATATCGTTGAATAAATTTCTTCAATCAAATTAAATTGTTTCTTCTTTTTAATAGATGCAACAGGATCAAATTTTTACCTAGCAATTCTCTACGCTGTTTTATCGCTAAAAGAAGATTCCCATTTATTTTCTTGAGTGGAAATCAAATTTACCAATTATTGTAATTTGATGAGTAAATCTAAAACATCATACTAGCACAAATTAAATTGACATTATTTTGTTTCTTGTATTGAATTTTCTTAAGTTAAAAATAAATTCATATTTTATAACAGCTTTTCAAATTAATTGATTTCATCTTGCAATTATTTTTAATTCTAAAATGCTATATTATATTAATATTTTAATTCTCTATCTAAAGCCCAATCTTGTAAGAATATGTAAAACTCAACAATACCAAAGTAAAATGATTATATTTTATTAGCAGCCATAGCATCTTGATAAGGACCTCTTGCAACTTTGAAGAGTTATTAATCGTATTAGGTTTTTTGACAATTGGTAGTTATGTTTACTTCATTAAAATTATTACATTAAATCGCATAGGTTTAGAATTATGATAATTATTGATTTTCTTGTATTCTCAAAATTCTATAAAATTCGCCTAAATTAATCTATTATTCTGTTTTCTATAAGTTTCTTATTTAAAATTCAAACTTCTGTTGTAGACGATCATATGAGGCATGTAATTATTCGTTTTCTAAATATAAAAATGTTCCAGTTAAGACATTTTTAATCAAATAGCTTTTTTGAACTCTACTCTTTTCCTTTTTGTTATTTTATAGTTGAGCAGATTAACTAGTAAGACCTATTAACTACCACAAGGAATTTAATTACAACTCACTTTCCAATGTGATATGAAACATCTAATCTAAGTTTTCTTATTTTCTTAGTTCTGATAAATTAATTGAATTCTATTCTAACGGCTAATCTTTTTTTTTATAGATTTATCTTTATTGCATTAACTTTGTTGATGAGAATTATCTTTTAATACTTAAATATCCCCCCAATAGTCTATTCTTAAATACAATAATATCCCCGTTCATTATAACATTTTCATTCTCATTTTCTGCATAGTTACATATTCTCAATGTTGAAGCTATTTAAGAGGCATGAACTTCAGAATAAGGACTTGTTTATTAAATACCTAATCCCCACTTATTCAGGTGAACTACACTGCTCTTTAAATATAAAATGTCTCCAAACAAAACTGGTTCGCCATAGCTTTTTGTATTAGATGAGAGCATAAAATTAGAATTTGAGGTAATACTCTATTCTAATCTAAGTTCACGACAACAGTTTTCTTTTGCTAAGACTTAACTGTTGAGAGTTAAGAAACATTTAGAATACAAGTGTAGTAATTGTATTTCTTAACCATAAATGATATTCTTTTCGCTTTCGTTCTGCTCCTCATTTCCTTTTTATTCGTCAGAAACGATTTCACTTTTCGCTTACTCATAAATGGAGCGATTGCTATCCAGAATTCTGAATAAGCATTTGAATATATTCCATTCAGCTTGTTTATTAACCAAACTATCTATTTGCTTATTGGCCAAAAATTCATTTGAATTGTAGTAGTCATTTGAAGATTTTTAGAGGAGAAGACACTCCAACTTGTTTGCTGCAAATCCCTCTCCAGAAATAAGACCCTTATTATCATCTGGTAAATACGATTTTAAATAAATAATATCACCTTGTCGGACGTTATTTTAACTAAAATTAATTGCAAATATGCTTATACTTTTCATCCTCTTGAATAATTTACTACAAACTTCCCCAAGTTTCATCCTAGTCCATTTGATTTTGGATAAAATAATTAATTAATTAATGTGAAGGATAATGATAGCATTTAATAATTACTTTTATCAATTTCAGAAAAACAGTATGTTAAATAAGCGTAAAATTAAAACATTACTTAAATATATGAATTTGATATACTAATATATTTTTTATGATAAATTAAATGGAATCTAAGTCAGTCACAATAAGTGCAAAATTACAACAATCCAATTATTCTGCAATTTCAAATCTTCCCAAACATGTTATCAGCTAAATTAAAAGAGAAGGTAAATACAAGAAATAATTCATAATAAGGTGACTTATATATTTAAGCTGCTGGTAAGTGTGAGAAAATTTGGAATGAGATGAGGAAGAATGATTTTATAACTGATGCTTAATTAAACTTCATTACAGCGCAAAGGGTTTTCGATGCTTGCAGGACAGAAATTGTTCAATTATTGAAACTGTAAAATGATTAAGACTTCTTTGAACTGTTTGATTAAGATAATGATGGGTATGTGTTTCGCTGTATTCAACTAGAATTCTAAATGAGGATGAGTAAATCTTGGTGTTTTCAGTCATTAAAGAAAAAATGCATTAAGTGGCTACAGCCTTACTAAAAATATAGGAATATATATTATTTAAATAGTTGATGAAAGAACTACGAATCTTGGAGGCAAACATAGCACATTATTAGAATTAGCTCAGATAGAGAATCTCATTAAAAGAAAGAAAAGTTTACAAAGAAATTGGGTAGGAAAAATTGGATGATTTCTATGATTAATATTATTAGGAATTTTAATAGCTTATTAAATATAAGATAGACAGAAGGTAAATTTTCTATCATAATTGAGAGCATAATTAAAATAAACTCAAGAAAATGAACTTGGTTTGTTAGAGGATCGCTTATCTAAAGATACAGAACTTATGAAAGTTAAGCCAAAGAAAAAGTTGAAGGATTTACAAACCTAAGAAAAATTAGTTAGTTTAGAAGAAAGAGTTGAAGAAGCCTTAGACTTTCGAAAAGAACTTAAAGACTTGGAGAAAAACGAGTAAGATAGAGTCTATAAAGTCTAAAAATATCGAATCGAAAAATAACATAGTGATTTATTATTCAAATAGTAGAAGGAAAGAGAGCAGTTAGAAGGTAAACTCTAAGAAACGGAATACAAGTTAATAATTCAAATGAAGAAGGCATATGATGTATTACTTAAACAAATTAATTTACACAATAATGAAATCACTCGAATACAAAGCTTGTCGACTAATTTAGCTTTGAAGAAGGGATTGTATGAGGGAGAAGCAAAAAGATAGAAGGTCTAAGCTCAATTGTAGAATGGGATTATTGCATAAACTAAAGCTATTAGCAATTAGGATAAAAAAATGAATGAATTAGAAGAATTTTAAGAGTCAGAAACTATAAGAAAGTTGGAAACTAGAAAGAGCATGCAAATCTCTGGATCTCCAGGCTAAGTAAATAGAATTCATATTAAAGCATATTATATCAGAAGAAAGTGATAAAACACCTATGGGTTAGACATTTAAATTTGGGAAGAACAAGAATTTCTATTCAATTAGAAAAATAATTAAAGAATCAAAGAATATTACTTAATTTTATATTCAGAAAAAATATGGAGCAGTAATTATGCTTCTTTATCTAGGACCTACCTGTTAATTTTGTGAAAAGTGCTCATAATCTATAAGGTGATCAACATGAAAAGATTGAGAGATTTTTATCGGTTAAGAAGAAATCTCATCATGATCTCTTGCCTCCGATAACCTAATTGTATGACGATGATATGCAAGAGAGAGTAATAATTATTAATTAATAAGCTCAGCCAATTAAAGGAATTACTAAGAGTGATGAAGAAATTTAAAAGGATAAAGCATTAAAAAGAGCCTTTATAAATGAGAAGCTCTTCAGGAATGATTGATTAATTGATCTTGATTGCTTATTCCAAAAATACTTTCGTTTTTTCCCTTAAACTTAATATTACGATAATTATAAATATTATTTTTATAAATATACAAACAATGAATAAGAATAAAGGTGTGAGTAAGGATGTTCAGACACCACAGTTTTTAGAGAAGAAGCCTTAGAGTCATCAAGCATAAAATTTGAATCCAAGGCTCAAGTAACCAGATTTGAATAGGAAATTGTTGACAATGCCAATTGATGCCAAATATAAAGCTGTGTTAGGGCCGGATACTGATAGCTTAGTGGCATATTTGAAACACAAGAAGAAGAAAGAAAAGGCAATATAAAAATTGAAAGATTCAGGCAAAATACAAATAGTAAAGGAGCCAAAGCAATCAATCGATAAATCCTTGCCTTAAGGAATTTACGAGACGGAGGAAGGCAAATTAAAAGACATATCTGGCAAAATTATTCGACTGAATGATCAAGCAAAGTCTCTAAAAATAAATTAAGAAAGGTAGAAGCTGGAGAAAGTTTAAGAAATGTTGAAAATTCAAAACAATTTAAAGGATGCCTTAAATGACAAGGGACGATTCTTAGATAAAAATGTCACGATTCAAAGCAGTAATATTAGAAGATAAAAAAGAAAATTATTGGCTTTTAATTTTATTGAAAATGGTAATAAGGATGTTGAATAAGTGCAACAAGGTTCTATTTAAATTGAAAACTAAGGAGATGAAAAGGAAAAAGTAGTGGAAAAGGAAGCATAGAATTTAACAACGACTACAAGTCAAACAAATTTCAAAAGGGTTTGTGTGAAGATGAAACATCATGATCCTATTCCGAATATAGAATGGTGGGATATGCCCCTATTCCCAGAATATTAAGCTAATTATATCCCAATCAATATTGAAAATGAGCAAGAACACAAACAACCTGCTACAGCTCACACTTAAGAAGAGATTCAAAGGAATATCACATTTTTAGAGTAATTACAATATACAGATACGACAATATTATTGGATAAGATAACCAAATTGCTTGAGCATCCAAAACCATTTGTTATTAGTGAATTAGTATAGAATAGAGAAAAGGCTGCGTTGCCTTCGTTCTTAACGAAAAAGGAAAGGAAAAAGAGATTGAGAAAAATACGTATGGATATTCAGAAGGAGAAATAAGATAAAATTAGATTGGGTTTATAGAAGCCATCTCCACCAAGGATAACTTTGTAAAATATGATGGCAATTTTAGGAGCAGAAGCTTAAATAGATCCAAGTAAGGCTGAGCAAGAAGTCAGAAGATAAATCTAGGCTAGATTAGATAAGCACATCAAGCAGAATGAAGAAAGAAAGTTAACTAAAGAATAAAGAGGAGATAAATTGAAATTGAAATGGTAAAAGGATAATGCATAAGAAATTAGAGTTGCTGTATTTAGGATTGATGATGATTTGTCATCAGCTAATTTGGAATCCAAGAAATTGAAGTTTAAAGTAGATATGAATGCTCAATAAGTAAGTTTGTAAGGAGTTTGTTTAATTGCTGCTTAGAATGGGTAATAGGTTGTGCCTTCAATTGTGGTAGCTGAAGGAGGACCAAAGGGAATAAAGTTTTATAAAAAGTTGTTATTGAATAGAATAAAATGGAGAGGCGATGATTTAAAACCTGGTTGTACACTAGTTTGGGAAGGAGTGTCTAAATAGCATGCATTCAACAAGTGGAAGACCATTGAAATAAAAAGTGAAGCAGAAGGGAAGAGAATTTTAGCAGAGAAGGGAGTCGAACAGTTTTGGGATTTGGCTATGAATAACCATCAAAATTGATTGAGTGATGTATTAAAATTAAATTATGCTTCAATTATATTGAGATAGATTTATGCTTTAATTGATTGATCAATTAAATTCAATATTATATTGTGATTATAATTATAATTAACTTTATTGTAACTATGGGTTGTTGCACATTTAAACTGTATAAAGAGGAGGCAGGTATTTGAAGATCTTAACCTAAGTCTTAACTGTGGAGGATAGATAATTAGATGAGATAGACGCTGGAGTCTCACATCAAATTGCTGGGAATGTTACTACCCAAATGTAATTTCAAGATAAGGAAACTAATGCCAATAAATTAAGTTCCTTATCCAAAGAATAATTCTATTAACACCATTAAGAATATCAGTAAGTTTAACCTAAAAATAAGGAAGGAAATAAATCAGACATGGGTGGAAAAACAATTAGTGGCACTATGAAATTAACACCAGAAATGTTGGTTAGAAAGTAATGTATAACTGAAAAGTTCCTTACTCATTATGAAATAGTAAAGAAATTGGGATAAGGTGGATTTGGGGAGGTTTATTTGGTTAAACATTTATCAACTGAGAATTTGAGAGCTGCAAAAGTGATTCTCAGAAAAACGATTAGTTGTGAAGAGAAATTGTTGGAGGAGACTGAAATCTTAAAAACACTGGATCATCCTAATATTGTTAAAGTTTTAGAAATATTTGCAGATTTCAAATATTATTATATAGTAACTGAATATTGTAAGGGAGGTGAATTACTTGAGAGGATTAAAACAATCTCTAAATATAATGAGAGACAAGTAGCAAAATATATGAAATAAGTATTTTCGGCAATAATGTACTGCCATCATAAAAATATAGTTCATAGAGATCTGAAAGTATTTAACATTCTCAAAATATCTTCTAGCCTGAAAATATTCTTTTTGATTCAACCGATCCTGATGCTAATTTAAAAGTCATTGATTTTGGAGCAAGTGAAAAAATGATTAACAAATCCTGTTTAACAAAAAAAGTGGGAACTCCATATTATGTAGCACCAGAAGTGATATCAGAACCAGGCTATGATCTAAAAGTGGATGTATGGTCATGTGGAGTGATACTTTACATATTGATGATTGGAAGACCTCCGTTTAAGGGATCCAATGATATTGAGACCTTAAGATTGGCTAAACAAGGTAAGTGGAACACAAATAATGATCGTTGGATTAAACTAAGTGATTAAGTAAAAGATCTAATCTCCAAAATGATCGTTGTAGATCCAAAAAAACGAATCAACATGGAAGAAGCATTTAATCATGCTTGGATCCAAGAAAATGAAAATAAGGAAATAGAAGATTTTAATATCATCTAAATACTTAGTCATTTTTCTGCTCAAAATAAATTAAGAGCTGCAATTATTTAATTTATTTCTGTACAATTAGTTAATAAAGAGGAAAGCACAAAATTGTTTTAAACTTTTAAGTCTTTAGATACAAATGGGGATGGAGTATTGAGTAAAGAAGAATTACTTAAAGGAATTTTAGTTGCTGATATTGATCATTTCTAAGCAGAGAATATGGTTAATGATTTAATCCAAGAACTAGATGTAAATGAATCTGGTAAAGTAGATTTTACTGAATTCATTTCTGCTGCTCTTGTACTTTAATCGAAAATCACTATTGAGAATATAAAGAATGCTTTCAAGATGTTTGATCTAGATGGAAACGGAGTAATTAGTAAAAATGAATTAGAAAATATATTTGGAGGAATTGAAATAGATAATTAAGCTTGGGATGATATCTTAGAAAAGTTTGATTATAATAATGATGGAGTTATTTAAGAGGAAGAATTCATCAAACTATTAGAAAATATTTAATTATGAATATTGTTATTTTTGTAAGCATTTCTTATATTATACGTAATCAATTTATAATGAGATTTTCAATTCAAATTTTATTTCAAGATTTATATAATAAATTTTTCAATTTTGTAAGAGTGAAAGAGATCATAACAAGACGAAAATAAATATGCATTAATTCTTGTATTTTTTTATTTAATCAAATGTAACATTGAATGATAAGTGTATCAATTTTATGAATATTTTAGAAATTAAATAATTAAAATTCATAAAAAATACTAGAATAAATTGAATTAATGTTTGTAAACCTATGAATATCCTCTAATTAGAGTTTAGGCAAACAACTCATAATTTTTTTATTATTTTTTCTAACAATTTCTTAAAGAATATTACAGCCCTATAAATATATCGAGATATTTGCTGAAATTTCTTTTAAAAAGAATTGCTATTTATGGTCGTATATCACATTAAAATATTTTTTTGGACTGATTAATATGTCATAATTCAATTGGCTTTTTATTCTTCACGAATCAATTAGAGGCCGTCATCAATATAGGTTTGAAGTTCATTAACATCATCAAACATATTTAAGATATCTCCTATTTCAAATTGAGATGGATCGATCAACATACCTAAAAGAATGATTTATATAATTACCAACAAGCTTTTTTGTGGATTCTTTGTCTTTAACAACATCGAAAACTTTCTGGAATAATAAATTACCCAAAACTTATCTTTATGAATCAGTAGGTATTTTTAAGAAATCTTCCATTCTGCTTTGAACAGTTTAATAATCCATAAATTCTTATAAGAAATTAGGTTGGTATTTTTCAACATTTCTAATGGGTTCTGATGGTTTAATCATATTAACAGGAGGTCTTTGTACTGGTCTTTAAGAAGGAGGGAATGGATATCTTTGTCCTCTGGGAGGGTTTCTTTGAGGATGAGGATGAGGGAATGGCATAGGAGGTGGCATCATTTGATAAGTTGGTATTTATGGTTAAAGTAATTGTCTACCTCCAGGATTAGCAAAAATGTTTTAGCTTTGTTTTTTGATTTCCTTGAACTCTTTTCTCATGGTTTTTGATAATAAGATGTTTGCTACAGCTCTACCATCCTTAAAGATTTCTTTTCTTTTATTAACGATTTTCTCATTGGAATCATCATAGAGTTCTGAACGAGCTCTCTTTGAATCTTCTAGAGTTTAATAGTGAACAAAGCATTATTGGACTTAAAATCTTGGGTTTTTGGTTTTTCTGATGGTTAAACGAATAACTTTTCCAAATTATCCCAAAAACTCAGAGATTTGTTCTTTGGTTACATCTTCCTTGATATTTTGGATGATGATCAATCTTTCATCTGGATTCAAATGTTTACTGTAAACCATATTGAAAAAGAAGTTGTCACTTTCCCCCTTAAAAGTATCAAATGGATCTTTTGACATTTCTTCAAAGAATGGTTCAATTTACTAAATAGTAAATTGTAAAGAGCCATCGCTATTGGCAGGAGGGCCATGCTTTTTAATTAAATCAAGTGCAACACGAGCTCCTGAATTAATGCATGGATGCTTTCTCTAACTTTCACACAAATCTAAGTTGACCTTTGCTTAATCATAAGTTTCGAATGTAATCATTGCCCATGGTTGTCTTGTGACAGAATCTATTTTAACAAAACAGTCCCTAATTTAATCTCCTTACACTCTAGTCAAGTAATCTTTGATCACCAAAGACCATCCATATTCAAATGATCTCATAGCACTATCTTAAGCACTGAGATGTTAAGGTAATGGAGCTGCGAATGCTCTTAAGTAAATAGATGTTGATTCCACTTTTCTTTCTGATTAAGCCTTAAATTATTCCAATTTCAAGAGTTTGCCCTTGTGAGTGAGTGGATGGCTCTGGATTCTCTTGATCAAGTTCTCAGCATCTTCCTTTCTTTCAAATTAAACATAACCATAACTAAATTGCTAAATCTATATTTATACTTCAATTGCTTTCCTGTTGAGTCTCTATGTACATCAACTGATAACACGGTACCAAATCTTGAAAACTCTTGCTCTAATTCCAAGTCGTCTGCATCTTCAGGTAGATTCGAAATGAAAATATTTGCTTTCTTGTCTGCTCCGTGAAAATTAAAGTAAGGTTTGACTCTGATGCTGTTTCGGATGAATACTTAATTATTAAATTTTTTTCTGGCTTCCTCAGCTGAGTCTGGATGTATGAATGTGATGAATGCTTGTCCCTTGGATTTTTGGGTTGACTTGTCCTTTGTGATTTTTAAACTTGCGATTTCTCCCACTTCCTTGAATTTACGATATAAATAATCTTCAGATATTCCCTATTTATTGTAGAATGTATTCATACCTAATCTAAATTCTCAATATAGATGATGGTCTTCTATTATTATTGATTTGGTTGAGGGGTGATTTGTGGTTGTGTTGGTATTTCTTTTTGGAATTATTACATATTTTGATTTTCAAATAAATATTTTATTTAAAGATTTAAAGTACATTTTTGTAATGATTAAATTCACGATAATCATAAAATAATAACTCAATTTTCTTTCCTTTTCAACTCCAATCACTTACAACCTCAAGTCTTACCATTCTCAACACTTTAAACTTGAATTCAAATATAATGTTCTTCATTATATCTATCATTTATTGATAAGGCAAATAAAAATCCTCATAATTCCTTAAAAAATGTATGTAATGATTAGAAATTTTTATATTTCATGAATCTTAGATCATAATTAACCATATTTAGAAGATTTACTCAAATGATTGTTTATAAGATTTTGTACAATGAGCTAGAAATATTTAAAATAATAATTTGATTTAGATCATAATTATATAATATACAATAGATATTATGAAGTTCTAACTATTTAGTCTTATCTTAATCTGTTTTGTCTAGTGTGGTAAATTAATATAAGGTAACAATAGATTGGGAAATTTACAAATATGAACTATTCGATGCTGCATCTTCTGTGGATTGGATTGGACTAAATTCGTATTCGACGATTAGTTCATTAACTCAAATCAATCCAACTCTTTGTACACCAACATCTTCTACTTTCTTGGCAGAAGGAAAGGAGAAAATTTGGAGAAATATCCAAATGCCAAACAATAGAAAATTCTCTGCTATCAGAATTGAGTTAGATTTTTATTATATTGATTCGATGAAGGAAGTCAGCACTAAATTGTACTTGAATTAAGTTATGGTTAATGAAAATACTTAAACATAATTTGAGTTATCAACTCCAACTCCCTTAATATACTGCAATCGACCAGGAAATAATAATTCTGCAGATAGCTCTGTGTTTAGATTCAATCATTTTTAAGAATTTAGAGATAATCAAATTGAGATCCTAATTGAAACAATTGGGTTTCAGCCCGTTTTCATATATGCATTATCTGGATTTTATTTGTATGTTTAATTTTGTGATAAAAATTGTGAATTTTGTAATGATACTGGATAATGTGAGAGATGCAAAGATGATCTCCAATTAAATAAAGGGTAATGTCTTTGCAACTTTATTGGAGACTATAGATATTCTTAGTTTTAATTAGATACTCCAAATATATAATGTTTAAATTCTTGTCCCAATGGATATGTTCCAGATTAAAACGGAATATGCCAAATTGGTACTTCACATTTATTGTTTAACGATTTAGTTGGAGATTTCAACTCTTATCAATTCTACATAATCAAGGACAAATATTATTCAAATGTTGATGATAATTCTTAGAGGATTATATAAATTGGAAATGATAAAGTAGCAGGTCCTTTTTTTTATAATGAATAAATCGTTTTTCCTCAATTATCAATAATTTCTTTCTCTAAGATAATGATTAAATTAAAAATATACTTCCTGAGATATCATAAATCTCATTTCATTGGTGGATAAATCTCACTAAAATTTAATAATTACACAGTTTTATACATTTATGATTATGAGCAACCTGGGCTATCCTATTCATAAGGGATAGCTCACATAAATAATTGGTAGAAATGTCATTTTGAAGAGTCTGAGAATTGTTTTTAAAGTGACATTTATTTTGAGATGTTTTTAAATTATGAAGTCACTGAAATAAAATTTGCAGGTTAGTTCACAATAGTAGAACCTCTTAGAGGGTGGTGTTTATCAAATTTAGAGATTGTAGAATAACAAATAACAACGAATCTAAGTTCATGTGAAAATAATTGCTTGACCTGCCCCTTTATGCAACCAAAATTCTGTAATTCATGCAAATCAGGATATTTCTATTTTGCAAATAAATGTTTATCAAAATGTCCTTTATAAACGACCTAAATAGGAAATGAATGTGTAGAAAATGGGATGAGTGGCTAATTTAATTATATTCTAAACATTCTCTATGACGATAATAATTATTATGATTAAATTTTGACCATAAGTTAATAATTAGAAGAAGTAGAACACAAAATAAGTAAGTTCACATATAATTCAAATGCTTATTCAATATTGGGAGGAATCCCATTTTGGAATTATGGATCAATATATATCATGCTATTAAAAGTGATAGACCTTTTTACAAGGCCTTCATAAAGCTTAATGTAGTATGCATAGATTTATAATACGATGAAATATTTGAAATATTTGTGAATGCTACTGGAGTTTCCTATTAAATGACAACAGCAACGCCAAATTCAAATCAATTTCAGTTTTTATCTATTGGAAATACAATGGGTTCTTCGTTATGGAATGAATATGTAGCTGAAGGATTTATTGAACTTACTCTACTTACATCACTTGATAGCTTGTTAGTAACATTTTCTGTTTAAGAATTAAAAAACTTGCATCAGTATTATGGAATCTTTAACTACAGAGTTATGGTAGTGTCGTGTCCAGAGTTTTGCAATCAATGTGATTCCGTTGGATAATGCTAAGATTGGATGGTTGATAATTCAGTGTAATCTGGAAGTTGTGCTCAAGGGTACTATTATGATCAAAATCTTCATTCATGTTTCTAATGCATTTTAGGGTGTTACTAATGTACTAATTCATATTATTGCGATTCTTGTTCTCCTAAACATATACAAATTCATGGATAGTGTTATTGTTAAGTTACATTTGAATTAAGTAATACATGTACTTAAAAATATCCCTGTGAGGAGGGATGTTTGACTTGCGGATTTGATATAATCAATCATAGAAAAAATATGTTTCAAAAGTGTTTAGCTTGTGATGATTCTAATCATTACTGGTTAAATATTAATTAATGTAGTTGTTTAGAAGGGTATTATATGGAAAATTAGATTTGCTAGCCCTGTTCGGAATTATGTAGAGCATGTACTTATTCTCCAAAGTATTGCACGAAGTGTGATTCTTCATTAAATAGAATATTAAATCATTCTATATGTGAATGTCGTTAGGGATATTATTCTGAGGAACCATATCTAGAATGTTATAAATGTGATTCCACTTGTAAAGGTTGTTAAATCAAACCATTTATTTGCATTAGATGTTATCCTGATTAATTTAGAAATATTTTCAAAAATTAATGCATATGCAAAGATGGATATTTTGATTAAGGAACTGAGATTTGTAATGAATGCGATCAAAAATGTAAAACCTGTTCAGATATCGATACATGTTTGTCTTGTTATTAAGAATAGAATAGGAAATTAAACTTATTGAATACTTAATGTATTTGTTAATAAGGATATTATGAAATAGAAAATAGTTTGACATGTGCTCCTTGTCACCCTTCTTGCGAGTATTGTTTAAATTCTCCTTTGATAACTATGTGCACTCGATGTCCAATCACTAGAGAACCATCATAACATGATACTGTTTTCTCATGCAATTGTAAAAGAGGATATTATGAATCTAATATGAAGGAATGTTTGTCCTGTATGAATTATATCAACCCCCCAATTTCTCATTATTGTTATAGTAACTGTGGGGATGAGATTGTATAATGGAATGAAGATTGCGATGATGGAAATGATTATTAAAAGGATGAATGCAACTCATGTCTTTTTTCACAATCATATTGTTTTAACCCTTTATGTATATAATGTGAAATGGGATAATGTCACAATTGTGTTGATGGATATTATTTAAATTTAAATAATCATTGTGATAAATGTGACTCATAATGTAAAACTTGTTCAGTGAGAGCAAATAATTGTCTATCATGCAATTTATAAAATGAAGATCTGTCATGTGCAATTTGTGAAATCAACCTAGGATATTAAATAAAGGATGGAAAATGTTTAAACATTTGTGGGGATGGGTTGCGAGTAAGTCAGGAATAGTGTGATGACGGAAATTAAAATTCTGGAGATGGATGTTTTTACTGTTTAATCGAGGATGGTTGGTCATGTTAAGATACTTGTGATAGGTAAAACTATCCATATCTGATATTCGAAGAAGACTTATATGATAATAGATATTAAGCATAAAGAAATTTTATTATAAAGTCAAGTATTCCGTTAAAAACTTCTGTTTCATTTACAGAATTATGTTAATTCAAACTGAAGGATTCCAAAACATTTTAAATTAAGCAATATCAAGAGCTTACTAATTATTTTGAAGATTATAATATTCTTTAAATTGATGTATAGATTGTATTAAAGAATAGAGAGGAAACTCCAATTTTATTATGTTTAATTGAAAACCCTTAAGATTATCAATCAAAACAAGGTTTAACTTTTAATCAGACGATTTTTGAATTTGAGTTATTAAAATATCTAAAACCCTCTTAGGATGTTATTGATGTTACTCAGGGCTTTCTAGAGTTTAATAAATATGTGTTGTTCATCTTATTGGGTTTGGCTATAATTTCCTTAATTGTAGGGGGATTACACATCTTTTGGAACCTATTGGATATTTTATAATTAATATCCTATTTATAATTTTTCAACGTCATTTATCCTTATAATGTAGAGACCTATTTTAGACTATTTGACTTTGCCCAATTCGATTTCATGAAAATCTTCCTCAATATTGAAGATTTAGTAAATTGTTATGTTGATTCACCTGATCCTCACTATAAATTTGCTTCAAAAGGTTATTCCTCCACGTTTTATATCAATGCTTTTGCTGTTTTTATTGCATTTGTAACTACCTTATCTATTTATTTTCTATGCATTATAGGGTTTATGATTCTAACCAAAATAATGGCATATTATTCCGAAGAGAATTTATACATAGACGATGAAGAACCTGAACTGTTCAAATTTATTATTCTTCGAATTATTAGGAAAGTCTAGAGAGTTTTCCTGAACACTATTCATTACTTTTGTTCAGGATTATTAAGAACCTTCATGTCAGTGGCATATGAATATAATCTTGCTGTTTTTCTATAGTTATCAGTAAGAAATATGGAGAATCCCTTTTTTGACTTCAAGTTTCTTCATAAGCTTTATCTTTTTTTTTCTTTAATTGTATTTAATTATTAAGGGGTTCTTTCTAATGATCAGTTAGCCTTATTATTTTGGTTAGCAACTTGTAAAATAAAAATACGGAGCTCTATTTGAAGGCATTAGAATAAGAAGATCAAGACCCTACTCTAATTATTATAACCTACTCCTTCTTTGTAAGAAAGTAGTGTTCATTTTTGTTTTAGTGTTTTGCTATAGCGAAGCTTATATTACTATTTTAACATGTTCAATACTGAATATCATATTTATATTCTACGTTAAATCAAGTTAGCCATTAAAGGATGTTTATGAGCATTAGAAAGTCATAGGTTCAGAACTGTTCATTTGGTTGGTTGAGTTATTAATCTTGATACTATTTTATAAATAATAAAATGATCCAAATGAATAGGATGAATTAATAATTGGTTGGTTCATTATAGTTTTATGCACATTATTAGTAGTGTATTAATTTATTCTTGATTTTAAACAGCACTTTATATTTTTGAAAGAAAATTATGTGATTGTTTTAGAATCTCATTCAAAAAATAAGGAATTATTTTAACAAACCAATTTAAGTTCATTAAGAATCATAAGCATTTTTACAATAAAGCCCACCTCAATACATATAGTATGATTAAAGGAAAATAGTAACATTCAGGATGGAAATTTGAGAAATTATCTTTGATTGATTTTTATTAATTTTATTTTGCCGAAATAATAAATTTATTGATTCTACATAAATAATTGTATGAATATTAATTATAGTTTTCTAATATCTAATGTATATCCATGCTGCTTAATCTGAAACTATATGATTTAATTATCAAAATATCTTTTTGTTTAGTTTTCAAGGTGCGAATCATTGTAAATTATGTAACAATATATGTATGGAATTGATTAATTTTCATTTTGTAATCAATAGTTCGATGTAATATTTAAATATCAATTTAGGATTGTCAAAGAGAGAGTGTTATTATTGGAGAAATAAAAAAAAGAAAGAGAAGAAGCAGAACAATCTGCTAAAATTGCAAAATCTATGTAGGTTACTCAAGTACTACAGGATTAACAAGTAATATAAAAGTATATCATATGCTTAAACTTAGTCAATCAGGATAGCAAGAGATGGATCAATCTATTCAAATTAGTGGAGAAAATGATGTTATAAGCACTTTTAATAAGATGCTTAATGAAAATCCTGAAGTGAGAGATTAGATTGAGGAAAAGTTATAAAAATAAAGTCAGATGTAAACAACACTTGCGTAAGATTCAGATGAAGAAGTTGAGAAGAATCATTAAACGTTTTCGAATGAATTGATTTCTTAAGTAAATGAAAAAGAATTACAAAGCGAAGACAGAATTTATGTCAGTATGATAACCAATGAATTAACTACCCAAATTAAGAAATCCCAAAGATAATCGATGGATTTATAGTAGATTAATATTCATGAGCGGTCAGAATCTATTTTTAATTCAAAACTGATAATCAACAATTCAAACTAATTAATTTTAGTACGAGATGACAAATATTACTTATAATATCTGGATAAGATTCTATTTATTTAACGATATGTAAAGTTGAAATAGGAGAGAGAAAAAAAGGAGAGAATTGAAAAGGAACAATAATTGATTGAAAAAATGAATAGATATAGATTAAATGTATTGAATGAGTTAATCTAAACTGAAATAAAGTATGTCTCAGATTTGGAGATCTTGAACATGATTAAAAAGGAATCAATTGAAAAATTTCCAAATAAAGAAGCTGATATAAAAGTGATGTTTCATATCTACGAGATTCTCAATTTTAATACTGAATTTTTGAGTGAACTACAAAAGAATAACAATCTTAAGGATCCAAATGCTGTCGTTATGAAATCCATAGTTCCTCTACTAAATGGATTTATTTTCTATTATGAATATTGTAAGGCTTATGAACAAACCAGAAAAATAACGAGTCAATATGAGGCTATGCCTGCCTATTAATAATTTCTCAAAGAAATTAAGTTACAGAATTTATTAAAGGGTTAAACATTAAATGATTACACAATTAAACCTGTTTAACGATTACCTAAATACGCACTGCTCTTCAAAGATTTATTGAAACATACAATGCCTTCCCACCCTGATTACTAAAATGTGAAATGTTGTCTCGAGACCATTGAAAAGATTAACGATAAGAACAATAGCGAGATGGATGTCTTTTTAAAATAAGCAAAATTAATGGAATTATATCACCAATTTGGCAATGTCTAAAACCTCTCTGTCTTTAAGCCTAACATATTTTTTATTTTTGAAGACATTTGTTCAATCTATACAAAGAAAATTGAATAAAGAATCGTTATCTACGCATTTAATAATTTACTTTTATTCGCTAAAAAAAACAAGTTAAATGCCTTGAAGTACAAATTCCATATTCCCATAACTTAACAATCTTATATAAAGGATATCAAGGACTCGTTGATTCTAAAGAATTCCTTTGAGTTTGTGACTAGAAATGAGACTATTCTGATTGTAAATGGGGATATTAAAACCAAATTAAAACTTATGTCGAAAATTTAAAATATCATAAATTAATAAATTTAATCATTTGAATAAAAAATTGATAAAAAGCAAGAGACTAATTTTTGTGTTAAAGTAGAAATTTTAGGAATAGAAAAGAATCCAAAATTACATAAGAATGTTACATTCTATAAATTTAACTTTACTATTGATAATATTCCAATTGTAAGTTTAATAAGATTCAGTTAAGTTCTGAGTTTATTATAAGTTGTTAATAAGTATGATAATAAACTGAAAATCCCAACAATAACAAAGAGTTTATAGGCAAAGAATTAAAAAGTAATAGATGAAAGAAAGTTGAGGATTGAGCAACTATTGTAAATTGTTCTCAATTCTCCATAGATAATGGAAAACGTTGAATATTAGAAATAAGTCTTAGAGATATTGAAAATTGATCCTAAGTTCTATAGTTTACCAGAACAAAAAAGATTAAAACCTGAGTTATTTTAGAATATGTCCAAATTGAAATAAAATCAAAAGAACTCCTATTTAGAAATTCTGCAAGAATTATAGCAAAAAACTTTTAGTTAGAAGGTAAGTAAAGATGATTAACAAGTAAAGATTGGAATTGAAGCTCCCCAATAACCTTATTGTATTGAAATAACTTTATTGACTGGATAACACCTATAGGTTGGATTCAAAAAAAATACAATGACTTGGTTCATAAAGAGTGCAGTTGCAAATCACATTAATTTAAAATATTTTGTAGATTTCAAAATTTTCATAGTGGATACAGGAGGAATCATTCGAGTAATAGAAGATGATGAGAAAATATCCTCGTTTTTGGACAAGAGTAAATCAGGGTTTATGTAAACGTTGAAAAAGATGTTTAACAATGGAACAAAATTTCAATTTATGTTTAAAAAGTATTTATACTTACCTTAGAAGTAAGAGGAGCTTGAATATCGGCAGGATGAAACTCGATTGAAATATTTGATGTTTGAAATAGTGTTTCAAGCGAAAAATCAAACATTTCCTTTAAACTTCTTAGATTTTTGTTTGATGACTGCTTATTATTCAATTGCAACCCTATAAAAAATTGACAAGAATCTATTGAAAAAAGCAATTCCGAATTCTGTTATTAAATAGCATTCAGAAAAGCTGTGGTTTGAATAGATTTAAAGGGAAGCAGCATTTAGAGAAAAGTAACTTTAGGAATTTTCAACACAATCATAGTAGATGTAACCAAAATAAAAAAATGGTTCTATTTAGGGTTTGTCATGCCTGTTGATGGTAGCTTGCTTTTAGACTAATATGTTGTATGGAATGTAATTATTTTTTGTAGAATGTTCAAAAGAAACCTAATAACTAGTTTAGCAAAGCAAATTTGGCATTAAATTGAGCACTCACGTTTTAATAGGTAATTAGATTAATCTATAATAAAAGGTTTGAATTACAATGGGTTTTACTTCTTAAAGCCAGAGAATAGAGCGTTGATAATTAAAATTGATTATAGCTTGGTTTCAGACATTAAATCGTTTCCGATTGAGTTGACTTGCAAAATCAATAATTGCAATATGATTTTTAAAACTCAAACTCCTTATGAAGTAAAATATTCAGTTTATAACTTAGATTAAACACTTAATTTTAGAATATTAGGAATTAATTAAAATTCTAAGTTCTTGATAATTAATTATAATTATTTTTATAACATTCAATCTTTTAACGTAATATATTTTAATATAAATTATCTAAGAGTATAAGATTTATTTGTTTATTATTGAATCGTAACAACTGTATAGAAGTAAAGAGGAGGGGAAACTTGGGAACTTGAGTTGGTTTTTTTGTTTTCGAGCAAGATAAGGAGGTAGTCGACGAGTAAACATTTTAAAGTCCATAAAGTGAGTATATAAAAACATTAAATAAATAATTATATGTAAGAAAATGGGTTTGCCATCTCAATATGTGTTCCTTCTTTCAAAAAGAATGATGATGTAGTCTATTATCAATTAATGTAAGAATTTCATCAGATTCTAAAATATAGTTTCTTCGAAAATAATTAAAGATGCTCCTTTTCAGTTGATTATCGCTATTCCCATCTTAAATTGTTGCATGAATCCTTATCGACTCTTAAAGCGAGTTTGCCGAAGTTTCCTCCGACTAATTGGTGGAGATCCACCAATGACGATGAAGAGTTAATTGAAGAGAGAAGAATACAGTTAGATCATTTCTTCAAAAATCTCTTCTAATGTAAAGTGGTTTGCAATAGTTTGATTATGAAAAATTTCATTCTCAAATCTCAATGTCATTATCTTAAAAAGGTTGAAAAAGTATGTAAAATCTTTGTATTTTAAGTAATAACGTGATATCCTGAAGAAAGAAAGAAGGGAATTAGCAACTCCCTCCTACAACAAGCAGCAATCCAAGTCCCAAGTAATTGCATTTGAAAATAGTAAATAGTAGACAACCCCAATTATTGGACCTGCTGAAGATCCAATAGAAGATCCTCGTGAGAGATCCCGATCCTGGGAATTTAAATTAACTTAGAAGAAGTCTGAATAAGTGTTGGGGAGAGATTCTAAGTAATTAAACAATGTACGTATTCTAATTCCATTTTTTGTAGTTAAACTTCGGTGGAGTTCCTATTTTTAAAGGCATTCTATTGAGATTTAAATGATAAAAATAGATTTCATATATAATATTAAAAAATAATAATATTTTTGCATCATTGAGAATAATACCCAATACAACAACATTAAAATCATTATAATCATTTTAAAAATTATTTGGAGAGGTTCTATCCTATACCTCTGGCACTATTGAAACTGCAAACACTTTTTTAGTTTTTGGAAGAGTGAATATGCCTAGCAGTGGATGCAGTCTGATAGGAGTGAGTTGAATTAGAGAGATTAAATGCGCTACTATACCATAGGCTGATGTCATAGGCACAATTCTCTTTAATTAACCTAATTAATTCTAGAATCTAAAAACTTGAAGGCCTGTCAAGTGGATTAGGCCTGGTCATAATTTTGACCAATTCGAATAGTTAACTATTTTCGCTATTTTGATAGGTTTTATTTTTTTGATAACTTGCATTTGATTAATTTGATTATTAAAATTTAGTTCCTGTTAAAAGCATGTAGAGAACGCAACCTGCCCCAAAGACATCTACTTTGAAATCGTAATTAATTTTGGTCTGATGGACATTGAGGACTTCAGGAGCAACGTAGCCTTCTGTACCGCAATTAGGATTTTCAATTAATTGTTTGCCATCATAACAAGCAAGCCCAAAGTCGATCAATTTGAGTTTGTTGTTGTGATACATAATGTTGGCTGGTTTGATGTCTCGATGAAGAATCTAGTTCCGATGGAGATATGTCAAAGCTTCGAGTAATTACTTCAATTTTATCTAATTTATACTTGCATAATTTCTAAAATTTCTTCATTTTTAATTTGGTTTGATTTATTGAATATTAGTTGTTTTAAATTATCTCCTTCAATAAATTCAGTCACAATTTAATAATATAGTTCAGTTTTAAAGACTTCGTAAATCTCTACTAATCTCGGATGTTTGATCGATCTTAAAATCTGAATTTCATTCTCTATTGTTCTCTATTAGTCTTTCTTTCCATTTAGCAATATATGTTTAATGGCCACCTTCTTGTTATTAAAGCAACACTCGTTTGTAGTAACCTATTAACTAGATGATAATTTCATACTTAACCAAACGATCCAGCTTCTAACGTAGAAAGATACTTATAGGTTTAAGTTAGATTAACAAAAATCATCTTGCTCCCCAATCTCATTCGGAGTTAGATAAGGTCGGTCTGATCAGCATAAAACTCCTTCTAGTTGCCTCGGTATGGGAATTTGAAACCAACCAATCTATGCTGCTTGATTAACCATTCGAAATTGGTGGATTCTTCAATGTTCATTATATATTTCGGAGCATCCGTATTTTAATGCTAAAGTATACCAAACTCAAGTACATAAGTCATAGTAATGAGGTTATTGTGTTATTTTAACTAATATACTCTATCCTTAAAAAAATGTTTCCGAACAACTCTACAATAAAACGGTACTTCTAATTGGGTTAACAAGAAGGGTTGATGTAGTGATTTTTTTTACATATAGATATAATAAATTAATCATTTTAAATCATTGATTAAACTCAAATAACCTGCTTTTATTCTCTTTAGAAATGAACCAATATGCTAGAGATGTTATCCTTCCCATATTCACCCTCGACATTCTATGCCACGATCGAATCGCATATGGTTTCCAAGATATCAGGCAGAGGCTTCCCTTATTGAATTCTCTCCAAAATGACCTCCGAGATCGCATTGTTAGTCCACGTTTCCCAAAAGCCTAAAATTCATCATTAATTATATCAAACCATGACTTCCCATTAGAATCAATTCAGTCTCTTCTTTATCAACATACTTGATGCTCGGCACAGAAATTAGCAGTTACTTGCTCTGATCTAGGTTGGAATTGGATTTGTATTCAAAATTCCCCAGACCTCTACTGTATGGGAGATGAGCATTCAATCTATTTTCCCACACCTCTCCTCCAGCAGCAAGTATCCTCTGTTTCTCGTGATCGTTCATTGGATAATGTTCAACAGTCATTACCTTGTGCTTACCTTCATATCGAATGATACACCTGGATAACTATTATATCGAAAGGGACGAAATACTCCTGCATTCGCTACATAAATGTTTTCGTTTGTAATCAATGTTAATAATAGAGTAACACCCTAGTAGCTGGTGCTCTCCTTAAATTAATTTTTTAGTTAATTGTCCAATCTTTCATATAGACCAACAATTGCTTTGTCGTAATTTTTCTGTTTATATTCCGAGTCACTCACTAGTGCCTCCACTATATGATCCTGAATATACTTTCCATACTCCATCCCCCCATATTGTTCCACTATACAGAATAGACAATTATCTTGATCAAACTTCTCCTTTATGATTACAAATTCGTCTTGTTGGATTTACCAACCCTGCAACGATGTAGACGTGTATGCAAAATCCAATACCTTCCCAGATTGAGTTAGTTTTGTCGTATCAGGTTTTGCTAAATACAAACCCATATTCAATTATATACAAATAATTAAGTATTGATAAAACCTGATATTCATTCTAAATATCCATATTTTTGATTGATTATTTCTATCATTCAAATTTACTCTACATTTTTAATCAACATAAAAATTTGAATCAAAAGTCAATATTATTATGAATTGTTTATAATTTTTTCATCAATTTTCCTCAAGTTCACTATATTATATGATTTAAATCATATTTTGTAGTTCTTAAGTATCCTTAATGTCTAGATCCTTAAAATAATTTATAGATTTTGACTTTTAAATCAAATTTTGTTTATTACACAATTTCAGAATTACGATTAACGAATTATTTCCTAGCAAAACAGAAGAACATTTCATTCAAAATAATAATAATTTTCAAAGTATTCATTCTAAAATATCTCTATTTTTTTCTAAAGTTCAAAATTATTTTATGTTGGAAAATTCACAAATAGTATTTATTAACTTTGTTTCTGTTTCAAATGCTATTGTAGTTAATGACTTTTCAAATTAAATTTTAAATTTTAAGCCGATACAAGATATCTTCATTTTATATAATCAATCGTGATTTAATAATTAAATTTTGTTATACTTATTGATGAGATACTTTGTTTTCATGAGATTCACTATTCAGTTAAGGTTTATTTAATATATTTTATTTCAAGAAAATATAAAATATATCTCCGAGATTATATTATAATTTTACTTATAATAAAAGGTGTTAAGATCGATTAGTGAGTAAGATTTGATTTAATTTTGGATAGCAAATAGAGTGTGCAATGGAATTGGGGTTCTAGAGTTGGTTTGTTGGGAGGAACTTATGAATTTGGCGAGTTGATTTGGTATTAATTGTGTAAAATACTATGGAAATATAAAATTATCAATTAAAATCTTTTAACATATTGTCTTTGAGTGTGGATCTTGGAATACAATTAAATTATTTTGAATAATATTAACTTATTTTAGTTTAAAACAAGATATTAGAAATTTTGAAGAGCATAATATAATTAAGATTATTAATGAATGATACTATTGTCAAAGAGGTAATGGCAACGAAGATTAGTGACACTGAGAAGAAGATTATCGAGTATCTGGAGGGAGAGTTATTTTTAGAGCAATTCACCGATCCATAGTTAAAGCAGATTAACTTTGAGTTGTCTAAGAAAAAAACTATATTCTCGTTTCGATCTATGGATTCTGACACCGAAGTTTCCGAAGCCACTTCATGTTCTACGATAAAGAGCAGCAAACTACAAATGTGCAAGTCGCCGCTGTTTAGAAGGAGGGTCAGCACGTTGGTTTTGGACTAGTTATATTGATTTTGTATTATTTAACGTATTTTGAATCTCAATATCGGAAGAATGGAAGATGTGTCTCTCTACTTATATTTCTTACATTTGATATTATTAGTAAAATAATTGAAATATAAAACATTTGTAAATGTAACCATTGAGGCCTTCTTCGGCGAGTTCAACATTACCAAAAGTGGATCAAAAGAGCACAGCAAGGAAAAAATCGGCTCACCAATCCCTTTTTTAGCCAATCACCAAACCATCTGCTTCATCAATTGAAACTCCTGACTAACAATTGAAGAAAACTCAAGTATTGGAGTCATTGGGATTCTACGAAAAATGTACTATTGATATTAAGAATAGAACTCATGGCTCTAAAGGGAACCAGTCAGCAATAAAGTGAAGTGGATACTCTGTTTAAACAACTAAACAAATTTGCAATGGCACAAATTGAAAAGAATGGATTTCATGATACATGTATATTGATTCTCCAATGGATTATTCAACATAAATCATTTTAGGAAATTCCCACATCGATGTACGTATGCCCCCTCTTATTTTTATAGTTGTTTGGCTTACAACAACATGGGTTGTGTTTATCGTAGAATCGGACAAACCCAGTTAGCATTCAATGCTTTAGAGAATGCTCTACAATTAGTTCAGATGTATGACTAAATTAAGATGGAAACAATAACATATTTGAATATTACAACTGTTTTAAGTTAAATGAATATGTAAGAATAATTTCTAATTCCCAAGGCATGAAAAGGCATTGAAGGCTTCTCTCAAAGCGATTCAATCAGGCAAGAAGGAATTTGATCCAAATCAAATTGAAACTGTTCGGTGTTTGGCTTTGGCCAATCTCAACTATGGATTCGAATTGGAAGCCCTGGATCGTTTGGAAGAAGCAGTAAAACAATACAAAAGATCATTATAATTTGTGCTTGAACATCTAGGTAACCACGATCCTTTGTTTTAAAAATTTCATAGTCATCATCACTTGGCCAAGTAAAAATTGATAGTCCAAATGAACTAGCAATAGCCAGGTTTGTTTAAGACAGTCTTATAATTAAAGAAAAATTACGAAGTTCCAACAGATGAGAGTTTTTAGTAAACAACTCCCATGTGTTAAACAAAAAAGTACTCAACGATTAAGAGAAATAATTACATGGAGGATCTTAATAATAAAAGAGATAGCAGTGCAACCATTAAGAAAGGAATGACAGATGAAGAAGCATTCTAAGAGGTCAAACCCTAAAAGGCTGTAGAGAATAGATCAGAACCAAAATAAGTTGAATTTAAAATGCAATAGGAGGAGATTCAACCTAGGAAAGAAACTCAAGTTAGTAATAAGAAGATGAATCAGATTGAGTAGATTCAAATAGACGAATGGTCTAACTCAGAGCCCTCAGATACAGAAGTTAAGAAATAGAGGCTGAATGAGAGGTCTGCAGATTTGAAGGTATCATCAGTCAAAGCCAATACTAAGGATCAAAGATTGAATTTTCTGAGTAAGCAAAATACATCCAAATAAAAGGTGGATGAGAATTTATTGGAAAAAGAATAACAAATCATCAGGGAAATAGAGGAATAGATATATAATGCAAATAGCATAGCAAAAATACAAGCTTAGTTTAGGATGAAGAAGGAGAGGAAGAAGTTTTATTGTCTCAAAAAGGCTAAGAAGGATTAAGGAGAATTGTTGCCTTCTGATGAATTGAAACTGAAATAATTCCAAAGATTCATCAAAAGGAAGCTGAGGGAGTTGAAAATGAGAGAGATTACTAAGAAAATAGTATAAAAAAACAAATTAAAGAAATTTCCCAATACAGAAAATTAGGCCTATTAACGAATCATTTCCTTATTGGAAACCTATAAAGCTTATAAAAGAATGCTCTTACATAAATACGTAGTAAAGTCTAGACAATTCTAAACCTTGAGGTAGAGCTATTGTCATCCCAACTAGATGGTTCATGAGAAGATAGAACCATTTAGAGATGCTTACATATTTACATTTGGAATAACAAATGATGATTCCTTTGTACGATTTTCACTGGTCAATGGAGTCAAAAACAAGAGAAAAGAATAGTAATATTATTTTGAGATGGATACGTAGAGTTTCTTGAAGTCTCTCGGATTGTTGCATTAATATATCGAGGATTTAGAGTGCTTTATAATTGAGGAGAATTAATTGTTGAGGAATCTGAAGAACTTACAAACTGTGGCATAACAATTTATCATAATGAATGAGGTGGATGGGAAGTACGTAGTGAGATGCTTAACTGAATTCAAAACCTAGTTCAGATAGGCACTTTAGAGAACAGCAGTGATATTGCAGGAACTTATTTTGGTTGATAGCAATAAGCTTTACATTTAGGGGATTAACAATTTTGAATATAACGATGTGGTTCCATATGAAGAGGAAATCAGAGAGATTAGGCCACCTCTTTACACTAAGAAATTGAGTGAAAAAGAATTAGCCTCAATAAAATTCATCTAATCATTTATGAAAGGTTATTTACAGAGGATTAGAGTATAAAAATGGGTGAATTAGAAGTAGAAGCAGATATATTCAACAAACTTGATAAAGACAGTGACTGGACATTATTTAAAGATTGTTAAGGCATAGAATATCGTGAGCAAGAAACATTATTTATACATAATAAATCAGGAAACCTAGAAGAAGTCAAATGATTTGGAAATCAAATAGATAGTGTTTTAAAATATGGGAGATGTTACAAGAGAAAATATGTTTGAGATATTGAAAATAGATATGGATGGACCGAGTATAGAGTATAGTGACGAAGCCAATTATTGGGTATAAAAATAGGAGGACTATTAAAAAAGAGGAGGGAAGGAAACATACTCGAAGATAAGCAAAGCCGATTCGATTGTATTAATTCAAAGAGCAGTTTTACATTACTTGTTAAGAAGACGATGTACCATAAAGAAGATCAATAAAGCTAAGTTCAATACTAGTGATTAGAAAGACATAGAGCGAGAAATTTTGGTGAGAAGGGCAATCATTTATGGATCAGATATGAATTAAAGGGCATGCTTAACGACATTATATTTAGAAATAGAAAGGACTGATCCGAATACATCTCTGATGGGTCAAAGTGAATATTAAAGTGTATTGATTACTTCGAAGAACCTAGAACATGTGTATGCATTTGATAAATGTGTTCCATTTTATCAGAAATTGTTTTATCCATTATCTCGAACTGAAATCATAACAGTAGCATAAAGAATGGTTGAGGTGTCAAGAATAGTGAAAAATAAGAAGGGGGAGCCTAAAGTTGAATGCAAGAGTGTCGATCAAGTTCATGGAGAGATTCTGTCAAAACAAGGAGAGGAGGATGATATTAATCAAAAGAAGGAGAACACACTCGATGCAAGATTGAAGATTGGATCTACATTGAGAGATAAATACTTATAGTAATTTGTATCATGTTTGGAGGAAGATCCAGAAATGAAATTGAATCATCAAGCTGAAGATAACAAATAGAAAAACTTTGTTTCTACTCTCCAGAATGTCTTTAGAGATTTCAAAGTTCGATTAGCTCAAAGAGTCAAAACAACTAAGCATGTTGATGAAGAAGACGAGGCATCAATCAAAGCATATGTCTAAAATGTGTTACCTACTACAGAATATGGCACCAATCCAAATCTATTTAATGATATCAATTAAGATTAACTGTCTGATGTTAAATCCTAGCATTCACTAAAGGATGATCTAGATTTCGTGTCAGATTTGAGTGTCACTTTCCTAGATGGCTTATTTAAATTGCAGATCTTCTATTAATTGACTTAGTAGTTGTTTGTCATTCACGCATAGAATGTCTATACAACCAAAACCTACAAGACTTCAATCTTGAAATCAGATCTCATCAGCAATTATGATCTCCCTTACAGTTATATCAAAGAAAACCCTTAGAATATCATTTTGCCTCTTATTGACTTTTAAGATGATAAGATTGTATTTTCAAAAGATGAAATCAAATTGCAGAAGATTATGGATGACTATTTGGCTTTTGAATTTAATGATGCTAAATCTTCGAAGAAAGGAGTCTCTGTTGATCGTGAATAAGAGGAACTCCCAAATGATCAAATTACTGATAAAGTGGTGATTGCCATCTATCAAAAGGGATCAAGCACTTTATTCTTTGAATTTCATAGAGAGTACATGATTGTTAGGATAATTATTCATTTCAATAATACTAATGAGAAAAGAGTGATTGAGATTGACACACATCAATTCTAATCCAAATATGTGGATGAAAGATTGAAAGATCTCAACAATAAACAAGTGATCAGATTCTTCAAGGAATTCAGTAGAACAATCTCAAAGGTTATAACAATCAATGAAAAGGATCATACTCATAATTTTGAAGATCTAAGAGGGGATTTGTCTTTGTTCTTGAGAGAAAAGTTTGTTTAAAAGATCCAAGGGATGTTGATGGTAAAAAGAATGGTGGAGAAATTCAAATTGTATAAATAATTAAAACGTTCCAAATTGCACATCCATAAATTCATTGTGAACAATGGTTAACATTATATTGAGATATCCTATTTCCTCATCAAGTAGTCTGGCAACCTCCAATTAAGTATGAGGGAATTGACCTTTGTGACTCCTTAGGGTCATCTAGTGGAGAGGAGCAAGACTCTCAAAAGTAAAAGGAGATTGAGAGAAAAGCAGTTTTTGATTAACTTAGAGAAACTATCCTAATAAAGCGATCAATTAATAAACTCATAAACCAAAAGACAAGATTAATTGGACCTTTAGAGAATCGATTTCTCAGTTCTCTCTAATTATGATTAGATGAAGACTATCCAATATTATCGATCATTGATGACTCCATTGATCTCTCTAATTTAGAAGAATCTGGTTGTCAATTTCAATAAGTTCCAATTTTCATTGACTCTACCTATAATAATGATAGAAAGTCATATTATGAAAAAGAAGAAGAAGAACTACTCTCATGAAACCAAATTCTAAATGATGACTTACGCAGCCATCGCAGCCTAATCTACTTTCAGAAAGAAACTCTTAAAGAAGTGGTTGCAAACTAAATTAGCCAGAAAGAGATAGATTGAGGAGAAAAATAAGCATTTGGGTGAGTTTATAAAGAGATCCTTCAAAGTAATTAGAGGGGATGATAAATCTGATTATTATATTATCAATGTATACAAGTAGCCAGGGAAGATACCAAGTCAAACCATCTATACTTTTGAATTGATTCCAGTAAACAAAAATTCAAAAGACAAAGATTCAAGGAGAGCAAAAATGAGAGCCTCTTATTCTCATGATAATTTCTAATTGATTGATTTAGGCTCATAATCTTTGGCAAGTCACTTTATCAATAAGATCTATATTGAGAATGGAATAATAAAATTTGATGAGTATTAATTCTAGAAGGCTCAAGATGATGGGATATCAACTACTTTTGAGGATAATCAGTAAAATGAACAATAAAACATCAATGTTGATGAAAAAATGATTGAAAAGGATGCCTAGGAAGTATTGATTGATTAAGAGAAGACAGGGAATACTCTCATTAATATTGTGTACACTAACTCTAAGTAATTGTTAGATAAGAAATCATATGATGACTCTTAAAACAATGTGACCAAATTGTAAGTTGATTTACAGAGCATCAAGAAGTTGTATCCCAATTTCAATGTGAAGGACCCAAATACTGTTAAGATTCTAAGTTAGAATCTGAGAAAAGGAGTGAGAATGGACTAATTTGCAGGAGGTCTTATGATTGATAAAAGCAGGATTCAATCATCCTTGATTAATCCACTTAGTGTTGGAGTGGGTAGAGTGGAATCCCAGATCCAGGTCTAATCTTAAATGTAGAATCAGTCCAATTTCAATAAGAGTATGAGATTATCTTAGAGACCGTATGCCACAAATATACTTGCCAAAGAGACTATGAATTACACAGGGAAGAAATATTTGATCGTGATAAGTTAGGTGAAGAACAAGATTTAGAAGATTTTAAATTAAGATCGAGATTCAGTGTTTGAGGATCACGAAAGAATATTAGAGATCAAGGCTCAAAACTTGAAGGAGAGATCGGAACCATTCGCTTGGTATTTAACACCTGATGATGCTGAGATCTTGACTCATGAAAAGAGTCCTGAGAATATGGCGAAGGTTCTGACCAAGAATTTGCAAATAATAAACTCCAAATTCATCTATCTATGTTTTAATTAATAAGATCAGCAGAGGGTTAAATTGAAGCCTGATGACAATGTGATTTTGTTTGTGGAGAGTACGATTCGACCTATGCAGACCAAGTTTAGAAATAGGAGAATCTTTTCTAATTACAAAGAATACAGGAAGACTTTGACTAGATCCAGGGCTGAGGGAACTCTGATATTGCATTTGGCCAACAATTTGAATACCACAAAGAGAATGTTCGTGATATTGTTCATAGAGGAGAAGGAGTCATCGATTTAGATGAAGACTTGGGATGCCACTGAGTAGATGTATTTTTGTGAAACGGAATTGCAATTGAAGAAGGTAAGTGTATAGATTATCATAATTAGTACCAATCGATTTATTTTTCAGACAAATAGAAATGTTTGAAGGCTCTGATGAACTTTTTAGAATTCAGAAGTGAGTAGAATAAGATTTAGTTTTTGCATCCAAAGCCAGAGCAAGTTTAGGATTATTTTGAGAAGGAAAAGAAATTATCAATTCATTCATCGTCTAAGATTGGTTCACCAACGAAGTCAGTGGATTAAAATAATGAACAACAACCATAGAAGTTCTTTTAGTAGGATCATACCCCCATGTAATCACCTATGATGGTCATTGAAGATTATCAGGACGATGAGATTGAGGAAATAGCGGAAGGTGTTATTTAATAATGATAAAATAATCTATATATTTATTATAATATTAATAATATCCGTTTTAATGAGAGTTTATGCACTTTTATGTATAGTGGCAATAGTGTATTGCACCTAAATTACAAAGTAATGATGTCAAAAATATGATCAAGCTAGGCAAGTATGTTTGACGAGTAGCTCGGATAACTGACAAAAAGTAAATTAGGCAACACCATATTAAACATGATATCATTGCAATAATTTACAGAGGTGGATTTTAGTCCATTATTTACAGCAATAGATGACATTGTTGCATCAACACAATAAGCAAAATAAGACGAAGCTGAATAATTAGATTCTTACTTTTAGTAATTCTTGAGTGATTCAGAGTTCTATTCAAATCAAGTCACAGAATACAAAACAGAAGTATGACATTACTAATTGATCCAAGGTTGCATAACATCAGAGTGACATTACGACATTCCAAAAGGACAGAAACAGTTTATAATAAAGTTTATATGATAAAAGTCAATAATTGACTGATTCTCAAAAAAATCAGGCTTAATTGCAAAGAACTGTGTAGAATAACGATTAGGCAACATCAAAAAAGACAGCAGAATACGACTCATCTATATCAATTGTTGATCAAGTCATCGCAAAGTTACAACTTGTCAAATGTAATTCCATTTAATCATTCATCTAGAGTCCTCCTTTATTGAAATAAACAAAGAGGATCTGGCCGTTTCTGCTGCCACATTCTCAAGAAGATTGGGTGAAGTGTCTCATCTTCCTCATCTTTTCGAACCTTTATCCAAGGTCTTAATTTAAATGGGCACCTCCGGGTATGAATTATTAATAACTTCTTTAGTTTTGCTGATTAGGAATAAGCTGGAAATGCAATTAAGTTACTTAACAGTTTGAGGGAAGACTTAGTGGCTTCAAAATAGGCTTTGTAAATGAATGCTCAATTGGAGAAGGACACCAATGATGGATTGTTGGCTTCTTTGGAAGAGAATATCAATCTTTTGAATAATGAAATCATTCCACAATTGAAAGGAGACATTGAAACCAAAGACGGGGAAATTGCAACCAAATCAGGACTCTTAAAGGATGCATAATCTAATTTGGATACTGCTTAGGCCAATCTTGATAATGTGAATGCTGGATGGGCAGCTAGGTATTTTTCAACATTTATTTGGCTAGATAGGGATAGAATAAGCAACTCAATGATGGATGGGATAATGAGTTGATGTTGTTATCATAAGCAGAATCAGCTTTGGAGAGAGGAGGAATTAGAAGATAATGAAAAATATTATTAACAATTTATCAATAATATTAATAAATTTTATTTGTGATGAGAGGTTTCTTTGCTATCACAAGAGCCTTTGTAGCTCCTATTGCAAAATCCACTTTCAAATTCTCAAGCTAACAACAGAAAATTCAAATGAGAATGTATGTTTAATATCACATGTTTTAGTGTGCTCAATCAAATAAATCAAATTATTAGACTGTCCTCCACTATGTCAGGATTGAGGATTGCTAACCAATACGATTTATCACTATTTTCCTTATTAGAGGAGGCTAAAGGTATATCTAATATATTAATTTTAGGTAATTTATTTATATATTATCAAAATTAAGATGACTCGGTGGAGGTGGATATCAGGCAGATTGGCTTACACTTAGGATGTTCTATTACCCCTTGATTAAGCAATATCAAAATATATATATATATTAAAATATTCAAAATTCCATGACAGAAACAAACATTAACATTTCTGATTATTCAAAATAATGCTCATTTACTTGAATTAAAATCAGTAGTACTCCAATACACAGAATAACTTATTCTTTTGAGTGGGTACCCTAGGATTGATTTATAACCAAACAAATTGTTAGTAATTGCTTTCCTTACACTAATTCAAGGGTTGATCATAAATTTTGAACTTCTTAAAAAACAATTGTGCTTCTAATTTAAGAAATAAGAACTTAATTTATATATTGCATTTTAATTTTTTTATATTTTATAATATATTGATGATAGAATTATGATTGCCATGAAAACGGATGCATTTGGTCAAATAATTATGTATTTTAAAGTAGTATCATTACTATGATATATATTTAATTTAAATATTTATCTTTCTACAAATGAACAATTAAATTTCGAAAGAAGGTGATTAAGGCTTGTTAGAGTCAATGGCAGAAGGTGACCCATAAAATGAGGAATCATCCTTCATATAACAAGAGCACTAATATAATAGTCATCAATCAATTAAAAAAAATAAAATTACTTGCAATTCTGAAGAAGATGTTATATCTAAAATTTCTCACATGCGATTGAACCCGATTAACAAATCTATCCAAAAACAGTCCAAATCCAGAAGAGATGGTGTTCATACATAGAATCTTCATAATAGAAAATCTGATATCTTTCAGTATGTGGAAGAAAGCAATTTTAATTATCCTTTATAATATGAAGAAGGTGAATTTAATGTGATTTAAACTGATTGAATATTTATATAACTTTTCATTTTAATTAATACAATAAGGACGTGCTTCCTATATTATCACCTAATCCACAAGTTCTCATTGGGTGTGGGTTGATTAAAACAGGAGCAAGGCAACATTGATGTTAAAGTTGATCTTATAAATGCCAACAGAAGTTCATTTCCTCAATTAAATAATCTTGATTCAAGACGGTGTTACTTGGATATAGAATCAAGTCTTCTTCTTCTAAGGCCATCTAAGAGAATAAAAAAAAAATACTTAAAGATGAGTCACGTTTAAATATTTTTAGTCAATTTAATTGTCATTGTAGGATTTCATCGCTTGAATTAATCCAACTAGAATAGATCGATGTAATGCAGGCTTAATTTCTCTCCAATTTTGATTCGAACAAATCATTTGAATAGTTTAGGAATGAAAATGAACCCTGATAATTTTTTAAATATTTCATACCTTTCTAAATTCAATTCTTAAAATAGCTTAATAATTAATTCTAATTATTAGTTGGTATTAATTTATTGTTATTCCAATTACTTTTTTGTTATGAAATTGTATAATAATTAAAGCTCTTGTTCATTCATTCCTGTTGAATGCACATGTGGGAATATGTGTTCAATTAAGTAAAGTAATAGATTTTCATCATTAAAAGCCCCCATTTCAAAGTGAATCTTCAATTTGTTTTTCTATCCAATCAAGATCTATTCTAATTTTAAAATGATTTCTTAATATTCCTTTTTTGGTTTCTGATTCATCAATTGAAATCCCCCAATCACCAATAAGTCGGGGTGTATTGAATTGATGTTTGCTTCCAAATTTTCCAAACCAGGGAACCTCATATTGTCTTAATCATTCTACAAATACAACCTATTTGTATGTTGACATATTATGGTATCATAGATATCCCCTTCATCGAAATTGATCACAATATGCACATCCCTTATTTCCTCCCTCAAAAAACTCTAGGGGATGATTGATATTGATGAATTGAACAAATTCTCATAATAATGATTGGACATTATTGCAGACAAATAGACATCTCCACCTTCCTTGCATATTTTTAATCATAATTTTACTTTGAATGCTCTGAGAGCCATTTGAGCTGCATTCCCGCCCAAATCCTTGGATGTAGAAATTCTCTTAGAAATTTACACGATATTGTCAAAACCCTCAGTAACATGCAATTCGGATCCCAATCCATTTTCGAAGTGAAATAATATGCTACTGCAGATATTCTTCTAATTTCTATCCTCTTTGCTGCATCCTAACTCTCTTAACAGAGTTATCGCTTAAACTTGAATGTCTTCATCGCTTGAAAATGCAAAAAGGATTTTCTTCTTCAAGGGCTTATCGGTGTTGCTGTTGAGGATTCTTAGTGCTCTTGTGACACGGTCTTCGACACTGACCCAAAACCAAGCCAACGAAATGGCTAACAAAATTTAGAATATAATTTTCATATTATATCAAACTGGAACTGGAGGAGGGGGGAAGTTTTAACTAGGCATTGCAGAATATCCCACTATGATTATTAGAAACCCAGCGAATATGATCAATAATCCTACAATGGATTCATGCACTATGTGTGGATCCACAAAGCTATCTATCATTAGGGTTCCACAGCTAAAATTATTCTCTGCTCTTACAATATCACAAACATGCCCTTTCCGCAGTATTCAATCATAAATCCAAAGTATTCCTTTACCAATTTTACGTTCAATTCAACAAGTATCAACAATAACCCAAAAATACTAAACTTTTCATTCAACTTTCTTACATCCAATACACTGTCCAAATCCCCACCAAAATAGGAATGTCTGGAGTGAAGTAAAATTTCAACACCCCCAAAACTATTAACACCACTGCTACCAACACCGATATGAACTTAATAAAGTTATTGGCTTTATGTTCAGGACAGGCCATTTTAAATTTAAATTAATTTATATAATCAATAATCCACAATTATTATATCTATGTCAATTATATTCTTTATATTCGTTGCACACAACACGAGCTTTATTATTATTATTATATATATATAAAAATATATATTTATTATTACATGGCATCTCAATAATAATAATAATAATAAAGTGCACAGCAGCCCTCATAGCAAAAACAGCCCATCAGATAGCCAGATGTTAAAACCCAACTCAAATAACTTTACGATAAATCCAGTATTTAATTTGATGATGAAACAATTCAATTGTGTCCATAAATTTAAATATTGAACAACTTGGTGAAGTAAGCATCATACCACATATTCAAAGATACGAGAATCGCATAGATCAAATGATTAAAAACAAGCGAGTTGATTTACAGGAATCTTTTATCTAACCAGGATAATATCTTAAAAAGACCCTCAGAATTATTGTCTACTCTGAACTGGTTTGCGACGAATGGAATCTTTTCATCAAAGGATAAGTGTTGTCAGAAGACAAGAAACCTTTCTCTTATTTTATCAGATAACTTGAAGTCCAATTCGATAAAACCTATTACCCCTCTTAAAATGTCATCCAATGGAGTAGAAATCATCTGCAATAGCAATAATAACAGTAATAGTCACAATCATAATCACAATAACAACAGGAAACAAGTGGATTTCACATCAAAAGAAAAGGACCAGCATGTGATGTGATTATTTCAATAAGTCTTCAAACCTACCCTTAGAAGTACAAATTGCACAAGACACTTCAACAATTGCTCGGAATTAAAGAAGGCACACGATCCTAGATCTTGTATTGCTTTTGGGAATATGTGAAAGTACTCTATTCAATTATATACCTTAGCTCAACAATTTAACTGATAAAGAGAGTAAAGATTACATAATAGCTGATGAATAATTGAAATAATTATTTGGGTAGGAACGTATACCCTTATCAAATCTGAATATGCTCCTTAAAATGTTTATTGAGAATCCGGAACCTATTGTCATAAAACACCATTTAGGAGTTAGTAATTATATTGGGTTTGATGTTGTGGTTGAACAGGAAATGAGTTATTAGCCAGAATTAATGCCATTCTTGGCTTAAAAGGTAGTGACAGAAGATAATTCAGAGAAGAAGCAATAAAGAGCAGAACATCCCTTCATTCAATTAAACTAGAAAATTAAGGGATTTGAAAAGCAGATTCAAAAATTCATTGAGTAAAGCAAGAGCCACAAATTAAAAAGAGATGCCTATTATTCATATCAAAAGAATCCAAGCTTGTTTTTGGAAAATCTATTCTTACAATAAAACTCATATTTGGAATTGATGTAAAATGATGATGAAATGCGCAATGAAGATCCTAAAAACATGAAATTCCTTATGAAAAATTAGGAATTGGTAGAGAGACAGATTCGTAAGTATTTGGAATAACAACAACAACCTTAATAATGAGTTATTGAAATATATGGTATTTTGAACGTATTAAAAATATTTTTTATTATGAAAAAATTGCTTGTCGTTTCAGGAATAACAGGATCAGGTAAATCATAAGTGGTTTCCATATTAAGTGAATAGTTAAAATCAAAAGTAATACCGGTAGATTCACTGTAAGTATGAACTCTAATATGATTGTAGATTTATAAGAATTGGCCCATCTCAAGTAATTGGCCTAAAACATTAAAAACTATGAACTCATTGGAAAATATGATGGATTGAAATAGAATATCGCAAGTTATCATTTTAAGAAGGATGTTTTGAAATTATTGAAATAAAGGGATAGTTACATTTTAGAAGGGGGATGTTGTTTCTTTCTGAATTATTTACTCAACTCAAGGAAGGAGTAATTTCAGGAAGAGCAAATTAAAGCTGCCGATTTAGAAGCATAAAAATTATTATAAAACTGCGGAGATCCATAAGCTCTATTGAAATAATATTTCAAAAACTATGATAACTCAATCAGTATCTCAGACAGATATAGAATTTAAAAGGCTTTGCGATTTGCTTTATTAACAAATGGAGAATCTATAACAACTCCATTCAATGAGGAAGATCCCAGACTCTGCGATTAGTTTGATGTCAGAGGGATTTTTTTGAATGAACCTTAAGAAAATATCTCAAAAAAGATCTATACAAGGTAATCTTTATTGTTGTATCAGGTGTGATGAAATGATTCGATAAGGAGCATTAGAAGAATTTTATAAATTTATTAAATGTTAGGTTAACAAGAGTTTCGTGCAACTACACCAATTGGGTATGATGAATTTTTTAATTTATTAAAATGTTTTTAAAGTATCTTTGAAGGAAGGTATATATCCAATAAGAGAGCAGAACAACAAAAGAGAGAATATGTTGTAAAGTTCATATTATAATTTTACATAAAATCGCGATAATATGCAGCTTACTAACGCAAATATTTCAGGTCTAATTTAAATTAATTTCTTTGGATAGATAACAGAAATTTAAATATCCCATAATTAATTTCATATTACTACAATTGTGATCGATAAGAATACCTATCCAAATTGGCTTCCTCCTAAAATGAACAGTTGAAAAATGAATAGAGCTCAAAATCATTAGGTAAATAGAAAGATCCAGTCCCACCAAAGGATGTACAAGAAATAACATATAAAATAGTTTAGGGAATAATAGACTAATGAAATCTAAATTTGTGTAATATTAATTTAATAGATATGAAATCTTCTTAATCTTATCCAAACATTCTGAAGCTCCATTCTCTAAGTTTAAAAATTTTAATGAACTTATATGCACAAATAGGAGATCCTCCCTTGCAACTCTTATTCTTAGATCAAACAAAATAATTTATTAAGGCCTCTTTGACATTTAAATTACGTTTTACTTTCCTTCAATGCAAATCTACTGACTGTATGTACAGAGAGAAAAAAACGAATGTTCAACAACTTCCACAGAATAATTTTATCCTTTATGATAGAATCTTTATAAAAATCTTATTTATTTATTTACTCCAATCTAACGAAGCTTCATTTCTTATATATATATAAAAATACAATTAGTAAAATTGGAAAAAATGAATTCTGCAATCATCAATATTTTCTTGTGGATTATATTCAATTAGTATGCATTCAAATTTAATTATTTATTAACAAAATAAAATGAACTATTATTGAAAATCGTGTATATCACATAATTAAAATTTCAAAATGTTTAAACGTAGAAATTTCAAATAGGGAAATCCTATTTCACATAGAATCAATTTATTAATATATTCATTACTCCTATATAATATTTAGTCTTTTTCCATAATCTTAAGTGAGCTTTAGATAAAATTCAATGGTTTTTTTCAAATATTAAACACAATTCATAAATAATTTTATGAAATTTATAAAGAAAAGCTTGAAATACTAAAAACTTTAATTGTAATATTTGATAGGACATTCATAGGTAGCCTTAGAGTAAGAGAATAGGCTATTCTGGGCCTTATGCGAATTTATAAGGATGTTTTAGACGATAGCATTAGTGTTGTTATATCAGTAAATAATTCGAATGTTGAGTACTGATTAGAAATTTGATGAACCCTCCTACACTTAAGACAAGATGGAATTAATAAGTAGAATATCAATGCCAACAATTTTAATTCTATAATATCTATCATTGGAGCAAATAATATATTTTCAGTTGATTTTTTTGGCTTTACTCTTTTTAATGTTGTTGATTAATGTAATTGCTGTAAGATTGGAATACATTCATTTTAAAGAGATTAAATTTCAAAACAAAAAGCAGTTTTGTAAGACCGATGGGAATAGTTTTTGTATATATATTTTATGATATTCAATAGAATCCCTTAACTTGTTAAATAGCACCTATAATGATAATGATTTTATAGAGCATTTCTTACTAAAATAGTTGATGATCACTGATAATGGTTCCCTTATTGAAATGTATTTATACAGAACTTCCTTACTAACCAATTATTTCACTCACATCCTATTTTTGCCTTAAATATATTGGATAGCAATAATATTTTACAGAATTTTCAATTCCTCCAATTACTAAGTTGTCTTATTTGCTTTAAATTTTACGCTTAATTTGATTCAATTATTGTTTTTAATAATTTTAGAAGCCTTGTCTTTGTATATGCAATAATCCTACAGATTAAAAGACACTAATTATTTAAGACTAAGGGTTACAACATCATTTAAAATTGGATAGATTTTAAGAATTGTGCCCACAGTCTTATACTTCAGTGTCTTGTATCTAATGGATCATGAAACGATATACGACAATCTGTTATTCTAATAAATAATAAGTTGTTTTGTACTTTTGAATCTCTTGTTCGATTTATAGGATTAATCATAAAATATTCCATTTGTTTAGCCATATAAAATATACGTCTTTCATTTTGCCTTTTCACTTACCTTTGGGATTACTTTTACAAAATTATTACAATTTTCTATAACTGACATCATAACATTAACTTTAATGAGTATTCCATGTACATGTAAAATGCTTAATCAACTGACGGATTATAATTTTAAGAATATCGTTATGAAAACACTTCATGCTGAAAATATGCCACTTAAGTAAAAGATATTAAAAAGAAGTTCTTAAACTATCACAAAATCTATGGCTATAAACGATGAAGCTCATTAAATTGAAAGATTGATTTGGTTATAGAAGTTAGAATAGATAAATACAGTTAGGTTGACTAATTATAAATATTTCTTACAATTTGTACGTTTATACGAGTTGTTGGATATTTAGAAGTAACAGGCTTATTCTCCTAATAATGTGTTTAATGCAAACTAATCTAAATTTTTGATGCAATGTATAATTTTAGTTAAGACTCACATTGAATTATGTAATAATCTCTATTGCTTTTGCCGAGGGTTTATGGGTGAAAAAAAACAGAGTTTAGAATTGAATCATGACAATAAATAAATGAGGATATTTTCAGATTATACTTGTTCAAACTTATTTGTTTCAGTTGATTTAATTGATAGATATATTAGATATTACATAAAACTAATCTTGAATATTCAGATTTATGTTACACAACCCAATTTAACTTACATAACTCAATTGATTAGTTATATTGGCAAATCAGAGGAGTGTTATCAGACATGGCTATAAATAATGGAAGTGAAATTGCAATTGCAAGAATAAAAGAAGCCATTCGATGGTATTGTTATTAATTTGATGACCAGTTATTCAAAGTATCTCACTCTACAAAGGACACAATCTCATTTGACTGAAATATAAATAAGAAAGACTATTTAATATGGAGATTACAGGAGTACTGAGCATTAAAGGACCCATTTCTTTAATAAATTAATGGATTGTCTATAAATGAAATAGAATTATTTAATAAAACTAAGCAGCAATAAGTTGAATTACGAAGAAGTTTAATAATTGTATATTGAATAAAATAAAATCCTTGATAAATTGTAAGGTGGTTTGTTGCAGTTCTATAATTAATCTCAATGTAGAACATCAACATTATTATTAATGTTGTATTACTTAGAGATACGTTGTGATTACTTTTCATTTTACCAATATAAAAATGTAAAAACAACATATTCTTAAATTTTAGAGTCTTAGATCCAAAGAAATAAAGTTTTTCGAAATTCCAATACTATCTCATCAATCTCAAAATGTCAGTTATCTAAAGATTAATCTCTCTAGATTTTCAAAATACAAATGCAGAGGAGAAATCTTATCTCGCTCAGATAATTCATATAACTTTTTTGGATATTAAAACATGGATGAATTCTGCAACTAAATTTAGACTGTTCATTAATTGGTACCACCATTAATTTCAAAAGTACATAACACAATAATGGAATTGTTTTTGATGAGTAGTAGACCAAATGTACTGAGACAAGAACGTCATTTGATAGCTCAAAAAGCCAATTAAGAGATTGTATTCATTGAGATGTTCATTGATGTCTGTTTTACGATTACTGCTACATAGTTCCCTGTTTATTGTTTTATGTAAGAACTTAAACCGATAGGTAAATTTGAGAATGTGAGAGGCCATATAATTGTTGATGATTATGAAATCATCTAAGGTATAAGTTCTTATGCTTATCAATCACTTTTTCTCGATTCAACACAGGAGATTTGCAATTAAGAAATCTCTAAGTTTTATAGTGATTTCAATGAAAATATTTAGAAGTTAAATTTAATGATGGATTCAAAAACAGTAAGAGAAAAGAAAAAATCGTAAGTGATGAATAACCAATAAATTAAGAGATAGAAGAATAATATTAAGTCTGTTTATAATCATTATAAATTGAAACTCGAAGATTAATTATTTGTTATTAATTCATAAGATAAATTTCTTATAGATTTAACATTGACTTTAACTTATGGAATTATCAATACTAAAATATCAAAAGTATCATTATATATTTATATTATAATTTGTATAGTTCTACATAATCGAGTTTAACAAGGTGCACTAACTTGAACTTACAGATAACAGTTTCAATGATCATTCTATCTAGCTTTAAGACAGCATTCAGTAATCTTCTAAAAAAACAGATACACTTCCAAATATTTAAGATAATGAGAAAGCAAGTAATGAATCCTCTATACGAATGCAACAATACTCTTTTCCTTAAATTAATGAGTAATGCATTACTGAATCTTAGAATCAGATTTAATAGTTGAATTAAGTTCCATTTTAGGAACGAAAGAGATTGACTTTAATAAAAACAGAAAGAAAATCAAAATTCTTTGCAAGTAAAGGTAATGCTCGAATTTCAAATTCAGATAACTAAATAAACAATGAATATTATTCAAATTAAGATTAGGATTATCACTAAGCATCGGCTTCATCATAAAAGCAATAATCAGAGGGGTCCAAATATCTCTTTAAAGGCGTTCAATATTATGAATTTTGTAACTCAAGCAATGAGAAAATATTATACATTATGCATCTAATAAATGCTCTGATTTTTGCAATTATCATAACATTTTTACTCATGTATTAACTAAGATACAACTCAGAAAGTGATACAATGATACCTACCTTTGAAATCCTCAAAGCTTTTACATCCACGAGTTATGTAGATAATATTTAATTATCTTTAATGTCTTAAAGTCCAAATGCCTCAAAATCAGATTAATTTTATTAACATTTGAATAGCTTGTTAGTTGAAAACTCAATGATTTTCGTAGATCAATAAAAGAATTATTTATTGACTTCCTAAATATAGGATGTCTTTAAAAATTCAGACACCCAGGAATTAAATTAGATGAAGATTGATGTTCTCTATTTAACTTTGACAACATTATATGATTAAATAGATTTTGTGTAGAATTAGGATTTAATACAGATTGAAGAAGTGCCTACCTTTGTTAATTTGATGAAAGAATTCCCAATTCACAAAACCTTGTATGAGGAGATTAATCTATCATTTCAGTAGTAAGTTTAAGATTCGATTAATAACTTCAATGATTCTTAACGAAGTCTTATCTTAGCTTTGGTAGTTTTGAGCTTTTTCATTTCAGTGGTTTCTTTGATTGCTTATTATAATTATTTTAAATACCTGAAGAAGATTACTAGATGTAGTGAGCAGGTTTCAATAGACTGCATTGATAGGGAAATCAATTTTTGTGCAAACATCCTTAACAATAAATAAGTAAATGATTTATCTCCATTATTAGAAACTCAACATTTATGAGCTTAAGATGGATTTCTCGTATCACTAGGAAAACTAAACGATCCATTCAAGTTACAGACCTTTGAACAATAATACCAGTTTGTAGAAAATGAAAAGATATCTAAATCTAAAAGATGTATTTACAATCAAAAGAACCCTAAACTTTCTTTACCCTTTATTTTGTTTAGCATTCATATTAATTTATCTTCTATTTTCCTATTTTGACACTCTGGAGACTATGCAAACTTTAATAGAAAATATCGACGTCTACAATTAGAGTATTAAATACTTGGAATCCTTTTCCGTCATGTGTCAGAGTAGTATTATCTATGAGAACGGGGATTACCTATTAAATAAAAACTATTTAACAAAGTAGTTATTATAGGAGTATTATGATTACATTGATTCATCATTAACCTATCTATAAGAATCAAGTAAATTTAATCTCAAATTATTAGATTTCAGAAGTACTCAAAGCAATGATTTATTAAAGGAGAACATTTGCAGCATCCTGAGTGTATAAATCGATATTTCTATTTGTGAATAAGTACATCAAGGATTATTGCAGAATGGAATTTTGGAGTCAGTTCAATACTATTTGGTGCATTACATGAACAATTATGTTTCCAATTATTCGAATTTTATCGAATATTCCACATCAGAAGATGCCATTGCCATTAGTTTTATAATCAAAGGAATCAACAGTTATGTGGATTAATTGAAATTGGACTTAGAAAATTTTATTAATGATAATTAAAGTAGCAGGTTGGATTGGTTTATTTTTGTAATTTCAATAGCCATAGTTCTTTAAATTACTTTATGGCTAGTTTAATCTTGGAATCTAAAACAAAAATTAAGATCATTAAAACAGTTTGTCTTTTTGTTGCCTAGAACTAGTTTATATATGAATGATAGTTTTTTGAAGACACTTAACTATGTGTAAAGACATTAAAATGATGTATGGTAATGAATTTTATTGTTTTTATTATTTTATTATTGCTACATAAAATCTAAATCAAAATTATCAATCTGTCTATCTCTGATATTGCTATTGGACTTGTTTTAATTAGCGTTCTAAATTATGTTTTAATTATTGGTTGTTGGGCTCATGCTTAAGTAAGTCATCCAATTAAGCCTTCAAGCCTTTGATTAATATTTTGGGCAGGTTTTTTGAATTGATCTTGGAGATTTGCTCATAGGATGGACAACCCTCTCTTGGTCTGAGATCCAGAGTGTCACCCTATTGATAAACTTGAAATGTGTACAGCTGAAGTCCTAAAGACTCCTTTGTATCCATTCACTTCATAGACCTTCCTGAGTCCTTAATCATTGATCTCGGATTCTCTTTTGAAAACAGCCAAATCGACTTTTCTCAATTTATACTTGGACAAGGCTTCTTCATAGTCAAAATCCGAAGGTGGCCATTGATCGAAACAATACCACCACCTACACAAAATTTCGTACCTCAAATCATCAGTGTCTGGATTTGATTTAATTTGCTTGACTCTTTGTTCAGGCTATTTTTATTTGGTGATTTGTGGATTCTGAATTTTCTTAACTTTCTTTTCTTCATTCTACATTTTCAAATTATTACCTTCCTATTATTCTGACGAGTCAGGTTCAAACAAGAATTTCCATTTCTTATGATCCACTGTAATAGTTTAAGCAATAGGAGATTGTTGTTATGGTTATTACACAGGTTATTGCTGCTATTGCTCCTCTTCTTCAGAATCAATGTATTTATGTTTTTTTTTCTGTACTCCTGTGTCATTAGACATTTTTTATAAAAAAACAAATATTAGATTTCTTAATTCAATTAAAAAAAGTTTTTATAGATAATTCAGTACTGTGAGATTTTGGCTGTCGTTTTTCATAATTGTTCATCAAGCAAAGTCTATTAGGTTTATTCCTAAACAGATTGTGTTTCGACGAAATCATAACACCTTGACTCATGGGAGAGAGAAATTCCTTCTGAGGACTGAGCAAATCCTTTTGTTTATCCTCTACAATCTCATATGACTATAGTTTTGAATTGAAGTCTATAAAGTTGGGAAATTTGAATTATTATGACAGACTACTTTATCTTTCGTAATTCTAATTCTTATTGAAGGTTTTGGAGTTCTGATTACTATTGAATTACGAGGCATTGTAATTTGAATCCTTGTCCAACAAGAGACTGCTGAATCGTCTCTACTCTCTCCGTCTGAATTCTCTTCTGATTAAAGATGACTAAACTTCTAAGTGATTTAATGTATCTGCAAGACTCCTCTCATGTTCTTACTGATCTCTAAATTAAGTATATCAAATACTTCTTTTATTCCTTCCTCTAGATTCTTCTTATTTACTTCAATTGTTGTGATGTATTCTTAATGAATTCCATTTGGCAAATCTACTTTTTAGCTTAATTAATCAAGTGGCTCTTTTAAGATTCCAATGTTTACTACACACAATTAAATTATGATTTGATCTCAAAGATAGGTTGAGAGAGATTTGATGGTTTCTGGATGAATTATTCAGAATAATTGAGTCTCTTATGCGTCTTGATTGTCTTGCTCATTCTTTCATCATTTATTTTATGTCTCAATTCATAATTTCGTTTCAATTGTTTTTCGCATTAAGGATAAGATGTCAACAACTTGGCTAAATCTTTGTAAGTGATGGAATATGCAGAGAAATGCTGAGATGTTACTTAGGCTGTATGGATACGATCACTTTATTCGAAATATTCCAACTCTCCAAAATATTGATCTTGACCTAATTCACACAAGGGAAATAATCTGTTATTCTCTTTCTTAAACAATCTCACTGTGCCTTTTTTGATTACTATTAATTGTTGTGGACTATCTCCTATTTTATATATATAATGGCCAAGTGGAAAATGGATCTTTTCAAATTTGTATTGAGTCTCGATAGCCTCCTTGTATGTGAGATTTTTCAAAATAGAGTTGCTCAATAATTTGGTCTTCTTTCTTATTTTTTCTTTTATTTATGGCAAGCATTACCCAATTAAGTATCTTCCAATAGGACTTTATAATCTTTTCTAGTTAAAACGGCCACATGCAAAGATGTGTTGGCAATCACAGTACCAGTTCTTGTAGATTCTATCAGTAATCCTCTCTCTCCGAACATCTATCCCTCATTGATACGAGCCACAAAGTCATGTAAGAAAACACCTCCATTAAACAGAAATTCCTTATCCTGCAATTTCTCAAGTCCATGAGTTAACCTTTTGATAACTTCAACATCTTTATGTTTAACATCCTATCTGTCAGTTTGAATAAAAGTTTTAGGTTTGTATGATTTCGATATCCTAAAGTTACAATTCTAAATTACTGTTCGAAATCATCTTCTCTCAAATTTATGGTCATCCTTCTTGTAAGCAATCTTGGAGGCTAATAGAATCTTACTATGGTACTAGGATGGCGTTCAATTTCCTCATCTGAGAGAACCTTTAATTACTATTGTTCGTGATCAAGTTCTGTTTAAATTCTATCCTACTTCTTACGCACATACACATTAACACTCCCATCTATTATTATAAAGAACTCATTCGATGAATCACCTTATTAATATGAAGCATAAACAAACCTTCCTTAAATACGATGTCATTCTTCATATAATGTCTATAATTCATCATTTTACAACACTTCTAATGGAGCTTCTAATCACGCAAACTCTTGAAAAAATCTAAATCCTTAGTTGCCTATTCCAAAACTGCCAACTCGAAATCCATTCTTTCCTCAGGTGGTGATTTTAGAATGCACAAACCCACTTTCAACTGAACCATCGGATCTTTCACTTTCAAGAATGATTAACATAGTTTCTTGTAAGTATTTTGATTCCCATTCCTAACACTCATAAATTCATCAGCTGAAATCACTACATCCATTTTAATATAATTAATATATATAATTTTATTTGCATCATTAATATTAAGCACAATTATTTATGGATAAAGATGATTTATTTAATGTGTAGGAATCCCTTTAATCTCCTGAAGAAGAATTGAAAAAGCAGAACGACAAAAAGAAAATGAAAGTTGAAATCTACATAAGTGAAGGTGTGTATGAATAATTAAGAGGCTACAAACAATTAAAGCAATCAAACATTCAAAATAATTTCATCATCCCAACTCCATTGAAACAAGCAAATGTCAACAGGTTTGCTGAATTAAATTAATAATCTATTGATAATGGACATAAATTGCACAATATCAAATTGAACAAGGAATCTATTGATGGGTTAGTTAATAAATATAGAGAATAAGAGTAATAAAAATTAAAGTAAGTTGAAAAGAAAACAGAATTATAATCATTTGAAGAAAAAAATATGTAGCAATAACCAAAATAGCTTATATTCAGGACGATGAAGAATTTTATACCAAATACATAATCATAGATTTAATCAGATCTTTTTACAAAGGAAGACTATTATGATAAAAATGTCTTAAATAGAATTACTTAAATTTTCAATTTCTGAAATGATTTATAAATCAATACCCTTTATTATTTTATCTTAAATAATCAAATTCTTTTAGTTTATTTAATTTATTCTATCTGTGATTTGTATCCTCCACCTTCTATTAATTAGACTCAACTGTTTATGTTGGAACCTACAATCTAGTACTCTTTCTATTTGTGTAGAGAATCAATAACTTATTCATTAATGATCCAAAGTTATTAATACATGCCTTACAAAGTTGTTCTGTTGAGCATTCCATATGAAATGAGTGTTTACAATCAATATAAACTTTAGACACCATTTCTATAAGCTTCTGGCAATGTGTACAATAAATATCAACTGGCAATCCAGATTATGATTATTTAAACAAAGATACTAAATATTTATTACATGTCTGCTTTATAAGCATTGTTGATTATCCGTAAATGGCCAATTCATAAAGTTAGCCTGAAAGCAGCTAAGAAAATGTTGACTTCAGCTCTTGAAACTCAAAATATTTCATTGTCTCATTTAAATTCTATAATAAATAAATTTATTACAAATTACTTCAAGTAAGCTTTTTATTTTTGTTTTCTCCAATACTTCCTCTAGCAACCTTGTGAAATGTGAATTAAAACATCTTAAAACAGGATAGAATCTAATCTTGTAAAACTCCTATCTTAATTTTGTCAACCTTATTAAAACCTAAAACCAATTGTTCTATTTTATATGATTAATTTATCTACATCACTTTCGTCATCATTCCTTTTTGTATTCGCTCTGCAAATACTCAAAGTCGGCTCCAAGTTCTCCTCAATGTAATTAAATAACTCCTTCTATCCCTCCAATAATTTTGGATTCTTCTGCAATTATTGCTTTAACCCTTAAATAAATAGCTATATTTCTTATAATCATCATTACATCAAATTGTAAATTAAGGGCCTCCAAAACTGAACCGCTTCTCTCTAATAAATAGGCCAGACCTTTCAAATTGCCATAAAATCTACACAATTTCAGACATTCATCCTAGGGATAGCCTCCTTTCGATAGTTCTGTTATAACTTAATCAGGATGCAATTAACATATTAGTTCAAAATATTCAATCATCAAATTATCATCCTTTTGTAAATTTTAAAGGATTTTAAATCTCACTATTGGTATTTACTTGTCCAATATATTTCTCAATTAGTCCTTATTGAAATAATCAAGCAAATGCTCTGTCTTAACAGGATTGATAAGAGAGAGCTCCTTTAACTTTTAAGATAGAATCTCTATAAATTAACTATCCTTCTATTATAAATCTATATAATTAAAAACCAACTGCTTTGCCTACCCTCTTAATTGTGTAAATTTATGAATTATTTTACTTTATTGGTTATTAGTAAAATAGGATTCTAAATCTTCAAGGTCTTCCTTATCATTGCAATATTGTTATAATAACAATTATAATGATGCCAAATCTGGAGTCTTGAAGTTGATTTCTTCTTCAAAATTAAAGGTGCTATCCGCATAAGATAGGTACTATCGTTCATATAAAGTTTTGAATGAACTATTGAGATTATTGGATTATTATTATGGTTAGAATTGGATTTATTATTATTTATCTAGCAAGGCTTCTTAAATCAATTCCTCAATATATAATTTATGATCATAGGTTTGGAGTGCTGATTCTAATAACAGATCTTCTTCCGTGATCCCCAACGATTCTAAAATTTCATCTTCTATGAATTTTTGTTTCTTCTCTTCCACCTTCTCTGTTATTTGATTAAAATTAAATTAGAAAGTAGAAAGCTTTTTTGCATCGGGGTGGATTAAGTCATCTATAGTGCAATCAGCCTTAACCCCTTAAGGCACCCAATATATATCATCTGATATCATAATATCAATATTATTAATTCTACATAACATTCATAAACACAATGTACTTATTTTTAAATTATACTAAGTTTATTAAAGAATATCAGAAGAAAGGAAATCAACATCATTTAGGCTGCTCACCTCATAGACACAAAAAATAGATAAGAAATGTGTGTGAATTTAGCATAAGAACCAAATAAGTATTTGAAAGTGTATGTTGTTAAAAAAGAATTAAAAATAGTTAATGAAATGCTTATTATGCTATCTGTTAAGAAAAATGGAATCCTAAAATATTCTTGAAGCATACTCAATTATATATATAGTAGTTTAAAATGAATAAAATCTCAATATTATTTATAATTTCTAATATCTTAAACTTATGAATTTCTATGCTCTTGACTTTGAAGATTAAAATGATTAGGGTATTGATTATATTAATCAAAGCTTTGGAAGACCACGAATAGATTTAGGTTGCTGAAGAGCAAGAGTACGAATTTGAATAGAGTTCCAACATTGAGATTGATAAAAATAATACTTTTGATGGTTATTTACCAGAAGAACAAGTTTTATTGTTTAACGTTGAGGATGAGTCTCCTAAAAAGAAATTAAAATCCATTGTGAGAAAATCCAAAAAAATAAAAAAATCAGACACAGAAACAGATGTCTAATCTTAAAAAAAAATGCCTAAATTCAAAATGTCTAATGATATTGCCAAACTTTAATAATGTCAAATGTTGAAGACCATTATTTCCTAAATGGAGACCATTCTTTAAAATACTCGAACTTAAATTCTAAGCCAGATAATGAAAAAGTAGTAAATCCAATGACTAAATGAATTTATATTATATAAATAGAGTTATTATACCATAATTAAAATATAAGAAAGAGTATTCTCATGCTATAAAATACAAGTATCATTAATTTATAAATATCTAGAAATTTCTATTTCGTAAGATATTTTATCAAAATTAACTGAAAAAATACTATAATTCGTAATACATTTTAGAAGTAGAAACAAAGAAATTTTATATTTCTTTTTATATTTTAAGCAAACCTGAATAACATATCACCATTTTTATAATAAAATATACTCAAAATTTTGTTTCAAGAAGATTTTCATTATTATTATCTCATATTAATTCCTGATGATTAGGATCTATTATTCACGGAAACCTGTTTATCTCTTTAACCCTCCTGCGTAATTACCTACAACTTCTTCTTTTTCTCAAATTCTTAGATAAATTATTGCCTTTTCTCTTCTGCTTCCTTTCTTATGATTTCAGCTTATTTTGCTAAATTCTCTCTTTCCCTTCTCACCATTTCAGTTCTTTCATCATCTTTAGAAAGCTTCATTTCAAGTTTAGTTCTCCTTAACTCACTTAATTATTCCATTCTTGTTAAGTTATCAAATTTATCAATATCTTTGATTATTTAAATGGTTATTCTAAAATAGAATACAAAAATACCTCTATTTTTAATCCTCATCCTTTTTTTGTTCAAGTACCTATAATTTTTATTAAGTTCTATCTAATTTCTTTTAAAGCTCTTATTTTTATTATTCCTACATCATTTCATTTTTTTATAGAATCATTTATATTTTTTATTCTTTATCCCTATACTTTTTCATTTTATCTTCCATTTGTTGTCTTTGTTGCTCATTCATAACCTCCTTTTTCTTTTAATATTCCTATTATTTATGTTCGTATTATTATCTTTTCTCTTCTTCTTTCTATTGATTAGTTTACTAGTGAATAATAGAATAAAGATATGTTACCATTATTTTATTAATTTACTTTTATTTCTCTTCTGCTTGTCTGGCTTTCTCTTGTCTGACTTTTTCAAGATATTCTTCAAATTCTCTTCTCTTTTATTCTACATGTTATTCCTTGAGAGTATAATCATTTCTTTTCTTCTCAAGTAGATTCTCATTATATTATTTAACCATATGTAATTTTTTTTCTAATTCAGCTCTTTCTTTTTCAGCCTAAGTCTTCCTTTCAATAGTTCTACTCTCCATTATTTAGATTCTCTTCCTCTCCTTTTATTCTAATTATGATTTTTTAATTTCTAATTGTCTTTATTGTTCATTTTGAAATTATTCATTTTCCCTTTACATAAGTTCTTATTTTTTCCTTCTTTCCCATTCTCTCTATTCTGCTTCTTGTTTTTGTTTCATCATGCTTTCTAATTCCTTTTGGCGACGTTTCTATTCTTTCAAATCATTTTCTTTTGCTTTTTGGTCCAACAATTCTTTTTCCTTCTACTCCTTTTTTTTTCTCTCCAATTCCTATTTTTATCGTAACTGTTCATTTTGATAGCGTTTCTTTTATAACTCATCTTGGAATTGTTTTTCTTTCTCTTGCTATTTCAACATTTTCTGAAGTGCTATTTGACTCTTCCTCTCTTTAAGTTACTCCTATTCGACCATTTTTTCAATTTCCATCTACTATCTTCTTTTTATATTTTCTAGCATTTTTTGTTGTTTGTCAGCAAAACTCATGGTGGATAGATTTAAATTGGAGATATGGTTTGAATTTCTACTAACATTATTGTCTTCTTAAAGTATTCTTTATCTTTAAGATCTAACAATGTTAATTCTTCTCTTTCGTTTATCCTCCAAATGTTTCTCAATCTCCGTCACCATATCATCTGTAAGTTATGCTCCAACCGTATCACGTTGCTTGATTAATTGCACCACTTATTCTCTTGTCTTCCTAAACAACTCATTCGGATGGATGCCTTCCCTTCGACATGCCTCCTGCAACCTTGGAGTAAGAGTTGCCTAGGTTATATTATAGAAATCTCTATCAGATAGAATCAATATAATACTATTCATAATCACTTGACATTAATCTTTTTAATTATATTCTATATTCAATCTTACTTTTAAGAAGGAAGTCTTAAAAAGTTTATAACATAAGCAAAGAGTTTTTTAAAGATTATACGAAATTAATGAATTATAAGCCTATCAATTGATGATGAAAAGAATAATAATCATTTAAGATAACATAATATTATATTGATTTGATCAAGATTAATTTCTTCTTATCTTTAATTAATGATACATTCATAAACAAAAACAACTGTTTTGAGTGACTGAATTTTTATTAAAATAAATGAAGTATAACAGTTAAATAATTAACATTTTATATGGGAACTTATCTTGTTTGAAATTCATTAAAGATGTTCATATTACATAAAAAATATTTTAAAACTCAGTTAATCGTTACTTTAACATTACTCTTATAAATTAAGATATATGGCTTAATATTGTCTCCTGTCATATTGTACAATTATCCTTCGTATCTTGTCTTGTTTTCACTATCTGTCAAAATCAACTTACTAGAATTATATAGAATTGAGAATAATACTTTTCATCTAGGTTAATCTTAAATGCCAACACTAATCCTTTCTTCATGTTTTTGTGAAATAGAGTCTAAATTGGTTCAATTTTCTCTCCTAATTATTATTTCATATGAAATGATCCAATGGCTGCACCTCTCACAATGTCGACAGCACAACATTGCTAAGTTTAGTACATTATTGAATAAGTGGCCATTTAATCCTTAACCAAATCTTCCACTACTCCAATATAGACTCTGTGTAAATGTTGGTATTCTAATTGTGCAAAGATTCCTGAGTTGCTGATATGACCACCAATAGTGTGTTAAGAGTAAGGATTGTACAATTAGGGAGAGTTACTCACAATCGATGCCAAACCTTCTTGTTATTCCTCTTGTTTCGATTATTCATTTTATATATATTCGATGGCAATTTGAAACTCATAAATTCCTTTTGAGAGTGTGCATGATCCATAAATCAGTTGTACATCGTCTTAATCATTGAAGATAAACTACTTTCCTTTGATTGTCTCCTAGATATTGGCATCCTCTTCTTGTGATAGTTGGGATTTATAAAAAAAGATGGCTGTAAAATATAGATATTGTATTTACAATCATCTTTTCTCATAAAGTTCTTCAAAGACTCCAATGAATTACAGACTTCTGTCACAACCATGTCTTTAAACTCTTAGGGCAATCCACTCTATTTGGATCCTTGAGTTAATTAATTTTGACAAACATTCTATAAGTTTTGTCTATCCTTGATAATTTGAGATATAAAATCATTTATCTAGCATATAAGGGGATCATACCTATTCTTCAGTTGATTGACCAGCTTTGAATTTGGTTAATTGTTCCTTTAATTTCTCAAATTCGTAGGAATTGAAGTATGAATTAAGAATTTCTTTGTTATGTTTCATTTGAATTGTTTTTTGCTTGGATTCCTACTCTAATAGATTCAATTTGATTTGCTTAAGATATTCTAAAGATTTAATATATATTTAAACAACTTTTTAATGATTATTGCAATTGATTTGAAATTGAATTGAGTTTGTCCTTATGGATTAGTTCATCTTCTGAAAATTTGTTAATTTGTTATTCATTTTGAGTATTAGCAAATAATTCCACACAATGTTATTTCTTTTAAATTTCAGATATCAACACACAACTCTTGATATGTGATTTGTGTAAGGAGAGTAGACACTTCTAACAACCCAGACGATCCTCTGTACATGCATTATATAAACACAGAACTGTAATTCTTTATTCAGGATGATAATCACATATGCTCATTTAGTTTAATATATTAATTTTCAATCTTTTATGCTTTCAACATAAGTATTTAACTCTTTTGCTCAAAGACAAAGCAATGGAATAATCAAATTATTGGCTTATGGTGTCTTCTTTGGTGGAGCTTATGGATGTGCTTGGCATTAATGGAGAGGTGCTCAACAGAAATAACTCTACGAAAAGGTTGAAAATGAAATCACTGAATGGAAACCCATAACCATAAATGGATTAAATGCCAATAGATACCCTTGGGCTCGCAATATCAAGGATTGGGAATACAAATTAGTCAAATTGTACGGATATTTCAGAGTATCCAATTGATATCACTATTATAGGATGAAAGATTTTTTGTTAGAAGAGAAAGAGAAGGCAGAGATGGATTTCTCGTTTTTGCTCCATTTGTAACAGCATTACAATTTAATGATACTGAATAAGATCCAGAACAAACCACCAAATCTTAAGTGATGGTAAATTTAGGGTGGGTACCAAAGGACAATATTAGTGATATTCAAATGGGACAGGAACCCATTGGCACAACTGTATCCACTTTTCTTTGATGTTTAGACATTTGAAAATGTCCCTCACAATGAGGATGATGATTAATTGACAGGGTTCAATAGAAATGTTGCCAATATGGAAGAAGATTACTAAATGCCATTTGTTGAATTCGTTGGTATGGTCAGAAAGGGAGAAGAGGAAGATATTTTAAAGGGACGCAGAAATTGGCCAAGAGAAGGAGTTTACAATTACATCGATTTATGGTTCATGTCCAGATTATACAGATCTTTCAATTTGGTATGGGAATATGCTAATATTTATTAATATAGACTGATAGCTCTTCTGGCTATATTGAAAGATTAGTGTAAGAGTATGATGAAGAATCTGCCAACTTATATCCCATCCCAGCCACTAAAGACAACTTCGATAAGCCATTACCAACACCTCAAACTCATTAAGCTTATTCCTTATTTTTTGGCTTATCATCCATAATGTCTATAGCCCTTTTAGCCATTAGAAGATGATTACCAACATTAAAATATTACCATATTCCAAAATATAAGCAGTTATTATTTTAAATTTAATTTATCTAACTACTATTTCATGCCACACTATCCAGAAGATATTGAATATTCAGATAAATATTAGGATGATTACTATGAATATAGACATGTCATTCTCCCTAAGCATATTTTCAAAAAGATCACCAAAGGTAAAATCAAAAATTCATTACTCTAGGAAAACTCCTTAGCGAAATGGAATGGAGGAATCTGGGAGTTCAGCAATCCAGAGGGTGGGTTCATTACGAATGTCATCGACCTGAACCACACATTTTACTTTTCAGAAGACCCAAAGGAACAGATCCTAATAGCGGATTGCCTCCCTAAGGGTTCTAAGCTCCTTATTGATTTAGTTAATCCAATTTACACAATTATTATAATACTTATTTCAAATAAAGTCGAGTAACACTCTCAACTTGGAAAACTACTCATTAAAATGGTTATCTGGAATTTTAAACTTAATCTCCATCACTTCTGTACTCTCCTTTAAGTATATTAATATCGACCATGTGTTATTCTTAAGTTCATTTACTTCTATTTAAGCATTTTTTGGTTTCCTAAAAGCTATATCACTAAAATTATTAAATCCAATTATAACATATATTCTAATTGATTTCTCATTCTAAGTGGAACCATTTTTGCATCATTCCAGAATTATTCCAATATACCTGCTATCTTCTTCTTAGATTGCTCTGTCTTTACATCATATATTTCAAAATGCAAAAAATTCACACCATCATCATCTATCACACCTTTGATATTATCCGCTCGATTTATAAGAATTTTTGAGTTTACCAATTTAAATCCAGACTCTTTATGAGTTATAAACTCCACATCTTCTATTGGGATTTATACTGATTAAGAACAAAATATTATTGAGTTTATTATTAAAATCTAATATATTAGCATAATTAATAAATATATTCAATTTAATTTAGTGTTTATAAATGATTACAAACTTCCTCTTTGATGTTGATGTGATGGAGATAGACTATGGAATGTTTTAAATGTTGATTGCTGAATTTCATTTGAAATGTAGCAATCTAAATAAGGATTGGACTCTTTCTCATTCAATTGATAAATGAATTCATTCAAATCTTCATAAATCTAAAAACTTATCTTTGTTTATGGAGTTGAATTTCGAAAGGACAAGGAATCCCCCATTTTTTATTATTAAGTATCTTTAAAATTGATTTGATTATTTGGTCCTAATTGACAGACGAGATATTAAGCCAACGGTAAGCCTAAAGTGCTAAAAGGCTCTGTACTTCCTTTCAAATTCACCTCCTTTGCTTACTAATATGAAGCTAAATCAAGATCTAATAAAGAAATTTGACTTTTTGTAACTTTCTGAGCTTTCATGTTCAAATTATGAATCTATTCGCTTAAATTTTAAATGTTTTCATAATAGTGATTGACTCCCCAATTCCTTTTTTTATGATCAGTATACGATGCAGCCTTTAATAAAGCTTCTTGTATCTAATGTGGTATTTTGAGATTTTAATGTTTCATTGTAATTTTCAAACATCCAGGTTAATGTTTGATTCTTTTGAATCTTATCTAAATAGGATATCCTGAGGGATGACACTCATACAATTATTTTTCATCATTTGTTATGATGGCCAGCATGATCTTAATAAATTCAGAAATACTCAAAATAATTGAGATCATTTTTGATCTATCTGTTTTCATGAGTATATTTGATTTTAATTGATTATTTGTAAATTTAAGATCTTCTTTTAGTTGATAAATTAAATCAATTAATTAAAACTCATTTATTTTATATTTTAATTTACCATAAGTTATCTAAGTGATATTATAGATGTTCAAACTTTGATTAAAAAGGATATAACTATTGCTGATTTAATTACTAATTTGAAATAACTCCTAAACTCTTGATTACTACTTGAAGAACTTTAGAATGCCTATTTGATCCTTGATATAATTTAGAAATTGCTTGCTTTGATTAACTAACTGTTGATCCCTCCACTTGATCTAATGAGAATAGAACTCATACAGATTCCCACCCTATTCTATAAATAAAAGTAATATGGTGGGTTCTATTGAATTTAAATAGATTTTTGTTATTTAGAATTACCACTTTTTTTCATTGTTTATAAGATAACCCAAAAACTTAGATATTTAATTTGTTTCCTACTTATACACCAATTCTTTCAGTAATAGCTCCTCGAAATTGAACTGCTTTTTTTGGGGTTCCTCTAAGGGTTGGATATTTGAATCCCTAAGAAACTCTCTAAATTTTTGATCAGTTACAATGTTAAAGGTTTCTCTCATTATTCTATTAATCTTGTCAATCCTTATTTAACCTTGTTGCTTATCATATTTAATCAAAACCACCCACGTTGGCAATTATTCCTCGATCAAATTCTCATATTATAATTAAGATCTCTGTGCCAAATAATATTATCTTCTTCTCATCTCGACCTAGTAACGAAAAAATATAATGAACATTCTAAACAAGCCATGTGCTATTTGTTAAACTACATCCATTTGAGATATTGAGACTTCCGCTCCAAAGCCGAGGAGAAAAATCAATGTTTGCCATCTAAATCGATTTCCCTAAAGATATAACACTTTTTTATAATAATAGATTCTATACTATATTTCATTATCCCCATTTCTATGGCCGTGTCTTAGATTTGATGGTAAATCATATAAATATCAATCGTAATGGCAAAAATGATTAGATTCAAGCTTTGAATAAATTCTCTATGCAAAGGATATTTCTGATAGAAAAAAAGTATAGTTAATTCAATACAAAGACTGGTTGAAGTCGTTATGATGTAAATGACATCGTTGTTGTAATTGATCAGATTTATTATAAGATAAATTGTGATTGTAGCAAGAGTAGTCTCATAAATGAATTGATTTTGTTCAATAACCCATTTTTTAAAGGAATATTCGAGTTCAGAAGAGAAAAAGCTTAAAGAAAATTTCTTGATCATTTTAAAAAATATATTTATTTTAAATGAAGAGTATTAGGGGTGTTTAACAATCCTAACTAAATCTTGACATTAATTCGTCGATTGAGACTGAAAATATTAAAACGTGTATCTAAAGTTTAATTGAATTCAATTAATAATAGATAAATAATTTTGTATTATATTACATAGCATAACTTGTTGAAAATTGATTATTAGTTCTGAGCATTTCAAGTAATTTAATTACATTATCACTTTACTCTCCAAATATAAGTTTATATTGATATGCAAATCTGTCCATAACCAACATTTGAATCAAGAGATATAATGAAAGCGTGTATTATATCTATTAATTTTTGGATAACAGAGAATAATAGGGGGTTATTTGTAGACTTATTTCTTTTTTTATATAAAATAAATTATAATATTATGAATCGAAATATACCGACTGGGAATAAAATCTGTGCCACAAAGGAAATATTTTAAAACTAGGTAATATTGAATCAGCATCTCTTAACTATGCGACCATAGATTAACACAAGTGCACCAAAATAATACGACTTTCTTAAGAATAAGAAAATTAAGGAGGCTATCAAATCATAAAAACAATAGGAAATAGAAAGGGAAAATTAAAATCTCGTTTCCAAAATAAACAATATAGTCAAGCAATCATAGAGTAATTTATCATATTTTATATTCGCAGATAACTCTATATCTACTCTTCCAATCAACAAATCTAGTACATTGAATTTCGTTCCCCAAAAGTCTCTGAATAAAGATCATAGGAAAAAGGAATTGGTTAAGATTGTTATGGAAAATTAACAATTATTGAAGAGAATATAAGACCAAAAGTCTCAGTACAACGTTAAAGATTGGAATGAAGAAAGAAAATGGGTTGAACAACACATTGCCAATATATCAGAATACCCTTATAAGAATTTCAAACCTACTAAAACTTTAGTTCAATATTGGACCAACTCAAGGATTAGTGAATCACAATTATAGAGTATTTTTTAAATATTATATCTTAGAGAGAGAAAATTGTATCAGCAAAAGGTTGGATCCTCTGGGTGAAAGCAAAAGTCAATAAACAAAGTACTGAGTATTATATATTCATTAAGAAAAAGAACAAGATAAGACAATAATATAGAATCTAGATAACTGTTATTTCATTAAGACTTTTAATATAGGTAGAGCTTATTTGAATCTGATTTTTAAGCTTATGAACCATATGAAGATAAAGTTACCAAAATCGTTAACGAAATGATTGAAAAGCCCTAGCATTCCTAAGAAAAAGTATAAAATAAAGAGCAAACCAACGAATAATAAGAAAAATCTCTTTAAGAATAAGATCAATAGATCTAGTCGGAAAATTTTGAATCTAATTAGCAAAAGAATGAATAAGTGGAAAATAAATAATAAGAACAACTAAATTAAGAGACAATTAATAAGGATCACAGTCAAAATATACAATAAAATTCTCAAAGAAAATCAATTGATGATACAAATTAATAAGAAAATCAACCTCTCAATTAAATCCATTAAAATAATCAAGAAATTTAAACAATAGATTTTGAACAATAAAATGATGAAAGAAAAGATTAATAGGATGTCTAAGAAATTCAAGAATGAATAAATATAGAAATTTTTCTATACTCATCATATGGTTTAGTTCATTTAATTCAGGTTATAGTTTAGAATCTTTTTGTCATTATTCAAAATTTACATAAGTAAATAATACTAATAATTTAAAATAAACAATCGAGAAACATAATTTAATATCATTCTTTTAATTCTAGTTTTTCAATTTAAGTAGATACATTAAGTAGTTCATTTTCTAAGTCTCCTATTTATTTCTTCAATAACTCTTTATATTATTTGATATATTTTTTCATGTTCTTAAGATCCTAAAAATTATTTCTGAAAATTCTCAATTATCTCTCATAATGAGAGTAATCGTCAGATTCTAAGGTATTGCCTTAAAAACTAAAAGTTTTTTCAATTTATTATTTTGGACATTTGACTCTGAACATTTATTGTAAGACATACTTTTTACTTTAATTGTGAATCCAAATTTTATTACTAATTTATTATCTACGTTTTCTGAAACTTACATTAGTAAATTATTTCATTTTAATTACTATGTTTTATTGAACTTTTTGATCTTGATTAATCATTTATTATTTTTATGATACAAATATCCTAGATTCATTAGATAGGGTTTTCAAAGTTGTTTGTGTTTGTTATTAATGAAAAATCATTAGTGGATGTACTTTACTAACATTTAATGCCTGCTTCTCAATTAATTTATTAGCGAATATTATCATCTAAACAACTTTTTTGAATTGCTACATTAATTTATCTATTTTATTCCTTCTGTTATGAATTAATTATTCAAGCACTTACTAAGTTCGCGAATGCTGTGTATCATAGATGATTGATTTTAGAGGTTTAATCATTCCTTTATATCTGGTGACATCGATATTGCAGGTTTCTTTAATTTTCTCAAGCTTCAAAGTATTAATTATTTCCCTTTCCCTTTCAAACCTGTTATAAATAATCTGAGCTTTCATTCTTTGTTCTCTATTGTGAGCAACAATTCCTAAATACTAACGAAGTGCTGGGAATGAGCTCATTTATTAGAAAAAATAATCTGCATTCAAAATAATGTATTCACACAATTCAATGGCAACTGCATAGTTTTTTCTAGTGTGTTATTTTGAGAACTTGAGTTTTTTAAAATACTCTTGCTCACCAAAAACTGACCCTTGTTCTATTTAGAGGAGTATTTTTCCAAATTGAGTTCTATATTATAATTTACCTCTAATTAGAAAATAAATTTCATTTACTACTTCATCTTTGATCCAAATTTTACAATTTTGTTAAGTTTTCATTAGCATCATCTTTGGCAAGATGGATACAGAAAAATTGAGATTTAATCGAAAAAAATGAATCTGCATCATTTCAATATATGAAACATAAAGAGTAATTTCTTTTTACCTAGTTATCGGTAAATTTTGGAACCACTCTTATAAGCTTAAGGACCAAGCTTAATTTTATTTAATATTTAATGCTAAATACAATTAAACCTTAGTTTGCACTTCTTTAATGACTTCAATCTTTTTAAAAAATAACTTCAAAGTATTTTGCATTTCCACATACACACTTTCTGAATTTAGTTTCTTTAACCATTCTGACAAATTTAACAATATCACACAGTAAAATGAAGCACCCAAGAACATCCACAATATCGCCACTATATACTATGAATAATTTTTGGCAGCATCGTTTCCATAACCTATAGTTGAAAATGTCTGTAAGGCCCAAAATAAAGACCTTATGTATTCTGAATTTTAATTCATTATACTTTAGTAGTCTTGATCCTCTTAGTATTGTTCATCATTGATATTCGATGCCAAATACCAAAGACAAGAAAATAGATGTAATCCATATATAAATTTTACGATAATCCTAAAGATGTTTAATTAATAAGAATTAAATATATTAAACACATTTTCCCAATTACTAAAAATAAAAACTATTAATATAAAATAATTACTTTTTGTTTTAATGAAATGTTGATACTTTAAATATACGATTGATACGAAAAACTCTGAGAAATCTAGGGAATTTATGATATTAAACGTGAAAACTATCATTTTTAGAACTAAATACTCATAAATTGAATCGAAGGGGATGAGTGTGATGATGTCAGGAATCAACCAACCCTTTAGGTAGTTCAAAAATATAAACCACTAATTTTCGATTAATACATTTTATCGATTATAGTAACAAGATCTCAATATACAAAGTATGTCTGTAACTATATAAAATGATAGATACTCAATACAATAGATTATATCGTTAATTAGATCTAATTCATACACTCCCTAAGAACTTTTATCCATAAATGCTATTCTCAAAGGCAAATATATGTGCCGTTTAAATATAGGTAATAAAGAGGATAATATCCCAAAACCTTCTGGATGTGTCACCCTAGTTGAATTCAAAATTTACTGGAAATATAAGAAGAAAAGATTTCTTTTTTAATCCTTCATCATGTCTTTCCAAAATTACTCTTTCATGGTGATGAAGTAACCGCATTACATTATAAATCAGTCTGAATTTCTTGGCCAATAGGTTCCTAAGATGTTCTCGTTTTTATTATTATTTCAATGCTTTATCCTTTTATCTTTATATTTACAATAAATCGCAAAACCTTTTTATTTCAACAAAATTGATTAAAGTGATGTCCTAATCCCTGGGAGTGTTAATTGAATCGATCAATTAATCATGATTGACATTCTTCATCGTCTTGCATCTTCTCTTAGACCTAATTTAGTTCTACATTAAATTTTAATAAAAATAAATAGGAATATTATAATGGAAATATGTTTAAAACTCTCTTGATTTAATCATAATTTTCTCATTAGAAATATAATCATTTTACAGTGGTTTATTTGGTAATTTCAGGCAGAGAAGCTCTTTTTACTTGTGAATTTGGAACAGTCTTAGATTTCATGAGATATTGGCTGGCTTCATCATGTTTCATTTTCGATGGGATCATCCTAATCGTATTAACAATCTAACATTTGATTGTTTAATACTCCTCTGGATCTAACATACATTAATGTAAAATGCATACCTTAATCTTAATAAATTTATTAATTGAAATTTGCAACTTTTCCATCATTGAGAGAAGAAGAAATCATCAAAGAGTCGTTAATCTCTACAATAGTTGGTAAAAAGATTGGATTTAACTATTTATGAGTTTGTTGATGCTTAATATTTTGTTGTATCGTGACAAACCATTGATGTTTAATGGCTCTTTTCAAAGTAATATTTGGCGATAGTAATTATTTCAATAGATCTAATTAACTAACTCTATACAAAAACTGATATTAATTTTATTTATAGTTTTAATCAGCCATCTAATTATGGATCCTATTGATTAGATCCAAATCAACATATTGTTTAATTCTGTTAGTAATGGTATAAAATGTAATTTGATATATTAATATTCCCAAATTATAAAGATCGTTTTCAATAGTGTAATTACTATTTTCCAAATATCTGGGAAACAGAATTACTACCTCCAATGTTTCATTTTCGATATTGATAAAAACAGATGAAAGATTTATGTTTCCATGATATATGTTTCTCTGTTAATACTTCTGCAAATTTTGCAAGATCATATATATGATTGATACGAAAGGGATTTCTCGAAAATCGAATCCATTCAGCAGCAAGCTCTCTAAAGATTGAAGCTTCATCTTTTCCCCAAGAATGTAGTACTTTTAATTGTCTTCATAGAGTTTTGGAGAGCCAGGTTTAGTTTTTAAAGAGTGCATTATTGTAATGGAATTGTGGAATATTTGGAATTCTTTTGGATCTTTTAATAGTTTTTTTTCATAAACTTAAGTGCAATGCTCCTCACTATTATTCTAATATACTAATCATTAATACTTTGATTGCTTAAGATATGGGAAGGTAATTCCTTTATGATAATTGATATTTTCCAAAAAAGTTCTTGTTTATGCAAAATCTTTTCAATAGAACTTAAATTCGTTTCATTAATTCTTCATTGTTCGCAATTAGAAATTCTCTTCCCTATCCATATTGCAAGATGATCACATAAAGACCATCGCAATTCTTGGTTTTTGTAAATTTGATTTCGTGATAACATTTGCTTAATTCAAAATATAAACTCTCTATGACAATCGCATTATCGTATACACGAATTTCCTTCAACTCAAATTCTTTGGCCTTGTGCTGATAAATCGGCAATATTTCCTTAATTAGTTCCTACTAACAAATTTTTTCAAATAGAGATTCCTACTTTGATCTTAATAAACTGTTTGATTCATTCATTTTTAGCTCATCAATCAGCTATGAATAGTGTTATTAAATTTACATATTTTAAATTATTCATTATTTCTCTTGAACTTTTTATATATAACTATACCATATCAAATATATATATATATACAATATAAGAATTGAATCAAGCCCATTTACACAATTAGAGTTTGAATATAGCAAGGTTTCCGATTAGATGACTTAAATACATCATAAGATTTAAAAGAATTAATTTTAAATATCGATCTTTTCAAATTATTTTTTAATTCATTTCTTAAATTTCAAATTCAATATAATTCAGCCTTAAAAGTCCTTGATCTTTAGAAAGCGATTTACATATTATCTCTTAAAACTGTAGAGTTCATTAAATCAAATTGTCATTTTAGAATTTCTTCAAATATTTTTCTAAATTTCCAACAATTTACAAATATATAAATATAAGCTTTAGATATAACAAATAAATATATTCAAGTTTTTTAAAACAGAATATTGTTAATTGACAGTATTTAAAATTATATCTCTCTGATGAAAACACATTTTTGATTGATTTCTCCATTTTTTTAAATACGAAATTCCATTTGGATTATAGTTTCCTTTACTCAAATTTATTGTTATAATTAAACCATATTGCTGAATTTTTTTCATGATAGAACCATGTAATTTCATTTACTTTTAAATTATCTTTATGTAAATGAATTTAAATATCCCTATATTATCTTTTAATTTTTTATTTCTTTAAATTGATAACAAATTAGATGGTTTATATTTTATTTTAATTCCAACTCTAAGATTTAGATTTAAAAGTAATAAATTTCTGTATAAAAAAAAAGAATTAATATTAGAATTTATCGGAAGTTTAGTTAATACAAATTTATCAGTTTATTAAAGAAATAAATTATTAGCAAAATGATATCAAAAGACGATTATACATGTTCCATTTGTCTTGGAGTTTTTGTAGATCCTTGCAAATTAAAATGTAATCATGCATTTTGTAATGCTTGTCTGTTGGATTTGATTGACTTTAATAACATTAAATACAAGTGTCCAATGTGCAGATTAGAATTTGTTAACAAAGATAACCCTTTATCGATAGATGAAGATTTGTAAAATATTGTTAAGGAAAACTTTCCTAATTAATACTAATAAAGATTAGAAGAGATAAAGAATATTTAATCTTTACTTCCAAACGAATTGAAAATTGAAGTGAATTACGGAAATTACTTTAAATCTGAGGATGATAATGATGATGGATTATAATATTAATGGACTACTCATGTTAGTTTGGATTATACAAGAAAATCTGATAAAATTGCTTTGAAAGATTTGGATTTGAATAGTTTAATTAAGAATGTAACCTTTTAACTCGACGAAACTTTCTTTCCTGATGTCATTACAGTTCGATAACCTCCCTATTTATTAACAAGATGGGGATATGATGTTTTTACAATTCCAATAAAAATAAAGTTTAAGAAGGAGCATAAGATTTAACCAATTGAATTTGAACATCATTTGGTCTTTGAAGGCGATGGAATAGAGAAACGTTAGATTGTAAAGATTGACATCAGCAATTTAACTTAATTTTAGGAATTAAAATAGTATTCTTAGCAATAATAAATTTAATAATAATAGTGATTTGAATTATTTATTTCTAATTCTTTAAATATATATAATAATTATTTACTAAATGATTAGCGGGTTTTAAACAGGAAGAAATTAAAAAATATAGCTAGTTGAAAATGAGAAATGCAATAAGATTGTCATCCAATTTGAAGATCTGTCAGAGGAAGAAGAAGTCTATAAATCAGACAATAAGCCAACAAAGAATGATTTAAATTTACTAAATTCACTTTCAAAAGAAGCTATTAAAATAAACAATTAACTTTACCATCCTAGTAAATTCGCTGAACAAGATTTTAAATTCATGAGTAAAAATCCAAGAGACTCACTCTCAGAAAAGAAAATTTCATATTAAACAGTGATCATGGCAGATGAGATATAAAAAGAAATCATCACACCAATTAAAAAAAAAGAACCTAATACCAATAATGAGATATTTTAGATGAACACCATATTGCTTTCAAAAATTAGCAAATTGCCTAAGTGTTTAATTGGAGAAAAATTTTATGAACTCTCAAAACAATTTATGAAGAATTCTTAATTGAAATTTAGTTCATTTAGTAGGTTATAAAAAATACCTTAGGAATTTGATTGGAAATTAATTAAGGAATATTTTAAGCAATATGATGCTGAAAAAGATTGGTTATATGAGCAAGCAAAACTAGTATTTTGGAAATTATAATCTAAAAATAATTACACTGATTAAAAATTAATTTTAGAGTTAGAATATCGTTATTTTATTTAATATAGATTATAAAGTCGAACTATAATTCAAGAGATTTGGACAAATGATTAATCATTAAATCAACATATGATTTTATTGGTCGTTGCAATAGAGTAATATTAAGGGAAAAGGATTTTAGAGTTATCTGATGGGTGGTATTCAATCTTCTTTATTTGTGAATAAAGTTATGAATAAATATACAATAAGATCAAAATTGGACAAAAATTGCATTTAACAAATTTAAAAGAATATCCTATTATATTTAATACTTCTAATGTATAGTTATAGTATCATCTAGGTTAAAATAATAACATAATATCCTTTTACTAAAATGATGGTTACTACTAAAATTAATTCAATAAAAAAAGCTTAATTAAATACCAAATTAGGAAGGTAATAATAAAAGTTCTTTCTTCGATCACTCAAAAGTCTGAGGAATGGAACCATTCCATGTATTGATGTCTTTATAGTTTCTAAATCTTATTTGATAAATATAAATCAAAAAAATTAACGTAAAGCCATACAATTCAACTCTGAAACTGAAAATGAAGAGGAAATACAAAAACTCAAAAATTCCAATCTATGCTTTTGGATTACAGTTATGGATAGTTTAAACTATTTTGATGAAAGGAAGTCTAAAATAACTGAATTAAAAGAAATATTAGTCTACATTAATGACCCATTATAATATGAAATGATATCCGTGGGTTAGAGAGTGTAAATTATTAATGCAATACAATTCAACTCAGATATCAGTGTAAAATTAACTAAATCCTCGGGAATTCTATTTGAATTATAACAATATTAGGACTACTTCAACAAGTTGTAAATTCTCAGTAACAGACATGAGATTTAAATCAAGGTCAATAACCATATAAAACTGGAACAAATGGATGTAATTGAAGGGAGTAATGATCAACATTAGAGTGTGAAAATAGAAATATAAAATAGTTTTTTTGGGGAAATTTTAAAAGATTAATAAATGAAAATTTTGAAAGTGACTCAATTGAATAAAATTAATAATGAAAGATTTCAAACCACCCAAATGAGTAAATTGATAAATATTATAAATTATAATAAATGAATTATTAGTTTTTGAAATAACCCTCCATGATAAATGACAAATCTTATATTTCCTCGTCCAAGTATAACAGTCCAAGATAGGATTATATGGACAATTTATTGTAAAAATTAAACATCTAATAATAAAGTGAGAATAACAGTGATCGCAATAGTGGAAATGAAAAACGCAAATTTGGGGGGACAAATAGATATAAAAAAAAGCACAAAAGACATAGCAGGGTTTTTGATGATGATTATCTTTAAAAAGAGAAGCGTGTCTTTAAATAGAGTTTACAACGACTGTACGAAGAGTCTTTTATAAAAAACATCATAGAAAATTCATATATAAAAAAATTAGGGTCATTAAGTACGTATCAAGTTTAGGTGCTTGATGATCTTTAATTCGGAACAGATAAATAAATAGATGATATTGATAATATTTTTTACAGTTTCTTTTCTAGTTATTTGGATAGGATATCTGTAATATATCCATAAAGCAATTTTAAAATATTTTGGAACACACTTCAAGTATCAACTTTCATTCTGATATTCTTGTGGTTGCCATATAAATTAGCTTTTGAAACCAATTACATTTCTTAATTTTATGATGAAGAAAAAAAAATGTCGATAGAAATAACTTTATTTGTGATTTGTGCTTTCGATATATTTATTTGTTTAAATGAAGCCTACATCCACAAAGGAATTATAATCAAGTATCAATAATGTATTTGATTATTTAGTCAGCGATATCATATCATAATGAATTATTTGAAAACCACTGCATTAGCCGATATGATAAGTATATTTGCATTACTTTATGAATTAATCATAGTGCATTAATATGAAAATCAATTTATTGCCTTGCAAATCAGTTTGTGTTTGATATTCGGATTGATAAAGACTTTTAAGATGAAATAGATATTTAATTAAATATAAGAATATTTTAACATCAAGGGCGTGTTAAAGGATTGTTTATAGATGACTCAAATAATTTGTGGACTAATGTACTTTATACATTTGGTAGCATGTCTTTGGCATGGATTGGGATAACCAACCAGTAAGTATACATGGTTGGATAAAAATAATTTGAGAGGAGCCAATGATAGTATAAGATATGCAGAGTCATTGCATTGGTCTGCAGTGTATCTTACTAACGTAGGTTCTACTGAGATCAAAATAGCTAATCACGATGAGAAATATTTTGCTGCAGCAATTTCATTTTTATCTCTATTCATAATGGGTATAATAGTAGTTTCTTTAGGATATTTCTTCCATAAATCCCAAAGAAATGAAATATATTCTGAATCAATGAAGTTGATGAATAATTTTATGTCAATGAATAAAATTGATTTCAATTTACAAGTTCGTATTAGAAATTACTTAGATTACATTTGCAAGGTAATTGTAATCAATGCTAAATTAGGCAGAATAATCGATGATTGATGAAAATGTTTCAAACATTGTAAACAAATTATCAGAGAGATTATAAGCAGAACTAAAATATCAATTAAGAGCATCCATATTAGAATCTTGTGATTTTATTAAGAAGAATTTTTCAGTGAAATTTTAGTAAGCTTTGGTTCCCTTTATGGAGGAGGTAAACACTATCCCTGAAGAGAGGATAGTAGAAATGAACAATATTGACGATTGTTCAATATACATTATAAACAAGGGAGAAATGGAAGTAGTGTTTGAAGCAAAGAATAAGATGAATGTAAAGTTCAAGAGGAATAATATAAAAGTCTTAGAAGTATTTATTGAATTTTTTTGATTTAGAGAAAGGAGAATATTTTGGCTTTTATAGTTTTATTACAAATTTGCCTAGGACAGCCACAGTTGTGTCTAAGGGATTCGGAAAACTATTTAAGATTTCTAGAGATAACTTTATAAATCTGTTGGATCAATTCCCAGACGAACGCGAAATCTTTTACATGATCAAAGACAAAGTCAAAATAAATCAAGACTTGTCAGATTTACAAATCAAGTGTTATGGATGTAAAGCCAACTCTCACATGGTCAATCTATGTCCAATTTTACATTTCAATCCAAATCAAGATAGAGTCATCAAATAATCACTCTATCCTCATCAATAAGAACGAGACGATCCTTAATAGTATAATAATTATTCATTAATTTTCTTAGACCAAGGAAGTCCAAATTCATTAATGCTTTGTTATAGTAGCAAATTATAGAATAGATAGCCAAAGAGTATCAGATGCAATTGATTCAAGATGAAACTCAAGAAGGAACATAAGCTACTCATGTCTTGTTGCAGGATGATGTTTCTGATACAGATAGTCGAAGTATCATTCAATATCAAATATAGCATACTCACAAATGAGAACACGATCAGTCTCTAGAGTTAATACTCATTCCATCTTGTCAATGCAATAATAGTCTTCTAATTATAAAATTAATCAACCTCATATGACTCAATAAATGATGGCCCAATAAGCTAATCTTCTCCCCTAAGTTGATGAAGATGAGGTTGAAATGATAGAAGATCAAGATCAAGAATAAGATCAAGGAGTCCAACCTAACTTTGACGAATAGATGAACAATAGAAAAGAATTCAATCGGAAAAATGACCCTAAGCATACAGTAGAAACTGCTGGATTTGGAAATAAATTTAATAAACCTTCTAATGTAGAATAAGACATGGACAATTCTATTGAATCTGAGGATGAAGAGGAATATTAAGAAGAATCAAGTGGTTAACCTCAACAACAAATGGGTAAATCAATTTCAAAAGGATCCCAAAGTCCCCAAAATTCAGGAACAAATCCAAGAAATATCCAATAAATGGGGTAGAAAGTTACCTTTATTAATCAATCTACAAACTAATAACAATAAAGTGGAGCCAACCCTAATGTTAGACCTAGAACTTCAATCAAAAGGGGAACTACCAAAACTAATAATACAGCCATAATCTTTGATAATGTCTTAGCCGCATTGTAGGAGAACTAATTATTAACCATTGAATTTGTAAATGATCTCAAATATATAGCCTATCATAACTTTTCCATCTCTTGGGGATTTTGATAAGATTATGACCTTTAGAAAGTATTTCCCTCAACATAATATTTCTTCAGTTTTAAAACTAGTTGAAAGATACTAAAAGCAAGTGGAACATTTCCCCATCTTTTCTCTATATTCCTTTATTTATACGGCAATTTATAGGGGCAAAGAATTAAGGAAGAAGGCAGAATTAGCAAAGCAACAATAAAAGCAAGTGTTGTATTATCCTAAAATTGTGAATAAGCCTTAGAAATATTTTAAGTATTATTATTCTTTAACCTTGTAGGAGATAGATTACTTAAAGATAGGTTTGATTATTTTATAACTAAACATACCATTTACAGTTATTATTATTTATAAACATTATTTTCTTTTTGAATTCGAATTATTCTAATACCTAAAATTGAATGGATATCACATCTAGATTCATGAGCATGAGTAGAGCAAAAATAATCAGCAAAAATCAAACTGAAATGCCAATTGATGGTTTTAATAAATCTTCATAGCATATTGTAAATTGTGGCTTCATTTTTATAGCATAATATGACAACTACTATCCTTTAATTTATGAATATCTAGAAGGACAAATACACTGCAGCGACTCATTTGTCAGGCCATCCTTTCTCAGATAAGGAAAGAGATGAGTTTGATCACTAAGTCTCTTCTTAGATTGCGAATTGCTCTGAAAAAATAAAGGAACTTCAATAATTGCAATCAAATTCATAAACTAAAACGTAAAGTATAACAGTTATGTAGTGAATATGTACATAAGGAAGTAATAGTTAGTTGTCTAATTGCTAAATTAAATCAGATTATTTTATTCTTTAGAGAATTTAAATATTATAGATAGAAATAAAAACAATAAATTTCATAATATACAAAAAGATTGAATAAGAAAAAAGATAAAAAGTATATGATTGAGTTTAAAACTAAGAGTATCCTCCCTTTATCAAATAGTTAACTAATTAATCATTCTAAATTAGTGAATTCATAAATTTAAATGCAATATTCGAATGATATCAATGAAATAATTAGTATCAAAGAATAAATAAGTGATATTTGTCTGTATATTCAGAATATGCAAAATTTAATAGTGTATTAAGAAATGAAAACTGAAGAGATATTACTAAATGCTACTGAGAGTTTTAAGCATATTGAAGCAGCTAATAATCATCTTTTCAGCTCAGTTATATTGAATGAGAAATTAGGTTAACAAATCGGATCGTTCTTCTTTTTTATGGGAATTATTTTATTAATTTATGATTTTATACATGCTTGAGTAAATCAAACACTATTATACTAATAATTATTTATTGTACTCCTACTCTTATGAGCTATATTGACTTATTAAATATATAGAAAATTATTTTTTTTATTAAGCAGTCTTAATAAAAAAATATCTTTTAAATAATAAACATTTTACTCCAATATTAATGATGTGAAAAATCTCATAAATATTGGCGACAAATTTAAGGAAATGAAAATTCATATCTGATTTTAATGTTATAAATAAATCATAGTGATGAGTATATTCCCATAAAGTATTTTTGCATTGCTTTAATAAATCGAACTTAGTATTCTGCTGGTTTTATAATGGTTGGATCAATCCCTAAATTCATAGCAGTTTTTAATCTAAATATAAATAAAAAATATTACGTAGTTTCCATTTTTTTCATAAAATCATAACATTATAAATAATCGATAATTGATAATTTAATCTAGTTGTTTTACTTATCTATTATTAGCAATAAGGAATAGTCCACAACGGCAACATCAAGCAAAAACTGAGAATCTGATTCAAGAGCTTTTTCTAAGAAATGGTAATCTTATTCTTGAATAGGCAAAGGTTCGCCATTCCTATCAATAATATAATTGGTATCAAGAAGAGTTTTTAGATTTTTACGATTCCATCTTTTGGCAATACTACCTTTGAGATCATAAACGGTCAATTCACCCTCTAAACCCCAAAATAGGTTTTCCATAGCGATATAATAGGTAGTTCCCTTTGAATTTTTAATGGTGAACATGCCGTAAATCTTATTAAGAACAGATGGCTTTTAATAAAAGATATTGGAATAAAGATGCTCAAAGTATTTAGGAGCAAATGATTCAAACATATTAAATTCAGATTCTTTAACAGCCTTGAAAATAAATAAATTATCAGATGACTTGAAGAAAGTAGATCCACTCTTACCTCCTGCTGAATTCCAGTTAGAACAACTTGCAATAGATTTAATAAATTATTTGACTTTAATTCCATTTAACATTCTAACACATTCAAATTATCTTGGGTAATACAATTGAATTGAAATAGATTTGGATGGTTTTTTAGGAGTCTCGGCAGATGGTTAACCCATGGTTTGCTCTTCCTCCTCAATATCTTATAAGTTATTGGAACTAGTTTTCTTAATCTAAGAAGTAGATTTAGTTATTTTTTATTAAAATTCTTCAACGATTGCAAATTTGGATTGTTCTTTTAAGATTTTAGCAGCCTCAATTTCAACTTCTTTTTGTAGAGACTTATTTTCAATTTTCTCCCACAATTCAGTAAACCTATACTTATATTCATACAGATCATAATATCTTGGATGATTCAAAGCAGCTGCAATTAAACCGATATCATTTTGATTATATATTGGAATGAATTCAAAAAATGATTTGAATTGCAAATTAGTTTAGTCAGAATTGATTGATTATCTTGGCCATTTATCAAATACAAATCTAAATGAATTTTGGAAGCTTAATTCATATTCCGTTTTTTCGGTTCCAGCCTCTGACTGTTCTTCGAATTAATTTAGATTTTCTTAAGTAGGAGATTCAGGTGATTAAGTGTATTGAATAGGGGATTGATTTTAGGTAGGGAACTAATTTTCATTGCTTATTTATTAGGATGCTATTAGAGTAGAGGATTCCTTTTGAGTTTTTCTCATAGAGTATTTCATGGATGGACCACTTTCACTCGAAACTAATGAGAACATGGATGTTTTTTATCTCTGAATATCTGATTCACTTTTTAATTTGGCAGCAATCCTTTGTTGTTCAGCCAATTCTATTTAAAATAAACGTTAATAAACTTGCATGCTTTCTTACTCTAAAGTGATAAAATCAGGAAACTGGTATTATGATAATCTTTCAATGAAACTCCCAATGATTCCCAAAGAGGTATCAGAATTTTTCTCAAAAATTGTAAATGAGGATTGTGTGGATGATGTCATATAACTGCTTCTAACGCTCCTATCCCCATTTTGAATTGATAAAAACAATTTTTGCAAATAGCAAATCAAATACTCTTTTCTTTTATCGATCTCTTCCTTATCACTTTTTTCTATATGTTATTTAACTTCCTAGCAATCAAATTGAAAATGTTTAATCCTATAGATATCAAATAAATTGGTAAACAACTTAATTTAATGTTCATCACATTCAAACACTCTTTCTGTTTAGATATGATTACATCCATCTGATTATTTATCCCCTTAGTCCTTTACCTCTCCTTCAAATACAAGCCAGTCTTTCTTATTTGTCTTTTTCAACCTTAAGGAGTTTTTGATTAGATATTGTACTAATCTATAGAATGAGAACTCCAAGTGATTCTTTTCCAATTTAAAGGATTTCGTCAATTGCCTATCGCAATTAGCATTAAGACACTTGATGTAGGTAATGATACTTAATTCCACTTATTGTTGAATTTTAGGTTCTGAATCTACAATAACAGTGTCAGCTTGTGTAGCAGTCTCATCATTGAGAGACTGAGGATAGAGGAAACTGGTTGCTTTTTTGAGTTCTTTTGATAGAATGGTATTAGCTTTAACTTATAAGTTTTGTTATTTTTTCTTTTCGACAACGCATCGAACAAATGCTCCTGGACCATATCTAATTGAAACATGATTTATCTTTTTAGTTTAACAGTGTCCACATTTAGATTCACGAATCAGAGCTTTATCACTAATATACTTCCCTAAACTTACGTCTTCTTAATGTAATCCAGAGTTTTCATAGAAACAGACTTTCTCTTTTTAACAATCGCACAATTAACAAAAGTAGGGTATTTTCTTATTATTAATATTTTTGATATTCTATAAGATGTAATTTTCCAGACTTTCGTCACTGATATTAATGATTTAATATTTACTTATTCTTTTTTTGTATGTCATGTATCTTACTGATAACAGCTGGATAGAATCTCAATTTGCAAAGTTTGATTTATGAGTTTTCTGACTCCGACATCAATTAGACTGAAAAATCTGTTATTTCTCCACAAGTCATCATTGGAGAATTTTCATTGTCAATCTGTTTGTATTTGAATTCCAAATCCTATTTAATTTTATAATCTAACAAAATCATTTCAAATTCTAAGGACATCTAATGACAAATACAAAACAGTTCTTGAAAACATTGCTTCACATTAATCAATTCATTGATTTTGGGTCCACTCAAAGTCATCTAAAAAGAATTGCTGGATTGAGGTGTAGTAATGAATAATAAGGTTTTGTCTCTGCCTCTCTTCTTTTCCAGATGTGCTTCCAATAGAGTCTTGTCTTTGTCATCCAATTTATCATACAAATTAAGATTTTGTTTGATTGTTTCTGGATCACAACAAACATAAGATGCTGTATCTGCTCTGCCAAGACAATCCTTATCACAACACTTATTAAAAACATCTACCGCCTTCTATATTTTACCAGAAACTGCTTATTCAACTTGTAAAAGTTACTTATATCTGCATTGAATGGAAACAGTTATATCCTTTTTCACCAATTCATTCAACAAAATGGTGTTGATGCTCTTCTCCACCAAAATAATGTTGGGATTGAGCAACTCTATTTGTTCCAAGGCTTGTTAAAGATACTTGTTCTGATTCTTGACGACATTATCGAAGTTCTGTATATCCAAATCCAAAGATCCGCTCAGTAATAAAAACAAAGGGGATTTGTGATGAGTTTTCATTCGTTTATGAGCTATGTTTTTTCGAATGGTGACTCCTCTTAAATATTTGGTAGCAGCATAATTAATAAATGGGATTATTTTGATTTTGATATATCTCACTTTATTTTTTACTTTAGATTAGTTGTCGATCTAATGGTACTTGAAGTCTTCAATGGAATTAGTGATAAATTTGGTCATGACTCCTTACCAATTCTCATTGATACCATGGGCTATTGTTCTTCTTTCCACAAAGTCTTCTATTATGGAAATCATCTTCTATTCTAATTTCTTTTACTTTCGTTCTATGTCATCACCTATTGTGATCGACTCTGGAGGGTGAACCTTCAATACTGGCAACAGGGGCTTTTGATCAGGGATCGTCTGAGGTATTAATTGTAAAGCGGGAGGAGTGGACTACTGGATATATCAGAAATATGCATTTATACTTCTTTTGCAGATTCTGGCAATTTCTCATTTACAACATTAAAGGATTTAGAATGTCTTCTCATTTGTTATTAATCGGGAAGTCCTAATGTGTCCTTATTTTCAACTATTTCCCCATTTTCCCTTAACTTTTTGCTGATGTCATTAAAGCAATCTTAACACAATCGAACCTTATTATTCAAAGGACAATCATACTTTGTTTTTTTTGATCTCTTAATAGTTTTTAAAGTTGGTTTTATCTATAAAGAAATTCGAACAACTATTTTGAGTTCTATGACAAAATCGATACCTATCGCAAAACACACCTCCGCAATTCCGACAGTGATGTTTCCTTCTGAATATCGCCTTAAATTGGGATGAGCATTTCTTACAACATTTAGCCTCCTTATCCTATACCCACTTCGTAGTGAACAATAACTATTGGTTCTTCATTCCAAATCTCTTACAATAAATAATAAATTTTAATCCAAACAATGTATATCTTTAATTTAATATATACGAAACTGAGATGTGTCATTGATTGGCAATTAATTAAGAAATGATCAAAAATACTATTATTTCTTGCATCTTCAAACTAAAATTCGCAGATAAACCCTATTTTACAAATATTAATTTTATATGGATAATTCTTAATACTTGTAATCTCTTTTGGACAATATCGACAACGATCAAGGTTACCACAAGATCCGAGAATACGGACGAACCTATGGATTCCACAATATGTATGCTCATTTCTCTTCTCTCACAATAGATATTACAGAAGACTGATATGGACCAAACTATTAGGAATAGATCAACAATTACCTTACCAGGAAAAGGAAAAATGTCTACAACATGATCAATTATTGAAGGATGTCAATCGCTCGTTGAATACTATAACACAAGTCAAAAACTTCAAAGAAATGTATTTCCCCTATTTTTAAATATAGAGATCAATTGAGAAAATGCTTAATGGACGTACTTGACACCATTTTCAGCCACTACCCTAACTACTCCTACTATCAAGGCTATCATGATGTTGTATCAGTCTTGATACTGGTCTTAGGAGTAGAACAAGGTTACAGAGCATCCGTTTATGCTGCTTAGCACTTCTTCAAAGATTACTTAGACCAAGAATTATCTACTACGATCACTCCACAATACCAATTCATTAGAATTCTCCTATTGCGATTCTCTAAAGACACTAACAATCAAAAACTCAATGGTATAATGACAATCATCGAACACCCCACTTGTGTCATTCCATGGATCCTAACATGGTTTTCTCATTCCTTGGAAAATATCAATGACATCTCTAGAGTTTGGGATTTCCTATTCTGTTCCTCATAAAATACAATCCTGTATATCTGTGCAGCATTTATTGCCATCCATCATGAAACCTTAGAAGTGACAGATGAAGATGATCTTGTTGGAGAATTTTAAGACTTTTTTTAAAATCTTAATAATAAAGAAAGAATTTAAGATATTAGACTAGAGAGTGTGTTGTAATTAGCATACATGTTGGAGGATAAATACAAGTTTGAACCAATCTGCCAATAAGAAAATATTTAGTTTTCATAGAAGTATTTTATTTAACATTATAATTATAGTTCTATTGTGTACTAACACAACTTCAAATCTTAATTATCATATTACAATTCCTCAGATAAACTATATAAATCAATCCCAAAAAAAGTAATCAATTACATCCATGACAAATCAGATATCATATTAAATATAGGTGGAGCCGCTTTAACTTATCTTATTCAATATTATATAGTTAAAATTTGATATAATGTATTAATATTATTATTTATCTGTTAATGATAAAACAATTAATTTCCTCAATAATTGAATGTGAAAAGGCTTTGGAAAACATTAGAATTGAGTTAAATCAATAGTCCTTATTTTCCTTGAAACCCATCATGGAGAGATTCGACCAATAAAATAAAGGACATATTACTTCTTACGATATCCTTCAATTTTGCTAAGACAACGATATTTAATGCCAACATTATGATGCTTTTTTATGTGTCAAATATTTCGATGTTAATAAAGATGGCAGAGTTACTTTTGAAGAGTATTATGAGACCATTATTATATAGCTTTACTATTTAAATGCTATCAAAAACTAATCGCGAAATTAGATTTGTGGCTGCAGTCAGAGAGCCTTACTTTATTGAAAAACAGATGTGCTTGCCTGAAATAATAGAGACTGGACTATCTTATTTCTTTGGAGAATTGCTAATCTATGTACGAGAGCAATTAGAAATAAAAATGCTTTTAGAAAAAGAAAACTTTAATTACTTTAAGCTCTTTCAACAACTGGATAAGAGTAATAATGGAATAATTCACATGAATGATTTTTAAAAATACTTTAATTTATCCCAGGAAGATACAAATTACTTTTTTATGATGGGCAATCTCAATGAGACCATTGATTAAATTAACTTATTGGACATCTTTGTCATTACCCAGTTAAAATCAGAGAATATCAATTAAGAAAGACAGTAATCACCATTAAAACAAAATAAGTTCCAACAATCTATGGATGAAAACGATAATTCATTTCAATCTCCTGAATAACGATCAACCGTTAAATACAAAAAAGCTTAACTCAAACTTTTAAATAGTGAATAAACTCATAGCAATGCCAGTAGCATTTTCGTCGATGAATTAACCAAAAAATTATAGGATTTTACATTCACTCCCAAATCCAATGATAAGTTTTAAATAGAATTAATTAATTTTGACAAAGTTGTTTATCAATAGCTTTATCAATTGCTTCTAAAATGTAAACTACTGTCTAAAACATAATTAAAATTGATTCAGAGGTCTGACTTTTGTTGCAAGGCTATTTTCAAACTATTTGATTATGAAAACAGAGATTTCATTACCGAACAAGACTTCTATTCAGGATTTCGAAGGCAAAGAATGCAAATCAAAGGTCTAGCAAGAGATCTAATTTTAAGTTATGGTTAGGATTCTAAAATAAACTATCAATAATTCAAAAGATTAATCTATATCGATTAGCAAATGGATTCTAGTGAAAGTTAATAAACTAATTCCTAATTACTTAGCAATGTTACTATTGATTACATTAGGTAATTGTTTTAAGAACAGATTGATATAGAGTAATTTAAAAAAGCCTACATTTAAAATATATTAAAAAAAGTAAAAACCACTGATGATTCTATAGTCATTACCAAATAAGTTCAAGATCTTTTTAATAAGTATAATGCCTTTCCAAACGATAGAGAATTAGCAATTTTAACAAATTAATTGTAGATATTATAATTTTGATTTTATCAATATATATATATTTAAACTTTATTTTCTTGATTATAAATTAGTAAATAACTCTATATTATAACCAGAGTTGAATAAAATACACATTGATTTGAATATGGAGACAATTTATGTTAAGCCTTTTGTAAAAGTAAGAACTATAATATAATTCGTTTTATTATTAATTAATAAAAATTAATGAAGTCCTTGGTTATTTTTGTGATTCTGTTAGCTAGCATTATTTTGCCAAGCACTTGTATTACAATTTGTTATTTTAGAAATTGAATTAAATAATTAAAATGTCGTATCAGATTGCGAGTGTTTAGGATAATTTAATTGCCCTTGTGGAAATAAAGATGTACATCTTTCCTTTTAATTAGATATTGTATGTGATGAGAAGCGGATAAGATAGACTTATGTTTAGATTAAATAACAAGGAGAAAGAATATATAAATGAACTTAATAAGGAATCAAAGTAAAAGTAGAAGCATAAATGAATTTATCTATTAAAATAGAAACTAATTGCAATTAAAACTCAAGCAAATAATTAATAATTTCAACATCTTTCTGCTAAACCAAAAAAATATAAATTTAAGATTATCATTTTCAGTTGTAAATAATTTACACACCAAATAATGAATAAAATAAGTCGTCTTATTTGAAAATATTATTTCTAATTTACATTAATGTTTGATTTCAAACTTCAGAGTAGAATACTGTGTTGTAAAAAGAATCTAAATTTTATACTACATGTTATTATTATAAAAATATTGATTTTGAGCATGGGATTTATAACATCATTTCTATGTTACTTCGTTCCTGGAGTTGGACTAGCAACATACTATTCATTTAGATTAGGACCTTAATTGCCAATAGCTTGCAGAAAGATGGGGTATTATTTTACATTATTAGTGATAACGCATTGGATTGGGTTATGGAGCATTCAAAGCAATTTTAAAAGTTAATTTACCAAAGGATATTGTTAAATCAAATGAATTCATCAAATTGATGAGGTATTTAGAATCACTCATCTTTAGGCAAACAGAACAATAAGCTAATGCATTAAACAGAGAATTCAAAACTAGTTTACATAAAATCAAATAGGAATTAAAGGAATAATTACCAGAAGAAATTACTTAAAATCCTCATTTATAACTCTAATTAAAGGATTACAGGAAATCAAATAGTAATTAATAAGCAAATACCATTTATGGATCTGACACTCTTGTTAGTTTAATTTAAGAAAGAAACAGATTAAAAGAAAGCAAAATGTAAAAGGATAGATTAAATGATTTTACAAGGAAACTTTGAGAATCATGAAAATTTGAATGGCATTTATTATAATTAAAAATAAAAAAGGATTAATATATTATTTTATTGTTAATCCTACTTAAGAATTCTGAGAGAATAGATTCAGTATATTATGATTTAAATATTGATGCACAGCGAGTTTTTAGCTTTTCAAATGAGAAGTTCTATTTGATTGTTAGAAAAGAGGTGATTTTGGAATTTCATTTTACTGAATTTATCAACTTAAGGATGTATTTTATTAATAATGATCATTTTCTTTGGATATTTTGGTTGTAATTGGTAATTTGATCTAGTACCTAAAGAGCATTTATGATTGAATATGAATTGTTCGATATAATAATTAAATATTTGTTCTTATTAATGATCAACCATTAACCTCTATAAAAAAGAACTCCTTTATTTAATGTACGAAAGGCTACTTTAATAAAGGATGAAGTTGATAATTACAAAGTTTATCGATTTGAATTGTTCTCGATGAAAAGTAATTATCAATTTTAAGTAGAAAATATCAGTCTCCATAAAAATCATGCTTCTGCTATAAACTTTTAATAGAATGATATTGTTTAAGATCTAAATTAAAGTTGTGTATGTGAAGAATGCGGGGGGAGAATTGCAAAACAAAGAATCATGATGATTGATCAATCGGACAGTAAGTAAATACTTGCGTCTTAAAAATAATCCTATTCTCCTCCATCTCAAAATAGGCATTCAGTGATTGATTCTAGTCTACTTGGATCATAATAATTTAGTATTTAATCAAATTAAATAAGCTGACAGACAAATGATGTTTAGCCTTAAGAAAAGTGTAAGAAGATCAATAAAACCTGTTTTGTAGGTTATCTAAGCTTAGAATATGATGAAAAAAATGGTTAATGACAATCAGATCTAGGCGAGAAGAAGTTTACAAACGATAGAAAAATCAGAACCATTATTTGAGAAAGTCTAAATAAAATTAAAATCTCAATTCAGAAGATCAATAAACAATTCCCCGATCCAAATTAGAACCAGGACTGATGCATCAACCTATCTATTCCCTATATTAGCAAAACCAATGACATAGTAAAAATAATTGGTTAATTCTAAATCTGATTTCCAAATTGTTATCAAGAAATAACCTTAATTATTGAAAAGTGAAAAATTAAACTAGGTTAAAACCTTATAGCAACGTTTATTATTAACATATCTAAAAAAATCAACCTCTCAATAAAATTAAGAAAAAGTAAATATTTTAAAATCTAAATTGAAAAATTGATATTAATGAGATCAAAAAATGATTAAATTAAATAACTAAAAAAAGGAAATAAATAGAATTTACACTCATTTTTTCTGTTTTTTAATAGTCTTTTTAATTTTTAATGGTTTTTATGATTTTTTATTGTTTTAAGATTGTTAGTTCTTAAATTCTATAAGAATGCAAGACATGTTATCTAATCCCCAAACAGTTTGATCAGTCATGGAAGGAGCTAAAATTTGATTCATGATTGATTTTAACTTCTCTTCAGCTATATACATTGAATATACGATTACATCTTTCTTTGTTATTTTTGAATATCTTTTGAGTAAGATTCTCCCCATAATCATTTAAGCCTTCCCATATTCCATCACAAGCCATAAAAATCATTTGCACATTTTTAAACACTCTAATTTCAGGGACAGCTATCACCATGTCATCCTTATATTGATAATCACCAAAGGCTCTAGAAAGTGAAAGTGCTCCACAAACTCTACCATCGGCCACAAATCCACCTGCATTACAAATTCTTGATCTCTCTTTTGCATGAGTAGGTTTGTGATCAAAACTCATTATAATAGGTTTTCCCTTTTAGATGCCAACAGATCTAGAATCTCCTATGTTTGCACAATATATTGAATCTTTGGTTATTAACACTATGTTAGCAGTTGTACCACTTTCATCAATAATTGAAGTGCCAATCAATTCTACAATTTTCTTAGGAGCTAATTTAGATAATTCACTTAGATCGAAAGGTTGCTTATAGAATTGCTTCTTCTAGTTCTTAATATTTTTGATCACTTGAATATTATTAAATAATGATACCATCTTCAACAGACATTTAAAATCTCTCCTCCACCAAAGCATTAAGTCCCTCGGAAGTTATTAACCATTTATCAATATCAATGAAGGATTCGGTCAAACTCTCCTCATATTGTTTATTTCTGAATTTTATATTTGATTCCAAAAAGCGCGGTAAATATTTGGAAATAACCGAGGAAACCTCAAATCCTCCATGTCCATCCAATATTCCAAATAAATATTCTCCTGTTGATAGTTTTTCTTTGATAATTGCATCTTCCTACAGAAGAGATTAATACATTTGATTACCATTGTTTTTCTCCATCCTTACATAGAGGCACAAGTAAATGTGAAATCGTTATTCTATCCTGATTCAATAGTGAATTTAGTTTTAGGTTTTGTTAAATAAATATCATCTATACACATTATTTTCAGCTCTAAAATATTTGATTTTATTAATATATCAAAATTATGTAATTCTCTTAAAAATTGATAGAGCAAATCGAATAAATCCAATAATTATTTGCATGATTGCCTATTTGATTGAGTTATTCTAAGTCATCTGATAATGAAAACAGTTCTAATTTAGTTCATAAGATCAAGTATATGAACCAGTTATTAGGGTTTTAGCCCTCTAAAATTGGGTCACACTATCGATTTGTAACAGAATTAGAAAAATTGCTGAGTGTTAAAACATATTCACAATATTAATAGATCTTGTTATTGATAATGATTCTCCAATTTGGAATAAAGTTTAATAGATTATAAATTAGTAATGATAATAATAAATAAAGAACATTAATATCAATAAACAAATACATTCTTAATAGATTTCTTATTGTTATTTATTAAATACAAATTACTATTATCTCTGAAGCTAGTTTGCTTCTTTTTGATAGTTCTATAGGCATCTCCATTGTAAATATCTTCCAAGTCTATGGAAGCGGATTTATAATTTTATTTAACTTAGCATCGTTAAGTAATCCTTTTTTAATTCATTGAGTAAGTACGTTTGGATTAGCTTACAACTTTACTATTTTATTTTAGGTAACCAGGCAATTATAATTATCTTAACTTATTAGTTTGAAGTGATAGATTAGCATTTTGATAAGTGTTCAGATAGGTTGAGTATATATTTGATTAATAATTCTATGAAGATGAGTTTGATCTATTTTCTCTTTAAGTAAATTCTTATTTAGGTTTCTCTTGGCTTTTTGAATTGTGAGACAGGAATTTATTTTATTTCTAATTGCTATCATCAATCTGATCATTCGAGTATTCACGTACTCCTTAAGCATTTCTACTATCATTGGCATTGGAGCCCTAATAATGATTTCCATCTAGATGTGTTATTTTTCCAATGCCATGCTTTACATCATTTTAATATTCTCCCTAATTAGGAATCAAATGTTACTTCGTAAACGATGCCATTTTTATTAACGTATCTGCCATAGCCATGTCTCATTCCTTCTAAGAATTGTCCTTAATAGATGGAACCATCAACCCATCTATATTCCCCCTGTCCCTGTGGCTTGCCAAAATAGTAGTTGCCAATATACTTATCGCCATTCTGAAATTGTTCAACTCCATAACCATTTTTAACTGAATTCTTCCATTGACCAAAATAGACATCTCCATTCCACTTGTGTTCACCTAATCCATCTTATTGTCCGTTAACCCACTAACCAATATAATAGTCATCTTGTGTTCCTTTCCATTGGCCAAAGCCATGCTTCTGAGCATTTGACCATTAACCAATATAATATTCACCATTGTCCCATCTGAAACTTCCTTCTCCATTGGGTTTTTTATTGTTAACTTGACCATGATATATGCATTTGTTGGGAAAGATCTAGTAAGAAGTGTTATGTTCAAGATGATTGTAAATGAATCTTCCATTTATAGCCAATTTAATTTCTGCATTGTTGCTGATTATGATTATTTAATTTTCTTTTCTAGTGAATTGATTAAAGTCTAAGGATTGGATGGGCAATTTATATTGATGAAGTAAGGTGATCAATTATTTTTTTAAAGATTCTGAACTTTGAATAGAGAACAAGCCTACAAGGTCTATTTAAAACTCATTAATATTGGAGATTAACGGATATTTTTTTTGAATTCTCTGCACTTATTATTAGACATTCTGGATTAATTGATACTCTTGGAGCCTAGAGATAAATTATGATGTTTACATTGAAATATATTTAATAATATAATAATAATATTTATATGGTGTATTCCTAAAAACAAATTAATATTGAATCAGAATAATTTAGTTTAATAATAATGTTTACATTATGTAACCTCATGTGATTTGGCAGTATTCTTATTAATTAGATCAGGAATGTTGTCATTTTATAAGGCAATATCTATAAAAATGATGAAGAAGTATTCATACAATCAATAAATTCTTTCAATTTCTAAAAGTAACTTTTCCGATACTGAATGTCAGTATCAATACCTGAATGCCCAACATTATCAGGAATCCACAACTCATACAAGTTGCTTGATTTCTGGGCTAGTTGTTTTGCATGATCATCGGAAATAATCTTGTCATTTGCCCCATGCATAATAAATATAGGGCATCTGATGAATTAGATCCGATCGATATTCGGGAATATATCATAGTAAGGAGTGTCCTCTATTTTATTACTAATGACTCTCAATCCAGAACTGAATCCACTCTCAATAATCAAGCCACCTATTGGGAATTACGGATTGGATGATAATGTTACACTAGGGCCTGAACCAATGCTGTAACCATAAACGATTATTTGTGTTGGTTTATATCCTAATTGATGGATCAGGAAGTTGTAGGCCACTTGGATATTGCGAATAATGCTTAGATCATTGATCTTTCCTTCGCTTTGACCATACCCACTATACTCGTATGCAAAAACGTTGGTTTTGGTGTAGGACACGAGTTCTATATGAATGAAGGAGATCAATACTAATCAATTTGTCGATCATGGTTCCCAAATCGCAGGCATTGCCATGACTGAACAATATTACGTAATCACTATTCCTATCCAAATGCACTGATGCTATTTGTTAATTATTGTTTTGGTTCAGAAAATATGATGTTACTTTGCATGTATCAGATCTCACTACTATTTCTTCATCCAAATGTATTTTCTTATTCGGTATTTTGATGAAATCATATTCCGGATATAATCTTCACATAAATTCTAATCTTACTCAGGATTCCTCACTGTCTTTCTTCTCCTATGCAAATATTATTAATCATTTGTTAGTGTCAATTATTATTCCGAATTGTTTTACAAGTTGAAGTACCCACTGTCATCGAATGAGTAGTATCGCTATTTCTTATTAACCCTCTATTTCTTCTGCTCCCTCAATCTAAGTTCATATGTGGCTTAAGGCGGACGAAAGGCAAGCATATGAACTAGCTTATTCCTGAGGCCACACATGCTAAAAGATTGAAATATTCCAGTTACAAAATGTTACATTCGATATCAAATACCTTATTTATTTAACAATAAATTTGTATTCTTATAAAATATTATAGGAAATATATATATATCTATTTATCATCAAAACTTATTATTCTTAATCTTTTTGACAGATTTTGTCAAAATCAAAGTGGATTTAGTGGATGGAGTAAGGGTGATACTCACTTTCTTTTTGAATAAAACTCTATCTGTCTTTAGAGGAGACAATCTTGGCGATGAAATACTTTTTATATCGAAAGATAATATTGAATTTTGATTGCTGGTGCTGATCCTGGTTTTGGTGGACATATTGGTTAATAGATGAGGCTTTTTCTTTATTGGAGTAAGGTATTTGATTTCACTTTGACCCTTCTTCTTCATAAAAGGTCTCAATGTACTTGTTTGTTCCTCCTTTGGATTTGACACCTTTGTAAATTATTGATTCACCTTAAACAACTCTGATACTAACACAGATCTTTATTCGAATGATAGACGCGTATTCTTTATAATTGATATGAATATAATGATGAATAGGTACTTTTATTTGCCATATCAGATCAGTTCGATTGGCACAATAAGACAAGTATCTCAGTAAATTTACGAAGTCTGTTGAATAATAGTTCTCGTCTCCTATTTCTCTCATCTTCCTCATCAATGTCCTAAATGCTATCCCATACAATCATTATATTACTTGATGAAGTTCTTTCGTCCTTAATAACCTACTTGAACTCATCCAAATCAATGCATTCTTAAGTTTATTTATAGACTATTACTATTCCCATCACGATCAGTCATTTCGAAAAATTCCTTCAAAAGCCTCAAATTCACTGGATAATTGTTTTTCTTCAACATGGAATATAATTCATCCATCTCAATCGTATCTGACAGATTTATTCTAATCTTATACTTGAGTGATCTCTATCAATCAAATGGAAGGTTTCTGTAACAATTTTATCATCAAATAATTCCTTCTCTGTCTTCAGATACTTCTCCTTCACTTTAGATGGATGTCTAGAATTGAACCAACTCTTGGTCTCTTAAAAATGTAAAACTCTCTCTGCTGGTGGCAATACTTGCATTAATATAAGTGATTTTTATATCAAATTATTTATTAAACTATATTTGTTGCTAAAATAATTCCTGTGTATAATAATAGTCTCTCTTGCATACATTATAAAATTGAGTTATTATGATTACAATTTCTAATTCAAACATCTGAAATGTAAGATTCGTCCTTTACTATTTTTGGTAATGTTCTAAAACTATCTTTTGGTAACTAATTGTTCTGATGACTTGAAGTACTCTCCATTTTAATATTCGGACTGAAAGAAGAATTATTTAATTAGGATATTCTAAATTAATAGCTAAATTTCATACACTTTATTCTAATTATTCATCTGGTACTCTCCTTTCTATTGTGGTGCTTGTATTTTCTATTTTTATTGACTGTTTTGTAATGCCAATTTCCTTATGGCATTTTATTTATTCATTAATATTGGCAGATCTGTCGAGTTTCTTTTAATGTTTGTTACAACTTTCTACTGTATAACAACCTTGTTTGAATTGTTTGAGTTCTTTTATCAATTCAAAATACTACTTATGCAATCTATGAACTTTTTGATGAACTCCTCATTTGCTTTTCTTTCTCTTTCTCTTCTTTATCCTTTTTCATTCCTTCAGAACTTTTCAACTATTGCTAATCACTCCCATGTGCCATTTTCAATGCTTAATTCATATTTACAATTACTTACCACATGCCTTGGCTAGTTTCTTTAATTGTAATTTTCTGTTATTCAGAGTACCAAGAAATGATATTGATGAGGCAATATAACTATTTTTGATAGGTCCTCCTTTATAAATCAGATCGAATCCTCCAATTTGTTCCTCATTTCCTGTCAGTATCCTTTCAAGATCAATAATTGTAAAAACATCATCTAGTAATCCACATTTTAATTCAAAGTCAATAGGCGTATTAGATGTCATTGAAGGACTTTTGTTTATTTACTTGTTTTATACCTTGCATTCACTTCCAAAAGCCAAGGCTTTAATTGAGAATCAAATAAGATATCAAACCCATAGAGTTCAAAACAATGTTTATCATTTATTATGATTTTTTGGACTGCTTATAAAGATTTAATCATCAGTTGTTGAACATTATAAAAACACTCTTAAACTTTATCCTGCCCATACTTTGTCATTAGAAATAATTTCAATTTTTATAAATCCCACTTGCCTCCTAGTTTTTCATCGTAATTTTCTGAATTCTTTTGGATGGCCACATTTGTTAAATGAACATCTAAATCTTCATTCAATAAATTTACAAGCATTTGTGATGTCTTCATTATCATATCTGTGATGAGTGAAACGAGCAAACCCTGTACGATAAAGGTATAAAGTTAAAGGGGAATAGGATGTACAAAGCAAGTAAATTCTAGTATCAAACTTCTTGCCTCCAATCAATAGGGGATCAGCAATATATCTTTACACTATATAGGATTCTGCAGAAGGATTTTCAGGATTAAACTTCACTTGATTCTTCCACTAGGAAATCTATGATATTTTATTAAATAAGAATATGCCTCTTCCCTAAGATTTGCCTATCTATAAAAAGGTAATTAGATCAATATTGTACTGGTTTCATAATCCATGCCGTTTTGTTGTCACCCTGCTTTTTGAATTCCTCATTAAAGATGGGATATTCACTAGGTAAATGGTAGGTAAGTGGAAAAAAATTATAACTAAATCGTTAAATTACTTTAATTACGCATTGGCTTCATCAATTTTACCTTCTTTTTCTAAGGCCCTTTTTTATTTCTTTAAATTCTTTATCATAAGATCTTTGCGAGTTAACTAGATGAAATTCAAGATGAGTACCTCATAATGATTACGAAAATGATTAATTTTTTAATGAGGTTATAAGTGTATATGATCCATCACTTCATGAATCCATTCCTTCTCAGCCCACATAATATCCCAGTCGTCACCATCAGTTTCTCTCCAATTTCTCCTTTTAAATGCCTTTCATTATTCATGCAATTATACTTCTAAAATACAATTTCTAAAAGATGTTTTATATTTGATATTAGTACTAATAATTAGATATTAAAATTACTAATGATTTCCATAATTCTCTTTTTTAATGTATTTCCTAAAGTATTCTGACATTATTGAATAATTATATATATATAATATATTTAATTATCAAAAAGAAGAGTCAATTGATTTCTTTGAATTCATTTTTGAGTTTGCTCAAAGTCCTTGAGTTCCTCATTATCAATTCCATTAACTCTTATCCTGGGAACTATGAAAAATTTTCATCATCTCGGCTAAAATTATAAATTCAATAACTTACAAATATTTATCATCATCCTCTTTATTTTCATTGTCACTTTCTGCTTAAGGTAATTATTATATAAAAGTGGTTTAAGTATTCTAGAATTTTGATTAATTTATTTGATTGTCTACTGCTTCGTAATTCTCAAAATTACTATCATTACACTTTAATCTCTGTAACTCTTAAGTTAGAGCATTTATGTGTTTTCTTAATTCCTCACCAGGGGAATCTTTGAATATTATCAAACTCTCATAAGCACTGATCTTTGACCTCATATCTTGTAATTATTCCTCTAAAAATGGAACTTGATCAGCAATATTTCTGTATTCAACATTCTGCTTCTCCAGTCCATCTATTTTCTCTCTATTATTAGAATTTATCTCATATAATTCTTCTATTTCTTCTTCCAACTCTTAATTTTACTGCTCCAAAATGATATTAGATTCTGAATAATCATTTTATGAATCTTACTATAATGTGTTATTAGGATTCATCGAAGCTGTTTATGGTCTAATCCCTTTGGAAAAATTCATACTTTAAGACATTTGGGATTCCTATTTTCTGTCCTTGAAAGTCTAGGCCAAATTGTAATCTTATTGAGTAATAATTTAATTGTCCAATTTTTCTATGAATACTGTCCACAAAATATCGTATTTATAAGCATATTTAAGAGTGCAAGGGTTGTTTTCAATGACTAGATCCTTAAGACTAGGCATATGTTTAATGCTGTTTATCAATAGTTCGAAGTCAGTAATTAGTTATCCCCAATTTAAAATATCTTTAAATGGATCATTAATCCAAGCTCTATTGAATTAATTAGATTATGATTGGCATACAATCTCTAAAGTCTTTTACAATCACCTAAAGGCTATAGAGTTGTTATTTTATTGTTGTTGACATTTAAATCCACAATGTTTTATAATACACTAATTCCTATGACATTTATCAAATTGTTTTATGATAATGATAGACTCTTTAAGGCACTACTAATTTAATATAGGATTACATTAATTCAGAAAAAGGGACTTCTGTAGTGCTTTCAAAAATCAAGAGGTTTTTATGTATAAGAGACAAGTTTGTTACTGATTCCAATCTGAACCATCACTGTTGGTGCAAATAAATTATTTAGTGATCACTTTTCTTGCCTCCATCAAATCATTTGCTGATATAACTGGAGAGGGTTCAATTATCTTAATAGTCTATTATGTTTCTTTATTATCATTCTATTCCTTATCTTTTTAATGATCAACTTTTTATACATCATCTATTTTTCTAACATTAGAACTTAGACGAATAGGAGTATTTTTTTTGAATTGCAATTATATTTTTAATTAGGTTTTGGGGGTAATTGTTGTTGTATATCTGATTCCGACATTTATTATTAAGTTGTTGAATATGACAATTGAGTTTACTAAAGATTATTGTGTAATTATGGTAATTTTTATCTTAACAATTTCACTTTTTTTTGGATCACATTTACATTTGTATTCTCCTATAGAATAGGATTGGCTTTCTATTAAAGAAAATTTCTGGTTTTAATATGATCCTCCATTCGCTTGTTATCATCAAAAGTTCTACCACAGCCAAGAGGACACTGTAATTGATTCATTAAATTTAGATTACTTTTAATTAATAATATATAAATTCATAGACTTATGCTCACATCATCTATCTATTAAAGTGAAGAATTTGTCTCTTATTTTTGATTCTTTTTAGGATTATTATGATATTTTTTTAAATGAGCAAGAAGCAAAGTATGAGATTAATAATCTTTGGAACACAAAAAGCAACAAAAAATATGATAGTTTTAACAATGCTTCTTCAAAATATGAGGAAAGAACACACTACTTATACCTGAAAAGTCACAAGATGGACATTTGAATATTTCAGATTAATTATCTTTAGATTAAATCTGTTATAAATTCTTAATGCTTTTCACAAACAGTTTAGTTATAGCTCTCAAATATCTAAATTTATTTTTACTGTGATAAGCCTTAATGTATTCAAAGTCTAATTGGAGCGATTTATTGGCCAAAGAATTCAACTATTTAAATTTCTATACTATCATATTTAGCTGTTTATAACACTGTTCAGGTTATAGTTGTCCTTTAGGAGTCATCTAAAATAATTGCTACAGTTATATATCCTCTTCACTTTGTACAAGAGTATCATTGTAACTTATTGGTTTTGCAGATTTCTTGCTTTTTCTCTTAGGGCCATCTAATTGAATTTTAGCCTCCTCCAATTATTCAGATTTCTTGTTTAGTTGTTCCCCATCATTTGATACAGGATTCTTTTTGAATAAAATGTTTGTCAATAATTATGTGCATTCCAATTACATTTCCAATATCTTCTTTAAAAGAGTTTGGGTCTCCTCATTCATTTTATTACAATAATTTGCATTATCTCTTTATATATATTTTGTAGTTATAATCTAAATATAATATTACATTTTTTCAAATTATAAAAAAAATAATATGAAACCAAAATAAAAATCAAGATGATAATTTTTAAGTCAAAATGTTTCTCTAAATAACATGATCTTATAATTATTCTTTTTTATATTTCTCTAAAAATTCTTATTCTTATTTTAATTTTTCATTTTTCTAAGTAATTTCGAGATTTTTTTATAAAATTTTATTTTGTTTATGTATTTTTTCTAACATATTTTCCATTTATTTTTATTTTGCCAATTTGAATCTGTGTTCGTTCTTCTATGACAAATTATTTTTTCTTAAATCCAATAGAGATTAATGTCTTTCAAACTATAAAAAATTCATACCTTTTTAATCCTCCCTCTAACTTGACATCTGTTTCCTACAATTTAGAATTCAACTCTTCAAATCTCTTTTAATCCAAAGACTCCTAAAATTATTCAATCCTCTTCATTATTCTACTGTTCTTTAAAGATAAACTCTTCTACTATTTCAATTAAGAGATTTCATGCTTATTTATTTAAATCTAAAAATAAACAATCACTCTACTTGTCTTTAAGTTGATTTGCTGAAATAATTTTAAACATTTTAATTTTCCTTCTGCATATACGACTCCTATAATTTCTTTTATTTCTTCTCGAATATCTTCAAATTTTATTAATGCCTTTTCTTATCTTCCTCTTACTTTTTATGTAAATAATCACTCATATAATCAGACTTCTTCTTAATTGAATCCATCACCTAATCTATCATGCTCTGCTCTAAATTCATTTGCATTTATCTCTTTAACTATCTATCTCTTTCCTTCTCCTCCTTCTTTCTTAATTGCTCCAACAATTCCTCCTATGCCTATTGCAATTATTTCTATTTTCTTTCTTAATGAAGATTATGATCTTTCTCCAACTCTTAAACCATCTTTTAGTGTTCTAGATATTGAGTTTATTCTTCCTATTTCGCCTTTTGACAAATCTGATCTACCTTAAGATGATTATTTTTCAACTTCTTTTTCACTAATTCCAATTGCTTTTATTTCAATCTCTCAGCTTTTTAATACATTTCTGGAGCAGTCTTACTGTAATACTCATCTTATTTATTAATTTGATCGTGGACTAAATTGAGAAACCTAAATTGCACTTATAGTCTTACTTATTGTAATTCTCTGATGCTTTAATCAATTTCTTATCAAAAAGCTCTTTCTTTTGGGTTGCACTTAAAATAGTTGAATGTCCCTCCTCATAGATATACTTTTTCGTTTCGTTTTATTCCAATGATATTGATTCATCCTTAAACTTAATGTTTTTAGAGTTCATTTACTTAGAGACTTGAGATTGGATGTGTTTGATCTAATTCCTTTTTTTTAGGATATCATTCAATATTTTGTATTTGTTGGTTACATATTGCAAATATGATATTAGGTTCTGAAGTGGATCTTGTCGTTTTTGATAAAATTCCTCATAATCTTTCACTTAAAGATCTTCGACATGCAACTTAAGCATTTCCATTGCAGTTTGAGTTCGAGGCGAATTTGTGTCAAAGTGCATTCTAAACACAGTTAATTAATTTGGATTTCGAATGATATAATTTTTTTGGTCAGCCTCTAAGTAATTGGCTTCAATGGCTGATTTCAATAATGCATTAGATATTGTTGGAAAGCGAAATTATTTGTGGGTACCCAATAGATTTTTTGGGCTCGATTCGCTATTCTATTGAAATGAGCTCATGGACATTTATTTTGTAATGAGAATATCGCCTGTTTCCTTTATAAAATCAATCATAATAATATTAATTTTTATTGATTAATGTCTTTTTAATTCCTTAAAATATGTTTTAATAATGATCTCAGAAGACTGAGAAGCTTAAAGAGATTTTTGTTTTACAAAACCTAGCCCAATGAATTTTATAGATTAGAGGAAATTCGCAAAGAAATGCTGAACATTAAGATAGAAGATAGAGAATCAGTCAAATCAACAGCAGGTACGACTTCTTGGGTCTTGTATTTGAAGAAGAGATAGTAATAAAAATCAAATTGGTAATGGTGGTGATCCTTCAATTTTTAATTGATTATCTATATTTCATAAATACAGGAGAATATATTATAAATTAAGAAAATATAAACAAAATTACATCATTAACAGCCTCATTTTTAAGGGATTGGCTTTCTAACTAACACTAATTACTTCTTCCATTTCCTTTCAGGGATGCTCCTCCATCTTTTTGTGATCACTTTAATCATGATATTATGAGGCATTTATATTAACATCAAAGCGAGACTAACTGCCAATGCACAAGGAATCATATGACTAATATTATTATTTAAATTTCTTACACAATCAATCCACTAGCCACTATCTTCAGTAATAATGAGAGAACATTTAGAAATGGGCATAATTTAACTATCTTCTTTTTGTTTATCAAAGCTGCGAAAAACAGAATCTTTTCTCCTATCAAAAGGACATCTGAAAAAATAAAGATTTAAAAGGACACTAGCATTTCGTCATACCAATTTAATTTAAGGGTTGTATAGATGATAGCACATCCAACAAATAAAAATACAAATCCAATAAGGTTGCTTAGGATTAGACCCTTTGCAAATTTTACTGTAACTTTGTCACCTTTTGTCAATATATATTTTCCAGGTTTTCGAGGAATCTATGGATGGTTCTTTGGTTTCTCCTCCTAAATTTCCTTTATTTCTGATTCCAAATCTACGTTTGTTTGGCCATCAATTACGATAACTGGGCCTTCATTTAATTCTTTCATATTAACTTCCATCGTAAAATGTTGGTTAAATTGCAATTTATTTAATTATTGTTTTTTTATCACAATTCTAAAGCCCCTTTAAATTCTTTTTTCATTACGAAATCATAAGAAATTGAACCCAATTTATATATATTTATCATATTTTGACTAAACAATAATCACAATACATCATTCCCTCAACAATTTCAATTAGTTCAGTAATATTCTACTACTTGATCAGAGTATTATTTCTCTAATTGGAAACACAGGATTTATGGGGTATTGATGAGAAAAGAGTATTAGCATTTAAAATGTCATAATAAAATTTACATTTAAAATAAAAAAACAAAAGTTCTAAATATAGTATAAACTTGATTAATATTAAGTTTGAAATTGCACAATTAAAATAATTATTCCTTGTATTAGAATCATACACATTTTAAATAATCTTCTCCCTGATTAATGATAGGTTTAAAATGGCTAAACTCATCAACAATCCATTCAATACTGTTGATAATCATCATTCTTCTCTCTCCTCTTTTCATGTTCCTCATTAAGAAAGGTTACTTACAAGATTTACATATATCTTAATTGCATCCTCCATATGCTGGTAAAATTGAAATAAAACATGCTTTGTGCCAACAAGCAATCTAAAATTAAACTATCAAATTACTCTATAAATAGGTTTCTTTTCTGGTTTATGCCTAGAAAATGCCTGATGTAATTTAAGCAATTATTCTTCTTCAGGTAATTCTTAGAACTTACAAAATACAGAAGCCTCTAAATCCGAAACCTTAATTCCTTCACCGTTTACGATGCTAGAAACAACTTAGAAGTATTTATCAAGATCTCCTTCTACTGATACTGATTTCTCAAAATATGACATTGTCACAACATCAGAAGCACAAACAGCTAATTGTTTAGCAGCATCATGGAAAACCTTCTCTAAAGTTGAAAATATGAAACCCTATTGTTATCAATAATCTATTTACATGTTTTCCAAATAAACTACGCAAATGATCTTCATATTTAAAGTCTTTAGCCTTTAATGAAAGAAACAAAGCAGATTTAAATAAATTATATCTCTTATCTTATCCTAATTTGTTTTATTAACTAATGACATAAGCCATTTCTAGTCTTTGATAGATCGTATGAAGAAATCTCAATAGTATGTAGAGATTTTATGTCACATATGTGGTTAACTTGACTTTTGGTTGTAAATTCAGAAATAGGCCTGGAGATTCATTTTCTATCGCCGGAATTGAGATTGAAGCATCTTCTGGATTATAATGAATATCATAAATTTCAAGTTCTTAAATCTCATTTTTCAATTTGGTATCTATTAATGTCAATTATGATATTTGCATTGGCTTCATCGGAACTTAAAAAAAGTGATTAATTAACTTGATCATTAAAATTGTTCCATTTCTTTTATCCAAAGAATTGTTGCCTCCCATAATCTGGAGATAATGAATAACAAATTAACCACACTCCTATAAAATTTATTCATTTCCCATCCATAACGAAATTAATGGAGAAAAACGAATATTATCCTTTGTAGAGCTAATTAATGGCATTTATTTTGGTAAGGTAGGTCTTATGTTAGTCATTTATGCAAGAGAATTCAGAAAAGAATTTTCAAAAGTGTACTATATTTAATCTTGCTTTCTTTTGATAAATACATGTTCTTTTGATCCCAAATGCTTTATTAAGACATTTTTGGCATATTCTTCTATTTCTCTGGCAAATCTTTGTCCATTTATCACTAATTTATCATTCTTTTTAAAATAAAAGGATCTGTGATCAAGGGAACGATGAAAATTATTTAATGAAACATTTTCCCAAACTTATTTGGCCTTGTTATTTCTTGCTTAAATGAGTTCATTTAATTTTTACTTAACCCTTTTTATTAGGATTTTAGCACTTTCAGTAGGCTTTGATTAAAATATCTAAAGCACTTCATTTTAATCTTAAGTTTAATTTCGATATAATTATTGTAAGATTCTCATATCAATCACTTTAGCAATCAATATTGGATCCTCTTTATTGCCATCGATTATTTCTTATAATAAATTTATGGTTCTTTTTATTTATTAAATATTGACATCAAATTCAAACCTCTCGTCCTCGCTTTTAAAAAGCTGTTCCTCAAAAGTATTTTTTCTCATAATTAAAAATGATTGGTCCTCAGAACCAAATGGCACTGATACCCAAGAATGGTTGAGGATTTCTTAGTTGTTATTAGCCTTTGCATATCCAATAGGCATTCTAACATAGGACCTTGTTACTCTGTCGACTTAAGCAAAATCTGTATCTTTCAAAGGCTTAAAAAGAGGGGTTTATATTCTTCGAGCAATCACTCTTGTTGACAACATAGACCTAATTTCATCAATGTATTCAGTCTCTAACCATTCTTACTAATTGATTAATTCCATCACTTCCATCTAAGTTATAATGCATTCAGAATATAGATGAATAATCTTCATAAATTCATTCATAAATTGTTGAAAATCATTCGGAAACTATTGAATTACTCTCATTCTAAATTTATCCCAAAAGAGCAATTCATTCTAATATATTAATGTATGTCTTACCATATCTACTACTCCATTCTTATCCAATAGTTTTTAAAAATAATTTCTATTTTCTTCAACTTTTTTTTTTGGCTGAATTTAGTCATGCTTCTTTTTGAAACTCTATAAGAACTATTATTGTAATTGTGGCTCATTGCTAAATAAATCCAAGATATGATCTTTGTTTTGATGTCCATCTAAATGTCCATTTTAGATTTATTTCAATATCGTCTCCAGCGCCTTGGGTTTGTTGCTTTCATTGGTGATAAACTCTGTCAATTTTTCTTTCTGAGTCTTGAATTTGACATCTTCTTCCAAAAGAGTATTCACTTCCTTTAATATTTCTGGTTCCTCACTTAACATCTATCCCAATTACTCTTTAGCAGCTTTACTATTTTAATTAACAATATTGGAAAATTGTCTAAAATTGATATTAATTCGAACTTGTAGAGCTATTAATTTGTTCGCCTCAATTTTTAGCAAAATTGTTCACATTTTTCATAGAGTTGTTGATCAATGTCCTAAATAAAAATCTAAGTGAAAATATACTTCTCCAAATTCACCCATATTACTTTTGCTTAATATATCCTCACTCATTTTATTATCTAATATAAATATAATTAAATATTTAACAACTTATTATTAGGAATATTATATAATATTTAAAAGAAAACTAAACTGATACAAAAGTTGAGACATGTACTTTATCTTTTTGGTTTATCAATGATACTTGATATTTGATGTTATTGAAAAATGATTTCTCACTTTGGACTATCAAAATAAATACTAAAAAACTCATCAAAAATGATAGGTTAGTAACTATAATATTAAATTAATTTTATAATGAATGATCTTTTTGATTAATTTAAAATAAATGAAATAAAATAAATAAAATATACACAAGGTTATCCGCAAGAGTAAATTTAAATTTATAATGTCCTATAGGACCTTGGACAGACGAAGAAGATTTTAGAGTAATTGAATTAGTTTAAGAATTTGGTCCCTAAAAATGGACTTAAATTGCTTAATAATTAGATGGAAGAATAGGAAAATAATGTAGAGAAAGGTGATCATGAAATATATTTAATTAGATGGCACAATCATTTGAACCCTTTGATAAAGAAAACTCCATGGGAAGAGGATGAAGAATGGGTTTTATTCCTATATCACAAGGCCTTAAGTATTATTCCTGATTATAGATCTAGGTAATAAATGGGCTGAAATAGCCAAGCATGTCTAAGGGAGAACCGACAATTCAATCAAGAACCACTGGAATAGTGGTATGAAAAAGAGGATGCCTGAATTTTAAATGAAACTGAGTTAAATTAAGTAGAAATTTAAAAGAGAAGGGTATCTTATGAACATAAAACAGAATTTCAATTTTGAATGATTATGATCCATTATAAAAAAAAGCTCTAGAGATTATCTTAATGAATAAACAATACAAGAGTATAATTAGTGAATCTTCTGAAAACGAAGATGTTTCATACCCTACCAAATAATCGAAAAAGAACCGAGTTCATCTAGAGCTGATTGAGTTATAGAGAGATCAATAGGTCAAGGGGCAAAATGATGAGATGATAGAATAAAACTACATCAGCCATGATGAATAAGAATAGAGTAATAGGTGATTTATTAAATAATGTAATTTCTAGTGTACATTCCTTCTAATTATTAACGACTTCTAAGAAGAAGAGCAAATGTTAATATGAAGAAAATAGTATTATGGACTATTGAAGTCCAATAATCCACAATTTTGAAACAATAAATATATAATATAAAATTTTCCTAAAATATTCTTAAATAATACTGCTTCATTTGACTTCTTCACTGATGTACCTTGCTCTGTATTTACGAGGAGATTAGGACTTTTCCTAAATCTTACCCTCGATGATTTGTTGCAAGAAATAAGTAACATGAGAGAAGAAATCTTCATTCCATACTTTCTCAATAGGTGTTGGGTATCTTTTGATTTCTTGTTAAGAACCAACTCTAGCTAATTTTTTGTCTGAGGTTTAAATCTTTTTAGTTTCTTTAATCAGCATATCCTTATTAGAAATTTAGTTTTCATCCTCATCTTTGATGACCTCCAATTTTATTAAAGTTTATCCTAATTTAGGTCTTTCTTGATTTTGTAAAGTAGATGAATCAAATTCTAAAGATTTTTAAATTAAATTATTTGAAAATATTTTTTCTTTAAAATTTGAATATCCTTTGGGCACTCTTATATTATTACTGGTTATAAAATATATTAACATACTCGTAATTGTATTCAGCTTTACTAATAGCAATTTCAATAGGTGATAATTCATCCGGATCTTCTCTATATAATATTTCACTATTTAATTAATTATTTTAAATACGAAATATCGTGGATGGTCAAATCTGCCTATGCACCCAGCTTTAATAAAGTTGTAGATATTCTAGCATTTCTCAAACAAATTTCTCTCAATTTCACCTTTTCTCTTAAAATTTCAACATCTTTAATAGGATCGATCTTTTCAATAAAGCTTTTTTCTTCTTATGTAAATGATTGAGCCATTTGTCCCCAATGGTACCATACAACTTCATCCCTACATATTTTGAAAGAATCTGGAAATGTATAACCATGATCAATCGGTATAAGAAAGTAATCATAAGCTTATCTAGTTTAACCTACTGGCTGATTAACTTTTCTTAAGAAATTTATAATATAATAATACTTTTTTCGAACCAATATGTTTTCTTCATTCCTATCACAATTTAAAATTCTAATATCTAAGATGGCTATCTTTCTGGCTTCAATTGAAGGATACAGACCACTTCCAAAATTTCCAACATTATCATCATGTTTTATGTACAATTGAAACGATCCTTCTTTTAAGGGTATCTTCTCATACTAAAATTATTTGTATTCTTCAGCCTCATGAAATGCAGGATGACAAATTTAAACATAATCAGTTATAGGTACTAAATTGCTTATCTTCAACATTACCATTATGATAATGTCCAGATAATTGGTCTATCAAATATGCTGCCACTTCTCGATCCACTCCTTCTCCAGACAATATGCCTTATCTAAGTCCTGGAGAATTCATTTTGGCTCTCATCCCTCTTGGATTATTAGGGCTATTCATGAATTTAATCTATACGCAAATGCCTCTTCATCATAAGGTTTAAAAATGGCCACTGGTTTATGATTTAAATCCTCCAAAATATAAGTGCCCTGAGTACCAAAATCAGTTAATTTTGGTGTTATTCCTTTCATAAATGCTCCTTCCACTGCCCATTTAGCATTCTAAAATTGCTCTTAAGTTTTCTTAGATTCCTCCAATATATTGTGAATGCTGTTGATAAAATACAACTGTTGTCCCTACTTTCGAGCCATTAATTTTAGAGTGACATGATTCTTGATTCCATAATCCTTTAATGCTAATAAATCGATTTCTTACTTCTAAATCTTCGTTATTTAGAGAGAGTTCTTGGTTTTTGTAAAGTATCCTAAAGTCTGCTTAATCTAATTTAGTCGTTTTATGAATTTTCTGTTTCAATATCGAAATCTTCATCCAACTATACATTTTAATTGTAAAATCATTTCCCTTTTAAACTTGATTTGAAATATGCAACACCAATTCTTTCTAAGCACGAGGGTCGTAAGGATTTGAAGAACAAAAGCCGAAACCTACTTTCAAGACTCAATTAATACTCTCAAATTTCCTTTTGACCGAGCCTTATTTCATTGGTTATAATTTTCAATTTTTATTATAAATAATCTTTTAGTTGACAGAAAAATAAATTCAATTACTTTTTTTTTTGGGAGTCTAGTTTTCTATTCTGCCATCTGGGTAAGTGATTTCAACCTTCCCATCAGGATATTCAATATATTTTACTTTATTAACATCTATTTTTTAGTATATCCCATCACTAAACAAAGTCTCTTCCCCTCCATTTGCAAATATATACTTTTTTGTCCCATCAGAAAATCTTATCTACTTCTCACCATTTTAGAAATGGATTTCTATTTAGTTATTTTAAAATCGATATATCTAAATAATTTATTTTATAATACTTAAGGTCCATTTTAAATTGTTATTTATGTAGTTTTAGCTTGCCCAAAATAATAGACAATAGTACCATCAGGCAGAGTTTACTTTTTATCATTATTTGTAAAATGAACAATAGTAAACCCATTTGAAAATACTTCTCTTTTGACGCCATTATTAAAGACCACTTCCTTTTTACCACTTTAGTATGTTCTTGAAATTTTACCATCGGCAGACTGATTTTACTAAATTACTTTATCATCATGTTTCAAATATTCTAAATATTACCCATAATATTTATTATTTTGAAATTCAAATTCTGATTCATCTATCAAATCATTAATCATATCTATAGAAATAGAGGGTTGGTTTTTTAATTAAATCAAATCAATCTTGATTTTCTCTTACTCATAACTATCTCCATTTTGATAACTATTTTAATCATCCGCATTCTAAGATTCATATTCTTCTTCCTCATTAATACAACCTTGTTTATTATGCATCATGGCATATGAAGTTGTTTTATTTTCTGAAAAATTGGATGCTTTAGTAGAATAATTACTTTAAGGAGGAGATGATTAAGCAATCAGCTTATTAATATTATGAGTGCTTATGTTTTGAGAATTGTTTATTTATTATAATTATTGCTATGATTTCTCCAACTAAAATTTCAATTCCTTAATCTCCTCATTTTATTAAGCCACTCTTTTTCTTAAGAAATCTAATTCTTCCAATTATTTTGTTGTTAATTACTGTTACCTTTATTATTGAATAGTATAATGTTTTTTGGTAATTCTCTCAATTTTTTTCTTTTCTTCTTCCTTCCATTTCTCAAATTCCAATTTCTCTTATTCCAATTATTTTTATTATTGAAATTTCATCCTTTGCAATTCCTTTTGTTGCTACTCTAATAGATATTTCTCTTTTTTTAAATCATTTTTATCATCATGTTGTTAAATGATACTTTCATCATTTTTAGTATGGTCCAAGATAGAATCATTTGCTTTTTGTGTACATTATTTACCTTTACCCTTCTATAAAAAATGAACAGGTAGCTTTTTTTGCTGTTATTATTCAACTGCATTTTCATTATTCATCTTTAAGATCTCCTCATGTTCTCTCTTTGATAGTTCCGATCTTGTCTATGCATTGGATAAAAATTATCGAGTCCCCTTCTTTAAAAATTCCTTCTTATTCTTCTTCTCCTATTAAACAATACCTTGATCTTATAATAATTATTCAAATGGTTTTTATGCTCCTTTTATTGGGATTTCATCAAAGATGTCCTGGTATTTATTTTACTAATGTTAAGGTTCTTCAATAAATTCATTAATGAATGAATTCTATGAAGTTTCCTGTTTGTATTCAAAATGCTTTTAACTTCTATTCTCAATTTGTTATTCCTTAACTTATACATTGTACTTGATATCATCATCTTTTCTAATAAACATTTGTTACATTTAGGAATATTGAGCTGATTATAAAACTTGGACATCTCCTGCATTCTTGTAGATAAGTATTCTTCCAAATTCATAAACTACATATATGAAATAATATATTAATAATTTAAATGAACATCAGACAATTCTTTCTAAGTGCTTATTCTATTCTTAGCTTTATAAAAATGATAAATAGTAAAACCTTCTCTTTCTAAAATTTTACTTGCAATATCTTATCAAAAAGAACTATAATAAATTATGAATGTAAAAATCTAAAAATCATTTAAACTGAATTTTGATAACCAAGCAAGTTGAGTATTAATCTTGAACGTTAATTATAAATTACATAGAATGAAAAATATCTGATAATATTAATTTAGTATCATCGAATTCTGTAATATTTTATAATAATTTTGAATTTATTTTATATATATAAAAAAGTTGTTACTTAATGTGAACGATTAATTAATATTTATATTTTCAAACTTAAATTCGCATGAGCACCAATTAATCAATTAATACCAAAGAACTTTCTGATGAAGGTATACAAATCATCCTCTATATGTATTAGAATTTATGAAACTTCATGCAAAGTAATTCTATAGAACTCATGGATAATTGATTGGCAGCAAGCCGTCCTACATTCCGATTCCAAAAGAGTATAACCATAATGGAAAATTCACTGATGTAATAATTATGTTAATTTTAGCACTTATTGATGGCCACCATGTATAGAAACAATAGTTTGAATACAACTTGTGATAAAGAACGTTGGATTAACGGTTCTAAAGATTGGATGGAACATCTATAATGAACTTATAATATCCTAATATCTAATCAAAATCAGTTTATATCATTTTTCAAATTAAGTGATATGTTTCTGAATTTTTCAATACTATTAGGTTTTTATAATTATAGTAAAATACTCTCTCAAAATTTGAGCAATTATATAAATATGAAAAACATTCAGAAATACACTGTCATTATTGAAACATACATCCATCCAGAATATAATCTGATGGCATAGAATTACCTATTTTAATATCGCTTATGATGATCGCATTTTTATCAGGCTTCTATTATATCTATCCACCTCCTAATTTTATTAGATATTCAATTTCGGCCTTTGAAGGTGTAACATCCACTTTAACAAAATATTTCCCATCAAATATTTGTACTAGATTTTCATTTGTTTCAAAATAGGAATCCCTACTTTATAAGATTTGCTAAATGCTGAATCCAAAAGAATTTAAAAACTCTTCGCTGTTGGGAATGTAATTCTGGAAATGTTAAATTACCTTTCCTTCTTTAAGCGAAGTAGTCAACCAATCTAATGTTACTATTTCAGCCCCAAGCATCAAAGCACTTAAAAATTTGAAAGTTCTTTTTGGAGGATTATTCAAGACTAGCAAGTCAAATTTCTCTAATTGATTACTCACAATTTCTAAACCTAATAATTTTAAATCATTTGATTTTGGTATTTCATGTTATTAAAACCCGCTAAATGCAATTAAACGAATAATTTTATTTTTCTTTAAGAAAGGTCTTTAATTTTCCTTTTACTTATTATTAATAGAGTTATTTTGCTATATTAATTTATTTGCTGGTAATTCCATTGAATTAGCATGTCTTATATTGTATTTTTATTATACAGGTTCTCCAGAGGTTTCATCAGAAATTTCATCAGTTATTTTTTTTAATAATGCTACTTTCTTCAAATCACTTTTGCTTTGTTTTTTTCCTTCTTTCCCAATTATTGAAGTTAATTTCTAAATCTAGCTTCTCAATTTTATTGGAGTTTATTCTTTTTAATCTTAAGATTTATACATATCCTGAAAAGCATCCTCAAACCTATTATTTAAAATATTAGACTTAGTCATGTTGAACTTTTTAATCGATTTTGGTTATTATTAAATTTATTAATTTGGTAATTCTGGCAAACTTCCAAAAAGATCATTTAATTCAATTTTTGAATTATTTTCTAGTCTTGAACAAGTAATTTAAACATTGTCTGATTTTGTGCTGTTTAAGCGTTTGAAAGTAGATTCTTCTTACTTAATACTCCTGTTATTTTATTCAGAAGAAAAAGCTTTCTCTAAATCTTCATCAATTATTGTGCCTCCTTACTCGGCCTTTTTCTTCAAAAATTAAGAGTTCTGTATATCATCTGAATTTACGTTTTATATTTATGAATCAAGAATTGTTTAATCAATTTGTGTAGACTAATATTAATGATTATTAATTGGATTAGATAACTATGAAGTTTATTGTATCTATGGAGTTAACTTTTTAAATTTAAATAATTCGCTAAATAAAGTTCTAGATTTCTATTATTGAGGTTCTAGTTCCATATTTTCTGTTTAAGTTGATGTATCAATTGTAGAAGAGTTAGATTTTATCATTTAATTAATTCTTGGATACTGTTAAATTAGTTCTTACAAACTTGATAAGGCTGATGAATCATTTTCATCAAACTTTAATGATTAAGATAAGTCTTGATCTTAGGAACTTAGGATTTAAGTTGTTGAAACCTATTAAGTAGCTGAAATTTTAGTTATAATTTATTAAGGGCAATCCAAAATATCATCCAAAGCCATTGTACCACCAAAATCTTCTAAGACTTATGTTGTTTGAAAGATGCATTATTTATTTAAATAAGCATTATCAACTAAGTTAAGCAATTTGAACTTAATGTTTTAAAAATAATAATTTCTGATTGGAACCATTTCAATTATGAAATTTTTTGGTATCTCGACTTTTTAATCCTGTTACAAAGTTGCTTCTTTAAAAACTTAATCTGAACTGCTGAAATGAGTTAAATACACATCATTTTTCAGTAAAGCCTAAATTTCTAAAATGTAGATTTACGACAGAGAAGAGAAAACCCTGAACATTTCTTATGAGGTGCTTACATTGTTTTGGATCACTACCAAATCTATTTTCTCCTTATAGCAATCGATATTTGTATATTTCTCTATCGTTTTGATCAAGGACTTATATCATGTATAAATTAAGTTGACTAAAAAATTAATTGTAAAATCAAATTCACTCAAGGAAATTAACTAATTCATTTTTTTCTTTTATCAGACCCAAACAATTTCTAAAGATTAGGTTGCTTATTAAACTAATAATTAGTAGTAGTTTTAGGATATAGCATCTAATTGATCTGTTCGGTCTTGATTCGATTATTTTAAAATTTGGAACTTTGGTTGTCAGGCAAGGTAGCATTTCTCTCAGAACTAAGCTGTATTTTTGTAGAATCAATCATAAGTTTAAGTGTCTAAGTTTGAATATACAAGCTTACTTTTAAATCAGGATGTGAATTTTACTGTTACATTGTTTTTGAATATGCGTGAGCTACCTTAGAAGATGTAATTAGTGAAGTGGATTTATTATTATTTTAGTTATTTCGTTTTAAGACATCCTAAACTTCTGATTTCCCTTAATATTTTTAGACTCTTCTCAGATCAGTTGTGAAAGCCTAGATTCCGACTCTTTCTGGAGAATTCTAATCTTCAGGTACACCTTCTAAATGAAGCTGACTTAAATTTATAACATTTGATCTTTTAGACTTGAGTTCTGATTTTTCTGGGAGATCTTCTCTTGAGAAATAAAAATTTTATAGAATGAGATTGCCTTGATTGTCATTAGTCTAAAATAACAAATATAATGTTACATATTCTTTTTATAAATTGATATTGTATTATTTTCTAAACTCTGTATCCCCTTTATTGAATTCTTCTTCATCAAAATTATATTATAAGGGTTGTGGTTTGTAAGGAGGCTTGATTTTTTTATTAACTATTGCTTCAAAATCAGCATCTGCAAACCAAGGATGAGTAAGGATTTCTATTACACCTTAACTCTATCCTATTCTTTACGAGGGTTCTTTCTCTAGTAACGAGTAAATTAAGTCTTTTAATTCGTCTGAGATTTGGACATAAGGAGGAAATTGAACTTATTCTGTCAAGATTGAGTTATAGATTTCTTGAGTATTATGAGAATAGAATGGTGGTAACCCTGTAACTAATTCGTAGAGTAATGCTCCTAAACAATAACAATCAACCAAATAGTTGTGACCCGTTTTGAGAAGCATTTCTGGAGCCATGTACTCAGGTGATCCACAAAAAGAATAAGCCTATTCTTCTGGAGACATATTAGGTTTACTAAGGCCAAAATCACTGAGTAAGAGATGTCCATGCAAATCCAATAATATATTCTCAGGTTTGATATCTCGATAAATAATATTTTAAGAATGCAAGTATGCCATACCAATACAAATTTCAACAAAATAATATTTAGCATCTTACTCACTCAACCTCTTTAGTTTTCTTAGATGGAAGAATAATTCTCCTCCAGAACAATAATCAAGAACAAATGCAATATAATATTTAGTTTCAAATGCAAAGTGCAAGGGAGTAATGAATTAATTATCCATCTTCACCATTATATCTCTTTCATTCTAAACTATAATTTGTTTCTGATTTTCCATAATAAACTTCTTATCAATCAATTTGAGTGCATAAAATTTCCCATTGTCTCTTTTCCTCACCAAATATACTCTAGAAAACCCACCTACACCTATACATTTGACAAGATTGAAATCTTTTAAAGTGACTCTCTTGCCAGAGGGCGATTAAGCCATTAATGGTTACAATTACAGAGTTATTCCTTAAAAGACGTTTAATGGTAAATTTGAAAGACTTAGATAATAATCATAAGGCACATTCTTCTAAACACAATAAAATTGGCACACCTTATTGATTTCTAAATTATAGAATTATAGAATACCTTGTTGAATGTGATCTTCTTCAGTTGATCCAGTGCCTCCTCCTTGTTTAACAAAAGATTTCTCAATGCTAGCTATTTGTTGGATCAAGAAATTATATAAGTTATCAGTGGTTTTGTTTTGATAATCGAATAAATAGTTGTATCTAGATAGGAATATATAATTACTTTTGGTTCTTATAAAATAATATAATTTTTAGTTGCTTTTTAGAATCAAAATGATTTGAGTCCTCAGCCCTATTCATTTTTTTTATGGAATCACTTCTTTATTGAATAGATTGATTAATTGATCGTGGTTCAGTTGTGTCTATTCTCTTGACTGCCATTTTGGCATCTTACTTATTTTTGGTTAAGATATATTCAATTGATTATTTTAATGTTTGAGATTCTTGTAACAAAGAATTTTTGTTTGCTCTAATGTTAAAATATTATGGATAGTCTAAGTAATGATTATTTTTATATTGTTTTGCACTTTTTATTTGTATATCTTAAAAGTATTGATCTACTGTGGATTTTGGTACCTTGTGATTGTTTTGAGGAGTCTGATTCACTTTAGGTTATATGATAGGTATCTTCTACTACTTTGATTCCATTTGTATTGTAGCTAGGGAGAGATTCTTCCCCTTGAGAATTTATCTTTTGATGTTATTTCCCTCATCTGTATTAATCCTTTAGTCTAAAGACAAAGGTAATTATTGATATTGGGCATTAAGTGTTTTAAGTCTGTCGCTTTTCTGACTAATCAAATTGTCAATAGATCGATTTTATTGAAGTTATGTTTTAATACTATTTGTTACTTAAGCTAGAGTATTTCGTTCATTTTTGAAGTATTCCAACAAGTCTTACTTTGTGTTTTTGGCTGTTGTTCTTTCAGTATTAGCTATTTTGGAATTACTTTTTTTGGGTTTTAACTCCATATAATAAGGAGTGTCTTATAAACTTCCTTTTCCACTTGATTATAGTGGGTGTGACGCATAATTCTTCATTAACGATATTTATATATTTAATTATAACAACTATGATGGATGAGCAAGGCGTCTTCGTAAGAGATCAACTAGTCAATGATATTAAGTCAATAAAGAAGACACTGAAAAGTTGGACTAAAGTGTTTACTTAAATCATGGAATTACAAGTATAGAATTCTAAACAACAAAATCAGAATGTATTTTCATAATAATACTGCTTAGACCATTCTTATACAGCAGATATTGTAGTACTTCTCCAAACCAAACAAGAAACCTCAATAAATGCCGATCTCTCCTATTAGAAGGATGGGACATAAAACAGAGCCAGATGATTTCTTTCTCAGAAAATTAGAAGATACAGAGATATACAACAATGATAATCTTCAAAATGAACTAAATAATCCTAAAAAAGTGAACATATTCATATTTTAGATGTCAATTGTTAATTATTAAGGAACGCCATTTGATAGTGCTTATGAGAGTATCAACCGAGAAATGCAATAATATTATGAGCCTGAAATATAAGTGACAGAGTAATCAGCAGAAGTATTCAAAAATTTCAACAAAATTGGGTAGTAAGGTATTAAAGCCACTCTCAATATGGAGGGTTTCTCATTGCCTTAAAGCACAAAAAATAACACTGATCGAAAAAACTAAATATAACCTTGCACCCTTTCATCAAAACAATTATAAATGCAAGAATCTAAAGAAAATATGAAAAACTCTAAATAGCTTGATATGAAAAAGATTAAAATTAAAGATTAAAGATTATCAACAGTTGTTGAAGAACCCTCTGCATATTTAAATAGTTAATAAAATACCAAACGTAAAACTTCCTATTATTATTTTAGAGGTTCTTCTTAGTATTGGTGGATCTCAAAATATTGTATAATCCTGTTAAAATAAAAATTCCATTGCAGGATTCGAATTTTAAATCCCGCTGCAGTCAACTGTATCAAAAACCCCAAATAATAACACTAAACCCTAAAATTATTTTGCAGACAATACTAGATCAGGCTCCAAATCCTTGTATCAAAACAACTTTCCTTAAAACATCCAATATATCAATAATTCCAATAATAAATAAAATCCAATCAAATATGAATATCTTAGCTCAGTAATTATAAATATCTATACTATATTTAGAGAGCCAAAAGTTTTAGTGATCAAAATAGTAAGAGACAACCAAGTAAAAAATGCTTAGATTTAGAATTGATTGATAAATAATACGAAAATAGTTAAGAGATCCTAAAAAAAACTAATACTTTGCGCAAAACATGAAATTTTATATATTTTAATGCAATACTAAATTCATTCTTCTACCTATTTTTTCATTTCTAGCATTTTTTATTTCGCTTCTATTTTAGTATTATGAACTTATTATGTCATTAACGAAATAAAAATTGGAACCATTATCAATGAAATACAAATTATAATTATGTATTGTAACTATTAGGATTTAAAAAACGTATACATATCTTGTATCAAATGAGTAGCTTATTTCTTTTACATAATTATTAAAAAAGCCTTGTTGATCAATATCGTTATGCAATCCATATTTTAATGTACATCTTAACAATCCTATGAAGGTGAAAAAGAAATTATCATGATTAATTAATTTACCTTGTAAAGTTATAGACCAAGACATTGCACAAATACTAATTATATAGATTAAAACTAGTAACAAAAACCATGATTCTTTATTAAACTATAAAATTTAATGAGATTTTTACTCTAATCATGACTAAACCATAGCATTTCAAATATGGACTCCAATTACCAAGAAATCTGACTATCGAAATCATCAAAAATAGTAGCAACACAGCAGAGTAAATTCTAGCCAATAATAATGGTCCGAATAAAGTCGTAGTATCTTGAAATTAACTTGATTGCAAATCTATTAAATTTAGTGCAGCTCCATATTACACATCAATAGTCCTTTTAATTACTAATCCTAATTAACATATTATGTCTAATTTATATTTTATAATTACATATGATATCAAATATTAGAGGGATTCTAATAACGATGAAAACCACTTTTAGATTTATGATAAAATATTCACTAAGGATGAGCTCTTTTTATAACATAATTCTATGATCTTATTCACTTATTTCCTTCTTTTTAGCTTACATTTTCTTTTTCTTGTTGAGTAATTCGTTGTATGATAAATAGAGTTCAATCAAATGATTTTTGGTTCCAGCTAAATACAATCCAAAAAAATCTCAAAATATATTTATTTCAATACCAAAGAATGATGATATTAAAAGTATAATTGCGCAATAAAAAATAACATTTTTGTATATAATGAATGCACTTGGTTCTTCACTTAAGTCGAAAGCTTCTGATTTAATACTATTATAATTCAGCAGATTCTAGAAATAAATAAATTTAAACATCATTGAAGAGATACAAGGATGTTATCACCACTTGGATTAATCTTTTTGATGGGCTATTATAGTAATTTAATATAAATTTTGATTGCTTAATATTATATTAAACCCAACTTTCTTCGACTAACCTATCATAACTTTCTTTAAAACTCTCTTTTGAACTCAGATTGAATTCCCATACATATCCTCCAAAATTAGGATTGTATTATTAAGGATTGAATTAAGTCTATGTGAAATTATTATTAAGATCATCTGTTAGAATGTCATCATATTTTAAGCAAGACTAGTTTTTTTCAAGAAAGATCTCTCTTTGATTTTCATTCAAAATGTGACAATTATCAAAGTTTTCCTAAATATAAATTCATAATTACAATACCAACAAGAGTTTACACTAATAATGCTGATTTTAAGGGATGTATTGGAGTAATGTGATAATCATCCGGAATGGTAAAAAGAATAAGTTCAGAAATATTGCTGATCGGATTAATGTAGGACTTCTAAATTGAAAATTATTAATTAAGAGTAGTGAGCAATTAACTATTAGTTACAAATTTAATTTCATCTACTTCTATCAAAACATATAGTATTAATAGAGATAAAAAGAGAAATGATTCCAGCAGATATTTAAAACTTGTTAGGTAGTCTAAGTATTACGACCAATTGATTTGCTTTTTAGCTCTCTTTGTTTGTCTAAGTTGTTTGGTCATAAGGTCATTAAGACCGTCAAGGCCAAAATCAGCATCTGTGAATTTAGTGTCATCTTTAATCTTTTTCTATTTCACAATTTAAATCCCAATTGTTGGTTGATAGTTTCTGAGTAATTCATAAATAGGAGGATAGAGTTCATTAATAACATTCATTTCTGGCTATAATAAATTACCTAAGTAATCCGTATAAAAGACTTCCTTTTCTTCTGCCATAACACATGACTTGACTATTGATTTGAGTTCTTTGAATGTTTTGATATGTAAAGGAATTCTCACTTCAAATTAAGCTTCTCCTTATCTCAAAGTAACATAATAACCATTTTCGTTTTTCATTTCTTGAATTTCTTAGTCATCTTATTCTTTAACCAAAGGGTTTGGTTGATCAGAATTCATGACTAAATTACCCACTTATTTTGATTTCTTTGCAATTTCTGTCTCCTAGATGGCTTCTAAATATTCCTTCTTGCTTGTATTTAAAAGGAAGAGATGCAATGTATCGATAACATTTTTTTCTATCGTTTCATCAAACCCTTAATTTTAGTCTGTCTATTTCTCATTTTTCATTGAATGATTATTTCGATTAAAGACCTCTATCTATTTGATAAGTTGTTCAAATTCCTAAGTTGATATTGTATTTTTACTTTCTCTGCACGGCCAATTTCATCAAAGTAAATATCATTAAGTTATTCTTCTTGTTAGTATTCTTGAACAAGTATTTTCAACTCATCTTTTAGAGCATCTCTAGTCTTTTTGAATGGTGCCAGCTTTTTGCTATTGTATTAATTGTTGCTCATTAAAAATTGAGAATTTTTAGGTAATTTGAGATTTTATTGAATTGAAATAATATAAAAACTAATAAGTATATATAAATAATAATCATATTATTGAGTTCAAGTATGACTTAAATGATTCTTAGCTAGCCATTAATTAGGAAATATTTTGTTTTATCTTGGAAGACTTCATCTCTAAATTGACTTTGCTTGAAATGTGTTTGTTGTTCTTTACTATCCGTTGATATTCTTGCTGCAATTCATCATGCTCATCAAATAAATGCTTGTTCCCTCCTATGAGATTCATGCATTTCTATAATAATTTAAACATATCCTCATTTCCCTTTCTTTAGTCACTCTTTTGTTTCTTAATTAAAATTTACAAAGTATTCAAGCTTTTCTATTTTAGAGCCTATGATTTTGAACACTGCATTTCCGCCTCATTGTCCTACGTCTTTTGTTAGGTGATTTAGTTCATGCTTTCATAGAGCAAATTCGAAAATGCTTTCTCATTGAATGAATACTTTGGCCTATGATGAGCCATTTTCGCCGGAGGAGATTGTGCTTAAGATTTTACCTAAGTTTTCTTATGCATCTTTATATACTCAATTAAATTCCTCATCTATGAATTACGATGCAAACGAGCATCGATCTAACTGGATTTTAGCGTTTTAGAGTATTTATCCAAAAATTCTAATTTAGAATTCACAAATTCCAGACTAACTATACTCAAGTTATCTAGCATATCATGTATTTTCATGACTAATTATTTATATTCCTCATCTAAGCATTCACATTGCGTAAGTATTGATTACATTTATTTTAACGAACAAAAAATATTAATAATGACTAACATTATTGAGGAATCTATGATAATTAATCGTCTTACTTCTCCATAAAAATTAAATAATCCAAATTAATCCCCCTTGCGTCTAACTCCAATATTACCCAATTCCTATAAGCACTCAAGCAGATAAAGCAGCAAAGCCAATTTACTGGATATTCACAATCATAAAAATGTAGATCAATAAGATTCAGACAATGTGGCTAATCCCATGAGTAGTCAGGTAGATTTAACACAAGATGAAGCCAAAGAGAATGACATAGAACTTGATGTCAAGTAAGTCTTAACTGAAATCAATGATCAACAAACTAATTCGTATCAAAATCTGGATGAAATTCAACCTGATACTCAATCCTAACAGCCTCAATTAATTGTCATGTAAGCCGCAAATACAATTCAGAATTAGATTCAGAAACACAAATAAATAATCATTAAAAACCCTCAGATTGGTAACACAATCTAAAATCAACATCATTAAAAACCATAACAAATAGTGGAGAAGGAGGATATTCCCCAAGACAATAATAAAAACAAATCTCTTGATAGGTAAATGATCGAAAATTTAAAAGAAATTTACTCATTTTACTCCAAATAAGCAATTACAACAAATAAATACAATACATTTGAGAAGCTCCAATAATTGTCAAACATTATGATATTATAAAAATTCATGTTCTTCTGTAGAGATTTTGAGCTGATTGATTTAGAAATTAATAATGATTTGATTTTAAACCTAGGAGGTAAAATAGATGATCTAACAAATAAGAAGAAAAATCAGTTTAAATTCAATCATAAACAAAATTTTATCCTAACGAAATTTAACTTAGTAGAAGTTTACAAAAAAAATGCCAATTCTCAAATGGAGTTGACCAAAGAAAACTTTTAAATTGTTATCATAAAAATTGCGTAATTGATTTTTCCTGATCAAAATGAACTCTTGTATGAATACTTGGGTTTAAACAATCCTAGATTATATAGAAAGAAAATGCAAATCATAGGTAAGCCATTTAATTCAAAAGAACAAGGTGAAGTACTCACATAAGAAAAACTGTATGAACGAAAAATTTATTTACCTCCGAAACCGAAACTAAGAGTTGAAAGTGTAAAAAAAGAGAGACTGGTTATTGAATAATAATTTCCTAAAGTTAATTTGACCTAAAGATGCAAGAGGAATTTCAAATAAATGGAATCTGCTTTGAAGGATGGAAATGGAATTAATTGGAGTGATTTAGATGATTTATAATCGCATTTTGATCCAAAAAAATTTATTTTAGAATAAGATTTAAGTGATAAGGAAGATGATTATTATTTATAAGAGTATTCAAAACATGGATAAAGTTTAAAAAAAAAAATATAAGATTAGATGATGAATTAAAAAGAATTATAAATTAAGATTCCATAAATCTCTATCTATAGCAATATCTTGAGTTCCAATCACAAATAGGATCATAAGAGTAATGTTATGTTGACATCTGGTAACACTAGGCCTTCAAATAATAAGTCATTTGATTTGTAAGATAATTAATAAAGAAAACAATCAGTTGGATAGTCTCCACAAAACATAGAGCAAACCAGTTTGGAGAAATAAAATTAAATTTATAGGGCCTTTTTGAATTAATAATCATATCGTGAAAGAATGGTTAATAAAAAGAAATTAATCGTGATTTGATTACTTAATTAATAATATAAATGCAAGTTTAAAACAATCAATAAAGCACTCTCTTTCTTTGGGTATTTGTAAAGGCTGAAATTGGAAACTGGAAATGTACAAAAAGTGCTACAATCTTTATATTTAAATATAATTATTACATAGCAAATTGAAATTTTATTAATTATATTTCATTAAGTAGAAAATATTATGAAGGTGGAATCCTCAAAAAATAAGAGAGCCAAGCAAAATGCTATACAAAATCATAAAGAAGAGTCTATTAGAGAAATATTGGGCTTTTACATTAATTAGGTTGATTTGAAATCATTTATGAAAAAAAAAAAAATTTTTGAGAAGGTTGGAGATTTGGTTGATAAACATTAAAATGAGTTTTTGAATCCTGCAGAATTCCAAGAAATTTAAGATATTTATGAGGATTATAATATTGGTGATTTAGCAATAGTATTTCCAAATCCTGATTATGAAGGTTATACACAAAAGGCTGTAACATTTAATGAAGCAGCTACTATTTTTGATGAGATTTTAACAGTAATGACAGAGGATGTGACAAAAAATTAAATAAAAAAAGAAAGAGATTCCTTTCTTCTCACTTATTTGACACTTGATGACCTTACAGATAATTAGAATGAGGGGTAAGCTAAGAAGAAAAAGAAATTAAAACAGAAGAAGGATCCTGAGAAAAAGAAAAAGTTCAATAAAAACTAAAACTAAAACAATAATACCTAAGAATTAGCACAACTTAAAGATGAGAAACCACTCAAAATTGAAAAGAATTCTTATGAAAAATATTTGGATTTCATGAGAATTTATCATAAATAGAGAGAAGAAGAGTTAATGAATGAGAATGAAGGATTTGATTTAAAAAATGAAAAGGGATTTTTGGATGAAATAGGTGTGGGATAATAAGATTAATAAAATGTTGGCCAAAAAGTAATTGATCCAATTAAAGAATTAATGAAGGTTGATGTTAATGATGATAAATAATTTAAAAGGCTCAAGAAAAAATGGTCTTAGGGAGGATATTTAGTCAAAAAGATGTGTGAAGATGGTGTAGATTATGATTGGATATCAAATAATGGAGCTCCAAAAGATGTGATGACTTTGATTAGATTTACAATTTTAGAAAAACTGTCAAGAAATGGATATTTGCATTGTCGTTAATTTGTATCAGGAACTGGAGAACATATATATATAGTAATAAAGTCAACTAAGGAAGTAATCTAAAGATAAGCATAGAATATGAAAGTAACGAAATAAATAGAAATGGGTTTTGCTGATTTATTCTCTTTAGAGCCTGTTGATGCAAACTTTAGACCTTTGCGTCTTAAGAATTATATAAAACAAATTTTGGGTCCAAATTATGGAGATTTGAAAGAAGCAATGGATTTAATTAAATTAAATGAAAAATTCCATTTTACAACTTTGAAAGAAATAGATGAGTATTGTGAAACTAATTATAAATAAGAAATCAAATAATTAAAAGATATCGAGTTAAGAGCTATGGTAATTAAGAAACTTGAGCAATTAGAAGAGTATTTTAAGATTATTGCAAAACAATTAAATATTGATTAATCTCACGAGAAAGTTGAATTGAATTCTGATTATTCCATAACTGACGAGGAATGGTAAGTGTATTATATCTATTTGGATCTATTATCGAAATTGTTAAATCTATTGCAATTGCATTATTAGGAGTCGATAAAGGAAGCCCATTTTCAATTTAGGGATAATTTACCCTTCTTATATAGATTGATTTTTGGGAAGGCATTGAGAAAAGCAAATGAGATTTGGTATTCAGCTCATAAAAGTTGTTGGTCGGACTTATTAGATGAAAAGATAATTCTTAGAAATATATGGGATATGCTTGGTATGGAACCAGCAGCACCATACACCTAATATTTTTAATTGCAAAATGATTTTGGTAAATAGATGTGGAGGAAATATGAAATAAATGAATTGAAAGATAGATCAGAATTTAATAATATGGAAAAGATTAAAATTACTCATGCCATCACACTCAAACATGTGAATATGTCAAAATTGTTATAATCTCTTATTGCAGTTGGGTATTTTCCAATTCATGATACTTATGCTCTATTTGGAGAGGAGAAAAAAGAGAAATTTATGAAGAAATTAATTGAATAGGAATTTATTATGGAGAAAACATTTGAAGGGAGTAGACAATGTCTCTTGGATTTGTATAGGGATTTACAATCATATGCAGAATCTACAGATTTCGATTTTTAAAGTGTTAAACAAGATCTGAGAATAAATTTTAGATGTCCTTGGTATATTCCAGTTCATCATCTTAGAGATTATTTTGGTGAAAAGATTGCTCTTTATTTTGCATTTTTAGGATTTTACACTTAATAATTATGGTACATAGGATTGGTAGGTATACTATGCTAGTCTCTATTATCAGAATCAACAGGATAGTACAAAAAACCAATAGTAATTCTATTCTCATTTACAATAGTTATTTGGAGTTCCCTTTTCATCGTTTATTGGAGAAGAAAATAGTTTTTATTCAGTGTTTAATTTGGGTAGTTGAATTTTGAAACAGGAGAAGCATTAAGACCAGCATTTTAAGGAGATTTCCTAAGATCTATTACTGATGATGATCTAAATGAATAATTCTACCCTCCCATCAAAAGAAAAATAACTTAATTGTTTGGTTTGGCTGTTAGTTTCTTAATCATTTTATGTGTTATAGGATGTGTGTTAGGGATTTTCTTTTTCAAAAATTACATGATTGAAACTAAGGCAGATCCTTTTTTCTCTTAATAATTGCCTGGATTACTAAATTCAGTACTGATTGCTGTGTTTAATTTCATTTATCAAAATCTAGTCATGATCTTCAATTCATTAGAGAATCATAAGATCTTATCATCTTATGAAAATTCTTTAGTGGCAAAAGTCTTCATCTTTCGATTTGTAAATACGTAATAATTCAAATATCATTTAGTTTTAATTCATTCTTCATTATATCCTTTCTGAGCAATTACTTTTCATCATTGGAATTATGCAAAGTCAATGATGGCATCTCTGATTGTTTTCAAATACTGTCTCTCTAGTTAAGCACTATCTTCATTTCCAATTTCTCAGGATTAGTTACAGCGGTTGTAGTACCGTATGTTCAAGAGAAATTGATGAAGAAAATGAAGGCAATAGATGAAATACCTGTTCCTCATGCTTTTAATGACATTGACCCTTTTATTGAGAGCCAATTTGCCTTGTAACCATATCAAACAAATGAAGAAGTGGATGGAAGTGTTAAGGATTACATGGAATTGACAATTCAATTCTGTTTTCTTGTTGTGTTTGGAGTGTCATATCCTGCTTGTTTTATTTTAGGGTTTGCACAAAATGTTGGCAAGATCCAAGTAGATAAGATCAATTTTGTAAGTTTATCAAGGAGACCATTTCCTTAAGGAGCAGCAAGTATTGGTAATTGGTTGGTTATTTTGGACATCATTACCTTTTTTGGTATTCTTTCTAATGCTGGCTTGTTAGTCTACACTTCTAATTCTATAGAAGACAATAAAATTGAGTTCTTTGCATCGATTTTAGTAATCTTTTTTGCTTTAAACTTCGTAATTAAAATACTTGTATCTCCAGAATCTGAATCAGCTACTTTATTACTCTAAAGACACTAGTACATTATTGATAAGAAAATAAAAGTACCTATTAAATGTGATTATTGTAGGGCTTTACTTCCAATCAGAAGACAATCTTTGACAGATCTAAATTAAATATTTAGATAAAGAGAGTAGGTTATCATTTATTTAATTCTGGTGTTATCAATAATGAATTTCTAAAAACTATCAAGGGAGAGAGGGGAAATGCAGATGATTGAAATTATTTAATTAATTAAATATAATTTATATTATTTATTTATGTAAAAAAATTTGGAATAATAATATTTTGATGCTTTGGAAAAGAATCTATAATTGGAGAAGAATAAGGAAGAATAGGCTAAATAATAATATATAAATGCAGCTAATAAAATCAAGAAATGTTATGAATCATATAAGAAAAGACAGAAACTTTAAGTGAAAACCAGATACATAATTTAAATTTAAAAGTTTTATAGGAGATGGATTGCAAAGAAGAGAAAACATAGAGTCATTCAAAAATAGAGATAAATGAAAATCATACGACCTTATTTTTTAAGATTAAAATCATTTAAACTAAAACCATAATAGACTTTGACTTTTCAATAAAAATAAATTCTTAAACCTCTTGTTAATTTCATTCTTAATTTTTCCAAAATTAAATCTGCCAAAAGAAGATTCTTTATACTTTCACTTATCAAATACAAGAAAATATAAAATTAGAAAACTTAAATAAATTCTGTACTCTCTCAATATAAATTCAACTATTACACACAACAAATAGATTATCAACAAAAAAAAATTGCCATCCTAAATGAAATAGAATTTATCAACAATATACAATAATTGAATAATAAATATTTTGAAATAGGACTCTAAAATTATTAAAAAGAATTAGAGTAATTTATTAAATCTAAAAGTCACGAATCAGATTTTATTGAATTAAAGGATTAGAAGGGAAATTCATATTGGTAAAATCTCAAGACTTTAAAAAAATTCAATGTTAATCCTATTGATCAATTGATTTAAAATAATTTTGCTAAAGTTGAAGATGAATATGTTGATTAATATTAAGAGTAGGTTATGTATTTAGAGGAAGGGAAAGAGGAGTTGTTACATCTGCTATAATAAATCAAACCAGAAAAAATTCCTTTTCCAACTTTGTCAGAATAAATCAAATGAGTAGTTATAGATTAGAGCTTAATTAGTGTGATTGAATCATCATATACATTTCTTAATTTTTAAAATAATTACTTATAACTTATTCTGCTTATAAAGCTATATAAATCTTTTTATGCCTCATTTGAATTATTATAAATATTAATTATAGATGGATAAAATCAGCTTGTAAGGAGAAATCAATGCATTGAAAATGGAAAACATGAATCAAAAATTCAGAATCAAAACTCTTCTAGAAGCAAGGTAAGTTGCATTAGGAAATAACGAACAGATAATTAATTATAAAGAAAAGATATTGTAACTTCAAATAACTATTAATGAATTAACAAATAAGTGTGATGATCTTATTTTTATGAATGAAGTGCTTAATGATGAATTGTTATTTGAGAGGTATTAAAATAATCATATTGTATATAAAGACAAAAATTCTAAATTTTTACATCCTTTAATAAGAGGGACTTTAACACCCCTAATTTCTAAGAGTAGAATAATAATTTGAAGAAGAAATTAGAAATAGATTTTAAGAATAACAATTAAAATACACAAGAATTAGAAAAGATTATATGTAATTAATATGAAAAAATTATATTATTGGATTTAGATAAACAGAAGCTCTTAACCAAATTAAAACTATAAACAAATTCAGGTATCGTAATATAGGAAGAAGATTCTTAATAAAATGTTAGTGAATTACAATAGAATTTAGAAAAATCAAGATAATAAATTAAAAAAATAGAGTTACAATTTCATGAAAAATAATAATAATTTAATGAATTGAATTAAAAATATCAACAATTATTAAATTAATATTAATAATAATAAAAAATTCATTAATCAAAGCAAGCAAAACCAACTTTATTAGATACTTTACAAAAATCTATTATTCAAACACAATAAAGCTATGATATACATTAAAGTTATTTTAGTAAGTCAATAATCTAAACAAAATGAGTATATTTTCTTATTTAATTTATAATTTTAAACCATATTAACACATAAGAAATTTAAATGTTAAATTTTCATATAAGATTGATTATAATATAAATTCTGGACAAATTCTTACTTCATAAACCTAGACCAAAAAGGAATTAAAAATTTCATTGAGAAAATATTAGAATTAAACCTTTATATGAATTTAATGTAACTTATTATAAAATTAATTAGCCTGAAATTATATAAGCGTTTTGAATAATAGATTCAATTAATACTAAATTTAAATATAAATATTTTCTAGATCTTTAATATGGATTAACATTTCATGCTTTCTTTTCATATCTCTTTAATATATCATCCACACTTTTCCTAATATCATTATTTGAGTAACTTCTAGTTTGTCTTTGTCCAGTCTGATACTTATCAATAATTGATTAAGAGGGTCTATTTTATGAAGGCCTAGTAGGTTATTAAGTATTTGTAATATTGGTAGGATTTGGATATGATTTCATAATTTAGCCTTGAGGATTATTAAAAGTGGGAAGGTTATCTGCTTTGAAATGTGGTGATCGAGGACTCTCCTATCCATCTTGGGTAGTTTGAAGAAAGCTAATAGTAGGACTAATATTACAATGGTTGAGTATTATTCAAAGGCTAGACAGGAGGAGGTAAAACGGCAGGATTTTCTAATATGTTGGCTTTTCTAGTGGTAGGAGTGACTGAGGAGCTTTTTCTGGTTGGTTGATTTTCATCCATTAATTTAAAGGAAACTCTTTTCTTTTAATCTTTGGGACTCAATGTAGAAGTTCTGTCATCTTCGATTACACTCTTTCTTAATTTAGATTGTAATTCTTCACATCTCCATATTTCAATAGTTAAGAGCTAATAATGAGTTATATGTTATACTCTTTGAGAGTTTAAAAAGTAACTATTTTATTGTCCAAGCCATAGTAAATATCGATTAGTCTTTGAATCAAAGTTATAACCAAAGCCATTGGCATTAAAATTATTTTTGGATTTAGATCTGTAAATGTAAAAGTAGGGTGCTAATTGGAATGCAATTATATTATCTGAATCTTTGCCATCCAATTGCCATTATTATTTATTGTAGATGGCTATGGTTTATTTTTTATTTGTTTATTCATCTTAGAATGTTGCAACAAATAGAATTTGGGTTTATTGCATGGAACTTAGGATTTCTTGAAAATTGATAGATTGTAAGGCTGATTAATATAATAATGTTAATTATCCATGTCTGTGTAACTCTGAGGTTGCTAATCCCATTATAGCTAGCCACTCATATTTGATACTAAATGAGTCTTTATCAATTTTTGCAACTCTCATTTAATTAAATGGTTTTTGCAATAACCTGTACTAAAGGTATAAACGAATCAATTTCTGAACATGTGGAAAATTGGCTTCCATTATTGATAAAAACTCATTGATTTTCATTTATTTTTCTTTGAAAAGTGAGTTAACCAGAGTTTCCAAAACGGAGGCATCAATTTACTGCTTTCTGATACAAAAAGTTAAAAAGATAGACGTTATTAACTTAAAAAGTTAGAATTTATTTCCATACCCCAATAAATTAAAATGCTTATTAAGCTGTGATAATTTGTAACTATGAATCGTAATTTTCCATACAGATCTGTAGACAGATTGGAGTGATATCCGTAGTACTTAGTATACCTTAAACTATTGATCAATTCAAATATTAATTACGTATATTGATACACCCTTCCAAGGGCAAAGGATTAGCTTTTAACTAGCTTTGACAATACTCAAAGACTTATTATCCAAAGAGGGGATTATCTTGGAATATTCTTTCAAAACATTGTTAATCTAAATGAGTAGATTGGTTGCCTTCTTGTGAGTGCTTTAAAACATCGCATAATAAAAACACTTCCTTTTTATCCAGAGTATTAGATGGTTATCTGATTCTTACAGAACAACAGGATTAATTATTGCCCATTTAAAATTGATGATTAATCAATAATATAAATATTATTATTTGCAAATGTAGGATATATAATAGCCTCATACATCTAAGCTTGAATAGGAGTCTGCCACAAGTGCAAAAAATCACTTGTCCTTAGTGACTGTAATTATCTCACTTTACATTTAGAATATTACTGATTTAACTAATGAACTGCTACAGAATTATAAGCAGGATATCGACCAATTGAAATAAGAATTACATCTCATGAAATAAAGGATTACTAATAATAATGAAGAAATTAAAAATACAACTTAACCAACTTTGGATGCCATGTTACGAGATCTTAGATAAGTATTTGATACTCAAATCATTAGGCCATCAACACTTAAAAGGATGAAAATTCTAAATTGCAATCATAACTAACAGAGTTGAAAAAAGAAAAAAGTCAGATACAACAATTAATATTGGCTGCCACTTAAAAGATGGTAGCATTGGAATAGTAAGTAGGAAACTACACCTCCTCATGATTTATAATTATTATTGAACAAATCATAACAGTATCATATTTTTAATATTGCTTTCTCCTTAGATTCTAATGCTTTCTCAAATTCCTCTAATGAAAACTACAATATACAAATTAAACTTACAATTTGTGTAGGCAAGGTCTTAAAACATCCCTAAATGTTATTTAAAATTTCATTCATCATCAACTTTAGTTGAATTATGTTTTTGCCTTATAAAATATCTACAAAAGAAAATCTATTAAATAATAATCCCAATTACCCAAATATTTTTTTATTTTAATACATTAAATTAGCACAATAGATTCCCTCAAGTGATTTTTTTGAATAATTAGCATACAGATAAGCTCTTGAACCATTGGGCATAAGATTCAAAATTTTACTTAATAGATCACCTCCAACTGAATCAAATAGAACTGTTGTACTACCTATTAATAATAAGTAGAATACTTATAAGATGAAGCCATCAATTTGAGTTTTTCTTCGAAATCCTCTTGATTAATATTTAAAATAAGTTTTGCTCCTTCATCTTTTAATTGTTTTTCCTCTCCTTACGATTTAACAATATTAATCACATTTATTCCTTTAGATTAACAATATCTCATTAACATTCTACCAAGATTAGTGCATGCACCAGTAGACACAATTCCAGATCCATTTCCAAGTAATTGATACATCATTAATACACTCATTGGATTGATAAAACTACAACAACCCTCTTAGAATGAAATATGTTTAGGCAATTCAGCACAATAATTGACATCTGCTATTGCATACTAACCAAAAGCTCCAAATTAATGTTCTGTGTAAAATGCTACACGATTTCCTTTTAATTACCACCCTAGTAAACCACCACTTAATATTTAAAAATCTTTGTTACCCTGAAGCTATAACTGTGCCTGATCCTTCAAATCCAGGAACAGTACTTACTAATGGTTTTTAACCTATTTTGTATCCATTAAGAAATTCTTTATCAAACTGGTTGATGGGAGCACACTCAACCTTAATCAATACTTAACCGTTTGCTGGTTGAGGAATAGGGATATCTTTCAAATTGATTGAGACATTGTCCTCAATATACAAAGATTTCATCATTCCACTCATTTTGTATAATGAAAAATTAAATAATTAACAAAGTTTAATTCAATAATATATTGAACGAGAAATCCCTCTTGTGGTAACTTCCAAATAATTCTTTTTTTTGGGATTATTTTTATCTTTCTCTTTGCCAGCCCATTACACAATCATAGGATACTATCCTGGACCTGGAACTGGAACTTATTTGGATTTTGTTTTTTTTGGATCCTTAAATCTATCTTCTTTTCCAAAATTCTATAATTAATTAATTGATAATCTTAACATGCTTATCAGACTTGTCCTTCTTCTTTGAAAGCTATTACAACTTGTTAAATGATATGTATTCAACTGGTTCTGGATTGTAGGTACCAATATCGGGTAAACATGATTTGCCTCTCTTTCTGTCTTATTCTTTGTGCTTGGCAATTTGATCAGATGGCTTAGTCTCATTTATTTTTAGCTTTTTTTCAATTCTCTATCAAAATCACATGCAGATCTTACATGAGGATTATAATTTCCAGGACCTGGATTGATCACAGCTAAATGTTAAATTTCATTTAAATAAGTTGGTCTTTCAACAGGTCTATTGAGAAATCATTTCAAACTATTACGTTATTTTTTTTTTCTTATCTTCTTCCACTTATTTCAAAACCTCTTCGAGAGTTGGTATCACATTGTATTTACCTGCTCCAGGAACTCCTCTTACTTTTGCTTCTTTGAATATTTAGTCTATAAATGTGCATCTATTTAAACATATTTTTTGAATAAATACCTCTTCTGAGGAGCACTCTTGACTCTTCCTTCCTATTTTAATGGAACCCACGGCTTAACAATATCGTACTTGTTCGGTGCAGGTAACTTCTCATATAGCTTTTACAAGTCTTCCAAATAATGACCTCTTTTTGTGACATGATTTCTATTTTTTTAACCTTTAACGTGATGAACGCAAATTACCTTTCTTCTAAGTTAAGAATTTTCTATCTTCCATTTATTTAATTGGATCAACGTACTTTTTTGGGGCTTCGTATCCCTCAATTCCAAAAGCTGATGTTTATCTAGTTGCTATTTTAAACATATCCTCCATAGGAAAATCTAGTTTTAGTCATGAGTCTAAATACCGAAATTAGGTGCTGCAGATTACGCTCTTTACATATTATATTAATATTTAAATATAACAATAATTTTCCTTTTTTTCAAATCATTTTAGTTATACTAATGGCATAGATATAATTATGATTATTCAAAATAGGGCAGTGCACCTTTGAATTGTCAGAATAATAATATTTAATGCATCTTTTTTGAATTGCAAAATAAAGAGAGTTTAATCAAACTTAGTTAATAGATCAATATATATATATCAAGAATAAAAAGAAATCAACGTTTGATATGAGAATCTGAAAACACTCAATATCTAAAGGTGTAATTTATTTGAGTATTGTTGGATGTTGATTAAAATAATTATAATTAATATTTGATTCAATGAGTTAATTATCTACTTCTTTATCTAAAATATTTGGAATCATATTCGTAAGGGCATAGGATGGTACAAGATTATACTCAAAATATTACCCTTAATTGTTTCCTAAGAATTTATTGAGAGTACCAGAGGGTGTACTTACTAATATTGACGTGTAAAAATAATTTGAACATAATGTTTGGGAGAAGGGAAAGAGAGTTGGAGCTCGTTTAACAAAGGGAAGTGAAAGTATAAATGATGATTATGATTTTAAAGCTGAGATATTTCAATATTGCTAGTTTAACATTGTAATGAAGGCATTTAATGAAGTCCACTTGTTTGTTTTGGGAGACTTTGAGGAAAATGAGATCATATTGTCTTAAGTCATAAACGGAATCTATGAGTCATTAAATCACATAACAAAAGATCATATCAATAAGAAAACTTTATTAGAGAACTTCGATCAAGTCATAATTATAATTGATGAGATTTGCGATCAGGGGTATATAGCTAGATAGAATTATTAATATTAGAATAATTATTACAATAGATCCATCAGTGATTATAGCAAGATCAACCATGAGAGATACTGAGGCTGTAAGTTTAGATAAATAGGAAACTAGTGGTTCTACAGGAGGAGCCTTTTCATCAGTATTTGCATCAGCCAAGAGAACATTTGCTCAATAATTTATGGGATCTGGTTGAATCTTATTTTAAATATTATAATTATAAGTCGAACAATTGAGGGTTCTTTAATTAATTCATTAAATATAAAATGAGAGGTTTGTCATGCTCCTAAAATTGATTGACTTTTAAATTATTATGATTAAATGAGAGTTGAAACCATTCTGAAAGGAAAGAATAGTTAGCAACTAGTTAGTAGAGATCAGACAGTTAGTATGTTTAAACTAATTGATAGCAATATTAAGATCATGCATTTTGGCAATGTTATTCTGGAATAATAAAATTGATATTCGAAAAGCTACTATCTTATCTAGAATTGATCAAGAACGTATAATCTCTAATGAGCAAATTGAAGGATATCACGTTTTCTCTGTCTATGATTGAGTTAGCGATTATGAGGTAAAAGGAGCTAAGCTTTTCGCCTAGATTAGCGAAATTTAAAGCATTACTTATTGATTTATGGCTAATTTTACATTCATTATTATTAATTAATACATTAAATGTATAACCGTCCAAGTTCCAAACCTAGATATTAATAAGAGCCTACTCTGGATTCAATCAATCTTAAAGAAAAATAATTATACATATAATCAAGCAGCATAAGTAAATCAACTTATCATTTATTAAAATTCTAGATCCATTAACAGGGGCCGTCCTGAGACCTGATTAATAATACAATCAATCGTAGTAGAATAATGCTAATTTTGATAAAAAAATAGCCTTATAAGCCAGCTCCATCAGTATATTCATAATCAAACCTTAGATCCTCTTACTGGTGCTCCTTTAGTCAGAAATCCAATTAGTTATCAAACAGAGTCAATATAATAAAAAAATACACCCTATGGTGTCCAATAAAATGCAAATAGCTATACTACATCTTCTGGCTAAATAGGATCTGGATCAAATACTAATGATGCCTAATTTCAAAAGAATCTGGTTAAATTTTTTGCAGCTGATGACCCAAATCTAGTATAATAGAAATCTCAGTAAAAACCAAATAATGCCTTACCATCAGATCCTTAATTTTAAAAGAATCTTGTTAAATTTTTTGGTGCTGATGATCCCTCTTAACCCCAGAAATTTAATAATCAAAGACAGATTAATTCTAGATCAAACAATTAATATCCATAATAAGGAAATTAGTAATATCAAGGATAATAGGCAAAAATATAAAATGATCAATAATTTCAACAAAACTTAAATAAATTCTTTGCTGCAGATGATCCTACTTAAGTTAGAAAAACTCCTTCTAAAAATTAGTATCCAAGTCCTAGCCTTAGTCAACAGAAATACCAACCATTTAATGAGGCGCCTCCTGATCCCAGGTTGGTGAATGATCCCAGTTTCTAAAAAAATCTTAATAAATTTTATGCAGCTGATGACCCTACTCAACCCAAAAAATAGGTTTCTAAATAATCTCAATAATAATAATAAATAAATGCCATTGAGTAAAATAAACTCTAAAGATTAGAATAGGATCCTAGATTCTAAAAAAATCTTTAACAATTTTTTGGAATAGATGGAATATCTCAGCAATAAAAGAATGGCTAATAGTAAATCATTTTCTTATTATCTTAGAAATATTTAAGACACTTTACAGCAAAATAATAATAAATCATCCAAAGTAATTGCAATTACTGATAGCAGTTCAGCAGCAAGAAATCAAGTAGCTGGTTTCTTTAGAGCAAGAGGTGTAGAAGATTTTGATGTATTTACAAATCCTGGAGGAGTGTTTGGGTTACAAAATAATCCCGTTTAAGAGCAAAGTTTAAAGTATTACCTTGATACTATGAGCAATGCTTACATCATTAAGGAAGTTTATATAATTTCTGTTCTTGACACCAATAGTGTATATTATATATTCATTATTATAGAATGTAAGAATATACACGAATTTGAATGATAAAAGGTCTCATTAAATAGCAATCTAAGATTTAAAGACTGTTTTGGAAAATAAATTTAATGTTTAATAAAAATTACATGGAATCATAATAGATTAAAGAGGAGCATCAGAAAAAGCATTTTGAAAAATATAATCAAATTATCAATATAAATTACGATTCGTAGCATTTTTAAATTTTTAGGGCAAATTGTTAAATCTTTATTTAACTTTATTCATATTAAACAATGATAATTATCCTAATCTCATTAAATCATTTTTATTATTATTTTAGAATGAATGCTTATTTGAATTATATTCTGTCTTACAAAATCTATTTTCATCAGACATTTTAGTATCTGAATAGATATTCTTATATCTTGATTAAGTATTAGAGTAGGTGTTATTTTTTGTGGATAGTAAGGAACTCAATAATTAAGATTTTCTATTTTTAAATTCTTATCTCTCAGTTTTATATTCATTTACAACATTTGTGGTTTAAGTTTGACATTATTTTATGAATTCTTGCAATTCCTTCATTGAAAACATCTTCTTCTGTAATCCTAGTTTTTGCAGTGAAGTTTACACATATTATTCCAATCTCTGGCTTTTTATTTTATCTTGCTCGAATTATTCTTTCAATTTCATTCTCTCAAATTTAATCAACCTTTCATAATCTTAATTACTGAAAGAGCCTTCCTAGTCTTCTTCCTCTGATAATTATTCAGATATATCATTTGAACACATTTATAAATGAATTGGCCTATGATGTAAAGACTTTCTTTGATTGTATTCTTAATATGCTTTAGTTCTCTGTAATATTGAAATGCTTGTGATTATATTGTGTAATCTTTAGCTTTTTATTTACATAGAATCTATGTATTCCTCTGGTTTTTAATCTTCATTATAAAATGTATCTGATCTAATCAGTTACTTTTTCTTAGTTTTATTTTCTGAATCAAAATGATGGTGCTGCGTATCTAACTTTTATTATATATTTTTATCTAGTTTCTCAACTATTGGCACCATTGATGTTTAAATTCTTGAACATATCTCTGAATAACCAAAACTATGATCAATCAATATTTTTACTTGCATTTTGGCATAGGTTCTAAACTATATTTACAGGATTCTGCAATCATCCCTTAATCTATTTTCTTTTGTATTTCAGACGATTTAGTCATTGAAGCAAACACTTTATTGCATTTTCTACTTTGTGGCATTGCTTGATTATTCTTGCTATTCATCATCTATTTTCTTGCAATCAGAAGTCTTGTTAAATACTTTAATTTTGGATCAAATTGTTAAGACATTTTTAAAAAATCTTATGTATATTGCAATCTCCGTTAAGTGTAAAATTATATTTCCTCCTTGGTTAAAGCTTTTTTCTTGTTTCTCATGATTTATTAATTTATATTATAAATCATAATTTGATAATTATAGGACTCAAATAAATGTCAAAATATCACTAAATTGCATCTTTAAAATCCCAAACCGAATGAATTCAATATATATTATTTCGTTTTTAGCATAAAGTATTTATAATAATATATATAACCTTTATTTAATATTATATATTTTTAAATCAATACACTTTTCCTAATATAGGTTATAATATAAGTATAAAAAAATTAATCAGATTTAAGATGATGAATAATAATTAAATGGATATATTAACTAATTACATTTTTAAGAATAATTTTTATGTTAACTATAATTTATTATTATAATCATAAAGCTGTAATTTATTTTTGGATGGCTTAAATTAATATTATTCCAATTAAATAAGCAAACTGAAGTAGAAATTCTCAAAAAATTAACCAACTTCAAATCTTTTTTTCTTGATATTACTTAATAGCATCACTTACTACATTGATTAAAAATTAATATAAAAGCAAACTAATTGGCTTATAGATAAGGGACAGTTATTTAATCCATTATTAATATATTTAGAATGAATTAAAATATATCTGTAAGGAAATATGATCAAATTATAATTTGGTCTATATTTCAACCTTCTAAACTGAAGTCTCACCAATTTATGCGAACTAATGGTACAAAAAGTACTACCTTAAAAGTACATTCTAAATTTGCTATAATTTGCAAAGACTCGAACTTTAATCGTATCTGAATTTTTAAATAGGAAATTAAAATTTTGATACTTTGTAATCAAAGATTAATTTAAAGAGTAATTTGATTTGAAGTTAAATTATACAAAATAGAGTATTGATTTGTCAAAATACTTGAAATTATAATATCATAACCTTTTAAAATAATTAAGATATACTGTTTTAGATAGTTATCCAAAATTATATGTTATAACAATTAAAATTTTCTTATAATTATAAATATTTACACATCATTAAGTTATTCTTATTCCTAGAAGAACATAATTTTTGTATATAATTTCAAGTAAATAACTGAAAAATTAAAATTCATCAATTAATATTTCTACGATCAAATTAATTAGTAATCCTGTAATAATTTGGTTCTAAAGTATGCTAAAAGTTGAAACAAATCCCTTTTAAACAACTATATTTTTATTCAAAATAACCGATATTACTTAATAATAAAATAAGTCTTTAAGCAAAAAAATAAATTATTTTTCCCCAAATAAATATTCTAATATAATATGTCATAATCAAAAGGATATTCTGAAAAAAATACTAACAAAAAGACCCAATTTTACTTTTCCATTTGTATTTTATCCATCTAATTTTCTAACTTAAATAAATGATTAACATGTGCTATTAATTAACTCACTTATAATTTATTAGATAAATACTAAATCTAATGATTTATAATCACAATGCAATTTCCTTTAATTGAAGATAATTAATTTAAGATTCTATGAAATACGCAAAAATTTCAGACGACACTCGAAAAGCATTCATCGAAAAGGTAAAACAAGGGGTATGTACAATCAAGCAGGCAGCTAAACAATTCGGAATAAAATTTTCAACAGGAAAAGCAATCTTATCTCTCTACAAACATGAAGGAAGGGTAGGGAAAAAAGAAAGGAGGACTAGAAGATTAAAAAAACATTCAGAAGAAAAAGAAAATTAAACATGTAAATGTTTGAAGGATGAACCACCCGTGGCAGCTAAATAAGTGTAAGTTTAGGAGGTTTCGAACTGCCAAAATAATTAATCACTTTTTAATTAGTATTAGTCTTAGTATTACAACTACAATTACCAACAATGGTATTAAACTCAAGCTTGGATACAATACATGAATGGTCTTTCTTCAATGAACTGTTATAATTACAGAAATATATATTGATTATTCATAAATATTATATTAAATTTGAAAGATTCAATTACCTGTCACTAACCTTTTATGTATTTTTCATTTATGATATGCTTATCTAGCTTATTTGAAACCAGAAAAAGAAGAATCACTTTATAAAATATAGATTTAAATTAAATTAATTGAAATATTAATAAATTCAATATTATTTGCAAAATTGCTATTATCTACAAAAATAAATCAATTATAGAGAATCTAATAAGCTTACATTCCATTCTCAAATTATCTAAACTACTAGAATTAAAAGAATCTCTTGATAACATGCTGCACATCTTCAGAAGTGAAAATTTCTCGTTCTATAAATTAAGACAAAATTAAAAGTTCCTTATCAGCTTTATTATCAAGAAAGGGTACAATAGGTATACCATTAAAAGGTTCAGGACTTAATATAAATTATGATCACTACATAAAGCATTAGGGATTATTATCAATTAGGATAATTTTGGTTAAGTCACTACTAATTATTTTGATATCTTTCACTTAAGAATTATCCTGTAAGATTGTACAATGATCTCGAAAGAAGAGTCCTTGAAAAAGGTCCTTTTAAGGGTCTAGGATTTGCATAATCTTAATGTATAATTTAAAAAATTTACAGTTGTTGCATATTTAATATTGGATGAAGTAAAAACGAATAAATTAGCATGTTTGTTTAACAGTTATAAAAACTATAAGCAATAAGGTCTGATAAAGGTACCAAATTGGAGGTTTTAAAAATCGTATCTTCTATTTGGTTTTAACTCCTCCGAATGCACAAGTGTTTCATCTAGATCAATAGCAATCGAATATTTTTTAGTTAGAACAATATTAGGTAATTACTTCTTAGAAATAAAGGTTTAGTCTTTGCAAGTTACATTTTTGTAGATTTGGTTTAGTTAATCTATACACATTTATTTTAAATTTTAAGCGCATATTTCTTTACCTAAAATTTCCTTAATTCCTCCGATAAAATAATCATTATATTAAATTTATTTTCTTAATTAATCGTCATTTTATTATTATTGATATATAGTATGTGCTCTACTACACATGTCTTTTCTTGGTTTGTCACCTACTTTGGATTTTTAAGAAGCTTAATCATACAAGTTATTCAAAATTGCATTATTTAATTAAGAGGTCGACCTTCCACAACCTTAAAAATCACCAATTTTTTTTAAGGTGTTGGTAGGAGTTATTTACTTAAGGGTTTTTGCGCAATTTTCATCAGTCTAAATTTTAGATGTTGATATTATACTTTTTTAGTTAATTATGGTAAGGATAAGTTAGAACAACAACCTTAAATTTTATTTCTTTAATTCATTTACTATGAATTTTTAATAAAAAAATGGCATATTAAATAAATATAATTCAAGTAAAGAGCACTTTTACTTGTCTTTATTAAAATGTCTATTGGTGATTAAAGGAAAACAAGCTAATCATAAATGGTGTGTCTACTTTTTCACATTTAAATAGTTTTATGAGCAAATTAATCAAATATTTATATTTAAATAAATTTCCTTATAAGTTTAAAACATAACAATTAAGCTTTTTATAGTTAGATAAATTCCATGGGAGAATAATATTTTAGATTTTAATTCATTTTAATTACGTAAACGAAAAAGTTTTACTTTTAAATATAAATGGGTCACCTCATCCCGCAAGAACAAAATTTTGATTTTTAATTCATTTTTTTTTATCACAATATTTATCCAAAGAAAGTAAGGATTAGTTATTTTCATTCCGGGGAGAATATAATTTTTGATTTTAGTTATAAATTATTGAAAACTAAATTTTAGAATATTATTTATTGTTTTTTTAATAAATGTTGATTTATAAAAACAACCCAATCTAGCTTATAAGTTCAAACCATCAGGATTATGTGAATAAAGGTATATTTGTAAATATTTATTATTACATGTATCCCTTAAGCTTAGATTACTCAAGACGACAATGAGGAGAATAATTTTTTGGATTCAAGTTTTATTTATTTTTTTATCAACTTATACAAAACCGAACATATAAAATTATCTTAACTGCTTTAAACTTTATAAAGATATCTCAATAATTATATTTTCATAATGATGTTGATGAGGTATTCTATTTTCTTTAGTGTAATAACCAATTCATTAAAAGTAATTATTTAATCCATTTTTCTTCTATGTTCTTAATAAATTGCTTATTCAAATAACAAATTTTGATTCAAGAATTTGGCGAATTTAAGAAATTGGAATTGGATTCAGAAATATTCAATTACAAAATTTTAAATAAAGAAACATCAATTCGGATAATTTAATATTCTTTTAAGTAGATATACTATTTCATCAAATTAATCCAAGGGAAAACTTGAAGAAGGTTTCTTAGGGACTTGTAATTATAATATTATACATTAAACAATATCTACTATCAGTAGAAATGATTATTTAAAAATTAAATTCCATTAACTTAGTATATAAGATTAAAAATAATAACTAAATATTTATGGGGTGTTCTGTCACTAAAACAAAAGTAAATGAGAATCTTAAAACAAATACAACAGACAAATTCGAATCATACTTGATAACTCAAAGCCTTGTACAAACTCCGCCAGTACCAATTAAAAAATAATACTCAATTGAAAAGAACCCAATTATATAAAGAAGAAGATTAAAGTCTTAACAAAAGACAAGGACTACTTCAGTCATCGACAAATAGGATTGTTCTGTTTGATTTATTTAACCTATTTTCCGTTTTGAATTAATATCTATTCTTGGAGTATTTAAAATATATCTACTTATCATCAAAGACTATAATTTAATAAGTATTTTATGGTTGAAAAGTCTTAAAAATCAGACATTTTCCTCACTTCGAATCTGTAGATGTTTCAATTTAACGCATGTGAATTTGGCACATTAAAAACAACATATTCTATACTTCTTTATTAAATTGGGAAACCGAGTCAGGAATAAGTAAGCTTGTAATCAGAGAGACAGAACACTTTAAAATTTTAATATATATCGTTTTATAAAATATTTGATAAAAATAAAAAGTTGATAAGATAAGATAAGGTTAACTCGTTGATTTGGAAAGTTGGGAATCGGTTATTTTATCAACAATTTCTAGCCTTATTTTTTTCAGTATAATTGTTGAAAGTGGTATTTAGATGAAAATTATTATTCAAATTATATATAGTTCGTAATATCCATAGGTTGGATCTAATTTCCTTGTATAGATGGTTTCGATATGCTCAAGTAATACGATTTCAGCAGTCGTATAAATGATGCACTCATTGTCATAAAATGGCAAGTGGCCCCCAATCATTTTTCCTTCAGTATCAGATAAACTAATATGAATATGTTATCCATAAACACTTATTGTTCCAACAAGAGACACAATTTCAAAGTGACCATTGATTTCTGTAAATTGAGGTTGATTTGCAAATCTAATTGAGCATTTCAACAAAGACTATTAATAAATTTAAGTAAATACTCCAACACAAGTGGAAATTGAAGCTGCCTTAATTTAGTTAGTTTCAATGTAAGATTATAATTCTTTAACTAAATTCTAATTAGGACGGAATCTTAAAGTATGTGATCTAACTTCGCTTACTGAATTAGCTGAAATGATTGCAAAGAAAATGCTGAATAAAATTATCATTAACTAATTTAATTATTGAATTGAAAAGAATAAACAAAAAATAGAAAGTTTCAATTGATCAACAATTTCCAGATTAAAATGTTGGAGATCGATTTGAATTGATTATTGTGAGTATAATATACTCATTTCAATTAAAGTAAATAACTATGCAATATTAAGAATTTATATTAAAAATAATAGTAAAAGATGAGGTATAAGTTTTCAAAGCCGAGCAACAGAGTCATACCTTTAAATAGGAATTAAATATAGTAGTTGTCAATCCTTTCTCTACTAGCAATTTTTGTCTCAATGACATTCCTTATTCTGTCTCAAAACAAAAAATTGGAATACAACCCTAATGATTATATAGTATTAAGAAAATTTGAAAGAAACATGGAGGTTTCAGGACATACTCAAGTATTCAGAAGATTTGTTATCAAAGGCATTGCATTTTCTTAATTCTACTCATTTAGTTGAATCATGTGGATCATATGAGAATTCAGAAATCCATTATATAAATTTGGATCTAATGACAACGATATCCTAAAGAGTGAGTCTGGATGACATATATCAAGGTCAGGGAGTGGATGTAATTGATGGATAGATTTATCAATTAACCTGGAGAGAACGTATAATGTAGTGTAATTAGTAATATAAGATTCTTGAGGGATCAGGAAACTCTAGAAGTTTTGGAGAGTAGAAAGTTAAATTTGGATGTGAATGAGAGTCTGGGAATTTCGCATTCTTATGATGAAGATGATACATTAGAAATCTACATAACGAATGGAACTGATAAAGTGTTGATTCTAGACTCGGAATTACTTTTGAAATAGATAATTTAAGTGCAATTTAATAATGGTTCTTCAGTAGGAAGATTAAGTGAGATTGAATTTGTCAATGGAATTTTATATGCAAGTACAAATTTGAATCCGATCATTTTGGCAATTAATCTAACAGATGGCTATGTGTAATTATCATTTCAGTAAATATAGGAAAAATTATTATGATTTTTCTTAACTAATAGATTTTTCATCTGATATGGATTTGAGTAATTGTATTTGTGGGATCGCGTACAAATCTGAGTAAGATATGTAAATTTTAATTTCAATTATCTATAGATTTTGGATAACTGGAAAGAATTGGCCTTTTTTTTGGGAAGTCGAATTAAATTGATGAATATATAAGTCTTAATTATTTTCTAAAATTAGCGATAATAAAATTAAATGGGTTGTTTACAACCAAAATAACACACTAGAATAGTACCAATGCAAACTAGTCATAACGATTCTGTTTTTACTTCGACGACAGACATCCATTCTCTTTATAATTTCGGTAAGGTCCTTGGAATAGGTTCTTTCGGCAAGGTTGTCCAAGCTACTATGAAAAATAACTCAACAAAACAGTATGCCATCAAGATTATAGACAAAAATAATCTTCATGGAAAGGAAGCATAATTGGCGAATGAAATATATACACTCAAAAAACTAGATCATCCAAACATAATTAAGTTTTATGAAGTCTATCAGAGTGAATTATATATTTATATATGCATGGAATATTGCGAAGGAGGTGAGTTAGTAGAAAGAATTGCAAAACAGCAGATAAATTTAACTGAACACTAAGTACAAAGAATTATATCTAAAGTAAAATATATTCGTAATTTAGATATTATCTGCTGTCATCTACATACATGAATAAGGAATAGTGCATAGAGATATTAAGGCTGAGAACATTTTATTTACTGAATAAAGTCTCTATTCTGAACCTAAGTTGATTGACTTTGGATTCGCAAATAAATTTGATGTAGTACATAGACGAAGAAAACTAAAGACTTTTATTGGCACACCTCTCTATATGCCTCCAGAAGTCATAGAAGGAGATTACGATGAAAAATGTGATATCTGGAGTCTCGGTGTTCTTCTTTACAGTCTCTTGTGTGGCTCTCCTCCATTTGTAGGACAGTCTAAGGAGAAACTGTTTCTCAATATAAGATTGAAGGAAGTGAAATTTGAATCTAAAGTATGGAACACTATATCTGATGATGCTAAGAATTTACTTTTTTAAATGCTCTCTAAAGATCCGAATCTGAGACCCTCTGCAAAAAAGTGTATGGATCATCCATGGTTCCAAACTAAATAAAATCCATCATCATTATTTACTGACCGACTTAAATCTGCTCAATTACAATAGGATAGAACCATTTATTAAATGCTAAAAACTTATAGAGGAGGGGCCAAGTTCAAAAAGGAAGTCACCAAAGTTCTCATTAACCAAATGAATGAATCCGATTTACAACATCTAAAATAGATATTCTCAAAAATTGATGTTGACAACTCAGGAACTATTACTGTTGATGAACTTAAATCAGCTTTAATTAAGGAGGGTTCCATCGTAACTCATTGGGAAATTGAGCAATTAATTTAAACTATTGTCTTAGAAGAGGATGAAGGCATCCAATTGATGGGAGAACATGATGGAACCCAATACTAAGAAATCAAATCTCCAAAACCATTAATGATTAAATATACTGATTTCTTAGCTGCTTGTATAGATCAAAGAAAAATATTCACTAGAGAAAGAGTATTATTTATTGATTTATCCTTTAGTTATGGTCTTTATTTAAGTATTTCGATACTCTCAATGTGGGACACATTTAAAAGGATGATATTAAAGAAGCCTTGGCTAGACATGGAAGACAAATTTCGGAAGACAAAATTAATTAAATGATCAATGAAATCAATCCTAATCATAATAATTAGATCTCGTTTGATGAGTTTTGTTAAATGATGTGTGATCAAGGAGTAGATAAGACTATGAATATCAAGGATGAATTCAAAGAACCACCATCAAGAGTCGATTGATGTAAATTTCAATATTATTTATAATATAATTCCTATAATATTCTAATATAAAATAAATTCAATGACTTATTGAATATTATAAATTAAGTAACTATTGCTAAGTATAATGTAGATTGGTGATGACTTCATTCTTTTCAATTATTGCATTCTACAGTTGTCTTTGTAGAATGGCACTATTTGTGACGTGCTAATTTATGCTATATACTAATCCATCATTTTCACTTTTTAACTAATAGTATCTTTTAACTAAATTCTTATAATTAACTCTTAATGTTTCCGTATCATTGGTTTTATCCAAAATGAATGTATTTTATTCCAACAATCTCATATTTTCATCTCCATACTCTGATAATTTATTTAGTAATCTTTATTGCTCCAACTCCTTTTTCTTAAATTCGTTGTTCACATTTTATAATTCATCTAACTGTTTTTATAATTATTGAATTCTTTCAACATTATCACTCCTCTCCTTTTCTAAAAGGTTTTATTACAACTTAAATGATGAATCCAATTACTATATTTATTGTTTTTAATTCTTCAACTCTTCCCCTAATTTTGTATTATCTTAGACTAATTATTAACACAATCTATTTTTTTATTAATATAGAGTATCGATATCAACTAACTCTTATTCTAACTTTTGATATCTTATTAGTTTTCCATTTAATATTTCAATTTCTAATTCTTATTTTAAGTTAATCTCTTGTTATTAGCTTAGCTTCTTTGATTTAATCTCACATTCATTGGTTAAATCTTCAATTTTTTTTTTGTATGAATCCGAGATAGAATTTTATGTTTCAATTTCTCTCCTGAATTATTTCTAGATGATATTTATTTCATCATCAATCTTTTTTTGATTTATTAGCTCAAAATGTTTAGCTTGACTGTCAATATCGAATTGATGTTTATCTTTTAAAGAGTTTAATAGTGAATACAATCCTTCATTTTAAATTAATAGTTCTGATGCATTTAACTTTAGATTATCCAAGTCTTTTTGACAATCAAGATATTTCTATTAAACTTCTTAATAATTTTTTTTCAATGTGTTATTCTCGTTATTTAACTATTTGTTTTATCTTTCTAATTAATCACAGTATTGCTTTGTTTCATATTATTCTTACTCTTTGAAGACATTGCTCTTCATTTTTTGAACTTAATATTGTAATTCTTAATACTTCTATTTAATAAGTTCACTATCATTGTATTGTATCTATAAATCATATTACAATTAATCTATGATATTAAGCAAGAAGCGTATTTCACCTTAAGGATCTTTGATCTGCACTTCCTCCTTATCAAAAGGATAATGCTCTAAAGATGATGACACATTAGCAGGGGATTGATGAATAACGGGAGATTGATGAAATTTATGAAATCTAGGACTTGTGCTAATCTTATAGCTGCATTCTTGAGAGGAGTTTAATAGATCATTCTCATACTTTCCTTTCTTGCTACCATATTATTGAAGCTTTTCTATAAGCTAGGATTCACTCATGTCAGTTAATATTATAATTTTAAGACTAAAGAAATTGAAATAATAATAGTTTAACTTAAATAATGGAAAGAACAAGTTCAGGATGTAATTCCTTATAATTTATCTTCTGATCATTAATTATTTCACAATTAACTTATTCAGATTAATCTTCTTTAATCTTATCTATTCTGGGTATCCCTTTGTCATCTCTCTTTGCCTTACTTTATAATATTCTCATTCATAATAAGAGTACATTTGCCAAATATCTTTGAAATGTTCTTGCTATCTATAATTAGTGGTATAATTTTATATCTATGTTAAGTGTGTAATAATCAACAATATTTATCAAAACATATTTTGCCATCTAAAATTCAAATATGCTGACTAGCAATTATTAGAAGAAGGTATTTATGAGAACCTCATTGTTAGTTTAACATTATTCAAAATAATTAAATAGAGGGTTTTCTTTGATATTATTGCAGTCTGGAAATAGAATAAATTGAATGAGTTAATCATACTCCTATTCAATATTATATACTGATTGTTAATGATATGATTTCCAAAAAAATATACTTATTGTTTGCTCTTGCAATAGATTGAGTAATCTAGTTCTGTCATTTACTATTATATAAAAATACTTAATTTTAGGGATAATTTTATATAACTCTATGGGACATGCTAGAAATGCCAGAATAAACAAGAAGGACATTCTAATGAAACACATAAATAAGAAGTAATTAGTTCTGATTCTGATCCTGAATATAAGGAGGATGATGAAAAACAGCCTTGTAAGAAATATGGTTTAATTATTAGAGTAACCACTTGGATGGATAGCAAATCTAACTCTTCTACGTTTATTAAGGCGCAATATAATTCTTTAGAATAAAAGCAAGAGTAAATTGAGAGTCCTTTAAATCAACTTAAATTTTAGGATGGTGGAATCTATACTGGTATGATAATTAACAACATGGATAATGGACTTGGCAGGCTGGTCATGACTAATGATGATATATATGAGGGCAGTTTTATTAACAATAAATTAGAAGGAGAGGGGAAATATCTTTATGCAAGAGGAACTACTTACACTGGCCAATTCAAATAAGGAAAGTCCTATGGGCTGAGAATTGAAGTGCGGCCTGAGGGTTCTGTTTATGACGGGGAGTTTCTAAATGGTAAAAAGGATGGAAAAGGATTTATTAATGGAGTTAATAAAGTACGTACAATGGAGAATGGGCAGATAACATGATTAATGGAATCGGCAAATATAAATGGCTTGATGGTAGGGTAATTTATTAGTTATTTAGAACATAATCTTATTAGGGTTAATGGGTCAGAAATTAAATGCATGGTCGAGGATACTACAGGTGGATTGATGGGAAATATTATGATGGAGAATATGAAAATGATAAAAAGAATGGGATTGGTATTTCAATTGGTGGGATGGAAAATAATATTAGGTTTATTGGCTAGATGGAAAGTAACATGGGAAAGGACTTATGATAAATAAAGAAGGGAAGAAAAAGTTTGGAGAATGGTAAAATGGCAAATTAATAAGCTGTTCTAATGAATCTAATTTATAAATTATTCCAAATGGATGGTTTCTAATCACTTTTAATTAATGATTTAATTTTACTTGTATATTTTCATTTAAAAACTTTTATTATTAGCATTACATAAACAGATAAAAACTGAGATCAATAAGAATCTACTTTTCATCCTTTGGTCTTGAATAAATTTTATGACTTTATTTTCTCAATCCAAAAACCCGATTAAATTCCATTTATAGATAATAGCACTATTGGTTTTAATGTACATATACTTCCTAATTTATAAACATCTAAATAACGACTAACTTTTTACATTTCAAAAAATATGGGTACCAAACACTTTTCAACATTTTTCTACTACCTTTCTCTTTGTTGGTTGAATTATCTGAGTTTATTCTGGTATTTTAATCAATTAGTTCGAAATTTAGTAAGAAAGTAAGTATGAAAATTATATTATATTATATGTGATGTTATTTCATCAATCGAAAACACACCTATACGATGGATTCAAATCAGTGCTTATCAGTTTTGACTTTGACTAGTAGCATTTACTTTATTTTCATCAAAGTTCTTTCCAATCCATCCAATAGAACCTTAATATTTTGGCATTATTATAATTTTTTTAAAGCCTCTTATTATGATTCTGTGTTGTCGATAATACTTGAAAATATTTCTTGATATAGAGTGTTTATTGTGCTGCTATTAATTCTTTTAGTTTTTCTAATCTTCTTTTTGCTGAGAGGAATCGAGGCATTGAAGAACAATTTGTTAATTTCTTGATCTTCTGAGGGTTCTTCTATCTCTTAAGATTATATATAGTAATCTTGGTTGTTGATGTCATTTTCTTATTTAATTTTATGGCATCGACGACCAAACATTATAGGAGAGGACGAGAAATCGAGATCTTCATTTTCATTCCAAGATTATTGAGGCCAATCTTCTTCTGTGGATTAAATTTGATCAAGATTCATTATTATTTATTTAATCAATTATATAATTAACCTCCATTTCATAAGATTGTGAAATTAGGGCATAATGCGTAATATATTAGATTTAATTTAACTCCATATTTATAAAACCAACTTAAAAATTTAAGTCAATTAATTCTAATAAGAATGATGTAATTTTTCAATAATAATTAATTAGATAAACAAAATTATGTCAAATCCAATCCCCATTGAAATTAATTCTGATGCCGATGAATTTCAAAATTGCTTTCCCTCAAACACTGGATCCACCGCTCCTTTAAGTCTGTATGACAACTCCAACATTTTCAAAATCTTGACTTCTCAATAACTTGACGATTAATTGGATTAAGTAGGTATTGATTTTGAATTAATTAAAGATGAAGAATTCGATTTGCTCAATTAACAGATGAAGAATGAACTACAAATTGATAATTTCAAATCCCCCTTGATATAAGCCTTTTAAGTTGACATGTATAATGAAACCATTTCATTTTAAGGTCATCCTATATTACACATGAAAAATTAACCAAAAATTCTAGACGAATGCAATTCGAATACGAAAATGCCAAACCCAAGGAAAGAGAGTATGTTTTTCAGACCTTTATACTAAATTATATCGTAAATCTAAGTTTGGACAAGTATATGCACTACATACTGGAAAAAATCATTGAAGTGGGTAAGAGTCTCATTTATTATGTAGGTCCTCCAAAATATAGAAATATTATTTTAGATCAAATTTTCAATAGCATTAACAAACTTATCACTGATCTCTATGCTTGCAAGGTGATGCAAAAGGGATTAGACATTATGGCCCAATTCCCTTAAGATTCTTAAAATTAATTCTAAAAATACATAAATTTTATAATAGATGATAACAATTTTATTAAAAAGCTATATACCCATAAAATTAGCAACTAAATCTTCCAAAAATGTTTAGAAGTTTTTGATGGCAAAAGTTAGCATACTCTTTTGCTCAATTTGGATAAATATGTAACATCCTTAAATTAATTTCTTAGATATTAAATAATAATTAACAATAAATTGAACTTTCGACTGACCAATATGGATGTCTTATTGTTAATAAAATAATCGAAATATTACCAAAACAAATAGACTAAAACTCAAAATAAGTTGCAAATAATATAATCATGAGAGCCATCGAGAACTCCTCTTGTTTAGTAAGAAGATAATACGCAAATTATATCATCTAACAAATCTTAGAGAAAGGCTAGGAGTGCCATAAAAGGAAACTTCTTGACGAATATCTCGTCAAAGACTTTGTATCGATGTCCATGGATAAATATGGGAGCAATGTGGCTGAAAAGGCAATCATTTACTCAGGACCTCAATGGAGATAAAAGCTTTGGGAAGAAGAAGTGGCAGTCTCCGAAGAGTATAACCAATCCATTAAATTAGGTCTTTTCGTAAATTAGTAAATGATTAGTTCGCCAATTATCCCATCTAAAGATTGTATGAATATCTAACTTAAGAATATCGAAATGAATTCTTTGGATATCTATAGAAGTTACATGAAAGCAACTTCCTGAATCATCACGGGCAAATTGTTTGGAAATTTGCCTTAATCAATCTAAATACTAACCGATTTGCTTAAAGAGTTAATACAAAGTTAAATCCATAAATCTCTTCTTTTTAAGAAAGGAATATATAAACATCACAATAATAAGTTAATTAACAATATAGTGCCAACAATCAGTATTAATAATATTAATCATTGTTATAATAGTAGTAGTAATACTAATAATAATAATAACTTATGTATAATTATTGGATATAATAATAATAAAATCCATAATAATAACCTTTTGATTATTAATAATATCAAGCATTTTTAATGTAAAATACAATGATGCTTTAGTAGTCACAATAAATGTATCAATAATCCTAATAATTTTATCCTAATTTTTAAAATTTATAATAAAATAATTCTTAAATTATGTAGACATTAAAGATGGTGTAAAACCAATCTGACTGACATTTAAATGACAACATAAAAAATGATATCAATATTTTAATGCATAGAATATTTGTATAATTATAATCTTTATCAATTAGTTTATCCTTTTTCTTTTTATATCACATTTAATCTATAGAATTTAAATGCATTTAGCCTTTTTGTTAAATCTGTATAATCAGATTGGAAACAGAATTTATTAGACTCCAGAATTTTTAATATCGTTTTCATTATTAATTAAAAGATGATAGAATTAGGAGAGAAAAAATTTATTAAAGCAACTTAAAGAAAAAAACATCATTAGGTGGTAGAATCTGAAGATTTTTATAAAACTATCCTCTAGGAGTAAGAGGACAACTCACCTTTTACGAATTGTAAAAGAGGACCCCAAGAATCCATCGATGAAGAATATCTTTCTAGATAAATCAAAGCACCATTTATAAGGTGCTTACCTGATTTTCAAGAAATCTAACATCAAAACTATTCGAATTCAGAATTGCCGGATTAAGAAATTAGTAAATTGAAAGATTATTGGTCTAATGAATTTAAATTGAATAATTAATAAGTGGAATAGTTAAATGAAAATTATATTTTAAATCACGAGAATGAATAGGAATATTAAATTATCGAAGTAAATTAATTAGACCCTTTTACAACATTTTCATTAAATCATACTGGCTAGATGACTAATGAAATATATAAATATAATAAAAAAAACTCATCTTAAATAATTAACAAAGGCATTTTAAGGAAAACTATTTAAAAATGAATATTTTAATTAATAATATATTATATATTATTACTTTGATATTTTATATTATCCATCTCATATCTGAAATACCATAAATTAAAATTATTTTGGAAAATTATTTAATTCATGAAATCTCAATTTATATGAAAAAAGTAAATATTATTGTTTTTAATCAATGATTTGAAATTAATATCCCATTAGCAATATGCAAGAGAATTCAAATTGAAGTCTAGTGAGCAATTCAAATGGATTTTTTCTTAGTTCCATTCTGTTCTATGTTTAATGTCACTCCCTTTTGATTTGGAAATGATTTATTGAAATGTTAGAAATAATGATGAATTTCTAGGTTAAATATGGATTCTGTAATTTAACAGTTTGAATTGAGATAAAAATTTCAGTATGAATTTTAAGTTTTTTTAATTGATTATAAATTATTTTGTTATAGTAAAAAATGAGAATTTGTTTATTTGATGATTTTTATACAACTATTAATTAAACAACGTGCACATTATTAATATTAATTAATTAAATAAATGTCTGAAAAAGCTTAACTCGCCAAGGATGCTATCAAGAGAAGACAAGGAGGAGGCAAGAGTCGTAAGATATTTGTGTTTACATGATTTAGCATCAAAAAACAACATGAATAATGGAGGACAATCAGGATTATAATTTCTATTCTGGAGATGTCTCATCTGCTTAAAGTTCAACCAAACACCGTACTTATAATTAGTCTTGTATATTTGGGAATCGTTGTGCTCCTACACATATTCAGCAAACTTAGATCAGGAGGTGCAGAAGCTGCCCCTGAAGGACAATGATTCATATTATATGATATCAAATATCTACGCATATTTTGTTTTAAATCAACTACAAACAATTCATAATTTAAGTAATTATGCTTAAATAGATATGGTAATCTTGTTGTTGTTTCTATATACACAAAATTCAGAAACTTTGAATTTCAATTAAAACAATTCAAAATCATTCCCACGCATTTGTTGATTGAAAAATGCAACTTTTCTTGATTGTCATTATCTTATCATTACAACTTCTTGATTTGCAATGAAGTAGGAAATAATTTGTTTAGTTCTAAAATTTTACATTAATGCATCATCGTCATGAATTTAAAATTATAGCTTTTAGATAAAAAGTTAGAAATATACAAAAGTATGAAATGATAGTGTTCTGAGTATAAATATTTTCTAATATTGACAAATTAGATCTCTATTAATTAATATTAAAATAAAAATGCATTTGAGGTATTATTTGAATGAAGAGGGAAAAAGAGTTTACACCTTAAAAAACACACTTGATGATGGTTCATATACATTTAATGCTCATCCTGGTATAGATGCGAATTAATTTAATAGCAAGATTCAGTCCAGATGATGTTAATTAGAAATATCGTGTTGAATTGAAGAAGAGATTTGGTTTGTTACCAACATAAGGTGAACCTCATTAATTTTGAAATGATCATGATAATAAAATTTATAGTTTTATGTAATATCAAATAACGAATATCTGTTGAGAAGAATAGGTCTGGAATTAATGTAAAAATTTGCTTAGTTAAAAAACTAAAACAATATTTTAATATAATTCGTTTAAATATGTCTTCAAATATAGAGCTAGTTCCATTTTATTCCTCGCTACTTCGTACAATATAAAGTATGTTTCAATAGAATTTGATTACAGCAGAGGAGAGAAGTGAGTTAAAGAATTTTGTTGTTTCTCATGATACAAAAGATTTAGGGCAATTATTTTAATCTTATGAAAAAGGATAGTTGGAGTAATTTATTTTGGAGAATTACATAAATCCAAGAAATAATGAGTAATATGTAGAGGATGAGGATGACTCCTGCTATTCTATATCTGAAATTGAATGTTAAAAAAGCACCTTAAGTTGTACTCCAAATTAATTTGTATGGTAACTAAAAACAATCCAAGTAAGTAAAATAAGAAAAGGAAGGTCATCGAAAAAGATCCAATTCATTTACTACATTTTAATAGTTATGATGATCTAAAAATGGATAAATTTTGAGTTTATTTGTGTATACAAACTATTTTCATATATTCATATATAAAACAAATAACAAATATAACAAGTCTGATATTCTTAATTTATTATAATAATTAAATTAATGCTTCATAATCATTATGAAAGGATATCAATTTTTGCATATTACTCTATTTGTAAACTGTGTTTAGAAAATCAACTATGTATAAATTTAAGAAGCATCAATTCCTGATTCATATATATTAGGATTTAGATTTTAGTTTCATTATTATACATGAGATTTCATTTAAATTTCAGTTTATCATCTTATTGAATATGTTTTAAATTGATTTATCTAATATCTATGATTATAATAAACTAATCTATAGGATAATAAATGAATTTGATAAATCACTTATATTTACTTGAAGATATCTAAAAAATTGAGGAATATTAAAAAAGTAAATAGTTATATCGTCCAAATGATATATATAGGCAATCAATTAATTAACTAAGATTAATATGACTTTGAAAGCAATCATATCAAATTAAATAATTCAAATAACCAAACATTTAATGTAAGTGCTTCTTATTCAATTGTATTTTTAAAAGAAGTAAACTATTTAAACTCATCTTCTCTACATTAGATTACAATTAAACGAATGTTCATTATGAAATAAATTTTTGATCATTATCAATTTAGCAATATTTCTTAACTACGATCCAAATCCCAAAGATGAATTTTAAATCTTAAGATATTTAAGATAGTTTAGTTAAATAACTAAGCAAATGTACTCTTACAGGGTTGCTTTGGCAATGTTCTTAAAACAATATTAAACAAGATATTGAATTAAAGAGGGAATATAAAACTTAGTGTGATACAAGACGCCAGAATTAGAGACAGGGTAATAATTCTAATTAATAAATTATATAGCCTATAGATGACGAGATATTATTGTATGAGTGGCTGATGTATTGATTTAATATAGTATCTAAATAATATTGCTCAGTCCATAAATAAATAATTAATTAATAAATACATTTCTATGTAAATTCAGTCATTCGATGAATTGGCGACAGAGAAGGAACTCAAATTATTTGGAAAGACCACAGCATAGAAATTCTAACGTCTTAAGATTATCATCATCGGATTGTCAAGCGTAATTAATAACTACAATCCTAGCTTGGATTAGAGATTGCCAAACATATTTCTACACAACAACCTGAATTGATTACACTTTGCGATTAATAATCACAAAGACTGAAATAATGTGAATAGCTTCTAAAAACAAACAATGTAACATAAATAGAAACGTTGGAGATGTCCTACAAGGACAATGAGATTCTGTCAAAAGTAGACAAACATGATTTAACAATAATTTGTGATATTTAATCCCTGAATTTTGCAATATCAGTAAGTGAGCACTTACGTTAAAATTCATCTAAAAATTAAAAGTATAATAAGGGAGTGATTTGGACATGTACTTTTGGATTTATTTGTCTTAAATTTTCAGATTTTGGCTAAGGATTTAAAGTGTTTGATAGAGATGGAGTCTAGCCATTTCCATATCATATCACCAACATTACTAATTCAAATCCAGGTATAGTAAAAATCCATGAATCCATTCCTCACAATTACAAGACTGGTGATTTTGTAAGAATCAGTAATGTTGAAGGTATGACCTAAGTAAATGGGCCTGAAGCACGTCCAATCAAAGTAATATCACCAACCGAATTTTCTATTGAATACACTTAGCATTACAATAAGTATTTGGCAGGTGGATTAGTTTAATTGACTAAGGTACCTTTCAAGTATCACTTTCAAAAACTGTCAGAAAGCATATACAAACCTAACACACTTAAAACAAATGAGGATAAGATTGTTTACAGTACTGTCATTGCCAATTTGTAACTCTTGGATTAGACTACTAAACCATAGAGTGAATAGGAGATCATCAATATCGCTTTGGCTGTCTATAAAACATTTGATTTAGATTAGTTTGATGTGTAATTGTGTTAAAAAACAATCAAATTCATGTAGACAACAAAATATCCAGTCATCAGTCTTTGGGCAGGCTATTGCAGTTTGGAAGTAGTCAAATTCACAGGGAAATTCACTCCATTAGAATGCTCTTTCATTTAATTTGTTAGTGATATCGATAGTGATGACTAGCAAATTAAAGTCAAATTGCAATCACTAAATGCCTTGGTTATTGGAAGTGGAGGAACTGGATGCGAGGTTGTTAGACTCTTTTCTTTGATGGAGTGTTGCACTCAGCCAAATTCAAAACTCACTATCTTAGATGATGATATTGTTCGTAAATATACTTTAGGCACTCATTATTGGTTTAAGTAAATTAGTCAATAATAATAGTTCATCGACTCTTGGAAAGGCAAAGGCTGATGTCGCTTAAGAATAAGCGCAGTTACTCTGTAATACTATGAACATTGATGTTGATAAAAGCAAATTCAGTGAGAAATCTGAGATTATTGTGAAATAGCATGACATCATCTTTTCTGCCATCAACAATCAAACATCAAGATTGCTCATCCAACAGCAAGCTTAGAAACACAATAAGATTTTATTTGATCAAATTCTTAATGGTTTAAAGGCTTATACTTAATTTGGAAAACCAAATTAATAATTACAAATCTAAGAGACCTTGAAGAATGTGTACAATGTAGATTAGGACACTTACAAGAAATTCCCTTATCTTCCAATTCATTGTGTTTTATGGGCCAAGGAAGTGTTTGACAACAGTTTTGTTGGTTTTGTTACAGACTTTTAAAAATTCCTTTAGGATAGAAACGGATACCTCCAAAATTTCGACGAACCTGATGTGTATTATATTGCATTAGTATTAATAGGGTTGATAATTATCATATTAGAGCTCATGTGATTAATAGGATATCCAAGCCAGGATTCAATTTGACTCTAGACAAAATACTCAGTTTATCAAAGGAATTATACGAATTCCATTTCGAGTTCAAGATCAATGAATTATTGAAAAAGTATCCGACAGATGCCTTAGAATGTGTATGGACTGGGTATAAGAAGATTCCTTAACCAATTAAATTTGATTCCAATAATATGGATCATGTTGCCTACATATAGATAACTACTCTATTGATATCCAAATTATTCAACATTAATGCCAGTGCTGTATTCAAATAAGAATATGTTATTGATAAATTGTAGCAAATGACTGAGAATTACTGGAATCTAACTAATCCCTTGGTTCCAACTCCAGTGGAATATTCATCGTAAAATAAACCGTAATTCTTAAATTTTGATGATGATCAAGTTCGAGGGTTGTATGTGAGATGCATTCATTCATTAACAAATTTAAGATGTAAAAATTACAATCTCCAACCAATTCCCTTGTACAAAGTTCAAAAATACGCTCTAGAAATGCATAGAAGCAATCCAATAATGCATTCAATTATAGTGGGTTGGATGGGCATTGAATTAAACAAATATCTTTATGTAATTGTTATAATATAACGTTTAGGGTAATTGCAAACAAAGAAATATGCACATAGATATCAATAATAATATTTTAGAATTCATTTGAAAGTTACACAGTCATGATATTGATTAAAATATTATTATTAAATATACATTTTTAATACACAATTATTCATATAAATAAAAAATAAAATCCATAAGCAAATATTATCGGTATCAAAACCATGAATACATTTCGTGATTGGTTTTTATTTTATTAATTTGTTCCATTTTCCTTTTGTTATGGCTCTTTTGGAGAACCTGTAGCTTTATTGGGTGTGATTGTATCTTCTTCTGTTTCTTTTGGAAATTCAAATTCTATATTATCTGGGTTATTTTTAATTGGAGTGAATTATTGCTAATTATTATTATTATCAGTTTTATCTGTTTATTAAGAAGCATACTATTATTCTTATTATCGACTCATTTTGACACCATATTGCTATTATAATAAATATGATTACTGATTTTAATGGATTGATTTTACTGGAACTTATTAATCTTAAGACATTAAAGGATAGAGTATTAACAATCACGTCAATTTAATCTTTGTCTTGATTGGAGATTTCAAAAAATTTGGCTCCTATAGAATCGGCAAGCTTTCTTCCTTGTTCGGTTTCAACTTATCTAAATTCAAGAATAAAAAGACCTTTTCTCTTCTAGATCCTTGTGTGTTGCAACGATAACAGTTTGAATCTTGTCAGACGATACCTATTTGAGGATGTTGATCCAATTGTCTAATGACTTAAATGAGTCTTGATTATCTATTTTATAGAAAATGATTGCAGCTGCAGCACTAAAATTAGAGATATATATAGATTGTGGATTACTTTTAACAAAAGGTTTTCTATATTGCCATAAATTAAGAGCTTCCAGACTAATTAAATTGATGATAGTTACTGTGTCCCATAGTTGATTCTGAACAACGATGCCATCATTGAATTCAATGGATTTGCTCTCAAACTCGAGTCCGATTGTAGGATCATACTCCTAAATGAATATGCCTTTGACGTATTGAGACAGGAAACAGGACTTGCCAACACCTAAGAATGATTGATGACTGAACCTGTGTCTCCGATCAATACAAACTTGAAGAGATATTAATAATCTTCAAAATTCATGAATATAATAATATAATAGTTTATATATATAAATTAATATATTACTACATAACATGCAACTTGCTAAAAGTAATAAAAACATTATTTACAGTTCCAGTTCATCCAGATGCTTTAGAAAAAGAGAAGATAAATCCGTATTTAAATGACAACAAGCCATAGAATAAATATCCGAGAGAGAACCTCGTTGAAAATGAGAAGAATATGAGTCTTGGAGGATCTTACCAGAATTACATTTATAAGTGTGGAGAGTGTTGTGGAAATTGTTCAGCCTTTTGTCCGTGCAACCCATTTGTTGAATATCCATACAAGAAAATAGAATAAGGTTTCGTTGGAGTCTATTTAAGATTTGGAAAGTATGTGAAAACAAGTAAAGGATAACGTAATTATCTTAGTGCCCCCAGGTTTATAATACTTTAATCCATGTACCGATAAATTAATAAAAATCGATTGTAGAACCCAAATGATCGATTGTTAGAAACAATATGTCATTACAAAAGATAATATTCTCATATTGGTTGATGCATCTGTCTATTATCGAGTGTTGGAACCAAAGAAGGCTATTTTTTATATTTACGACATTTAAATGGCTATTTCATAGATAACTTTAGCAGCTATAAAAAGTGTAATCGGAGCTTATACCTTGCAAGATGTGTTAGAAAAAAGAACAGAAATTTAAGATTATATCTAACAATTTGTTGACGATCACGTAGATGACTGGGGAATAGATATTGAATTAATGATGATAAAGGATATTCAAATAAACGAAAGGATTAAATCTGCTTTGGCATAGGCAGCCACAGAACTTAGGTATATGGATTAATTAAATCTCAAGAGCTGCACAAGCGAAGATCTTAATAGCCGAATCCAATGTATAATCAGCCAAATTGATGAAATAGGCTGCTGAATTACTCAGTGCCAATGCAGCCATGTAGATTAGATATCTTGATGTCATCAACAAAATAGGTAATGAACAACAAACAAAAGTTATGATAATATGATATATATATTTATATTTCAATCATCTTTGAATACACTAATGAAGGTGTCTTTCCTAACAGTAACTCTGCCAACTTCTCTCATCCTCTTCTTGCCCTCCTTCTATCTATCCAATAACTTCTTCTTTCTTGTGTAATCCCCTCCATAACATTTAGCAGTTACATTTTTTCCAGTGCTTCCAATCTTCTCTGCTGCTATCACTTTACCACCAACCTTAGCTTAAATTGATACAACAAATAAATGTTAAGGAATATTGTCCTTCAATCTTTAACAAATCTTCTTTCCCAATTAATGAGCCCTTTCTTCTGGTACCATAAATGACAATGCATCCACTGGATCATCCATTAAATGAATCACTAATTTAACGATGTTTGCTTTTTCAAATCCGCAGAATTCGTATTCCAATGACCCATACCCTTTAGTTGCACTCTTTATTTTATCAAACAAATCCTAGATGATTTCATTCAAAGGGAATTTAAATATGTATCTATCCTATTTATCATACTTCTCTTAATCCACTATTCTACCATTCCTAGCATCACACAATTAAAATATTGTGGCACTATACTCTTCTGGACACATTATAGTAGCCATAGCCATAGGTTGTTCATAATGTTTGATGACTGCAGCATCTGGTGCCATTATTGCATTTTCAACCAGAACTTCCTTTCCATTCCTCAAAATTGCCTTATAAGGAACACTTGGAGATGTCAATATGACACTCAAATTATATTCATTCTCCAATCTCTCTCTAAATACATCCATATGTAGAACTCCAAGAAAACCACAACGATATCCATTTCCTAATGCTGCTGAACTCTCCTTCTGAATTATTACAGCTGGATCAGTCAATGCCAATTTGAATATTGATTTATTTAATTCAGCATAGTCATCTGGGTCTTCAGGATAAATACCACAATAAACCAATGGTTTCACCTACTCAAAACCAGCTTCAGCCAAAGTCTTTGATAGAGGAATTTCTAAATGTATCTCCTATTCTGGCCTCATTTGCTGCCTTCATATTCGTCATCACATACCCGACCTAACCTGGTTCCAACTTCTCCTAAGGAACATTCTCCGGACTTTAAATCCCTACCTAATTTAATAGAATTGACTACTTCGAAAACATCATATTTCTTTTTGAATGCACAAGATAATATCTAATCTCCCTTCTTCAAAATTCCTCCTTTCATTAACATCAACAACACAACTCCTTTGTCTCTAGCATACCAACTGTCTATCAAAAAACACTTCAGTTCTTTATGATCCTATGGGGGAGGTATCAATGTAACTATATTATTTAGCAACTCTGTAACTCCAGTTCCTTTTTTAGCAGACACCTTAAATATCTCATTTGGATTCATATCGAATTTTTCAACCAGTTATTATATAACGGTCTCCGTATTTGCAGAAGTCATATCTATTTTATTGATAACGGGTATAATCTTTAAATTCTACTTCTTAGCCAAAATATAATTAGATAGTGTTTATGCCTAGATTCCTTGAGTTGCATCAATCAATAAGATTGCACCTTCACAAGCTCTCATTGAACGTGATACCTCGTATGTAAAATCCACATGTCCAGGAGTGTCAATCAAATTATACAAATACTACTATCTTCATTTATATTACCTCTATTCCATCCACTTTATAAAGCATAGCTGCTGATTATGCTTTAACTGTGATTCCTCTCTCTTTTTCAACCTCCAACTTATCCAAATATTACTCATGTTTCCCTTTGCTAATCGTCCCTGTGATTTCAAGGAATCGATCTGCCAAAGTAGATTTTCCATGATCAATGTGAGCTATGATACAAAAATTCCGAATCTTATCTATGCTTATTTGATATCTGGATAAGAGATGAAAGGAAGTAATTGAATTTTTAAAAATATATTTTAACATCACAATTAAATTATACACAACACTCAATTTTGATCCTTTTTATTTGGTTTATTCAATAATTGTGATCTTAATTCTCTTACTAATTTCTTCCTGTCATTTGTCTAATAATGATAAGATTTGATGTCACTATAATAATATCGACATTTACCAAAAATCATCGAAATATAGGGAATCTATTAAACAAAATGTTGTGCCAATTACAAAGAATACACCCCAACTTCGGCCTAATAATTTAAGTTTCATCTCTTTCAAACTTAAATTTATCTTTTTCAGTTGCATAGCCTCATACGTGTACGCAGCCATAAATGTCATAGGCAATGTGAATATTATTTTATCCTTTAAATTGCTCCAACAGATTGGTAATTCTCTGTATTTTAAGATCCCCCAAGCATTATTATAATTATTTAATGTCTCCTCTAATGTAAAAATCTTTCTGCCTTATCTATCAATTGAAGGTATGTCAATAGCTTTATCTGCCATTTATTAAAACTTCTCCTTCTTTTCTTCATCTGTCATTGGATTCTCTTCTTATCTCTTTTTGATCGTATCTTACAACCAACTGATTCTACTCTCAGTTAATCCTAATTAATCCAATTTTTGTTATGCATTCGAAATTTTTTAATCCAACTCCTCAGCAAAACGTCTCTCTTCTTCTGTCATAGGCTCCTCCTGTTAATCTTGATTCTTATCTTCAGAATTGTTGTTCATGAAGCAAAAGATGATAATTTTATTACAAAATTTTAATACATAAATAAAAGTTCAAAAATATTGTTGTTTACATTTTAAGTATTTTGCTTTCCAATATTGAATCTCCTATATTAATACATCTTTTTCATGGTCATTCTACTTTAATTTAGCTTAATATTTTAACAAAATCTATTTAGCTTTATCTATAATCGTTTAAAAATTCTCTTCAATTTTAATTTTCTATTCATTTAATGGGTTCTGATGTATTTGAGTAGTTGTTGAATTTGGATTGACCAATTGTCCTGATGAATTATTAGAGAAATTGCATTTGTTTTTTTGTCTCAATCTCAAATCAATAAATTCGCTTTCTAGAGATTGTTTATATGAATAAGATTCCGATTTTTGTTGTGTTTATCTTTTTGGTTTGCATTACTGTTAATCCTTGACATTAAGTTTTTCAAAGAGGGCAATTAAAGTACTTCTTTCAGTATTTTATATAGGTAATTAATCAGCTTAAATTTCATCGATAGATCGAACAAAATTCCCAAATTGCTTTTGCATGTCGAGATTGTTATTTGATAGAAATTCACTATATTTGTTGGTGTCTCTGTGCTTATTGGATTTTAGTAACTTCAAAGCATGGCATTTAAGAGTTTGGAGAGAATCATTATTTTCAGTTGTATGATTGAATTTTAACCTAGTTCCTTTTGATTTTTGTTAGAGAGTGGCAGATACGAAATATTGTTGCTTAAGGGAGTTGGTTGGAGAGACTTTGAATATCTTATGTGATTCACTGTTCTTACCCAAAATGTAGAAAAGTTTCTTCCTCATCTGATGACAATCTTATTTATTCTAAATTAAAACAAATATACTTCTTATTTTGGATGGTCCTAACCTTTGGAAGATTGGGGTTGACTATGAATTTAGTGAGAATTTGATATAGTATCCTTAATTGACAGTTTGGATTTCAAGTTCTATGACTTTGAGATTGTTGCTTATTTGGAATACATAATATTTATTTTATTGTATATATTCTAATTGATTATTTTGATATTAATCAATTAACTATATGTTCTTAAGGTGAAGTAAACAATTGATCGATAGAACTATTGATGAATGCGAATTCGAGAATTATATATAAATTAAATATTGTAAAAATAATCAATTATTTAATAACTCTTTCGATTTGTCTAAGATTTTATTTAGCATCTTCCATCAATTCTTGAGACTTCTATTACTCTACTCTCCTTAGTATTTCCCTAAGCTAATTAATAGACGATTTATTTGTCCTATTTCTTAATTTGCAATTTAAGGTCTGAGTTTCTAAAGCCAATGAAAGAAATTGCGCATACCTTCATTGCAACTATGGTTGTAGATTCATCAAACACATTTAGAATCAAGACTCCTCATGATTTTTGAGATGCCTAAGCTAGAGAAGACAATGGCAATTTTTCACCATATGCTTGAATTGATACTCAGTCCAACATTTCAGGTGTCAGTTTTTACCTACTTGCAATTTCTTTAGAGCCTCTTAAAATTTCTGGGCATATTGATTGAACTTAATTTGATAGAGAGTAAAGTCAATAGTTTTAGATTGTCTAAGATTTTACTTCTCTTACTTTTTTTTCCATCCTTTCCTAATCCTTCTTACTGATCTTTGCGAAACTATATTAAAACTATCTTTGAAAACACCGTTAGTGAATGATAGCAGATCTAAATGCAGTTGCGAATAATTAAATCATAAGCTATTAATATTTTCTTTTTATTATGGCTTCAAGGGAAAAACATATAGTTAATAAAGAACCAAGTTTTTAATTCTTCGTCAAGAAAGGCCTAATTAAACAGAACAATAAAGGATAAGTTTTTCCAATATTCACATATCGTATTAATAGTCAACCATCCCCTTCAAAAAATTTTGAACTTTCTGTATTCCCATCGAAGATAGTAAAGAGAGCAAATGTTCATCAACTTAATCCTTCTCCTTTCGTTATAAATAATATCCCAAAAGAAAATACAGTTTATCAATCATATATTGACAACATAATAAAGAGAAAAGTGAAAGATAAACCAGAAATTCGGAAGAAATACTCCAATACAATTGATGAGATTAAGGGGAGATAAATCGAAACTGTAAAGGATTGTTTTCTCCCAAAACTTAATTGTCTTAATCGTTAACCTTAAAAGTTGAAGTATCGTCATTCATTGCAGAAGCAAGACATCTATACAGAACCGAATCCTGAACCAAATCCTTCAGATAGATTGCAACCGTGGGATTCAAGTTCAAAGTCATTTGTACTCTAATGAAATTTATTATTTATTTATAGGTTTGATATTAATTATAGTTAAGATTGGCATCATCATACTATGAGTTTGAAAATTATGAATTAAGAAAATCTAATTAGTTTAGTGTTATATTTTATATCAATTATAATATTTATTATATATGAATATGCAATTTTGGAATATCCAACCTTGTGATTCCTTATTTTAACAATTCTAAAAAAACGGGAAAATAACTCGGACTGACTTGGTTAATATTTTGAAGATGACTAATTACAATGAAATGTAAATAAACAATGTGTTATCGAAATTCAATGATGATGAAATAAGTAAAAGTAATTCAGTATTTAGATTATAATTAGTTTATGCTTAGCATCATGGTTTAAAATATGCCCACTTATAGATTCCCCACTCAACCACAGCCACCCATCCCCCAGCAAGTTGAGTAAGATTGGAATCAGCAAAAAGTTACTTAAGAATAATAATAATAAATCTATGAGGAATTCAAAACACTTTTAAAAGGCTAAGAATACGACAAGGCAGCGAATTTCCTATGTAAGTAGACTTAATGAACATTTTAGAGTAGTATAAGGAAATGGATTTGGTGAATGTAATTGATTCGCAAAGCAAATAGATCTGTTCGTATATAGTGGTGTAATTTGATAATGAAGGATTGGCACTGAAATTTCTGTCGTTATTGACAGATTTTAGAGTTAATTTAAATTTTAAGGATGGTTTAAAATAATCAATACTCTTTTACATCTGCAGAGATGGTAAACTGAAATTACTTGATTTTGTATTATCATAGAAGGCAGTAAACATTAATGATCAAGATTAATATGGATAAACACCTTTGTTTTATGCAGCCAGAGATAATAAAATAGATATTGTGACAAAGTATATCTAAAGTGTATGTTCTTAGACTTGTTTCAGTTGGAGCAAATGTCAATTTAGTGGACACTCTCTCCAATCAAACTGCTTTATTCTATTCAGCCAGAGAAGGACATGCTGAAATCTGTAAAATCTTGATAGATGTAAGAGTCTTTCTCTATATAGAATGGCTGTAATCCAAATCATCAAGATCAACACAAAAAGACAGCCTAATTCTTTGCCAAGAGATTTTAGAGGAAGGAAGTTATGGAACTATTCAATTCGTATTTTGGAAAGAGTAAAGATGACTTTAAACAAAATTCTAATTATAATAATAATGAGAATAGCAAAGGAGAACAACCCAAATAATAGAAGAAGAAAAATAAGGATTTACCAAAATAAGCTTATAAATTAATGTTTACTGATGAATATGGTAATCTATAGGAAATTACTTCTACTGAATTTGCGAGATTTCAATAGCAATACCCTTAAATTGCCAACTTAATTATAAATGCTGATGAATTAATTGACGATAATGTCTTGAATTCCATGAAGGATGATGAACTCTGGGAAAAGGTGGCTAAGAAGGTGTTGCAAATATTGTGGAAAGCAAAAGGAGCACAATTGTTTCATAATCCTGTGGATGAGAAAAAGTATGGTATCAATGATTATTATGATATCGTAAAAAGGCCTATGGACTTTGGAACTGTTAAGGTATTGGAATTCATTAAATAATAGCAAAAACTCAATACAAATCAATACAAAAATTGTAAAGAATTCTATAGTGACATCCTTTTGGTGTTTGATAATTGTGTATTATATAATGGATCAGAAAATGATATTGGTTAGATTGGACTCGCATTGAAATAGGAGTTCTTGAATTAAGTAGAATAGACTGGTCTTAAAAAACATTTATAATGATATATTATATGAAAACATATTTATAAAAAAATTTGATTAATCAAATTTATGTTTATAACTATTATATTTATCTTTCCTTTAATCTCCAATCAAAACCAACTAAAATTAGATCAAACTTATAAATTGCCATTATACAAAGAAAATATTATTGATGTAATAGATGAATCTGGATTTATATACAAATATCACATTTCCAATAACAATAAAGAAATTACGTATCAAACATATTGTTCAGTTCAGCCTTAACGTTTGGATATTGAAATAGAGTCATAATTGAAGGTCACTCATAAAACGGAGTAGGATTTTGAACTAAATTTTGTGAATGGCAAATTTTATGGTCAATCAGAATTCATTTAATCAGCTGTCATAAATTCCTACGGCATTATTATATTAACAAGTGATAAAAATTTAACATTTATATCTCACGACAACATCAATCAAAATATTGCCCAGACTTAACATTTCTAAATAAATGAATCTATTGAAAATTCTTATTTAATTTAAATAGAGTCCTTGAACTTATTAATACTTCTCTTGTAAGACAATAAAGTGTACGAATACGAAGTCCACAATAATACATATTATAATAAGTCAATCTAATATATAAGTTAGTATAAATAGGAAACACTTCATGTCAATCAAATTAAATTGATTAATGTCTATTCAACTTATGTTTTTATTTTATATAAAGATGGAAATCTACGAATATACAATAGAAAAATGGAGCCGATTTACAAATTTGAATCCTAGATTTTACATTTTGAGTTCGAAACCATTTCTCAGTAATTTAGAATATATCTTTTGTATCAGAATTCAACATTGATGTCCAAAACTATAACATTTGAAAATACAATTAATGTTAACGATAATTAATAGTAAATATTAATTACGAAACCTTAAGCAGTGAATTTCAAATTGTATAATAGAGGTATATTAGTAGTTGTTGAGGATAACAGTTAGGGGCATATCATAGTAAATTATAAAATCAATATATGTAGATAGATTATTCATTCAATTCAATAAATTTGAAAGAACTAAATATGCAATACATAAATCAGAAGGTGAAGCATATTATAATTCATGATTTATATGCTTTATTGATAGGTGATAAAACCTAAAGCATAATTACTGTTGGAGTTGATGCTATATATCTGAACCAATAAAATTACAAAGTGTAAGCGAACCTATTAGTTCCTCAGATCTTGAATGTTTTAATGTTATCTTAAGTAACGAATTCCGGGACGACAGATTATGTATATGCGTATACAAGGACAAGATTTTTAAAATTAAATTTGCTAGCGGTATGTATTTATTTAAAAGTTAAGAGGATGTTTGAGGTATTTTGTTCGTGTTAAAGTCAAAATGAAGCAATGCAATCACCCTTTCATTTTGAATTGGAGTATTACAATAGCGATTGCGATGGATGCTCAAAAAAGAAGAGTTATACTTTGTTCTTCAATTATGCAATTATGACAAAGGAGGATGAAGCTCTATTGTATGAGAGCATAATAATCGGAGGATTGATCGTTGTGGGGATAATTGGGTTTGTAGTTTACAAATATTTTGCATTTCTCCGATTTTGGAAGGAAGCTCAAAATAAGGCAATTCAATTGGAAACCACGACCACTCAACCTCATATTGAATTTTCCATCAATGATTCAAAGGTTGGTTTTCAGTTGGAAATTGAGAATCATAAAAAGGATGTTGAGTGATATGACATTTATATAAACATATATAAAAACAACAAAAATCAAATGAAAAGGAGTATTAAATAGTAACATCAGTTCTAATTAAAATAACTGTACTGTAAATAGAAACTTAACATCCAAACGGAAGTCGATGACACCCGAAACTCAAAGTTAGTAAGGAAATTGTGTTATGTCTAGATTTCTTTAAATTATTCGCCCTTAAATAAGGTAGAACATAGTGTATTCTCAAACAGATGGAAAATCAACAAAGGATTATTGAGTAACAAAGCAAACAGACTGATGACTCAATAGTAATCAGATTCAGAGACAGAATTCCCAAATCAACCGAAAATAATTTAACTATCACAAAGAAGTTAGGTTTAAACTAAAAGATCAATTTCCAACAAAAGAAATAACAGCATCGGAGATTACAATTAATCTCCTAAAAATTAAAATAGAGCATCGTTGTTTACGAGTCAAAAATAAAGATCGTATTCCATTCAACAATAATAACAACAATAAAGATAACAATAATAATCTCTATTTTAGTCTGTTGGTATCAAATAAAATCAAGCAAATGATCCTAAATCATTTATTTAGCAATTTGAATTAACTATTGAGGAATGGGATAAATTTGGAAATAGATTCCCTTTTGGATTTCAAAGAGAGAAACTATTGGGAAGAGGAGGTTTTTCATTGATTTGGTTAGCTAAGGAGTAAAAAGGAGGTGCTTTGTGTGCTATTAAATAGATCCCAAGGAAATCTAAACATGAAACTCATTTTAAAGAATTAGCATTTTGCACTTAGTTTTTTAATAAAGGAGGTTAAATAAAGAGTTAATATTAGTAAAATGAAGGAATCAAATATCTATGCAAAATGTTAGATTATGTGATTGATCCGCACGACGTTTTCATAATGTATGAAGCTTGTGGATATTCATTGGGCACTTAATTGTATGACTTTGAATCCCTCAATAATAGTTATAAGGTATAATAAGAATACATGGTAGTTAATTCCATAGAAATTAAGCTTGCTCTTTAAGTAGTTTCCTGTCTTTTTATTAAAATTTATAAAAAGAATCACCTAAACTATAGATTTGCTAGTCAAGACAGGTTGGGTCCATAGTGATATTAAAAGTGAAAACATTCTCATCTCCTATGGATAACAAGATGTCGAATACAAAATTATAGACTATGGTTCGTCCTTCAAATTTGTAGAAGTCTTTGACAAATTCTCAATGGCAACTCCTGAGTACATGTCCCCAGAGATGTTGACATTCATACTTCGAGAGAATCAGATGTCCTATGATAATCAATTGATTGAATCCCTAGTCAATTATGATAAATCATGGGTCATAGATATTTGGGGCCTAGGGTGTGTTGTCCTAGAAATCATATCAGGATTGCCATTGTGGATGAGTTATGACACATAAGTAATTAATTATAAAGGTCAGAAAATCATGGCTCAAGGTCTGTTTGCAGTTACAGGAAGGAGTTTTAGTAAGATTGTTGAAAAATAAATTAAAATACTAACTAATCTGGAATTTGTATTGCGAGAATAGAATTATTCTGGTATCCAAGTTTCACCTCTATTAACATAATTATTAAAAGGAATGTTAGCCATAAATCCAAAATAAAGATATTCACCTCAATAAATATTGAATTTACTTTAAGATATTTGATTCATTTATATAATATCACATTTTAATTTAAATAATGAAACATAGAAATTTCTCATTCAAATAAGAAACCACCTAATCTGAGTTCTCTAATCTCATGACTAAACAGCAAATTCAGAATCGCTTTACACAGATATAAAAATAACCTCTAACTAGATCAACATCCAGAACCCATTCACTTTATGTTAAATAAACTCAAATTCAAAATATGTGTGCTCTTTTTGAGAAATTGATATTTAAATCAAACCAAACTAAACCCTTAAAGTAGAAGTACCAACAGATTTGTTCAGATTTTGGAATCGATTTTAATGTTTTATAATAATTTACAAAACTTGAAGATAAGCAGAATTACCTCATGAGATGTAGTGTTGATGAAATCTCAAAGCAATTTGATAGTATTTAATTAGTTAATTAGGAATTATCTAAAAGTATGACTCTCCTAAAAGTGATTACTAATCTGTTGATGAAAAACAAGATTTATATTGGTGGTTAAAGGTTAAGTCATAACATAAAGCGATTTTAAATAGACTCAAATTAGCCTTAGTATAGATGATACAGAATTCTACCAATGTCCTTGAAAAATAACAAAAAAATTATACATCAGAATAAAAATTAGGTTCAAATTCATAAACTAAATTAAATCCTAAAGATACTGAAGTCTAATAGCCAGAAGTATATTTTGAGTGGAACAAAGCAGTAGAAGCATAATTCATATCAGCAAAAAAAAACTATATTCTGCATGGATATGAAACTATGAAAAAGTAATAAGCCAATGGAAAGCTAATCAGTAAAAGAGGAATGATACTTGATAAATGCGAATAAACAGGAAATTATATAACAAAGGAAGAACTATAATACATTGCATCAACAAGTTTTTTAATCAATAGAAATCTAGACAAGGAGTTTATTTAAAAAGCAATCAATTCATTAGAGAATGAAGTATATTTATTGTATATGAATAGATAAAATACTAAATTGAGTTTAATATATCAGAATAGATTTTACAAGATTATTTTACATTAAAAGAAAAGTAAATGAAAAAAAGATAACAATATTTTGAAGAGTAGAATGTCATCAAGAGGAAATAAATAGGTAATTAACCTTTTTAAACTTAGCTGATAAGACCATAAATTACTAAAAAAAACAATATTTATCAAAGGATTCTCTTTAGATGAAAGTTGTTAAATCGAAATTTGTATAATATTTAATATAGGCTTAAAAAAAAAGATTTATTAAAGAAGCTATAGAATTCAAGAAATAATCAATTTTAAGAAGATTATAAAAGTCAGGAAATCCTTTAGCAAACATTTACGTCCAAAAGTTTAAGGAAATTATGTAAAATGTTGTAAAAAGATATAGATAAGTAATTATTATAATGAAATAAGAAAAAAGGGAATCAATTGGTTTCATAATAGAATTTCTTTGAAAGAAATGCATAAAAATAAATGATTAAACCATTATTTATAAAAGATGGAGAGGAAATACCACTAGAATAAGTCAAACACAAATTTCATCCTCCATCTAAATTAATGATTTTGGCATAAGAGGATAAACAAAATCAAGTTTTGCAAGAGAAATTGATAAAGTAAAGCCAAAATTTCAGATTAGCTATAAGAAATTATAATATAAAGAAAAGTGAGTTTCTTTAATTTTATAGTGGAGGACCATAATCTCGCAGAAGATTTTAAAGTTAATAATTAAAATTTATGAATGAGATTGAATCAAAAGAATCACCCCTATAATAACAGTGGTTATCAGAAGACATAGAAATACAAGCAGCCAATAAAATTAAAATGGCAATTAAAAGATATTTGTACAAAAAGAAAGTATCCAATATGGTTGAATAAAGAGTAGAATAAAAAAATAGAGATATTGAAATCAAAATCTAAAAGTGTTTGAAAGCAAAAAGATTTTTTGAAGAATTATCTCATGAATTAAATAAAAGGCAGACTGAAAAATTAAAGGATCTTTCAATATTTTCTCCTCCTAAATTACCTCTTGAATAAATTCAAAAGTCTATTTTTGTTCCATATTCGACGCCATCATCTCCATAAACTCAAAGATTAAGTCAATAAAAAACCTTAGATATTTCGTTAGCAAGCAGTAGAATTGTTAAATAAGTAATTGAATTGTAATTTATAGAGTTTGCATTTAAAATTAGAATAGAAGAATGAAAGTTTAAAATAATCCTTAATTAATAAGGCAGCTAAAATTAGAATTAGTGGAGAAACTAAAGTAAAAAGTAGAAAGCTGATATAAGCATCGAAAATGAAAAGTGTAGTAATTGCAGAATCAGCAGGGTTTAATTATGTTAAGGCTGATACCGAATAATATGACTAATATGGAAATACTCCCTTATATTACAGTGCTAAATATGGTGACGTTCAAATGATTAAGCTATTGCTAAGAGCAGGGGCAGATGTAAATTAAAAGTGCTCAAATGACAATACTCCGCTCCATATGGCATTCCAATCAGGGAATAAATAAATTATAATTGATTTTCTAAATAAAGGAGGTGATTTAAATGTGATCAATAAAGACAATTGTACTCCCCTGGCATTTGGTAGTTTGGAATTACTTAAATCATTAAATCTTTAAGATTATATAGCAACGGTATTATTTTTTGATTGATATATACATAGATTAATCCTAATCTTTAACGAAGGACAGATAATTAATAAATGCTTCATTAAAAGGTCATCCCTTTAAATTATTAAGTAGATGATGAACTACTATTGGAGTTAAAAATGAGAGTCTGATTATTAGTTTACTAAACTCATTTTAATTAATATTAATTAAATATATACCAATATGAATGTTCAGCAGGATTCGAAATTTGTAAGAATTTATCTGAATCTAATATTAGCATGTTTAGAACTCAAATTAATAAGATAATCGTTATGATCTACTAAATAACAATTTAAGTTTTGTTATCTTAACAATATATGAGGAATTGATTATATTTAAAATAAGCGCTTTATAGTAAAAATATATTTAAAAAGATTATCTTAAAAATTGATATAAGATCCAATGATTGTTGAAGTATTCAAAAATGATTAGAAAATAATTAGTGGTAAAACTATGATTATATTGTTTCTATACTTATATTAATTTACTTATAATACTTTCATCTAAGGATCTACTATCTATATTTAATTTATGTTTTTAAATAAAACCAACTTAAGTAATGATTTTAAATTTGAAGCTTATTCTAGTAAAAAATAAATCTAATTTTAATAATAAACATCCCTTGTTTATTCTTAAATTACCAATCTTTAAACTATAATAATTTAATTAATTTACATAAATGGGATCACTTGTCAGCACCAATAAGTAAATGTAATCGATTGAATAATTAGAGGAGGATAATCAAATTACAGCAAATAAACCACAGGCTTTTTAATATTATCCTAAACTTTATTAACAAAACTATGATAATCAGATTAATAACAACATAGACAACAATTATCCTTGTTTTTTATTTTTTGGAACAACTGAAAAGCCAGATTAATCTGATGACATGGAGGATAGCAGAGATAGAGGAGATAGTTTAGAAACTCCTTGTTGGAATATTCCATAAAGAATTAATAATCCGGACATTACTAGTAATTCAACAAATTAAAAAATTCTTAAAAAATCTTAAACTAAGTAAAAACAAGGAAGCAATATAATATAAAGAATAAATACAGAAAGGATATTTTGAATAAATTCTTATGCCTATAGTATTTTATAAAAAATAAACTTCAAATTTACTTTTTAATATCAAATTTCTACTATTCTCAAGATCTTAATTCTTTATATTAATAAAAATATATAATTATCAAAATATTTCCAATAAAGTTGATAATCATATTCAATATATTTTAAAAGTACTATACGTGTAATATCTTTATTATCTCATCTGTTAACAGTTTCTACTTATTATTAATCAAACAACAGTCAATTTACAGTTTTCCTTATCATTTAAATCAATAATCTAATTATAAACTTCCATCAGCTTACTTTATTGTGTTGAATATAATAGTGCTATTGCTTAAAATGTTTAGGCAATTGGTGAATCGAAATAAAAACTAATTTTAAAAAATCTTATTATTTATATTTAAAATTATATATTATTGCACAATTAAGAAATTATTATGAAAAATTTTAGTTATATTACAATCATCATACCTCATAATTTTAGTTCCTATTCGCTATAAAACTCTTTATCTTCTAACTTGTAACTATTACAATGGAAATTAAGAGAATGCTTCTAACAAGTATCCTCTAATAAATTATCAACAACTTCTAGTATCGAATCATCATTTTAGGATTATTAATTTTCACTCAAAATATAAATTGAAGGTAAGATTTACTCTTTATTGAAAATTATATGTGCTCTAAGAGCCTTAAAAATGTTTATCCAGTCATCCAATTTCAGATTTTATAATTATTTTTACAGATTGTAAGTTGTTTCTTAGGAGTCATCTATTAAATCGAATTAAGCTTTATCATTTCCGAGATATATAATTCCGAATCTAGATTAATGCCTCTCCTTATCTGCTAATAGTTCCTTTAATAATCTAATCCTTTTTTTGTCATTTTTTGTTGTTAAATCAATTATGAAGGCAATATCACATTCTAATTTCCATTCTAACCATTACTTCTATTTTTCAAAGAATGAAATTAGTTATTTTGTTTCATGTGGTTGATCTGACTTATTAAATTAATCTATTCTTCTTAAGAAATAAGAAATCCCATTGCTAATGGACATCTTTTAATCGTTTTCATTTTTTTATTAAATATTTTTACATTTTCCATTTTATTCATTAGAATTTTAGTTTTGGAAACCGACCTATGATGTTAGTTTTCGTTAAGATGAGCAAGTTATCCCCATTATTATAACTCTGACAATTAATTTTAAGTTACTTAATTAATTATAATGACTCATTTATTGACATTATTTAACTAACATAACTTATATATATTTAAACACATTAATCAGAATCCTTTTTCTTCGCTTTTGGCTGTTTTTATATGACAGAAAATTTATTCATTAATTATTGAATTTATTTTTCAATATCTCTAAATATAAAATTAGAAATTATTGTTTTGATGTTAAAATTGAAGAACCACATAGACTATTAAGAATATCAGCAATCATATTGATTATAAAACAATTTTTAAATTAATAATTCTGTTTAAGAATCTTATTCCAAATTAGAGCTCGTAATATTAAATGCCTATAATTAATGATTATCAAATTATTCAAAAATATATGATTAAAAATTTATGAATATAAATAATGTATTTAGCGATTATTATAATAATATTATATATATACTATGAATAAATTTTATAATTTAAAAAATATTTAATTTAATTTATGTTAAGAGAATAAAAAATAGAATACTTAAGGTACCTACTCGTACTACTTAATATCAATTGGGATTTATGATGAATGTTTTTGGCTTGTCTAAGTGGTTTTCCCAAAGCATATAGAAATTATAAATTTTCACTAAGATTATTAATTTAAATATAATTATCACTTATAGTCATCTATTCAATCTAAAATTTATAACTACAGACCAAAAGCCAATCAAAACATTTGCCGAAGAAAAAGTAAAAATTTCTGCTTATTTGATATGATCACTAAAATATTTAACCATGTTATTAAGAACTTTATTTTAAGTGTTAGAATCATGCGTACAGGCTATTAAATGTATTTTTTTTCTTTTTTCTTCCTCTAGGTTCTACATCTTTTTAAGTTCTTATTCTGGAATAGCAGCTTTTCCATCAGTGTAGAATAATATTAAGAATCTTTGATATTTATAAATTTATACAGATCAGAGGTATTGTCTTTTTTAACTAGATTTATGGCTTTCTTGATTGGTTTCCCAAAGTTTGTTCCTCCCCCTAAAAAGTTCATTTTAAATTTTGTTTTTATATCCCTAGCCCTTTTACTATTTATAAGTGTAGTCTATTCTTTGTTAAAAAGGATGAGACTTATCCAAAATTCTTTATTTTCAACCTAATCTTTCTCCTTGATTTTTTTTATGAACTCTCGAACTCCTTTTTTAATATCAGTCCAATCCTTATTCATAGACTCTGAACTATCCAAAATGAAAATATAGTGAACTCTATTATGATTCAATTATTATATGTTTTAGTAAGATTTTTGTAATTTATTACAGATATCCTGACCATATTCTTACCAAATTTTTATTAATTTGTCTTTTAATTATTTTTTTTGATCGATATTTTATTTTGGATCGAAATCCCATTCAAAATTTTCAACTCGCCTTAAAAAAAAAAAATCATCATCACATGAATATTATTATTTTTATTTCTCCAAATTCACTTATTATGATAAATTAAATATTTATACCTATTAAAAAATGTCCATTTTAGCATTCATGATTTGATTGATGCTCCTACTGTAAATCACATTTTCTATTGCAAAAACCACAAGAAGTTTGACATCCTTACATTTCTATTTTTTTTTTGAATAATTATTCTTACATTTTGAATAGATTAAAGTTAAGTTATATTTTTATATTTTTTTTTTGGTTCAAAATTTCAATTAACTCCTCAACAAAAACATCTAATAATTTAATTTCCGGATTCTGTAGATTGTTCAAATGGAATTCCACTTTCACTTTTTCACCTTAATAAAATATAAATTTGTATTTTTTATTTATTAAATTTATGTCTCTAGAATTACTTCCCTAAAGAAAACAAACTACAATTCCAAACAATTTTCTCTCTAAATCTTGTTATGGGTTCTCAAAGTATTCTTCAACATTTAGGTTAGGCACTAGATATTCTTTTAACAAATGAGCGTTTTTCTTTAATTTTTCAATTAGTTCTTAGTATTGCTCAGCTAATTCAAATTAAAAATCCTCCTCCAACCTTATTGTTAACTCATCTAATTTTTTGTCCACATGATTGTTTATTACATTTTTTTAATCTATTATATAATTTATTATAAATTCTTTATCGTCTGATTCTAAGAACTATTATTCTAGATCACATTATTAATTTTAAATCTCTTCTACAATTTGAGGAGTATATTTATTATAAAATTGTAATTCAAAATTCCTCTTAATTGTTTCAAATAATTCACTTGCTTAAATCCTACTTAATTTATAGTCATTTTTTTGAAGATAAGCAAAAAACTTTTCTAATAGATCCAATTTCTTTTATTTCAATTAATCTATAATTTTATTTACAGATTACCATTAAGAAAAACATATAAATCTCCAAATAATTAATAAACCAAAATATATTATGCATCTCTCTCCTAATTTAGTTACATATTAATCCAAAGTATGAAATCATGGACTTATTAAATCTAGCCTTGAATTAGATTTTACTTTCAATTTCTAAGACTTAATCATATTTATTTTCTACATATCATAACAATGAAACTTCTTTTTATTAATTATTAGTTTTATGACAACATTATTATATCAACACCCATTTCTTAATAAACGAAGTTGATAAACTTCCATATATAATCTCTCCCAACCCTTTTCTTTCTCCATTAAATTTGTAAATATTTTACTAAACTGATTCAAATTCGAATATAATTATTTTGAATCCAGATCTTTTGTCATATTAATGTAAACTTCATATTAATTATAATCTTTGTTATTGTATTCATACTCTATTTTTTCAGAAACAATTTAGCCTATTTATTAAATTTAATCTAAAATCCCTTTTACTTAAGAGCATAGAGACTGTTGCTAAAGATTCTTCAATTTTTAGAGTTTTGTAATTATTTCTTGGAAAGTTTTTAAAATTACTTTTTTTACCTAGTTTATCAGGTATTTATATGTAATTTCATTTACTTTGTTCAGATTCTTCAGAAATAATCATTTTTAGTTTTCAGAAGGCATTTTATCCAATCAATTAAATATCATATTCTAACTGAAAATAATCGAAAAAGGTTTAAAAAAAATATGTATTTATATCTTTGTTTTAATTATCTTGTAAGATGTCTTCAAAATTGTCTTAATTAACTTTCAATAAGTATTCAAAATCATCGATGATATGATTATCTAAATATATTTTAATCTCATTTTTTGCTATATATTCAACTTATATTTAGCATGTATAAAATTTTAGAAAATTAATACAATTTGTTTCCTCAAATTCTTAAATTTTATCTTTTATTGGCTTATCATAGATATGAAAAAATTCTTAATCTGCTTTAAGGATAGGCCTAAATTAATTTTCCTGTAACTCCTCAAGATACTTCTAAAACAATTACTAAAATTCCTAATTAGATTTTGATGGTTGAGTATTATTTATCTGATATCTTAACAAATTTAGATATTCAGATTCCAGACTTGATTTAATAATAAAGTCATTATAATGTCCTTTAATTGTCTCATATTGCATTGTTTAAAATTTATCAAATTAAGAATTTAAAGTCTTGGAAAATTATTCTAAAATATTTTCCCACTCTTGATTAAATTACTCCAAGATTTGATCTTAATCCAGCTGCATGTATCTCTAATTGTCATATGAAGTTCTAAAAGCCTTTTCTAAGTTTTATAAACTTGAATCTTAATCATATTTAATTTTTTGAGAAAGGATTGATTCTGTAATTATTAGATTACATACCAATCTTTCATTTTAAAATTATCTATCTAGCTATTCTAATTATTTTAAATAAATATTTTTAGAAATCTTCTTAGTTTACCTAAATTTTTGAAGTTCCTCACTGATTGATTCTTAAATAGTTTTTAGTTTATTATTAATATCATCAATTTTTTTTTCCTTTAATTAAATAAAAAATTCTTCAGATGGTTTATTTTTTAGAGCTTCCTCCTAAATTTAAATTCTAATTTGATTTTTGAAATCAAACTCAGCACTTTTAATTTTAAAGATCTTTTAGTATTCAATTTTCATGTCTTTGTTTTAGTCATATTGAAGTAATTCTGAAAACTCTATATAGTCCGGTAATTTTTGAATATTGTTCCAAGTTCCATCAATCGCTGATAAAACTTAAGAGAGAGTTTAAAGTTAACCAATTTCATTCTAGAATTAAAATTTTTCTACATAATTATTAAGCATCATTATTCCATTGTAATAAGCATTTTTAGAAAAAGTTTCATTAAGGCTTGATTAAGTCCACTTTTGAAAATCCCAAATATTCTGAATTTAAGCAAATCCCAAAACCCATATATGTTTTGTATCAATATCAATAATCCTTGCATAATCAATTTATTCATTATATTATTCTTTGATCTCTGGATCAGATTAACTTGGTTGCTAATTTCTCTATTCCACTCTCATAACCAACTATTGAATTTATTCAAAAAAAGGCCCTTTCTTTTAAACGTCGTTATTTTGGTTAAAACACCATACAATTTATTTAACTCCTGAGAGATTTTATATTAATTAGCTATATTGAAATAAACACACTTCAATAAGATTATGGAATTATAAGTTGATATCACCTTTAACAGTTATCAGAATGATATCACTGATAGCTAAAATAAACAAGGACATTTTTTAATCAAATTCAACATCTGTTTAATTTGGACTTTAAAGACCTTCAGTATCCAAAAGAAGAATTTGATTAAATAATCCTCCAAATTTTTCTTTATTTCTCACTTTTATTAATTGCATATGAACTCCTCTTGTGCATCTACCAACACTTGTCCAAAAATGGCATCCAAATAAATTATTCAATAAAGTGGATTTACCTGAACTTTAAGGTCCTAAGACACTTAAGACTAATACTTTTTCATTCTTATCTTAATGGAGCTTTTATATTATTTTTAACAAAATTTCTTTGTCAATTGTTTAGGAATCTCCATCCAAAAGTTCAAAAGGTTCCCCTTTTCTGATAATTTAACAAAGTGCTTCAATAGGATTTATTGATAATTATCTTTCTAGACTTCCAAATTATATCAGTTCTCTCCAAAAGATCTCTATACCAATTTTATTAAATTTTAATTCATTTTCTATATGCTTTATCTAATCTTACACATCTGATACTTATAAATTAATATCTGAAGATAAAATCTGTTATTAGCCTTGACTTGTACTTCTTAACGATGATGCACTCCTCATCATTGGATTTTAATTCCCTTCATTTAATTTCTATGTATTTTTCTCATTAAATTACCTCAATTTTTCAAGAAACCATAAATACTACATATGATCTTGCATTAAGACTTGTTAAAATAAATTGAGTAATTTTGTTGGAACCTTATATTTTTTAAACATTAAGTTTTCTTCAATATCATCTCTTAACTGCTTTATTTTGGCTTGATCACTATTTGGCTCTAGTGACTTTTCAATCAATTTTTATTTTAAGATTTTGTAGTGATAATGAGAGTGACGCAATGAAAAGGCTTCTAAAGCATAAAATCCATCAGGTAATTTAATTAATTTTTATAATTCTGACTTCATCTCTTATAAAATTATTATATTTTAAAGAATAACCTCAGAGTTTTCTTTTGACTTATTATTAAATTTCTATAGTATATCCAAATATAATTGTTAAGACTTGTGTGGATAACAGTCAAATGAAAAAATGTTATACAAAACAAATTTTGAGGCACCTTCAATTTCGTTTAACTGTAATTATTTATCTATTCCTCTCCATGATAGATCGGAAACCTAATGAAAATTTATTTTTAATTGGATTAATTCTTGTTAAAATTATTCAGGTATTTTATTTTTTTTTGAATTTCGAATTAGAAGGCAAATCTTATGAGAATTAAAAATTTAAAGGGATTTAATAGATTCTATATTTTCTTGCAATTTATCTTCTGAGTCTATTTGAATAATACAAATTTGAAATAGGGGTAATACTTTTATTAATATTTCAGGTGGAATATATCCATGAGTATCTGCTATCATAAATTTTCTTGTACCATTGAATTCGAAATCAAACATTAAATCTATTGTGTTTTCATTAATTAAACAATTATCTCCGATTTCAAACTTTTACGTTTTATAGAAAATTTTATTAATCAATTCAGTTTTACCAATTTTACTTTAATTCTTGCTTAACGAAAAATTGATTATATTAACACTTTTTTGCATCAAATAATACAATTTGTCATTTATTTCATATAAACTTTCCAAATTATGAATACCATGAAATTAAGAAGCTTAATAAATGAAGGGTACAGGATTACACTTTGAATAGTACTTAAGCAACAAAAATTTTAATTCTTAATTTGAATTATTATAAAAAATCTAAAAAAGAGCTTTGCTATTGAAAAATCCATATTTAGATTAATGATTAAATATTTCTTCATTTATGAGTTAAACTAGAAGATTTACTGATTCACCTCTTTTTAAGCTATCAAAATAAAAATTAAATAAATCATATGTAGTATTTGCATTCATACATCTAACCCAATTACTAATGGCTAATCCTAATTACTCATTAGTTTCTTCTGGAACTGAAAAACTGAATTGTTCTATAGCTGTTTATTAATTAGTTGGAAATTGCTTATGGGTTTTTTTATGTCTTAAACATTTTGGTGTTATTTTAAAAATTTAAAAAAACTCAACACTTTCTAACCAAATTTCATACTATTCTTCATCCAATTCATAAAAACGTTCGCAAAATTGTATGAACTCTGTTTCATTTTTATTGTTTGTTTAGAGGAATAACTCCTTGATTAATTCCTAGGCTTGTCTATTAAGGGAATTCTATTTTAAATATAATGTTATTAATAGAATATTTTATTTTTTCTCAACATTTGATAGGCTTTAAGGTAACAGCATTAAGATATTTTAAATAATCAAATCTTTATTTTTTGACTTAATTACTCTGAGTTGTTCTTCTAATAATTTAGTTGCTTAAAATAAATTTTGAGTTTGTTCTTATGTAAATAAGATATTAATAATTTTGAATAATTCAGAATTTAGTTATGTCATCCAAAAGAACTTTATTTAGTTTTCAAATCCTTAAATGTTTATCAATTAACAATATTATAGCTAAGAAACATCTTACCAAATTTAAAATGATAATTTAGAAGAATTTGAAGCAATCTTTTCTTGTAATTCTAAACTTTATTTCTTATATCTTTAATATTCCTCGGAATTGGCTAAACTCTGTTATTTTGAAAAGTAAAACATTACGTAAACAAAATGTTGTAATATTTAATCTACATAAGATTTAATTTATTCTTAGATAATGACTTGCATCGTCATTTCTCTGCTCTCTTTAGTATCTTCTGACATTATGTCAATCTGTTTTAGATCAGAAAACCCTTGTTCTATATCATATTTAGTTAGATATTTCATCCAAAAATAAAATATCATACTAAAGTACAACTCTTCAATCTCTTCATTAATATTTTCAATATTAAACAGATGAGATAATATTGATTCAACTTCCAATTATTATTTAGTGCAATTCAGCAAACTACATAATTTTTAAAATAAAAGTTCTTGTAAGCCTTAATGATCTTCAATAAGAGAATTAATAACAGCAAAAATTTTGAAATTTTTCATTTCTGAGATAGCCCTTTCAAAATTTTCTGTGGATATAATATGTAGTTGTCTATCTTATAATGTTTAGACTATTTTGTTGTATGAATCCTAACTAGTATTTTATTTTGTTTCTAAATAATATTAAAATTAATATATTTGTGGTATTAATTATGAGCCTATGATTTATCCTAAAAGATAAGGTGGCTCTTACATAATAGGATGGAAAAAAAAGGAAATCAAAATTTAAAGTAGTTCAATTTATGGAAAGAACATTTTGCCTAATCTAAATTCATTTAGATCTAGTAAATCAAAAATCTTATCATCTAATCTACATGTTATTTACTCATTTTTTGAAATCAATTCATGAATCTCATTATCAATATTAAACTAAGGAACTCTGAGTTGTTAAAATATAAGTTATTTATCTTTCTCAATCCTTGCTTTATTATACAATTGTTTGTTATCAGGTAGTTCTACATATCCACTTTGCTAAAGAAATTCCTCATCTCTAAATTCTCTCTACATATATTCTATTATTTTTTGCTTATCTTAATTTTCCAATTTATTCATAATAGGTTTAAGATCCTTAAGAATAAACACAGAACGAATATATTTCTTATTCTTAATCTTTGTAAAAATCCCTTGTAGACTTTCTTTTGCATCATTGTTACTGATTTAAGGAAAACCTTAATTCATCCCTTAAAATGAAAATTATATAAATTTATTAAATGATTCATTCAAATAAATAGATCAAGTATAATATAAATGAGATAGTATTCACAATCAGTCTAAACATTTGAGATACAACTTTATACAAAACTAAAAAATTATTTGGTTGAATTTTTATGGAATATTTTAATTTCTTAAGCCAATTAAAATATTTTTAATAAATAAATGATAGTTGATATATTCCATTACTAAATTTATTATTTCTATGCATAATGCTAAAATATATTATAAATAGAAATAATTTTCATTTAATGTTTTCTTAAGGTAAAGATGAAAAAGAATCAAAAACTAAACAAAATGAAAATAAAAAAAGTTAAACAAATTAGGGAAATTAGGAGAAATAAAAATTAGAACAACAAAAATTCAACAACAAATTTAAATACCAATTTGAAACATTAATGTAGATAGGAATGAATGGAGTTGACTTTGAATCCATGTATAACTAAAACATAAACTCTGCAATGTCCGAGATTATTGGTGAGGTGTGCGTTAATGAAATATAAAAATGAATATTTTATAAAAGTTTAAATCAAGCTAATGTTATCTGATACCTTTATTTTAAAATATAATCAATTTCAAACCATTTATTCTATCATTTTTCTAACTTCTTTTTGTAATACGATCTTATAAGAATGACAATTTTGGTTTTTCCTTCTTTGGACATAATTAATTGAGGATTTCTCGATATTTGAATTTTTATATTTAATTTTTTTTGTTTAAGAATTATATGCTTCTTTATATCTTTTAGTTATCTTTGCTATTATCCTTAAGAGGAATTAAAATTAGAGAATTAGATTCATCCTACTAAGTCAGCAAGTAATCGATAAAACTGTCAGAAAATGATTTTACAATAACAAATGGATTTCGATATGGATTGTGGTCGAAATATAATCCCTTAACTAACATTCCATAAGTTGGAATTGTTGGACAATTTGACAGTAATTGTTTGTTCTTGCACAGTACATCTGAACAATATACTGAGTCACTTAATCTGTTGTATTACGAATGCTTAAATTATGAATAAAAAAAAATAACGAAAATTATTGCATTTATTGATAATAATGAAGAACAACATTTATTTAGTAAGGATATTGATTTTTTTGATTATGAGAACGCTTGGTATTTCTTGATGATTGTGTAATGGCCATTATAATAAAAATTTGAACTAATTTTGATGTATTAACAGCAGACTATACTCCATTCATATTTATAAATAAAGTGGCCTTTTTATGATAATAATATATTGCTGACTTTTGGTGGTAGCATGATAGTAGGTCAATCAAAAATCTCATTTATAGAATAAGGAACTAAAATATCATATTTTCCAGGTAAAATAGTCCTGTATGAATTTGAAATTGTAGATATCTCATTTTCAGAGAACTATTAACAAATATAATAAGCATTTTTTGAGTTATATTAAAATTGTCTTTGTTAAGATAATTATTAATCTGATATTGGTAATGTTGATATTAGTTAGCTGGATAATTTAGTGTTTGTGTCGGAAAATATAAATTGTAATTCATTTATTTTATCTGGATGGATGAAAATTATTGAAATAGTAAAGTCATCGGAAGAATTTATTTATTAATTATTATTCTTAGCATCAAATTTTCAAAATTCTTTAGCAGATTACAATTTAGCTCCTTTTTCATTATCTTATAAGATTTCCTCTGTAGGCAATTAGATAATCGTAACAACCTACAGCTATACATTTCCATAAGTAACAATAGATTTTTCTGATAATCCATTTTTGATTAAGAAAGAGTTTGATATTTCTAATTCAATATTTCTTTGGCATTAAGTTTATGTTTAAGTAAAGGATGATTAATTAACAATCCAAATTTAATTTTTGGAAGGCCATTAAGTTTATGATTATATTTTCTAGATTAAGGTATTTTAATTTAAGCAAACTTAATTTAAACTTTAATATGGGAATAATTTGTAATCTTAAACTAATTATTTGAATATCTAACTACGAAATTTTAAGTTTTACAATTGCTACATTTAAGTTAACCAATAAAATTGCCATTACACTTGCGAGGATTGCGAGGGTCCAAACAAAAATAATTGTTTATCCTGTAAAAAAGGATCGGATAGAATTTACTTAGCATAATTTAAAGCTTGCGTATGTCCATACAATACTATAGATGATCAAGATTGTTAATCATACTATGATCATAATTTAGAAATAGTAAATAATGCCGAAAAGAAGCAAAGTTGTCAATATGGATACTTTGAATATTCTGATAGTTGCTATTAATGGTATTCTTTTAAAAATATAATATAGCCCATCAATTATACAAGAGAACTTAGTAACTTGCTTAGAATGTGTATAAAATCCTAAAGGGTGGATATAAGATCCTAAATGCGATAGAAATTTGTATTTAAATTTGAATGGATCTGTTGAAAAAATATTTACAGATTAATCACCTATTTATTTCCATTTTGATGGAAATGATGCAATTTATTGTAAAAATTGTAATAAAACCTAATCTTTTGTTCAAAACGAATATAATATAGAAGAATCAGAAATTTAGCTTCTTTCTTTAGATTATTTTTGCTTAGGTTTACTTTAAAACTGTTTAAAGTGCTTGTATACTCTATTTGGAAATACTTGCTTAGAGTGTTACTTTGGCTACATATCGATTGAAGGAGTATGTACTTCTTTATCTTAAGATAGATTAGAGTATTGCATTCCTCCATTATATTTAACGTTGAGGAGATAATGTGAAGTATGCAATATTAAATTTTGCAAATATTGCTTTCAATATGTTAAGAATGATATAAGGATTTCCACATTATACAGAGGATTTGAATTTTTAGAGCAGGATCAAGAAATAATTACTGGTTGTGCTTTATGTGAAGAAAATTATATTTATGATTTCGATAAACAGCTGTGTTTCTATTAGCATCCGTAGTTGCAAAATTGTTAGAGATCTTTTGTAAAGGACAATAAAGAAATCTGCACTTTATCGATGATAGATGATTTTAAATTAGCTTCGGAAATTATGAATTGCCAAAAATACTAACTTAATTGTTTGCAATGTATTTTGACTCTTGAATCTACAGTCAAATGTGTTGTTTGTGATGTTGGATATACAGCTTCAATGAAAAATGGAGGTTGCTATTTAACAGATCCAATAACAATAGTAGGAGCAAAAATAGTTATAGAAGGTTCATATTCATTATAGGATGGCTGGATTTAAAGAATCTAAAGTTTCATCACTAAATTTTTGCCCAATCAATATTTTTATCCTCAATCTTAATTAATTACAGATATGTAAGAATAAATAGTTGAATGTCTAGATGGATTTAAACTCATAGAGTTTATTTGTAGAAAATATTGTGATTCCGATTGTTTATCATGTGACTATAATTATCATGAGGGTTTTATATGCAACCATTGCCCATTAAATTATTATTATCAGCCAATTAGAGATTAAATAGATGGTTCTTGCTCTGAATGCCCTTATTTATGTTAAGCGTGCCAAATTAGATCAAAAAACGAAATATATGTAATTTATCTATATTATTAACTAGACTTTTTAACCTAATTTCTTATTGAATAGCGATAATCTGGTATATACTAAAAAATGTTTAAAAGCAGTATCTGATCCCAACATTTAACTAGATCTTGATAAGTAGATAGCAAGGTATTGTTTTGATGAACAGTGCTCCTCTACTTTTTTACATGAAGTTAGTTATGATTATTGTGAATTGATTGATTCATTCTGGGAATTATCATTTAAAATCAACTACTTAAACTAAATTGGAATAGATACTTTAATTATCAAATTTATTTTTACAAGTCAAATACCATGTAAAGTTGCTATTATATGGTTAGATTCAACAGTTTAAACTAAAATATTTTCACTCAATAGTGTTTAATATATAATAACTTCAGAAATAGATTTAATTTTTTCTACTTCAGCACCTATATATATTCTAAATGTTGACACTTTAGTTATTAGCAACATCGTTTAAAAGAGAATTGCTAACGATGATTTTGTTATTCTAAACAATTCAACTTAAACAGATCTGAAATTGTTTAATTTTACAATTAATGATAGTAACATACAAAATTCTAAATCTCTATTTTAAATTGAAACATTTGGTCAAGTAGAACTTAATAACGTTACAATCCTTAATTCAATATTAGTGAATTCATCTTTTCTAAGCCTAAGTAATTCATAAATTAATGGAATAATTAAAATTGATAGATTAATAATAAAAGGTTGTACTTTGACAAATTCTAAATTATTTTAACTCACTGATAATAAAATTATTTTACAAGTTCGAAATCTCTTAATAGAAGATTGTAAGTTTTAAAATTCATCAATATTTTTTATTAAAACTTCCCTTGATCAATTAAGTAAAATTACTTTTCAGGATGTAACAATAAAGGCAAGTTAATTTAATATCTCAAGTCTTGTAAATTGCTTTAACTATGCAATTTTATCAATGATAGACATAAAATTATATTCAAATGAATTACATACTTCAAGTTTCATTACATAAAATTATAACTTTTCAATTTAATACCTATCATTTTTGGATAATAATATCTACGAGTCTCAATTAATTTCGATTATCGAAGAAGATTTTAATTAAAAAATTTCCATTAATATTATTAATTTTGTTACTAAATAAATTTAAATTAAAAACTCAAACTTATTAAGAATATACTCAGACCAAGAGTCAAGTAATATTATTTTGAAAATTTAAAATTTAAACTTTGAAGAAATGAAAAGTTAGTATAGCTCTGATTTCAGTTCATTCTTATTTATTATAAAATGCCTTCAATTTACTTCATCAGAAATTAAAATCCATAATTTAAATAATATTTTCATCTTTTATATCTATGAAAGTAACGCAATTCTTATTTAGAATATTATATATGAACAACAAGATTAATAATATAAAGTACAATTAAGTTAAAACTGCAAAAGCTAAATGATGAATAAAAATAAATTAATGAAAGTAGTTGACTTTTCTTCTTTTAAACTCACACATGTATAGATTGTAAATTAATTTACAATTGATGAATCAATTTTAGAGTTATCTCCAAAATAACTTTAACTCGTTTCAATTAATATTAAAATAGAAATTATAGATATTATATTCAGAGGAAATTTATAATTACACTAATAATCATCAAGATTCTTTTCGCTATTATCTATAGATTCAGAAAGAATTATTGATATTACAATTTGTAATATTTAGTTTTTAGAAAACATTTTTCATTCATAAACAGATGATACATTATTTGCTTATTCATCATAAATATATATTAATTCATAGAGAAGCAGTGTTGAAATATTTAATTTATCATCAAGCCTAAATGCCTTAACAAATTCATCCAATTCGTTTATTTACATAAACTCATTTAGTTTGATGTTTCATAATCATAGTGTGTCCCATCATAATATTTTATCTTCTGATATATTATAAAAGTATTATGATATAGAATTAGAAAGTTTTATGGATTAAGAATAAATAAATTCATTCATATCTCAAATTTTATTTATAAAAAATATTGGAGGAGCAGCTAAGATAATAGCTTCTAATTTTACGTGTGAAAATTGTCAATTTTAACATATACTTGCATTTAAAAGTGTAATTTTTGAGATTATTACACAATTTTAAGGATCAGTAAGACTTATGAATATAGCAGCAAGTAATCTTTAGAGTGATTTAAATTAAATTACAAATAGTTCAGGTTGTATCAGCATATATTCATAAAATAGTCTCCTTGATCTTGAAATTCTTAATTCAACTTTTTATGATATTTTAAACAGAATGTCTTCCTCAATACTAACTATTTAATCTTCTAATATTCAAAATACTATTTATTTATAAAACATCTAGATTTAGAACTGTCTTTCATTGATACATTAAATCCTATAAATTGAAGTTTCTAAGAAAATTATTTAAAATAATAAAGTATTTCTTAAGAATATCAAAGTATCTTAAGATGAAGAAGCATGGTAACACTATTTTACAAAAGTAAGAGTCTTAAGCAGAGCTGAATTATTAGGTGTTTCAAGCAGTGACAATGCCTTGATATATATTGAAAGTTGTTCAGCCTCATTGAAAAGCATAACATTTGAAGGATTTTATATTTCATCCATTTTGATATTTGTTAATTCACCAATCCTAGAGTTATAGGATTTGTTGTTAACATAAATATAGTCATTTTATTCTTTTACTTTAGTAAAAATAATTTAGCAAGCAGAGTCAGAATCTAAAATGATACTCTAATAATTAAGAATTACAAATTAAACAAATTATTTAGTTAATGACATAAGTATTTAATTTTCAAATGAAATTTTTTAAAGTATAGGATGCAATTAATTTTAAATGTACTCATCTACCAACATGATAAATTATTCAATATCTGAACTTTTTTAAACTATCCAAAGATAAGCATAAAAATAAGCATCACTAATATATATATCAATTTCATCAAATAAAAGTTCGCTTTACTTCAATTAAGTACATTTATTTAAAAATAATTGTACTTTGTGCAGCGATGGTTTAATCTCTTTTGATTTAGATTTATTTTAAATTGTAAAAATTCAAGATTTTCATTGTCATTATAACTTTGCACAGGAATACGGATGTTTAAAGTTCACAACTTCAAATGAACTTTCTCATGTAATACACTTGTAGAATTCAAATTTTATTTAAAATGTAGGCAGTAGAGGAATAGCAATTTCATCCTTGTAATTACCAATCAACATAAAATCATGCAAGATGATCTTAAACACTGCTAAATATGAAGGAGGAGCAATATATTTTGACATGAAGAGCAATATATTTTCAGTTAAACATAGCTTTATAATATCAAACAAGGCAACAGAAGGAGGAGGAATTTATTTAAAATAGAATATTAATTTAAATCTTGAAAATTCAATTAAAAATTATCTCATCTTTAATAAAGCATCTATTTAGGGGGATAATATAGTAGAATACCCAACCCATTTGGCTTTGTTTATAAATTCATTTGAAATGCCATCTCAAATTTTAAATTTTGAACAATTTTAAACAAAGATTCTTAATATCAAACCATATTCTACTATTGAATAAGAAAAGAAAATAATTACAAAGTATTTTATGATTCCAAGTAATCAAGCTATAGCAGAGTTTAGCCTCATTCTGCCGAGATTATCTTAAACAATATTGTAAATTAGTAAATTAGCTTTAAATTTTAAGAATAGTTTAAATGAATTGATTTTGAACTCTTTAAATTCAAGTTGCGCTGTTTTAAGCTATATTGTGATGCTTAATGAAACAAAAGAAAAGAAATTTTTGAAAAGCGACATCTTGGCATTTGATATTAACTAAACTGGCTTTGATTTAACTTCATTAACATTTCAACTTGATCCTTATAACCAAGATTATAAATATTTAGAGATCTAAATAAGTTGTGAAGCAGGAAAATAGTAAAATTATTTACATTATTATATTCAATCTAAAAGTTACAAATGCCAATTAGGAGAATTTTATGTTGACTTCGGATGTCAAAAGTGCCAACCAATTTAAAGATTTTATTCAGTTACCTATGATTCAATAAAATGTTCCATATTTGATAAAGAAAAATTCTTAGAGATTACATCAAATGCTATTTAATTAAAAAATGGGTATTGGAGACCAAACTATTTATCAGATTTTTCAGCTTTATGTTTTAAAAATTTAGATAATTGTGGTGGTGGATGGAGAGTTGGAGACGATAGTTGCAGTGAGGGCCATGTTGGTGCATTGTGTGAAGAATGTGATATCTATAATGTTAGGGGATTTGGAAAGCATTTTAAGATTTAGTCTAAGACAGATTGTGTAAAATGTTTTGGTATTCAAGATAGTATCCTCCCTGTCTTTTTTAATATTTTATGGTATATTCATATATTATGCTAGGACCATTCTTTCAATTGTTATAACTTTACGAAGTATTTAAAAATCTAATGAACTATTTTTATATCTGAAAATTAGGGAAAGGTTTAGTAGAATCTTATTTAAATTAAATCAAGGTATAGAAAATAAATACACTAGATCTTTAAAGTATATTTGTAAAAATGTTCTTAAATTATTTGTGGATTTTTTCAGTAATACTTACATTCAATATAAACTTTTAAATTTCGTTTGATTTTATAAACCAAGCAAGTAATACATCCTATTCATTGGCAAATAATTTAGACTGCTACTTGTCTGAAATTGAAAAGATTGAGTTAATCTATTTCAAAGTAATTGTTATCTTAGTATTAATCCTATTGCAATTTTGTATTATCATTATTGGATACTTTCTCTTTTCGATAGCTACAAAGAACGAATTTAAGCTTAGTATTGTCTCAAATACTTTACTTTGTCTCTATATTTTTAATTTTGCAGGAATTATTAATATGTATTATGTGATTATATTAGGTTTTAGTTTATGCTCTTTGATATCAGTGAGGGAAATATCACATTTATAATATATTTAGGGAGATTTAACTCGATTATTCTATACTTAAAGTCATCGGCTATGGATTTTGTATCTCGTTTTTCCTGGATTAATGATTTTTGGATTCATAATTCCTTTACTATTATTTTTGTTAATGTACTTCAAGAGGAATTTTTTAAATAAATCTAAATTGAGACCTCATATTTGTTATCTATTTAATGAATACTAATCAACAAGATATTATTGGGAATAAATAAAATTGAGTAAAAAGGCAGTTATCATCCTTTTTTTAACCTATTTCGAAACTCGCATAACGTTAAAAGCCTCTTTAATTGGGTTGACTTTATTATATTATTAGAAACTAGCATTTCAAAAGAAACCTTATACATTATCTAACCTTAATCGATTAGACTCAAAAGCTGGATATATCTGCTCATTCTCTATACCTTTAGCAGCAATCAAATATGAGAATGAAACTGAAAGCAATAATTCTCAATCTATAGTGCTATAAATCACCTTAATAGCTCTCCCCCTTATGCTGTCTTATCAGTTTACTTATAATATTACTCTAATTCATATCATAAAATATAAATTTGTTGGGGGGGCCTATTTATTCTTGATGTCTTAATATATGAATTTGGAAAAGAGCTCCAATAAATCTCAAGGACTACTAAATTAATATAGTAGAAGAAAATAAAGATTATAATAAAATCTAGAAAAATTAAGAAAGTACCTCTTATAAGTTTCAAAAAATTAAATAAAGAATAGATCGTAAATCTTAAACAAAACCTTAGGATTAAAAATTCAATTTATTCTACACCAACTCATTCATCGAGACCCCTTAGTCTTAAGCGACCTCATGCACTATATTCTTTTTTATAATTATTGGGGGGTATTATATTATATATTCTACAAATTAATCTTATTCTAAAACTAAACCTTATCATTATGTAGTTATTTTTGTTTGTCATACTGTTTTTTTTAAATTAAAAAAGTTGAGAAAGCTCTGAATCATCACATTTAAGCTCTCAATTAGTGCTCTTTCTATCCTTAAGTTTTGATTGGATTATATGGAAATTTGTGTTTTTTTATCATTTTGACTAATGCTTAAACCAATTTTAAATTTGTGAAATGTAGAGAATTCAATTTGGAAGCTCTATAAAAAACATAAATTATTAACACTAATTTAGTAAACTAAATAATAATTATTGTTGTAATACAATAGGGAGAAAATCATATTTAATTCCCTTTAGAAGCATCAATCAAACTTAATAATTATAAATTATTCAAAGAAATACAAAAGAACTAAAGATAGAAAATAGTTCAATAGAATAAAGAACATATGATAATAGTATGCTCTTATTTTTCTCTGGAAAGACTAAAAAAAAGGAAGTAAATAGGAACCATCAACTATACTAAAAGATTCACTTATATAATAATATAGGTTTCTGTATATTTTTATTAATATATATCATTCCTTTGCTAATTTATAATTGTAAAGGTCACAACTTTATAACTTGTTATTTTCGATGCTATGCACTATTCTATAGCCAGAATTAAAATAGAAAATAGAATAATCTTATGGAGGTGATGATAATTTATCTACAGGGTCATAAGTGGGGGCGTTTACTTGTGTTTCAATTTCTTCATCTTAATTTACGGATGTGGCTGGAGCTATTACTACATATATAGATATATAATATGGTCTGTTTTAAAGGGTTCCTATACATAATTGCTTCTACATTTCCAGATTTGAGAACAGCTATTTAATGTTGCCAACCGCTTTATGTGTAAAGAAAATTTGTAGTTAAACTTGTTGAAGCAACTGAATTAACTACTACTTTATAGGACATAGGACTATTTTATGTAGTATAGTAAGTCATTGAGATCATTGAAACATTTGAAGTAGTTGAATGAATCGTCACGGATTAATACTTAGTCCATGAGAGATTGGGGAAAATGTTACCAGTTCTAAATGGGGATACAATGTTATTTTTCACAAGAGCATCGATCCAAAAAGAACCAACATTGAATTCCGTAACCATAATTTTAAGGTATTTCATGCTGTCTTAAACATATGGCAAAAAAGTTATATCAGTAATATTAATTTCAGATGTTCGACTGAAATAATTTTTATCAAGCACATTCTAAGTAGTTTTAATACTCCAATCTGCTGCTGACATAACTAATGTAAATAATGTGACTTTTGTAGTTTCAACTGTAAATAATGTATTATCCGACCCTGTTATTTTTATCACAGTTGAATTAACAATGGGGAATTACACAATATCCCCAAATTGCGAATAGTGAGTCTCATTTATGCTTTTGTATGCAATTAAGTATGGAGAGTCTGCACCCTTTTGACAACCAATGAAAAAATATCCTGAAATGGGAGTAAAAATCCAACTACAAGTAGAGTTGTTCGTTTTAGGAATAGAAATTGAGCTTAATACATTAAGTTCATTATCAATGATCATAATTCTGTAATCAGCAAGAATAGCATCTGTTGTGTTTGAAAGTTTTACATTAGAAATAAATTTCCCATAAAATGAGATATCAAATTCTATGTACTCATCACAAAATGCTAAGCTTTTTTGTGCATAGGATAGAGTCACAACGAAGGAAACAAAAAGTAAAAACTTCATTAATTTAATTGTGTTTATCAAAGTGTATCTTCTTTGTTTATAAACTATATTTGAATTCTATCATTTTTATTCAAATTTATCATAAGACCAATCAAAAACATATAAAAAATTATTAAGATTTCATTATTTATAAAATATAAGTCAATATCTGTGAGTATTTTACATTTTATATAAGTCAATTCAACTTAGTTATAATATAAACGACAACTACTTTTATTTTATTATAAAATATTTATTATTTATCTGAAATTTAAAATATGGTTGATATTATAGAACAATTTAGAAATATTCCAAGTCTAATATTTTAATTCAATCCTTTTAAAGAAAGAAAAACTATTAAGATATCATTCTGTTGCTCATAATAAGTTTCCAGTATTTAAAAGTCCCCAAATTTTTATAAATATTTAAGGTTTCAATTACTACATCATAATTATCTATAGCACCTTAGAATTTTCCAAATTTCTAATTTTTTCTTAGTTTTTATTTATTTGAAAAATAAGTTTATAATTCATGACTTTAAATTAATTAACAAATTTTTAGAAATCAAATGAAATACTTCAATAATAAAAATTAATTTTACATGAATGAGACCAAAGTTAGATTAAGATGTTTTTTATTATCATTTATCACGTCTCTAATAGATATATAAAGAGGTAATAATATAAATCCTTTGCATTTTCTTTTTCCCGCTAAATAGACAGCTGTTCCTGAACCCAAACAACTAATTTTTATTTTGCATAACTTTAAATACACTTAATGATATTCTTCAAAAATTTCATATATTAACTTCACTTATTCATTAACTATTCCGGCATCTTCTGGAATGGAAATGATCTCAAATTTATACCCTTAATAAATTCAGTATCTAGGATCTCAACAACAATTAGATTGACAGTAGAATCATCCACCTCAATTATAATTTATAAATTCTTCTAATCATAAAATTTACATGTCTTTAGTATTCACATGAAAATACAACATATATGCTGTAGTTTTAGCTTTATATTGATAAAACAGCTAGGATATTATCTTTGATTATATAATATGAAGATTAATAAATTATTAAAAGTTCTTTAATTGCTCTGTGTGTTGCAAATTTTTTTTGAATTTTGTTTGTGTATTTGCATTTCTCTCCCCTTAAAAAATATAAAAACTTAATAAACATAGTAATCTAAGCAAAGATTCAAAGCAATTGTATAATAGAATATATTTTTTATTTTGCTGAAGAACTAGTACATTAAAATTTTTTCCTTAAATAAAATTCATTATTATTATTAGAAAGTCTATAACTATGGGATGTGGATGCTCCTTAATTACTGAGACCTTTAAAGTTATTGAACCAGAAGTAGATACAGAGAAACTTCAAAGAGTTGTCGATAGTTGGAGATAAAAAGATACTTTAGAATGTGAATTGGAATCAAATTTATGGAGAGGGTTTGATAATTATCTAAGTTATTAAAATAAGAAAAATAAGCCACGTGTGAAAAAAAACAATTAAAATGCAATTTATACTTCTCCCAATATTTACCCTAGATATGTATTTTATTTTTTATTTATTTATTAAAGATGTTAAACTAAAGCCAAAGTTATAATTATTTTAATCAATTTAATTTTTAATATGATGATTAAATTTAATCAAAGTAGTAACCATGGAAATTAGTTCCTAAACCTTTAAATTCCAATAGATCATAATTTAATTAATATCAAACAAAGGGGTTTCTATTTAATGAAGAACTTAAACCGGTGAATAATTGCTTTTAGCATCAATATTTTAAGATTAATATTGTTCAACCACAGCAAGATAACAACCTAAAGGCTTTAAGAAATTTGGATTATTTTGATAAAAAAAAGAAATAAAGAAAAAATAACTATTGAGTTATTTTATTATAAAGATTAAATCTCATAGTATTAATGATACCGAATTTTATGAATTAAAATAATATATAGTACATTAATAGAATATTTTTGAAATAAATCCTAAATTTTATTTCAATATTCATCTCTTTTATTATTTAATTTTCTAAAATGGGAAGCGGAGCATCTTAGCAAAATAATTATTTTAAGTTTGAATAGTACAAAGATTATGAGGAAGAATGCTTTTTAAACTATGAAGTTGAACGCGTTGAACTCAGAAAAAGAAAATTAAAAATTTTCTTTGAACATTCAGATGTTTATTTTTATACAAATAATGAATGTCTAATAGTTTGTTTCCATTAAGGTAAAAGTAGAGTTGCGCTTATACGATAAACCGAGGCCTATTCTTAATAATGTTTACACATTTATGAAAAAAGGATAGCTTTGGTAGTTCCTAGAACAATTACGATATTTAACGTATTATAAAATGTTCTTCCAATAACTAAATAAAAATATAATATTTTGATCAATAATTGCAATGATAATTCGGCAGAATTGATAAAGAATCTTAAATTGACATGATTTATTAATAGTTTATTAAAAATTTGAATTCAGATCAATAGAAGTTTTTATTGCCACGTTTTGCATCAATTTTATATAATAAAAAAATGATCTGCTCAGACTAAACTCTTGGGAGTTTTTAAGTAAATTTGGATTGTTAGGAGGATAAAAGGGATCTATTTATTTTAGCTAGTTTGAAAAAAATTTAAGTTTGCTGATGTATGAAGTTATTGTCATCTTAATCCCTAAGGTTAAGTCAAATTTTCCATGAGTTGGAAGGGTCATTTTTTAGTAAAAAAATTTCTTTGTTCTTAGGAAGACTTGTGAATTTTGTAATATTTTTGTTGGGCATTCTTACAATACTATTATCTCTAATCCTTATTATTTTCAGATTATTTTCTTATAGAAATATTATAGGATTAATCAACTAAGCTATTAGCCTAAAAATTATAGTTCAATTTTGATAAGAAAAAGGTAATTAATCTAATTAAATATATCTCATCTTTCAAAATAAAAGCAATAAACTAATTTTACATCTTTCTTTTAATTATTAAATCATCAGAAACTAGAAAATACTCAAATTAAATAAAAAATAAATGTAAAATATGATATTAATCAATCTATAAATAATCAGGATTACAAATTACTTAGAATGATTCTTAAAAAATAAATACACCTAATTTTATTATTATATCTATTAATTTTCTAACCTTTTTTTTTCATAAAATTTAAAATCCTATTTGAATCTGATGCTAAACAATTCATCCTAGATCATTAATCTCTTGAATTCAAATGAATTTATTTAAGTCTGTAAAACCATCTTTTTTAATTGCCTGTTTGATAAGGAAAGGAGAAATACCAATTTTAGTGACAGTTTATTATTGCTCAAGTCTGCCGGAGTTAAAATTTGGTGGATTTTGATTAATAATTTATATCAAAATAAAATCCAATAGTTTTAGAAAAAAAGAACAATTTTAAATATCCAATATTATAGAGATTTTTCTGGCATATAATTTTCTGCCTAGACTTGATTTGGCAATAACATTTAATACACTAATCTCAAGAAATTCAAGTTTAATATTTTACTTCATTTTTTTGTCATACATTAAAATTTAAAGAGATTATTATTACTATAAATTTTATAAATGCTATTGCTAGTAAAACAATTTATACACACTTAAGTCAAAGTTAAAAGAAATATAAAAAATCGCTCGTGTAAAAAAATATTTAGAATTTTATAATATAAACATAGAATATTAATAATAATTTCAATAATTTTTTATGGGATAAAATTGCAGTGAATGCAGTAATGTTGACAATGAAATAACCCTAGAGAGCAGATAAGTAACAGAACCAGTATCTTATCGTTACTTTACAAAAAGTGAAGCCCAATATGCTTTGAATAATACGTAAGACTTTGAATAATCTTAAGAGCAGAAGAGTTGAAAAATAGAAAGGAAAGAGAAAAGAGATTTACTTTTGAATTTGATGATGGAAGCAAATATATAGGAGAGTGGGTAGGGAATAAAAGAGATGGTTATGGAGTAATGGAATGGAAGGGTAATGAAGTATCATAGAAGTATAGATGGAACTAAATATGAAGGATTTTGGAAAAATAATAAAGCGAATGGATAAGGAAGATTCTTGCATATAGATGGGGATTATTGTAAGTGAAAATAGTAATATTAAAATTAGATGAAGGATAGTTTGTAAATAATTTATGCTCTGGTTATGGTATATATCAATATTCTAATGGACACAGATATGAGGGAGATTGGAAAGAAGATAAATTCGAAGGTTTGGGGAAGGAATTTTGGCCAGATGGAAGCTATTATATTGGTTCTTATGTGAATGGGGAGAAGAACGGAAAAGGGAAATACATTTGGGCAGATGGAAATTCATATGATGGGGATTGGTGTAATAATAAGATGAATGGGTTTGGCATTTATAAATGGAATAATGGTTGTATTTATAAAGGGGAATGGCTAGATAATAATATGCACGGATAGGGTGAGTATTTATGGCCGGATGGGAAGAAATATTGTGGAAACTATGAAAATGACAAGAAAAATGGATTTGGTGTTTTTTTGTATAATGATGGGAGAAAATATGAAGGACAATGGTTTGATGGCAAATAGCATGGAGAGGGCATAATTTATGAATAGGATGGCAATTATAAGAAAGGGGAATGGAGAGAAGGGAAGTTAATTAACTATATGGAAGTGAATTGATGAATAATTACACATTTGATTCATATAACATAAATTAAATAAAGATATATTTTATTTTTAAATGGTAATGAATATCACAATTAATCATGGTAGGGAGTAGACGCATATAAGAAGACAAGAGTATAAAGGAATGTTGGAAGAAAAGTAACATCAACCAACCTCTATTTGAAATTATTAATCAAGGTAAAAATTAGTGGATTTATCATAGTTATATAAATTCTTAGCCAGAAGAACAGATTCCAATTTCAATGCTACAGTTTTAAGAAGACTTTAATAAACCAGAACTGCCAGATATCCAATTAGTGTAAGCAGACTTGTGAAATAAATTAATACTGCTAAAGATAAGACAAGAACATTGGTTGTAGTTGGGACTGTTACAGATGAGTAAGAAAGTAATTCATGCATTTAGTGTACGTCTTCTCACTGTTCCTAAGATCAAGGTGTATGTGCCCTTAGATTCACTGAGACAGCCAGAAAGAGAATTCTTGCAGCTGGAGGAAAAACTTTGACTTTCGATCAATTAGCACAATAAAACCCAACAGGTATCATTATAAACTATAATATTTCAAAGGCACAGGAACAATATTATTGAGAGGACCAAGAGTGAGAGAAGAATTAAAGCATTTTGGCAGAGCTGCTGGTTTACCAGGATCTCATGCAAAACCCTATGTTAGTCACACTGCAAGAAGAGGAAAAGGTGCAAGATGATTGTTTTTAAAGTACATTAATATATAAAAAATAAAGAAATATTAGTGCATTTTTTATTAGAAATTTAAATATTTGATTAATTTTCAAATATAAATGTTTACAATTTCTCATTCTATGAGAGTGAATATTCATATTAAAAATTCTTTCTGTTTTCCATGTTGATTTTGAAACCATTCAAACTTGTACATAGATCCCTTTAACCATAATTTTTCAATTTTTATTATTGATTACATTATATCATGACATTTATCACCACTATCTTAGATTTGATCAATTCTTAAAATAACAGTTTGAGAAATCTTTGTAAATTTTTTGGTCCATACTGACCGTTCAACATTTTCCTTTTTCTTTAAATTAAGTTATTCAGGATCTTCTGAGTATTTGTTAACTATTTATTATAATGGCACGAATTTATTTTTAGTTAATCTAATATGTTGTAAAACAATGTGTTTTAATCTAATTTCAGGAAGCTTTTGAAAAAAATATTGTTAACTATAAGTAGAATATTTCATCTTGCTTAACTTACTCCCAGAAGAATGAACAGATGATGATTTTCTTGATAAGGAAATCTATTAAAATTTCTATGACAAATACTCCTTAGGGAAGACTCTCTTTATTAATTGGTAATTACTCAACTCTCTCCACTATTCTGGAATAGTTTCATCTAATTGATGATTCATTTCAATTACTCTTTAAACAGATCTTTTGAATTTGACCAAAAATAAGGACAGTCTTTATAACTTTTAACCTATTATCTTATTCAGTAATTATTTATTGTATTCTTCGACACTTAATATCTGGATTGTCTTTTTATTCAGAATATATTCTTCTTTCGTCATTTGTATAAAGGATTATGTATAAAATCGAACCTCCTACCTTTTATAAGCATTTTTTCTTCCTTATTTAGATTTGAAAATTTACTTCTTTCTTCTATAAAATTGTTGATGATTAGTCTCCTTCTTCTTAAATGCAGCTGTCTGATTTCGAAATCCAAAATTTAACTTTGTGACATAACTCTTCTTAATATTCTATAGGGAATAACTAAACAAATAGATTTTTTTTAGGCAACACAATAAGTTCCTCTTAATTTCTCTTCGATGGCTTCAAACTCTCCAAAAATTGTTCCTTCCAAAATATTCAATAGAATGGTCTTGTCTTTTGTCATAATCCGAATATCTCCTTATAATAAAAAGAAGATTTCACTAGAACTCTGACCTTCTCTATATAACACGAATCCTTCTTCAACAATCAAATATCTTATGTTTAACAACAATAAAGATGTATAATTGATATCATATAAAAACAATGGAATTTATTTACACACATCAAGCATAGTGCTTAATGTTAGGTATAGTCTTAAATTATGGGGTAGTTCTTTGGCCATAGTCTTATACTCAACTAACCAGAATTAATTATGATAGAGATTGTTTTTTACAAACAATTAGAATTTATGCTTCAATTTTTCAGGGAAATTTTACGTGTGGCCTAATTGTTCTATCAAAAACAACAGATCTTGATCTTCATTTACTTTTGATTTTGACATCATTAAAGCAAAGTCTCCAATAGTGAAGGAGTAGAATGCCACTCCAACGATCATCCAAAAAACTGCAAATTCATAGTTAGCTTTGATATCACCATAACCAACAGTTGTAATGGTTTGGGATGACCAGTAAATATTTGTTATGTAATCTCCCGAATCGAAGAAATGCTGCCAACACCCAAATATATGTATCAATAAACAAGTTGTTATCATCACATTTAGAAGGTATTTGGTTCCGCTTTTTAAAATAAATTCTTGTTCAGGATTCAAAGACTCGATAAATTAAATGTAATTTTCTTGTCCTTTATATGTGACTTCTTTGTTATTTAAAAAGTACTTAAGAACTCTAATCATTTTGAACTTTTTAAACCATTCCTTTTCATAATTAATAGCTGGGAATACAGACAAAACATCAAAAAGGAGCCAAGTTTTTAAGTAATGTTTAAAAATGGAGTTAAAATCAATTATTAAATTATTGCATTCATCAATGTATCCAGTGAGGAAATTCAATACAATGTCTATCAGGAAGAGTATATCAAATGCAATAACTACTAAATCAATTACATGATTCACTTCGAAACTGATGTATATTGGATACAAGATTACACTTGAAAATGTTAGAATTTCAATGAATATCCTCCATTTTTTAATGAAAAAATCATCAGGATAAAATGGTAATATGGATTCCTTCTTCCATTGTTTTGAATCGAGTCTTTCTATTTTCTATTTCTTCTAATATTCTTTTAAGGAATTTATAAAGCTAATTGATATTCTCACAAGAGTGACATACTTCTTCAACAAGAATATCCACCTCTGAGATTTTCTGGTCGATTCACTTTCGTTTTATTATCTGTTTTATTTATATAAAATTACGTAAAGATGGAAATAGTGGTGTTTCTTTTGATTGTCTTTGGTCTCTAATATGTTGACATGGCCATTATTCTGTGGGTTGTAGAAACTAATTCAAGATGAGGACTTTGGTAGTTAGTTTGCAGATTTTCTAAAATTTCTTTTGAGCTTGGTTAAAAGCAATAGCCTTTCATTTAATAAAAAAAAACTTTTATTTTATTTAGCAGTTGTGGAGTAATAAAAAGTTATAACAGTTGTAGTTTCAAGTAAATTACATTGTGTATTAGAGAATAAGTAATTATATTAATTAAAATATTAATTAAATGTCAGAGGAATAAGAATTAGATTGGGGAGTAGGTGCTCAAGCATTATATGCTATGGTTAGGGCAACAAAGGATTGCTCAAAGAGATGCGGGGCATTGCAATTGAAAAGAGACATAAATGACACAGAATCAGAATGCTTAAGTAAAATTGAGGATTAAAATTATAGAAAAATGCGCTGTGTTTCATGCAGGATCTTCAAGCACCCACATGAGATTTTTAATAAATTACGCAGAAACAGTGCATCTTCAGTGAAATCATCAATATACATCTATATAAATCATCATAATCAGTCAATTTATTAATGTTTTAATAAGTATTATGTTAATAAATTATCATTTTGTAAATTCAGAAAATGACCTCTTAATTGTGCTTATTCCAGCCAATATTGCCAGGATTTCTTATTCAATTCAGCCAACCCACTATACCTGAATCTAGTGATCATCATTTTCCAATGACATTCCAACTATTACATGCATAATTTGTAGTTCAAAATCTCTTCAAGTCCTGCTAATTTAATTATTTATTATAAAGTGAATGCCACACTATGTAATAGTAGGTTTGGATTCAATAAGATCTTTTCTATATATAATCGAATAGTTTCCATTAGTAAGGCTTCTTCCCCAGGCCACAATCTTCTTGTTTTGCCTTGCCCATATAAAATTTTCAATCCATCTATAATTTCATGGAACGGTATATTTCTTGGGATTGGGAAATACTTTTTATTCTTTTCTATTTGTTTACGTTCATCCTATGGTAATGTAGGAATCCAATTTTATAAAATCTATTAGTTTGCCTTATTGAGAAATATTTGAGCTTCAGGTAGATACTTTAAAATAATATCTGATTGATCCTTTGTGTGATCCATCAAAATCAATTATTTCTAGTTATCATTGATCTGCAAATACCGAGTCTAAAAATTAGAACTTTTTTTCATCAAGCCTTGCTTTTTAGGTTAAGTGATAGATTTAATAATGTGATCTCCTTTGTTAATTTGAATTGAATTTCTCTGTATCGACATACTTCTGATGGCTGAATCAGCGAGACTATTATCTTGATTCTAAGTTTAATTTAATTCGATCTGCATGGAGGCTCTAACGATTCTATTCCTTTATTTATTTGGTGTTGAATTTCTTCTCTAAGAGCTAGGCCCTCTTAAACATTCATAAAACAGTTGGTTGTTATTGATCATATGCTTATAATATTAATAATAAACAATAAAATTATTATTAACTGTTTCATGGCAATATCCCATTAGTTCTTTTTTAAAAGTTGTCATACTGGGCTGTTCTCCAACTTGATAAACTCTAATTGATCAATCTATCCACTAAATCCATAATCTAAAAGTTTGAAATAATAAATTACTTCTTTGTCAGTAGCATTTAATTAGAATCTACTTGTAAATAATTTTAGGTCTAAATTTGCAAAACAGGGCAAATCTGATTTCTCTACCATTATTTTAAAAAAGTTCTCGATTTCTATCACGTACTTCTTCAAAGCTAAAAACCCTTTTGTCATTAAGGATTTGAAGTAGCCAAAGTAATCACTCTCCTTTCCCATCATTAACTCTAGATATTCTTATGTTAATTTGAATGGAGCTGATTCAAAATTAACTCCTCCTGGTGATGTCTGTAATAGAAACCCAAAATCAATATGAATCACATGACCTCGATCGTCAATTAGCAGATTCCCATTGTGTCTATCTTTTACCTAGTAATTTTATTATCTAAAAATTAACCTACATCAAATATGAAAATACAGAATAACTAGCTAAGCTTTCAATGAAGTTTTTCTAAGCTTCCTCAAAAGCACTTCCAAATATTTCTTAATAGATTTAATACAATGTTTTGGTACCATTACCAAACATTTTCTTAAGAGCATCAATTGAGATTGTATTCGGAATGTATTCTTGATGATAACAATAAGAATTACCTACAATACCTGAGTTGGCAGAAGTGACAATTATTTGGTAGGGTCTTAAATATAAATTAACTTCAGCTTCCTTGAATATTTTATTAAACTGCTTCATTATTTGAATTGCAAACATTTCTTATCTTAAATCATCTCCTCCCTTAATAATAATTGGACGTATTCTATATGAAGGGAAATGAGCATATCTCGAATCTTTTTTGTAATTCTCTATTCTTTCATCCCAACTCTAATTACAAAATTATTTTATACTTGTTCCCAAACAGAATGCTTTTTTTTTTTAAATTTTTTCAATATTCGCAACTTCTCAATTGGTAATATTTTTTATAAAGTCTTGTAACATTCTTCAGACTTTTGGTCATTTCTTTCTTGGGAATTCGATTTCCTATGATTTTGAGTATACGATAGATTTGAATCAACTACTAACGAAGCCTTTCGTTTTTAAACATTGTCCAATTTTGAAGATTCGTTTTACATAGCATCCTTATTGTTTTATTTTTTCTATTTTTTATATATAATTATTACTTGTTTTTGCATGTATTAATCTATTGTTTGCATAATCTGACTTTACCTTTTGCCCTTCTTTTCCATCTACATTATCTTCTCTAAGGCTTCATGATATAGTTTCTGTTCTTCCTACTCTATTTGTGCCAACTGCTTCTCAAATCCTTAATCATTTAACTAAGCTTCCACATATCCTACAACTTCAATGTTTGGTTAAGATTGAGCAGGAATAGCCTGATACTACTCTAAATCTATAGGACTACCTGTTATAAATAAATAAATTACTTAATGGTTTCAACTAATATCAAGTAAGGTACCCTTTTCTTAGTGTGGAAACACACTTAATGTTTTTCTAATATATTTACAATATATTATGATTTATTATCTTTGTCTTATTCATCATAAAATGGTAATACTACTCCAAACTAGAACTTTCTCACTATTTTTTATAAATTTTAGTTTTGTTTTTGAATTAATAATTTTAAATGATGTTTTCTATCGTCCTTTGGAAATTCCTTCAATACTAACGAATGCTTTATTAGAGTTCCCATAAACTTCTACATCTCTGTAAAGTACTCTTGTCTTAGATCTTTTTACTAGAAATCTTTCAATAAAATTTGATTCAATTATTCTTAATCTTATATTTCGAATGTTTTTTCATTAAATTCTCCATTCACCATAGACATTTCCATTTGCTTGTTAATTAAGTTTAAATCTCATACCCTTAAAAATAAATCTATTTTCTCTTTCTTTTTTTTCTGTTTTTCTAATTGCAAATATGCACCAAGTAACCAATATAACTTAACCTTAATTAAATTCATACATTAAAAAATAAAGTTCGTGATTAACTGCATTTTTTCTTAAATAGATCAAATAGTTATGGAATTTCTGTTTTGATTAACAATTAACAAAATTATGGAGAATAGAATGAAATTATTTTATCTTCTAAATTTAGCATTATAGTGTATAATAAATTCAGGATTTCAGGTTACTCTCTGTATTTTGAAATATTTTGTAATAGCATCTCAGGAGTAAAATATTCAGAATCAAAGAAATTCTTTAAATTTTTCAATTTATCTGCATTCATTAATAAATATATAAAAATTAATGTATAATACTAATTTATTAGCATTCTTAACGAATTCAATTAAATTTGTTCATACCTATTATCATTAATAATAGTGCTTTAATAAAGTCATATATGATATATTCATTCTATATACCAAAGTTTAAATATTTAATATTATCTATTTTATTACAATTCAAATTAAAAATTTATCAATTATGGCTTATGACTAATATTCTATATTTATAATTAATAGATTCTATTGAATGAGAGCTTTATTAATGTAATTCTAATAATTCTAGATAAATATTACTTGAATCAGAAATATACTTAATATTACCCTAGAATATTATTAATAAAGCAATCAATCATCTATTTCATTCGATTTGGTCTCTGCCTTCACGTTTTCTTCTGCTAATCAATTACTTATATGGCCAGCAACTCATTCATAAAGGCTAAATCTAAAATTTGAATTACTTTAACTTATTTTAATTAGTTTCTTACATTTTCTTTTTTCATCAAATTTTTCTTCTGTAGGTTTGATACTATTGTTTTAGCATCTTGAACAAAACCAATTTTTGAATGCCCATCGATACTTCTTTTCAATTTGACTAATTCCTAAAGGACTATGTATCTTCTAAGGAAGGATTTCTAATGATTACTGTTCAAACTCAATGTTATATTAAAATAAAGCCTGATTGTAATCAACTAATTTTACTTTGGATTGAGTTTGATTCGAATAAATTATTAGTAGCTATTCTAATTCTTCCTTCATTTAAGGACTATTTCTAATTTCATTCTCAAATTCACTCTGTATACATATCAATTGCCTTCTAAAACTCTTACCATTTCAACAGTCCTTTCGCTTATTCTTTATTTAAAACCAATTGCTAATTAATTACATTCCTACTACCCTTTACAACTATTTATTATGAATAATTGTTTGTTGGGGTTTTTTGTTAACATTCATTACTATTGGTTCTTTAGTTTCTTCTACTAATTTATCTACATCCACTTTATTTGAATTATCACAATAATTTTATATTGAATTAATATCTCTTTTAGGATGTTGCTTTAAATTTCTGATTGTTTCTCTCATTCAAATTTACTTCTAATCGTCACTCCATTTGGATTTATAAATAAAATTTTTTTTTTCTGTGGCTTTAAGATTTATTTATTTGTTCTTCCCAATCTTAGAGGTAGTGGATATACTTTTTTATTTTTAAAGCATTCTTTTTATTTATTATGATAGTTGAATTGATATTAATTCTTATATTAATAATTAAATTACAATCATGATAATAATTGAGTTTTATTGAAATCAGAATGGATAGACGATTTAATGGGAATTTATTTTTCAAAAACAATATTTCTATTAATATTTATTAGATTAATGGGATAATAGTAACCTATGTTTGGTGATTGTTAATAAAACAAGATTCCAATTATAAAAAAATATTATAAAAAGATAGACAGATTTAATAACACCAATTCAAATAGAATCTTATAATTAAATAATAAATTTGTTAATATACTATTTTATTAATGTAACATTTTTCATTAAGATGTCTTCTTTAATTCTTCCAATTCAAATGCCTTCTTTATTGCTTCTTATTAATGTCTTGATTTAATTCCGACTTATCCTCCTCCGATGGTTCTCAATAACTCATGGTTTTCATTATAATGTTATCTTAAATCTCTTGCCTTAGATTACAAAAAATATAATACTAAATTATCGAATTCAGCTTAATCTTCCTTTCTAACTTCAGTCAAGGCAACACAAGTGGCTGTTTTTTAATGAACCAAAGATCCTAATCTTGCTTTATCTAAAAATATATTAATGAATATAACTTTTGACGAAGCAGAATGGAACTTCTTATCTTCTGCATAATTGTGGTAACCAGACAACAAGTTCAATAGGGTCAACATCATAAGCAATTACAACAAGCTTAGCCTTCTTAGTCTCAACCAATGTCGTCACATGGTTTAATCCAAATTTAAGTACTTATACTTTTTTTGATTCGGACTTTTAAGCTTATGCCTTTTATTCAGCTAACTTAGTTAATCTTTATTTTTTTTCAGTTTTGGTTTCTGGTGAATATTTCTTCAATAGACCCAATACTTTAGATGCTTTAATCTAGAAATAATATTTACATTGATTTTTATCAAGTGTTTTGCTGAATTAATGAATAGCAGCTGGTACTTTGATTCTTTGTAATAAGATCTTTTTTTATCTATGAAGTAAGATATATCTAGGCCATCTGACATATCTTGATAAATCTCTCTTTGGCTAAACATCATTTCCGATTCTAAAGTTTTTAGCATCCTTTACAAAAAGTGGATTCTTTTTTCTATCAGCTACTTTCTTTTATAATTTCTTAGCTTTGCTGGTTTTGGGGGCTTTTGGCTAGAGATTACTATAGATTAAATACCATTGAATATCTTTTTAAATTAAATAATATTTATATAGTACAATATATTTATCATTTTCATTTTTGAGAATTTTAAGTTCATAGTTGAGTTTTGATTTTTGACTTTAGATCCTTTCTTGCAATTATTAAATGACGCTGTTGAGTTCTAGTCTATAATATAATAAAATGAATACATTTAAATTTAAATAGTTAATCTCTTTTTAAACATTTTAATAATTCAAAATTTTTAATTTCTTCTGTGAAAGAGATGATCCTTTATTAATATATATAATTGATTGTTTTTCCTAATGATCTTGCAGCTCAACTGATTATGGTTTCAAGACTTAAATTTCATATGTATGTTAATGAATTTATGCTTGAGAAATTGCATTTAATTCGTTAAACTTCGCTAGAATATAAATATTTGGCTTTTATATATTAATTCACATAAAATCAAGCAAATATATAATCAAAGAATATTTTATGCAAAAAATACAATTAAATAGATAAATTAATTAGGGGAAAAATTAGATTTACTTCTTAGAATAAAACTGAATCAAATTAAACTATCATTATAAATACAGGATTAAATAATAATATGTCTCTTAGAGTAATTTTAGAAAAATTTGAGTACATTCAAATTTCTAATTAGCAGAGAATGCTAAGAGATCCTATGAGATAATTAAGGAATTACCTTGGATTCATTATGGAAAATATAAATCTGTGTAGAATGATTCTAATAAAAATTTTATGATAATAATAAATTTATGCTTAACTGTTTATGAATTTGATTGAAACATATAAATTGTGAATTCAAAGTAATAATTATACGGGACTAATTATTGAAGGTGCTTCTAGATAGCTATTTATGTATTTGTTTAGTTTCAATTTTCTTTTTTATTGAAATTCTCTCATTTTTCGACATTCAACATACAATTCTTATTGTGAGTAATCGCATTCTTCTAAGAATTACTTCATTTCGAATTCCTTAAAGAAGTTCTCAAGATCTAATGATCTCTTTGGAATTGATTTATAACTAAACTCTGGTAAATTAGCTATCTAAATCGACATTTTTTAGATGTTTCTGTTAAAAATTTAATTATTAATTTTTTTCATTATCAAATATTTAAGTCATCATATAACAATTAATATATTATCATATTATTATATTGTTAAACCATAATTATCTCGAATAAACTCTGAAATACTCTTTTAAAATTTCAAAATATTAAGAGATTAGCCTTTATTTAAAAATTAGTATTAATAAAAAAAATCATTCTATTCTTAAGTATTATTATACTCTAATAATTATTTCATTATAAACTTAAGCAAATAAGAGTTTATAGATAAAGAATTAAAATTAAAGAGTTACAATAAATATGAATATTTAATATTAATTCAACAATTATTTCCTATAAACTAATATTCATTTAATAATAATAATTCCTTGAATGCATTTTCAAAAATAAAATACCACTAATAATTGAAATTTAAATTGCAGTCGAATTAATTATCGATATAACTTGTATTTGATTGCAATTACAAAAATAATTTTATTATTTACTAATGAATGATTTTGCATATATTTACCATTTATTTATATTCTCATAATACTAACTAAAAAGTAATGCTCCAAAAGAAGCAACACTAAAAAACATA